TACCTTTTTGCCTTGGAGCTTCATGTATTCCATGCAATAATCTGGAAAAACAATTGGCACACTGTCCTGCATGGCATCCAATCTGATTTAATGTCATATCTCTCTATAATGTATGCAAGTCTGAAGGAGCAAAAACCAACAATGGTGTATGTGTGACAGATGTACCCATGGATACATTCAGGAAATGCAGCATGAATTGGCCTCCAATGACAGATTTTGTTCTTGTCAGCATTTTTACTAACATGGCTGCATCTTTGATGTAACTTTTGAGTAAATGCAGTATTTTCCATTTGTGTAGACCTAACTCTGTAAGAATGTGATGTTCTATAGCTGCTGGAAGTGTTTTATGGAAAACATTGCATGCAATGGATTATGATGGAGTTGGTTTTGGATAAGGAAATATTCCACCATGATGAATGGTGGTGGAAGAAAGCATTCTGAGAATGATGAACATGAATGGTGGATATTCAGCTCAAGCAACAGCAGAGTTGCAAGAAACTTTCTGAGCCTTCTGTCATGCCCTGGCGACTACCAGGACAGTCCCAGTACCAGCCACACGCTCTCACACCTCCGCACTTCCAATCCACCTCAGTACCTCCCCAAGACAGTACCACCATTCCCCTGCTTCCACTAAGCCTTCCTTGACACACGTAACTCCTAAACCCTCCCCGACACGCGTAAGAAGCCCTCCTACCACCAACCCCATTAAGTACTAATCTCGATTACCTGCCTCATGGGCCTCATGGCCCCTGATGTTCCCTTGTTCACTTCCCATACCTATTTAAGTAGCTCTGCCACGTCCCCAGGCCCCAGCTTGGTATATTTTGAACACATACCCTTTTGCATAGATCCAGTCCCTGTCCCTTTGTACCTGCTAACCATACAGATTTCTCTTTATTCTTTGTTTCTCTATCTCAGTTTCTCTCTACTCTCGTCTGTTGTCTCTACAATCATCTACACAATCCAATATACGCTTTTACTTCACGTCTAAGCAATCCAAGTGAGTATCCGAGCTCCCTCGAATAATACTAAAGCTCCCCAACACCTAAACGCCTTGGTGAGCTAACCTCCCCCAAACCTCCTCGAGCTCCCCAACTGCTCCTCAAGCTCTGGGACCTCGATTTAGGTAACGTCAAAGCTACCCCTTACGTCGAACTACGTACCACTTCTCCGTTACAACCTCCAACACTTGAGGACATCCACCTCTAAGCCACAGTTCCCGGGACCTCCCCTCCCAGGCATATATCTTCTCAGGAGCTTACACACTCGAGACCCACTTCAACTACGACCTATTTGATCTTACATTGACATTCTAGCGAGTACAACTCCTACTAGGCAACACTACTAGGTTCCGCACTTCTACCTCCCCTCCCTATGCCTTATAGGAACCCCTTCAAGGATCACATCTCTCCATCCCAGCCACTACTAGGTTATTCCTGTCCTCGGTCGCGGTTTCCATAGCTCCCTTCGAGCTGCAGCCTGCTCCTAGCACGCTACAACGTAAACTCACTATACCAACACCTACCCTAAGACCAATTCTGACCCAGGTCTTACACCTTCACAAGACAAGAAACAACCTGGAATATACTGCACAGTTGTAGCATTTTGGGTGAAAACACAGTGGGAATTACCAACTACCAATTGTGCAGAGGAAGTTGTTTAACAGGTATGAAGAATGGGAGCACAAGTGTTAGCACAGACAAAGTGTTGAAGACGCTTTGGAGTATCTATAGGGGAGTGGAAACAGTAAGTAAAGTTGATGCAACATTGAATATGAAAAACTGACAATGTGGTCAGGTACACCTCAATGTGGCTGCATAGTACAAGACAGGAGTAGGAAGAGATTTCCATGTAGGTGTCAAGACCATGTCTCAGCATGTCACTCCTGTGCTCGGTATTCCTAGATCTACCATTTATTGTAATCTCTTTTTATTGTTCTTTCTTGCTACACATTTCCTTTCTAACTAGTCTCCTTTTATTGTCTTATTCTCTACCCTGAAGATACTAAACATACAGCCTCTAGTAGCTAGTCTAGCCCTCTGCTCTGATATGCCAATTAGCTAGTATAAATACTCCAGTACTGTACTATAGTTCCTCAGTTTAATTATCATTTTAGATCAACTTAGATCATCCTTATTTGTCTCTCTGTTCTCTGAAGTCTCAAGGCTTAACTCTTGAGTACTCTCTACTCCAACCTTTGGACTTATAGTTCTTTGGTCCACTTCTCATTGTTGGCGCTACTGCCACTACTGGCTTGGCTGCTGCTTGTAACTCTCTTCCTCCAGGGACTAATGACATAATGGCGGTGTTGTCAATAACTTCACTACTGTTCCAGTTGACCCTCTGCACTTAGACACTGAATAGCTCTTGGCATGGCTTTCCGGTGTACATGATCTTAAGAATTTCCTGCCATGTTCATGATTGTTGCATGGAGAAAGGATGAACCAGTTTGAGCCAGTTGAATTGAAAAGAACCAATAATCATTGATTTTCAGTAGTGTGCAGGTTCATACATGCCATTGTTTAATTGAAATATTTTGAAAATTCAGGCCAAATGTGTGCCTGCTTGTTCTTGGAAATTTTTATTGCACACTAAGATTTTTTCAAAAGAAAAAATGATGGAATTCTTTGAAAGAACCATGCAGCAGTGTATATAAGCACTCTTAATGACTTTCACTACAGGGACGAAACCCTAATCTTGTAGTAAATATAAAGAGATCAGGTATAAAACTCTCCAAAAATTCTCTATTAGAGTTTGCTGAGACTTTCTAAAATTTTTTCCAATAATGCTACACATTGTGAAAATTTCATTGCATAATGTCTATATACTATGCTAGGATCTACACTACCTTCATGAATATCAGACTGATTTTAGACAGTGTGCCAACATTTGAGAGGTAATAGTCACTCACAGACATGCCAAACAATCCTGACTTGAAAAATATAATGATGTGGACTCCCAGCAATATAAGAGGAAAAGTAAAGTCTTGAAGTCAATGTCAAGTCCTTAAAATTGGTGAGGCCTTGAAGTCGATGCTGAGGTATTGAGGTTGACATGAAAGCCTTGAGGCCAAGATTGAGGCCTTGACAAACCAGGGAGAGCTGTGCAGGAGGAAAAGGAAAGGATGAAAATTTTTCACAGCATGGGAATTTGTAAGTCCATGTTATCACCACTTGTTGCATGGACTTGAACAAATTTTTATTTTTTGCCTAGTCTGAGAACTGCCAGTGAGCAGGAAGGGATTTTCAGAAATAAGGCTTTTATTAGATTTTTGAAAAAGTCAAAGATCCTTTGTTCTGTCAGAACATCCATGGGAAATTTTCTAAAATCAATGATTCTACAAATATTTACAAAGATGACAAATCATTGAAATATCATCTATCAGAAACTTTTGAAATGGATCTAATGAAAACCTAAAAAAGAATGGTGCAGCAGTGTAGTGATTACAACCTGTGTTTGGTAATGCTTGGTAAAGTTTGTCACAAAGAGTGGCACCAAACAAGACCAAAATGTGCCTGCACAAAACAACTTAACTTCCGGAGTGCAATAGACCTTGCAAGCAAGGTGATTTGTAGAAGTTTGTTCAAGAGGTATTTTAGAGTGCTTGAAGTTCAAGAATTGGATTGGAGCAATGCAAAGCAAAGCAATGGACATATGTACACTTGAGAACTCAAATCTGAAGGACATTGCATAAAGAACTGTGTTTTGAGTCATTGTGTGGAAAGAGCATTGTCATTGTAGAGGCTGGAAGACTGGAAGTAGCTGAAAGTGCAGAGAGGTTGAAGGTTAAACTCATTGACGTGGCACTCAAGTTGAAATTCGGACGTTGACACAAAGCCACATTTGTTCGACGTGGCAAAACTGCTTACTCAAACTGACAGCTTATGAAGAAAAGAGATGTTACAGAGGTGTTGGGATATTTCCTGGGTGCTTTTGATGGGGAGCTGCAGGGAAGCTGCAATGGAGGTTCTCGGGCCCAACTCACGGTACTCTTTCTGAGAGTTCGGCAACAGAAGCTGTCAGGAAGCTCTGACACAAGTTACGAGGCTGAATATATGAAGACTCATCCTTATGTACGTCATTCAATTTGCAATTTAAGTGCCGTACTTCCTTTTTAGACCACCTTTTTTGCCTATATATGGTATGGAGTCACAGAGTCTTGAAACTATTCAGTTAAATGTGACATGCACATGACATGATGTGACTATGTAGTGACTACTCCCGAAATATTACTGCTATTCGGTTTAGCAGCGTCTAATCAACGAAGGCATCGTTTTCATCGCTTTAACAATTTTAGCAAGGTTTAGGTGGACATGGGTACAGCCCTGAGGGACAGCGGCTGTACCCTGTAGAACGAACTAGATTTCATGAGCGACGGTATGGGTACAGAGAAGGGTTAAGGGAGGGTGGGCAATGGAAAGAATTTGTACGAAAAAACGATGCTGAGAGTCGACAGATTAGAAAAATACTACAATTTTGCATATGCTCTACACACACACCTGAGAGTTCAACAGATCAGAAAGATGCTGACTTGCGAACTCTCAGGCTTGTTGATAAGGGTAAAGTGAGAAACAATAGATAAGTGAGACAAATGACGATGGCTAAGATGCCAAGCACCTGAGTCAGAAAAGGGCAGAAAGTCTGCGAGCGCGCGGAGCGTACCTGACTGACTAGGGCCTCACCGATGGAAAGGAGAAAAGATTCTGAGGCGCGCGGAGCGTACACTGACCATCGGTGAGAGGAGAGAAGATATTATATGCTTAAGTCTCTTACCTCGTTGATTAGACTTTTATAAACTGCTTTTTAAATCCAACTAATCAACGAAGGCGTCGTTTTCATCGCTTTAACAATTTTAGCAAGGTTTAGGTGGACACGGGTACAGCCCTGAGGGACAGCAGCTGTACCCTGTAGAACGAACTAGATTTCATGAGCGACGGTATGGGTAAAAGGCTAAAAATGATGATTTCGAGAGGTCGTAGATGTTGAGGAGGAGTGAGTGATTAAGATGTGGCCGGTTGTTGAGAGAAAAGTAGGGCAGTAAGTAGGACTGGGTGGGTCCTGATGTAAATCTTGAAAGATTCAGATGCCCATCGCCCAATGGCCTGGATGAGATTCACCTGGACACCTAAAGATGCTAACCATGTTGCACCCCCAGAACGAAGAGAGTGACCTGCCACGTTATCAGAGAAATGACATCGTAGCCTTTGGATGAACCAAGACCGTGTTGGAACTGAACCATCAGAGCGTACCCATAAATGTGGTAGTCCTGGGAAGCGGCTGTCACGTTCACGAACATAAATACAAGCAATTTTGACAGTGTCATCTCTATCCAAAGAGGCTTTGATTACAATCCGGTTTCCTTCAAACGTTTGATCGGCTTTGTGCATTGGTAGATTGAATTCCAGATGCTCGGCATCTGCAAGAAATGAATCCCGCATGATGACTTTGCGGAAATCTTGAAGGTCAACCCGATCAGGAAACACTAGCTCTCCCAATCGCATGAGAGCGAAAAAACCAATGTATAACAATGCGAGAAAAAGATGACCGTCAAAAGAGGAGGATGAATGTAGGTTATTGAATGCTTCGGTGAGTTCTGTGCGCTGGAGTGGACGTTTTCTTGAGGCAATGGAAGTGTGAAGTTTTTTTGCAACCTTTCAACATTCGCTTCACAATTGGATGAGCACAATTTCGACGAATATCAGGGTAGAAAACCTCGAGCTGGTTGCAAATTCCGGATAGATAGCTGGAAACAGATTTTGGTTTGATGAAATGGCAGATATAGATAACATAAAAAGATAAGGTGTCTGTAGTTGGGTCGATTGGAAAATCATGATTGCGACAGAAAGTGACATAGGATTGAACTGCTGAGGTGTAAGAGGACAGAGATGATGGCTCAAGGACGCTGCCAAGCGCAATGTTACGCTCATGCAGCAAACATTCCCAACTCCAGATTTCGTGAACCGGCTGTCTGGAGGAGGGAGGTGGTAAGTTCATAACTGTTCTGCCCCCAACACGAGCTGTGGGGGTGTAAAGTTATAAATCTTCATTGACGGTGCCAAATGCATGAGACAAGTGTAGTCAAACCATGACAGCACATCTGCAATACCATTTTCCTCCCCGCAGATATGTGCGACATGAAACTGGATGTTTGAGCATATAGCATGATTGACGGTGGTGAGTAAGAGGGGGTTGTAGAGCTGTTTTGCTTTTAGAGAATGGAACATATCCACCGTGTTAGTGTCAAGTCCATGCCGCGGGCCTCCATTCCGCCGCTTGGGATTCCGAAGATCTACTCCTTATTGTAATCTCTTCCTATTGTTCTTTCTCGCTACACATATCCTTTCGTTCTAGTCTCTCATTATTGTCTTTTACTCTTTCGTTCTAGTCCCTTCTTATTGTCTTTTACTTTACCCTGCAGGTACTACTCGTATAGCTCCTAGTAGTTAGTCTGGCGCTCCGCACCGCTGCGCCGTTCCGTAGATATAAATACTGCCTGTACGCTACTGTAGTTCCTCAGTTTAATTATTAACTTAGATCTCCCTTCCCAACTTAACTCTTCTCTAAGTCTTCAGGCTCAACGCCTTGGAGTACTCTCTACTATAACCTCAGGACTTAGACGTTCTCTGGTTCGCTCCTCGTCACCGGCGTTACCGCCGCTCCGACTTGGCTGCTTCTCAGTTCCTCCCTTCTCTACTCTTGATCTCCGGGGACTAACGGCGTAACGGCGGTGTTGTTAATAACTTCACTACTGTCCCACTCGTCTTCCGCACTTAGACACCTTGTGGCTTTGGCACGGTTACACGGTGTACATGATCTTAACAGTTAGTGTTGTCAGTAAAAACAAAAACACGGGGAACGAAAGGCAGTTTGATAGTGTGGAGGATGGCTGAAACAACCGTGAGTGCTTCGAAATAGAAAATAGGTTTCTTGTGATCATCTGGAATCATACACTGATAACCCAACGTCTTATCATCATAATGAAACCAAAATCCCATGCCTGTTGGACACACATTGCAGTACAGGACAATGTCCGCTTCTTCGAATCCCCATTCTTCACTATCAAGCATTCTCACTCCACTTAAAACATCAAGCTTTTCAACAAACCATAGCAACTCTCACACTACAGCCTTGTTTGTCCAGATTCGCTGACTAGATTTGTCATATGCATGCAATTCACCCCATACGCTCCCCGGCCCGGCCCGGAGCGGCCGGACTTCGGATTAATAACCTTGTGACCATCATTGTATTTATTTATTGTTCCGAGCTTTCATCGAGGTCTTCTGACTGTATTTGGGATGTATATAAGCTAGAATACTTTGTACGTTGTAGTCAAGCTTGAAATCAAGTGTACCATCTTATCCCAGTCTTTAATATCTTCTTTACCCTTTGCTTCCGGACTCCCGGATCATCAGGAACACCATTTAGGCTGCTCATCCCAATCTTGCACTCTTGCCATAATTCCCGGGGACACCAACAGTGTGTGAAGGGTGTTGCTAATAGCTTTACCGACGTCCCACTCCCAGTGTGTACTACAGGCCAGTACTCAGCTCCGGACCTCGGAGTTATCCCGGGCCATTTCCGGCCCATATCCGACCTCAGAACCTCTATAGTTATTGACCTGTAGGCACGGTCTTGTCAAGATTCAGTCTTTCCAGCCATTTTCTCGTATAATGCAGAAAGGCCAGGACGAAGGAGGGGGTAGACATTCAGTGACCAGTTAATCCAGCCAGCAAGGTGCTGATACTCCTTGAGTGTCCAACGATTTCCAATTCCTGCAAATTTTCGAATTGCCTGAACAAGGTCTAATTGAGCTTCTGTAGGCATGGTGATGGTCATGGCATTTGGATCGACATTGAAGCCTAGAATCAGAAGTTTGGTGCCCCATGTTTGCTTCGGTTTATCATGAGGCAAACCGATTTCATCCCAAAATTCCAGGAGTCTGGTTTTTCGTGAAGGGTAGAACTCAGCATAAGGTGCGTAATATGCCAAATTTCCTTCGAAATCCCAACCGAATGTGTCGTCAACCCAGGCGAACAAATCAACTATGAATTTGACATAGATGGCCACCCACAACATCAAAGCCATGAAACTTCCATACAAACCTCCTCCATCTCGACTTCCAAAATTATTACACTGGTCGACATTATATCCATCACCGAAACCAACCACTTGCTTTATTTGCCAACGCGGATCCATGGGTAAGCGACAGTAAGCAGCGGAGACGTCTGATTTGAATACAACCAAATTCACGGAACGCCCGTATATGCGGCGAACATGAATGAGAGCAGCACCCAAATCATGTAGGTTATCCATTTTCACTTTCACGTCTCTACAATCAATGAGAGAGTTTAAAGCAAAAGGTTCAGCACTGTGGTCTACAGCCAAGCAAAATTTGTCTGTGTGGGGTTTCGGAACTACGACCACTGGAACGCATTGCATACCAGGTAGTAAGGAATGGAAAGTGGGTGAAAAACGCCTTTCTGTAATCTCTTTATCTCTCTGCTCACATGCAAAAGCAAAATGTCATGGATCATGTAGCTCGCGTGTACGATCTAACACCAAAGGAGTGCCAGGCTTATTGCCAGATGCTCGAGGCCAGAAACCTTGCCGGAAACCTGTACACACGGATTCCACAAACTCTTGATTTGGATGAGAGTTTAGAAGGGTTTGAAAGTGATCGACATTTATAGGTGTCGTAATGTTGAAAAGATGAGGATTTTTTCAAATTGTATCTAGTACTGTGTCATCGAGGATTACATCCCTAGGTGGCCGAGGTAAAGGAGTCATATAAACTGAGCTATCAGCCAAGCTCATGTTTTCTGTAGGCTTTTCAACATCGTCCCACATTAACGCATGAGCGTAGCGAGGACGTCTGCTCCAATATTTAGTTTGGGCATTTTGGACGGGTATGGTCATTTCGGTTACACTTTCCGCAGACGTGTTGGTACCCACAGGACTGGGCTGTGTTTGGGCATTGACCTTCATTGTACCTCTTGCAAGGTTCGCGCCTTCGAGACTTATTTTCTCTTTGTCCTGATTCTCTAACTTTGGAGGGAGAGGCTTGGATCCAATGCAAGAAGAGGTCCTGGAACTCACTAAAATCGGTGAGCTCATATTGTCAAGATTGAGAGACTCGATAACGGATGGCCTTGTCATAGTTGATGACTTTGTCATGATCGAGTTCGGGAAGGGCTCCAAAGAGTCTAATGATATGCTCGATGGGGAAAGACAAATGTGAGGGCTTTGGAGTACTTGGCAAAGACAATCTGCCAGTCTCCGGAGTTGTTAATCCTTTTTCCAGGGACTGGCGGTCCGAATTTGAACTCGACCTCACCAACCTTCTGGGTCTGGCGTTCGTCAAGAGTGGTCGCATGCATTGAGGAGAAGATGTGGTCGCAATGTGCTGGTTTTCCATTAACGATATCATCCCAGTCTTTGGTAGAGAAGACGGGACAATCAGGCTGGGATTGAATGGTGGATCGAGCGTACTTTGGTTCTCGAGCGAGATTTGCGAGGATGATTCGGGTCTTTTCAAGAGATTCAGAAGGGAAAGTTCTGCTGGAAGAAGATGCTTGGTTGAGCCAGGGTAGGACTGTTTCATCAATCTTCCTACGAGAGGCACTCTGTGGATTGATGTCATCCTCTGACTCTTCTTCCTCCTCATTGACGGGTCGCTTCCAATTTGTTGCAACAATGTTGGACTCTCTGTTTCCTCCACGCTCAGCTGCTTTACTTTTTCGATTCTCAATGGAATCAAGGAGTTTGATATATAGCGAGAAACTTTGTGTGAGGGCTTCTTGAGAGAGATTTGCTGCAGCAAGGAGGGCTTGGATCTCGAGCAAAGCTGTGACTTTGACATTCTCGCCACGCTCAAATTTTCATATGACTGACATACAACTCTGGGACAATGAAGGGGGATCGTCAATTCCACCGAGTCGGTGAGACCATCCTTCCGAGATTCTGCTGTTGTTGGTCTCCATCCTGGGATTGAGGTGGAGATTGTTCCTCTTGTTGTGAAGTCGTACCATCGTTATCAGGCATTTAAATTTGAACAGAGTGATGTATTGATATCAATGGAAAGAATTTGTATAAAAAAACGACGCTGAGAAATTTGTACGAAAAAACGACGCTGAGAGTCGACAAATTAGAAAAATACTACGATTTTGCATATGCTCTACACACACACCTGAGAGTTCAACAGATCAGAAAGATGCTGACTTGCAAACTCTCAGGCTTGTTGATAAGGGTAAAGTGAGAAACAATAGATAAGTGAGACAAATGACGATGGCTAAGATGCCAAGCACCTGAGTCAGAAAAGGGCAGAAAGTCTGCGAGCGCGCGGAGCGTACCTGACTGACTAGGGCCTCACCGATGGAAAGGAGAAAAGATTCTGAGGCGCGCGGAGCGTACACTGACCATCGGTGAGAGGAGAGAAGATATTATATGCTTAAGTCTCTTACCTCGTTGATTAGACTTTTGTAAACTGCTTTTTAAATCCAATTAAGTCCATTTTCATTTTATTTTCTCACCATATGCTATATATGGAGAATTGAGGAGGTTGCGCGGTGCTGACCGCGCGCCCTAAATCTTTGACTTACAATTAATCCAAATACTTCAATGTATTGGTTCCATTGGCCGAGTGAATGCCATGCACAGCCGTGCAGTGGCCCTCAATCGCATGTGGTGGTGTACGTAGATCCCTCGCGAGTCGCTGACTGGAGCTGTTCAAGCTTCAAATTCAAAGCCAATCAGGTCGAGTCACTACGGCCTCCTACAGCAGCATAGCCAATTCTACGTTGGTGTGAGTAACTATGCGCCGGTCTCATCGACCCCGTTTCTTGCCCTTTCTCAGAGTCCTCTTTAACCGTTAGCAGGGCGGTTTTTACCTTCATTTTTGCTTGGAAGATACTAGTCTGGGAGAGACGGGAAAGACGATCTATGAACTCCTCAGGAGACACTCTTTAGTCGGCCTCATACAACCCATCGATATCAATATTCAAAACAACAGGACAGTCACAGAGGGACCTGCAGCGGGACGTTGTTCCTGAGGCACACCACCCCCACCGCCCCCAAACGCAGAGGAACGACATCCAGAAACCATCCCACTCGCCTCAAATAGTTGACTCAGTCGACAAAATGGTGACCCAGAAGCCTCGGCCGATTGTGAGATTATTTAAATAGGAAGAAATCTGCAGTGTGTTGGAGCTTGCTCCAATACTATTATTCATAAATGTAAAAATCCAGGGTACCACAGGTTATAACTGAGATACTACTTTACCTACGAAAATCGAGGCAAAACATCATGTGTGTAATCAAGTACATTCAAAGCTGCTTTTATCTCTGTTTGCGTAAATTATATGGCGAGGACGGAACGGTTGAATCAACCAAACTAGAACGAGGAACCACGACTGAAGCACGTCCTAAAACAACATCTCTCATGTTGCGATTACTGCGAAGAGTTCGCAAACTGCTTGTACCTTTGCGACCCTTCCTAGTCATGGGACCGGAATCTGGGGCAACAATATCTTTGGAAGACTTTTGAACCTTCGTGCCATCGGTCCTGGAAGTACTCGCGGCATCATCTGTAGATGTGGATCTGGCACGTTTCTTGGCTATGGCTGAAACATCATCCTGAGCCGCTGTGGGTAACGCCATATAAAATGGTTCTATTCGACCTTCTTGAGTGAAGATTCGAGATAGACGACGCATGAGCATGTCTTGAGAAATTTCTTTCGTTAACTTATCTAGCCTCCCAATGTTCAGGACCCCAGCAGGATATTCTTCGTGCGGAATGCTGTCCACGGTCGCGCTTTTGACCCGGAACGACCCAGAAATACGTAGGATGCCAGAGGGACCCACGTCGGTATTTAGATTTGGTAGCTGATCGAGAAGCGTAACGACTTCAGGCTGAGAAACATTCGTTCAATATTTTGAAAGGCTAAATTGTAACGATTTCCTTACCTGATCACGAAATATAACGTTCGGATGAATCTCTTTGATGTCTTGGGCAAAGTCCGGATTTTCTCTTGTGAATGTCGAAGGAACATATACAAAAACCCAAAAAGTTCGCTCATCAGAGAGTTTGAGACAAAAGACCAAAGTCACGCTAGTGCTCGAAGAAGAGGGCAGTAGACAAAACGGTTCGTCATGCTCGTGTTTGAACCAGGACATGACTTCTTCTGGAGCCCCCGCCACAAATACCAGTCTGTCGGGCATAGTTTCCGAGAGTTGTACATCCAATGTTTCTAGTCGCTCAGCAACTTTGACAAACTTCACGAGTCTCCCATTCAATAATGGCGTGGTGAGTCCAAAGACCGTGCAGGTGTTCGAAACCTTGCAGAAATCACCAAAACAGAAAGCCAAAGATAAAGCAAGGGATGAAGCAAAGTGAGACGGATGTATTTCAGTTTGGTAGTTCCAAGCAAATGCCCCAGCCAACCTCACGAGAGTGAAATATGGTTGTTGTTTGAGCCATTTCGCCCCGTAAATGACTGTTACCGGCTCGTCCAGTCCTATTCGAGAACACGTTGGATCCAGAAAAATTCCATAGTCTTCGTTGACGAGATCGATGTCGTTGGACGTGAAATCACAGCATCCCTTGGAAGTGGTCAAAAAGCTTATGACCGACCGGTGCATTGCAATGGTGCTAGTGGAACCTGACAATCATCAGAAAGAATCAGTAAGGAAAAGGCAAGCTTTCTCATAGTAACGCACGTATAGATAAACCTTTAGAGCCAAGAGATAAATACCAATTGTTCATGGAGAATGTCTCTTGTGATGTATATTCAGAATTCTCAGGGGGCATGTATCCAGACATAGTTTGAACGAATCCTCCCAATAATGTATGGGGACTCTCGAAATTATTGTCCAATAACAATGTCAAGAAAGATGCGGTATAGCGGTACCTAAATGTTGTTGAGCAGTGATCTACGTGAATGAACAATATTTACCTTCCTCGTAACCAATGCCACATTCGTTTTATAAGAAGTTGACCTGTGTCTGACTTTTCAAAATGTGGCGGTAGAAACTGGGAGATATAACGTCGATGGGCCTCCGGATCATCAAAACAACCTGTATCTGAACACCAACGGAAACTATCCCATTCCCCTGAGGAAGATTGAAAATGTTCCCGAGGAATGATGGTACCCGCAACAACAAACCTCACGGGCAAGTGGCCCATCCGACATTGAAAACTTCGAATAATCTCCTTCAAAATCGAGTAACGCCCGTACTCATCTGCAAAAGCGCCATCATGCTTTCGAGAAGCTACGTTTGCCTCATCTATCACAATGTAGAAGAATTCACCCGGTGATATGTCCCAGATACTTTGTATGTCTTCCAAAGTGTGCGTTATGGCGTCGTCAATCACTGAATCGTGCACTTCGGCTCTGGAAATCTCGTATTTCGTCTTACCATATGCTTCGAACCGAGATGTGATCGTACGGGGGAAAATCTGCGATTCTAGCCAGCGTTGCCGATGATCATGACAGAGAGCGCTTTTTGAGCACGCCGTCAGGTACATTTTGAAAACGAGTAATCGCGCCAAAAGTGCTTCGCTAGTCAAGCGGAAAATTGTTTTTATGTTGTGTTGGAGGGAGGTGGCGTAATGGGGACTGGAGGGAAAAGGCAAATGCCCTGTCCAGTTCCGGTGTGACTCGATATCATTGATGGCGAGAACGAAATCACCCGCTCCGAGGAAAGAGGAATCGATAGCGCACGTAAAATAGAGTCCCCAATGGAGGCAAAGGCCTTCGAAAAGAAGTTTAGTTTTCCCAGTGCCAGACGTATTGATAAGAAAACTGGATGATGTACAAAGTAAAAAGGAGGGCTGCGCATGTAAACAAAGAGACGAACGTGTGATGATTGGGAGAGAAGATTGTGTCCAGCCTCTTCTTCAAGATGGGGTCATGCTGAAAACTACCCAGTTTGTGAAGTATGACAAGAGGAATTTCTTCGCGGTTCCCGAGTGGAATCCCGAGCTTTCGAACATGATCCATTATATCTGGATCGGTGTCTTCCCTGGTGGGGGCCCAGATAGGGAGTTTCCATTCACCCTTGACGAATGGCATTATCTTGTTGTCTGACTCCATCAAACGAATTGCTTCGAACACATCCTCGAGGTCTGGATCCATACGCCATGCATTCCTCTCAAAGTACACTGCGCAAAGATATCAAGAGACAACCCGAGTAAGAAAAGCCATTGGACGCACTACAAAGACTGTCAAGAGCTCCCATGTCTCGCGCATGATGCGCAACCTTGAGCTTTTCATGTAAATCCGAATCGACTAATAAAGCGTTGAAGCACAGTCCTAATGATGGCTTGAACGGTCCCTTGCGAAATTTCAAAATTTGGAAGAAAAATTGGGACGCCGGCACAACTTGCTCAATATTTGGAAAGGAGAGGAAAATATTCATGGTAAGGGTCAAACGTCAAAGCCTCAAGCACAACATTCCGGATTCCTACGGATCAGGCCGAAGCCAACCAGAAACTTCCTTTTATGGGAGTTTTCAACTTTTGTTTAACTCTTCAAAGCTTCAGTGGCAGTCTGGCAGAATCATTTAGGATGAAAGTATCTCGGAGACTTTTTTACGATCCTCTTCGTATAAGATAGAAAATAGTGTTCAAAGATGTAAATACTGGTACTTGACATACTTATATAGTATAGTAATTTTAATTAACGTTTGACGCTCTCATCATGTTTACGTTTCAAGTTCAACCTTTCGCCCCAATGTGCATGGTCAACTCGCAACATCGTGATTACGTCTTCAGTAATTTGTGGCACGATCCGACCTTTTCGAACGGCGAGATTGCTAGAATGCACGATATTTCCACGTATTCGATGCCGTGCGGCCAACTTTCGAGCCGCTTCCGCTTTCTGAAGACCCGTTTTATTCCGGCGAGGTTCTACTGCCGGTGGACTAATGCCGATCACGCCGGGTGAGTTTTGATCAAGGACTAGTGAGTCTCCCGCAGCATAAGCCCTTCTTATGATGAGATCGAGCATATTTGTAGGGTGAAAGGGGCGCGTTTCTGAGCGTAAAAGACTGTCATTGAATGACGCTAATGGGTGTCCATCAGTCCCATCTGGGTCTGGAGTCTGCTTTGTCACCATTTTGACTTTTATTGCGTCTTCTTCTTTGTCGTCTTTCACCCGAACATCGAAGGCTTTCTCGAGGTCGACGAGAACTGGAAAACCACATATGATGCGTAATACCCCATATGTTCCTGCCAGCGGATCTTTGCGGGGAAAATTGAGCAGAGTTTTCAGAAAACGATCCCGTGCTTCGTTCCTCTTCCCGTCAGTTGTTGTCTGTGTCGCAATAGCTTGAGCAGTTGAAGCATTGCTTTGCCTCTATGAATTCGAATGAGCAATTAGTCTGCGCTTGTCACTCCTTTTCTCTACTCACCCGCCTTTGAAAAAAATTGTTTGGGGTTACTGTTGCGATAGCCTCGCTTAGGGTTTTACGTGGAAGATCATCGTAGAATTTGCATTGGATTGCGAGGCATATGTAGGTGAAATCTTTCGAGCTCGCTACTGGATCCTGTAGCTTGAGAAAGCACATGATGTCGGGCCCCATGATTTTCATCGGGAAGCAGAACGCTGTATAGCTTTTTAAGTCGATCCAATCTTGCAAGGAAGAGGTCCCTTCTTCCCATAACTCGTTCGTTATTTGACCGATAGGTCCAAACAGAGACGGCCTTCCTACCAGATTGATTTTTCCCTCGATAAGTCTGAGCTCTTCCTCATAATCATTGATATGAAGAGTAACTAATGTGGCAAGCTTCTCTCCTATCTTGTTCTCGCCCTTGAACTTGAAAACCTCGTCTAATCTGCGGGGCTTCCGGAAGACATGCTGAAGATAGAAGCAGATGAACTCTTCGAATCCATTCCGGCCGGTAGAGGGACTATGGTCCCGAATACGGGAGGCTAGAGTCTGGTACAAACTAGTACCGCAGCGTTTGGGTTGATTGTTGAACCACATCGAGCATGCTAACAACACAAGAGGCTCATCAAGCGCGATAACCCCCTGTTGCAAGAATCTGGCTAGACCGTATTCTACATATCTGATTTCGTTTTCACCGAAGTCGGCGGATAGCTGAGATGTGAACAAATACTCGTGGCACATTGTTTTGACCCTTTCTTTCATTTCTGCATCCAGTTTTTCAAATGCAAATCCCCGAGGAGGCCAAGCAACGTTGCCGAATTCCATCACCTCGCCATTGTAATCTGCAGGATTAATATCGGCGATCTTAGCAATGTAAACATTGAGAAGTTTATGCAGATGTTGATATCCATTCTGTAATACAACGGATAAATACTCTGCAGTGAACCTGTGCCTACATAAGTGAACGAAAAGATCAAAACACATACGTTCCGAATATCAATGCTATATTTCCTTACCTTCCTCGTAGCCAGTAAAATATCCTGCGTCGTACCTGTTCAAATTCTTTGTCTTGCCATATTTCAGGAGGGAAAAGCTCTTTCATGTATTCGAGTTGACTTGTGGCGTCATTAAACGCTCCTGTCGCATTGATCTCAATGGTCAATCCTGGTTTCGAGACAACTGACGAGAGTGCCTCAGTTATGATATCTCTGGACAAACCTGTTCCAGTAAAGATAAAGGATCCTAGGACCAAAGTGACATGAGAATTCCCGTTCAATATTATGTCTAAGGATCTAGCTATCTGACGAAGAAGAGGTCGGTTTACCGTCCAATCGTCCGAACGAAAGCAGGAAGGCAGCTGCTGTGCGGTGAATTGACATTCGTCCAATGCAGTATCCAGTCTGTAATCCACAGCGTCCCTGAGCTCCGTAAGAACGCCATTGATAAGCTCCTTCAAGATAATGTCATGTACAGCCGCATCAGCCCCTTCCTGAGTAATGACACCGGCGATATGCATGATCAGTTCGGTGAAGATGTCCTTTGATTTGCCTTCGACTCTGGATAGCAATAGTTCTGGATGAAGTTGGAGATATAGCCACTGACGTTTGTGAGACATCCGGCGAGTATCTTTACCCAATCTACGCAGAGTCGAAATGAACCGTTGTAGGACGGTCAGCCGAGCCAACATCAGGATCTGCAACTCGGAGGTGACGATCTTCTGGTTGGCCTCGATGGCTTTTCGGAAGCTAACTCCTTCAGACGAAGCTCGGAAAGATGCCAATCTATTGTTCACGCTGAGCACCGCCTGTAGACACTGTTTTTCAGTGCTCACATCTCCTATAGTATCATTGTATTCGGCTAGTTGTTGGGGTGTAACTTGTAGTATGGCCGGACGAGGAAGATCTGTCACTCGTTGTTCTATCGACGATATTGCAATCATCAAGTCTGACGAACCAACTCGAGACTCCTTGTGGCAGGTAAGATATATGCCCCACTGAGAGCACAAGTGTTCTAGAATCATCCTGGTTTTCCCAGATCCAGAAGTATTGACAAAAACCCTTCGAAATTTGTTTAGTCGTTGGTACCCATTACTACGTACGAATAAAACTCACTTGTGATTTTTGTTGTCAAATAACCCTTTCAGTCGATCTCTCAAATTCCTATTTTTCTGAAATCGGCCCAACTTGTGCAGCAACATATCAGGAAGGTGATCATTGGGTGCACGAGCTCGAGGAATTTTAAGATCCTGTATGAACTGCCTTAAATCGTCGCTAAGGTCAGGAAGATCCGGCTTCCATAAAGGGATCTGTATCTGATTCAAAGCCAGTTTCTCCAATTGAGAATCGTATTCGCTGAGAAATGAGTCTATGTGTTCCTTCAACCGTAGATCAAGATCTACTACATGGGACCATTAGAGCGCAGAAATCATAGCATATCGAGACTCACAGTTCTTTGTTTTTGCGTCGTTGTCCATTATTTGCAAAGTGGCCTGGCGTGGGTCCCGATCATCTAGAAGATGCTCAACACACAGATATAACGTAGACTCAGGCCAATTTGAGCCTATACCTAAGCCAACATCTTTCACATCCCGTTCTTGTGCGTCGTCAGCATGGCCTATGAGCATTAAAAGGTTCAGTTCTCAACCTGTAGATCATGGATTCAAATACGTACCCATCTTGCGGCGAAGCATTGCCTGCAGAGACTGTAACTCTTTCGGAGAGAAACTGACCCCGCCTCTCGCGAATAATAATTCCGACATGTCTTTAACAAGGTGTTCTTCCATTGTCGTTGTTGGAAATCTCGAAGGAACTAGTAGGGAAGAGCTTTCTTCTATGAAGGGATGCATAAGAAATGGTTCCTTAAGTACGCCCATTGACCATGTCTTTCGCACATGATGACTCGTTGTTATCTAGAATGCAATTTCAAAGAACAAAGACAATTGGATTCAACAGGTCGCTAGAACGATATCACAAGAGACACAATTGGAAACGATGATAGATATTCCATCATGATTGGATTAAGAACACACTTAGCTTGAGCTATATACAAAGGCGGTAACTTCTGGTTACTTTTGTTCCTTGGAACCTCGAGTACAACGCTGTCCAAATGGAAGACAAAATTATTATCAGAAGGCCCCGTGATGGACGTCTGTGGGTCCATGATGGACAGCCTGAGTTAAGTTCGCTTTGGATAGAAAACAAGGTCTAGGGATGAATAGGGATGAACGTATGCCATCTTTGCAGAGCAAGGGCAACTACCAGTGGACTTGTTTTAGAATACATTGCTCTACATCGGCGGCGATTGCATTTGTTCTTATGTAAATGAGGGTGGATCGTATCCGATAATAGATTCAGCCGTGATTGATTCAAGTTGGGAGGGTCGATTCCTATCTGATGTTTTCAAGGGATTATCTTGTACCGGCGTACTATGTATGCTGGATACGGATAAACGTTGGGAGAGGCAACAATAGGATCTATATGGGGTTTCAAAAAAGATCAAGGCTGGTCTCTGAGAAATTCACCTCGATACTCAGGGCGAGTGCCAGTCAGCTTCTCGATCTAAGTGTACCTACGTCAATTTGCGAAACGGTTTCGCGAGGTAGTTTGATTTCTGAAAGAGATGCACCAAGTAGCACTAAGTTGAGTGGCAGACACTGCAGTGCATGGACGAGCGAGCGAGAGCTGCAGTGCGGTCCCACTCAAGATCCGCCCCACCTCCGAATTGATTATCAACTTCTACACTACTAGCAGTAACCCATGGTGCACATTGAGGGCGTCGTTTTGCTCTGCCCACCCCTTCTCCTCATCCATGCAGTGACCAGCAGTAAAGAAGAGCCCGGAAAGCAGAGGGCGCTTGCCTTCAATTTTTTTCCTATCAGTAGATCACCCGCGATAGATGATTGTGGGTCCATGTGAGAATATGTACTCACTCATGAGAAGAAAACAAGGTTTGATAGATCCATCTTTGCAGCGATACAATGGCATGAACAAGAAGAAACGGTGAGCTCAATCTTTTTTTACATTTCGAGTCTGTTCTTGTAACTTGACTTGAATTACATTTACGACTGCATTCATATTGTCCCTCTTCTTTTGAATTGTGTCCTCTAGAGTCTCCAGGTTCGTCCGAATGTAATCGACCTTGGTTTGGTAGTGTTTCGTGGCTTGCGGGCGTGTCTATGTAGATTCAGCATTGGTACTAAGGTTGCCTCATATTTCATGCTTACCTTTTCAACGAAGTACCCTGTACCGACGTCGACGAGAACATGGTCTGGATCGTTGAGTTTTCCGGGAACGTAGAGGGAATTGGTGAGAGGAACAAGGATAGTTTTGCCTAGACATGACGAGTATGGAAGAGGTAAAAAATACGAAAATAGTATCTGAGCAACTTACCTCGATTCTGAAGATTAATCTCTGATACATTATCGATACAAGCCTTGAATTTTGCCTGAGCCTGCTTCAGTTGCGCGAAGGAATTTGTGAGGTGATTTAATTCCTGATAGAGATCCACTTAATTGTGAACAGCACAAGGGAATAAAACACGCACTTCTTCGAACTGTTTCTTGATATCTCCGAGCTGATTTAGATCCAAGTCTGTTAAACTGACTGGCTGAGGTTGAGCCATGGTCGACGTTAGATTGAGACGTAATGCGGTCCGCGACGTGACACAGTGACGATATCCTCTTTCAAAACCTCGATGGGTGACTTAGGTCCGTTGAACTTAATTTCCATGGCACCCTTCTCAATCATTTTTCTTTCGATTTACAGTTGCCATATTCCATGCATCCTTCCACCCCACTAGAGGTAATGTTATAGATTGGTCTGTAACAGCCAGTGGAGGTTAGCCTATCACGAATCTTTCTCATAATCTTTCTCAATCTTCTCGGCCAGACTTCAACCTCGATAATCTCGAATTCAGTGCTCTTCCTAGTGGTCTGCATCTGGTGGAACAGGACATCGTGTGAGTCAAATTTGAAGAGTATTTAGTGACGGTATCCTAACTACGTTCCTCCCAGTTATTTTTCGAAGGATGGCCACCAAGGTGTTTGCGCATTTCGGCGAGTCAAATCAACAGAAGATGGTCACAGAGGCTTTCGCCTGTCATCCCTGGGTGTTCTACTCGCAAAATCTACTAGACCGAAGCCTTGGCGTCATGTAGCTGCACTGAAGGACCTCATGGTTATGCTTTATGCTCGGATGGAGCTGACGGAAACCTTGCAACCTTCTGAGACCGATTGGCAGCCTTCAAGAATGTATTTCGAATCACACGAGTCGAAGTCTGTTGATCTTGGAGGAGCAGGAGACTGGTGTGGGTGGAGTCATGAATTGGACGGGGTAAGCAACCCGGTTCCCATCCTTACTTTTGCCGCAATAAAGGTTTCGATAATAGGAAAATCGTGATCGGTCAAACATTAATCCGACACTACACCTTCCACATCTTCTGCGCATCCTAGGACCGTCAACTCTCACACTTTACAAACATGTCATCGGCAGGAAGAGAACCCTTATATATACACTCCCTCCAGTGGAAGCAGCTTGTATACTTTGTCACGTCGCGGCAGACTTTTGTTACGAGCAACAGGTTGATACCACCTCTAACCGTTTACCCGGGAAGAGCAAGGAGGGGATTCAGGTGCTGGGCATGATCACACTAAGTGACATTGACCGGTTGCAAGCAGAAAGTAAATCTGGGAGAGGGTGGATTGCTTGCACCACGGACGCGTTATTCCTCGAACGGCCGTCATATTATGATCTCCTCATAGATCTGACGACCTCAACGCCCAATAAGGCAACACGACCTACCTTCTATTCGTCTGAACCCATTCTTCCTACTTCAAGAGGCCTGACTCATCGCCTTTCCACCGTCCGCTTCGCTTGGAGTGATGTGAAATTGGTGAGTCTATATCACTTCTCGGAGGCTTGTTTTACTTATATCGACCTCCTTGATCACAGTGGAACGAATTAGACCGCATTCTTCAGCTCGACTCTTCAAACAGCCATTCGTCCAATTTCTCGTGCTGTACTCCTGGCTTCAGTGACGTTTCCGACCAGAAACTCGGGCTTATCACCGCTTGGACCGATGTATGGCGTGTGTACGAAGATGTGTGTCTCGTCTGCGCCAGTCTTTGGATAGGCTCTTGGAGAGGTAATTCCATACAATCTTATTCGACGTCGAACGGTGCCGAGAACTGGGGCTCAATCAGGCTAGAGGGCGACGATGATCTCACCTTGAGCACGATTGCTGGCAATTCTGAGAGAGCTCAAATTCGGAGTTTGGGCGCAGGGATCGAAGGTAGACCGTTAGTTAGTTTACCGACGAACAAACCGATGCGAAAAACCAGTGGGATGTTCCTTGGGTCCGGTCAAAACAATCGTGCTCGGACTTCCGGGACGGCGACCAGGAATTCAAATACCCCTCAAAGTTATACAGATGCTGAAGTCGACCAAGCGGACGCGGAGTTGCTCTCGTCGATGGAATCCGAACGCGAGGAAATGCAGCTTCGAACAACGCTGGCGCTTCTTCAGACGTTCCACGCACATACCTCCTTCCAACTATCGATTTTAGAATCTCTGCTTCCCCCACCCAGTGAGAGATCGAATAATACGATTAATCTTGTACCGAAAGATATTCTGGCGTTTGAACTTGGACCTTTCAGCTCAGTCGATGAAAGATATCTAGAGTGGTTGGTTACGGAGTATGGTGGTGGTACGACGCTTCTGATCAAACGAAGCTGGAAAGATCTTTTGGGTGTCGTATTTGGATACGGATGTTGACGCGTTGGACCCTGGCTATCATATACCACCCATGGACATACCCTGCTCGTACTATCTTATTATCACGTACATACATACGTTTCCTTTCGTTTCTCACTGCAGCTGTGTTAGCCATTTCTATATGTACACCAGCAATAGGATAATCAGTTGGTGGGATGTAACATATATGCATGGCGTATTATTGCATGAATGTGGAACGAAGCAATAGCGTAATTAGATGAGTCTGGGCTGGAAGAGTCTGTAGTTGTCCAATTCCGCAATGGTGACGCATTGCTTTTCCGGTGATCGTAGCATACACAGAATAGATCGATACAAAGACTGGAAGTTATCGAGGGTCAAGTCTCGACAGAAAGAACTCTCGAGGCATCATAACATTTATGAGCAATATATTCTACAAGTTGTATATGTACCAAGAACTGTGATTCCCGATCCCAGGCTTCTCATCCTCTCTGCTCATCGTCTTCCTCCTTTCAGCCTTCTTTCCATTTTGCATCCTGAGGTAGAACATATTCAGCCCACACATCAGTGCCGCAAGAAGACTAAACACCAAGAGCGTTATTGTCGCTTCGGTGTATCTGGGTGCAGGACTCAATGAACCACCAAGCAGCCAAGTTGCGAGAATACCACCACCGTTGGAAAACACGAATCCGACCGCAATAACTGTCGCTCGACGGGTCTGAGGAGAAGCATTGTTCGCATTCCAGGTGGCTTGTGTTGGTGCTGCCATACATGCGCCGGTGACCGAAAAAAAGAGTGATCCATATTGGATTTGGTTTGATTCAGATCCTTCCAAACGTCGGGGTTGTCAAGATGATCCTGGAGGAAACATTTGATTTCAAAAAAAAATACACACCGAGAAAAATCGCAAATCCGATGGCACAGAGGAGGACAGAAACAACACAGACAATTCCGCGGCACCGATAACGGTCGGAAACGAAAGACGCAATCAAAGCCACAACGCAGGCGACAGCGTACGGAGGAACGCTCATCAGCTGTGTATCTGCTGCAGTATATCCAAGGCCTTGAATGATCGATGGAGAAAAGCTACGGAAACACTCTGTTAGTTCCTGGTAAACTGCAACGATTGAGAACAACCAACTAAGCCAAGCCAAATAGAGTCGTGGCCGAAAGAAAGAACGCTATGGACATGAACCAAAGCTGGGGGAGTCTCAACGCCTCAACAACTTCACTCCAGCTGAACCCTTCCTCTTCTTTATGATCACAGTCTTCAAGCAGCTTTTCTTTTATGTACTCCTTCTCCGCGGGGCTCAAAAATCGGGAATTATCAACTGATCGAGGAAAAAGGAAGAATGAAAACACGCCGAATAGGAACGTGAATAAGCCTTCGAGGATGAAGATCCAAGACCACCCAGGTCGGTTTCCGACACCATCCATGTGAATGATTCCGTACGCCAAGATTCCTGAGAACGCTCCAGAGAGGGAGGCAGATGAGAAGAACGCGGTAACGCTAGTGCGCAAAGAATAGCTTATATTAGAACGTTCCTTTCTACATACCAGGATAGAGAGCCCACCGTGTGTTCATCATGTATCGAGGATAGAAGTAAGAGAGATAAAGCACAAGTCCTGGAAAGAGGCCACCCTCAAGGAGACCTAGGAAGAACCGACAGGCTAAAAACCCAGAATAGGACTTGACAACTCCCTGCAGAACAGTGACAACTCCCCAAAGGGTTAACATTGTTGGAAGTAAAAGATTAGGTCCGACAGCCTATGCAAGACAGTCTTTCAGAAAGCATCTTCAAAATCTGACTCGAGCTTGTGGGCATACTTTGAGTATGAGATTGGAAGGTAGTTGAAACACAATATAAGGCACATAGGTAACCGTCAACGCTATACTGTATTGCTTGTTCGACATTCCGAGGTCCTTTTGCAGTCCCGCCACCCGTGCGTTTCCGACATTTGTTCGATCCTGTAAAGCATGGTACTTGAGGACGGAATGAGAAGAAAGGGTGGAGGTACATACCAGAAAGGACAAGAAAAAATACATCGCCATTAGGGGGAGAATATGATAATCCAGTTTCCGCCATACCGCTCCTCCTTCCGTCATTGCAGGATCTTCTTGAATAATGGGACCTTTTCCAACAATGTCATTTTCTGCTTCAGAAGTGACCTGAGGCTCAAGCGAAGGTCTCATGTCGCACTCGCTGAGAATACGAAATGAAAATTTGTGCTGGGGGGTTCTCAAAGGTCTACCTGATAATGAGATTTCACGGGGACTTTTGGGCTTTAAGGAGGATAATCAATTGTCTATCAGAAGGTTCGACAACTCGTATATGATCTAAAGCTTACCTTCTAATCTTGTCATTGATTTCTAGGCCTTGTGGTCTCGCGCTCATTCTGCAAGGTACTTTCATCATCATGAGGCACATAATGACACATTCACTATGTTGGAAATCGCAATCTCTCATCGAATTCATAACTATCGGCCAGTGGGACACATCAGACGCGACCATTGGTAGGGAATCTTGAATGGCTTCAATATTAGAGGTTTGCGAGACGAGTTATGTGCACTTACCATCGATGTTCATCACTAAATACACTCATGTTTTGGGAATGTGTATGCGAACGTATGTTTGGCCCACGTCCATCAAGCGACGTTCTTGGAAAGCGGCTTAGTTTGCACAGATTCAGATACCGAGGCACGAATTCTCTCCGGGTTTCACAGGTGTGAGATGAAGGTTACGACAAATGGATTGTAGAGTGTTCTGTTCATATAAACACGCAGATACCTCGACCGCGAAAGGATATCTCAATAATACATTTGCATGTGTTATTATGCGAGCTAGGCTTGTTTGAGTTACAGCGGATTACACGAAAGCGAGATCGCCTCGCACATATTTGTAGGCAAAAGCCCGACGACAGATGAAGCCTTGAAAGAAGAGCTTGATGCAATACGTGGTCAGCTATGTGTATATAATCATCGATCAGGAATAGACAAGAGGATTGAAAGAGGGATAAGGCATACCGGGGCATACCAGGTTCAGAATCCAGCCTGATCAAGCTTTTTCTCCAACTCAGCAGATGACCGTATCCTGTACATATCTACTTCCTTCCACCTCAGTACTCGCATAATCCTACATAATATGTCAAGCTAGTCAAGTGCTATCATACAAGACCACGAGGAACGCAAAACTAATAATGGAACTTACTTGAGATACCCAGTGATAGAATTTGACAACAGCAAAAGATTGTGAAGATTAGAGTCGAACGAAAAGACGTATCCTAAAGGAAAGTCGGGCGCCTCATCACTCTTAATTTCTTCCTTCTCGTGCACGTGAAGGCCCGCGAGGCTATCTGACATCGATCAGCGTTTACTAGTACTCTTCAATGAAGCTCTCAGGCTCCTACAAACATTTTTGCTCTATGTATCATGCCTCTCGATCTCGGTGATGCAGCCGCAGCTGTAAATGGTGATAGGGACAGGGTGAAAGAGCGCGTACATACAATCTGAAAATAGCTAAAAACTCCATACTTGAGTTAACGGAGACTACGACTTTGGATACGTTTGTGGCTTACTTTCCAAGATATATTGTGCTTCTCTTTCGACAGGATCGTCTACACGCCATCCTCCATTGTCTCATGCCAGCCAGCTAGCAAACTTCAACGCGACAATCGCATTGCATTCCACCTCAGGCCTTAATATTTTAATACTCAGTACTCGGTCCGACGTCATAGGACTAGCCTTCAAACTCCTCGCTTCAACAGTCGAGCTCTACCAGGCTCTACCCAGAATACAACTCGTGATAATGGTCTCGGCAGCCCTGAGCTTGCAAACGATGGGTAACTCTCACGCGGACGCGGGAGCACTCATCCCCTGTAGAGAAAGGTAGAATATGAAAAGGGATTTCAGTGGCCTGTCAATGGTACCAGTCCGAGAGCCTAATGCTGAATGTTCTCTTCAGGCAGCGATTGTCCAAGAGGGATGTCTGATGGTTGAACAATCCTCATCATTTTCACGAAATACATTTCAACGAGAACCAAGCAGTAATTCTGCTACTCTTGAACCGCTTATATGATTCATATCTGTTGAAGTGAAGGGGTAGGATGGGGGTGTACTTGATTCACTTAGTGACTCCTGCTTTTTAACACATAGTAGGCCTCTTTGGCTACGGATTATTGTATTAGGAAATTTAGGATGTACCGTATCAAGAAAGAGCAGACCTTTTTCCAAAATTGATCCAAAGAGATTCAATCACAAATTGTAGATATACCATGCACTATGATTCCCCAACCCCTGCTTCTCCTCCTCCCTACTCACCATCGTCATCCTCTTCTCCGCCTTCTTTTTATTCTGCGACCACAAATAGCATAAGTTCGCCGTGCAGAATACCATCGCGACGATGCTCAGCACCAGGAGGGTTATCGTTGCCTTCGTGTACCTCGGCGCGGGACTGAGCGAGCCTAAGAGCCAAGTCGCGAGTATTCCACCAGAGTTAGTCATAACGAAACCAAATGCGATGACGGTCGCGCGGCGAGTTTGAGGGGAAGCGTTATTAGCGTTCCATGCTGACCCGGTGGGGGCAACGGTGTAGGCACCGGTAATGGAGAAGAAGAGGGAGCCGTATTGGACGTGGGTTGATTTAGACCCTTGAAACGTGTGGATTGTTTAGTCTTCTGTATCTCAGGTGCGGAGCTTGGAACAAACCTAGGAACATCGCAAAACCAATGGCACAGAAGATGACCGAAACGATAGAGACGATTCCACGACATCGGTAGCGGTCAGAGATGAAAGACGCGATTACGGATACGACGCATGCTACAGCGAATGGTGGAACAGACATTAACTGTGCGTTAGCCGCTGTGTAGCCAAGACTTTGAATAATTGATGGTGAAAAGCTGGGACGAAGTGCGTTTTAGTTCAAGACACAGTTTTCCTTTTAGTTCGAAGAGAAAAACATACTAAGCCAGCCCATACAAGATCGTCCCCGAGCAGAAAAACGCGATATTACAGAACCAAAGTTGCGGAAGCTTCAACGCTTCCAGAACCTCCTTCCAACTGAACCCATCTTCATCTTTCTGTGCATTATCGGAGAGTAGTTTAGCGTTAACATAGTCTTTTTCTTCTTGGGTAAAGAACCACGTCTTGTCGACGGATCGAGGGAGAGTAAAGTACGAGGATAGACCGAAGAGGAATGTGAATAGGCCTTCCAGTATGAATATCCACGACCAGCCTGGCCGATTACCGACGCCGTCCATGTGGATGATGCCATAGGCAAGGATTCCGGAGAATGCGCCAGAGAGAGAGGCAGAGGCGAAGAACGCTGTTACGCTGTGGATGAATGATCAGTACGAGGTGTGGCTAGGACCTGTGTGAAATCCTCACCGCAAATTCATCTTATACCGAGGATAGAAGTACGACAGATAAAGCACTAGTCCGGGGAACACGCCGCCCTCCAGGAGACCTAGAAAGAACCGACATGCGAGAAGACCTGAATACGTTTTGACAACACCTTGCAGCGTGGTGACAATTCCCCAGAGAGTCAACATTGTTGGCAGCATGAGATTAGGCCCCACCGCCTAGTGTCAGGATATTGTGAATTAGAAAATGTGAGATATGAGGTGCATCAGAGTGCAACACACCTTAAGCAATAGATTCGAGGGAAGTTCAGCGACAATATACGGCACATAAGTCACCGTTAACGCAATGCTATACTCCTTGTTCGTCATCTTGAGGTCAGTCTGTAATCCTGCCACACGCGCGTTCGCAACGTTCGTTCGATCCTATAAATTGACATACAGCGATGAGCAAAGGACAGAAGCAATCAAACGAGGGTTGAACAGACCAAGAACGACAAGAAATAGAACATGGCTACAACTGGAAGAACACGCAAGTCGAGTTTCCGCCAAACTCTCGCTTCCATAGCGGGATTTTCGACGACATCAAAGCCTTCGAGGGAAGACTCTGAGCTTGTTCTTTTCTCTAGCTTGGAGTGAGAATCAGATTGCACGCTCTTCTCGGGTAAGCTGTTCTGTGAGATAGCGGAAGCCATTACGGAGCTGACTCTCAATTCTGGGGACGAAGGATACGTCTAGCACTAGCAGTTTCCGAAAGATGGAGACCGAGGGAAGTAGCGCACTCGCAAAGTCACTGTTAAGTTGCTGGGGACTTTCTTATACACTATTTTTGCTCCAGTGAATGATGGATACTGAGTTTCGGGGTCGTATGAATTCCAGAAGCGCTTCGATATTTGAATAACAATCCCGATATGCACATGTGGTGAATACGAAGCCGAACAAGATTGGTAGTTTGGTTCAATCTTGTGGCATCATGTTGATTGTTGAGTGTTGATCCCAATTTTTGGTGAAAGGTCAGAGTTGTTAGAAGGCAAATCGAGGGGGAATTTGAATACAACGGTGATCATGACGGTGCCTCTTGCACACTAAATCTCATGGTGCCAACATGGTGCCTTCAAACTGACCGCGGCCCTCCCTGACTCTCCATTATTTGTAATCTTCATTCTTTTGTAATGCCCAACCCGTGCCCAACCATTTGCAAGAATTGAGAAAAAATCAAGTGTTTTTTCTCCAGCACTTGTGTCGGATGATGGTCCCTGGAGCTTTGAGATACATATGTACATCATCAGGTTCCCGTTGACCGGTTCAGGATCCACCCTGCGCTCAGAGCCCGCACATGGGTCAACATCTACAGCGACATATGTGTGTTCTCGCAAGGAAAGGTGTTTTGTGCTGCGAAAACAGCTTATACACTGACCACAGAATCAAGGATAGTGGGTGGTACTTACGGCGCTGGGCAGGAGTTTGCCAGAGTTGTTTGCCAGGAGATAGTATAGGTTTCAGGGTGAAGATGCTGGCATGGGAAGAAGGATATACTGATGTTAGACAGATACAACAGATAGACAATTGATGCTAATTTATGGGTGTCTGGTCGGTGTATCTGTGTAAACAAGGAGGCGCGTACTTCGGATCAAATCTCTGACCCAGCCCGACCAGCGATCACCACTATCACCACGTGCACTAGTTATCCCAATGAGGTCCAATCTGGGTCCAATGCCCATGTTGTCTCGACAGTCTTCTTCAACGTGAGTGAATATTTATATGTTGATAATTGGTACATTGAAAGTAATGGTTTTCAGGTTCTGTACACACGCGACTTCCAGTTACGCTTATGGATGTCGACGTAAAGCTCGACGCTTCAACAGTATGGATTTTCTTCTCGACTTGATGCGACGTTAGCTCATGAAATATATCTCCGCAGGAAATCTACATCCCCAGAAATGAATATGATTTCGTGAACGACGACCTGAGTACACCGACTGACACCGACTGACACCGACGTTCAACTTTTCGGTTATCGTTACCTGTTCTCAAGAATCAAGCGCGCAAGGATCGACTCGATCCACGTCGGAGTTGCATTTCTGTCCGGGGAGATAGGAAACAAATCACAGATCTACGGTCAATTCATTTGAAATCTGGCAGGTCATGAGAGGTCTCTTTCCGAAGGTTGTCTCATCATCATCATATCATTCGGAGTATGTACCGCCAAATTCTTTGCACGAGGCGAGCCTAGTGGACTAGACTTTTAAAGAGTTCACGAGGGTCGGACTTAGGCACTTTTTACCCTACGTCGCAGGTTACATTGACGCTCTCGAAATGGCGGACTCGGAATTCCATGTTCAACTTCAGTGCGTTCACCTTCGCAATCCACTACTGGAACACTGACATGAACACTGGTACATATTCTCAAGATATGGCCCGATGCTTATTGGAGTGTTCCTCAACATGATTTTGTACGGGGTGAGTCGACGAACGAGTTACCCTTGCTCCTATTCCTGACAATCCCTCTGCAGGTTTTACTCAATCAGGCATGCGCTTCGATGTTCTTCATCCTATACAACCTCCTCTCAAACCCCTTCACAACGTACAGATGCTCTTTTATTTCAGGACATACCCATTGTCGGCGAAGTTCCCTTCTCGTTAACCCGATTCTTGTTTACCCGATTTTTCTAGAGATACGATTTGGGTTCGGCTTTTTGTAAGCATTTACGGAGTTACAGAAACGTCCGGAATAAGTTGACTTACCATGCGTATTCGACCAGGTCGCTTATCTCTTCATACTGGAGACTGCAAATACGGCCATTGACATGGCTATGATGTATCAACCTTTAATTGCGGAATACGGTGTGCCGCACTACCGGTCATTCCCTCGCGTTGATACTGATTTTCGAGATCAGGAACCCAAAAAGCGGTCATGAATTTCCCCACTCGTGCGTAGTGCATGCCACATATTGGATACATAAGTGATGAAAACAACCTTTGCTGTATCGCTAGTATTCCTACTGGGTGAGTTTCAACAATCAATGAACCTGTTGGCCTTGAGACTCATGGCTCAATTTGCCAGAACCGATATTAATAGTCAGTCGGAAAAGTTTCGAATGGAAATCGCTGACTGACAATCACTCATGTAGGTATTAATATCTACCCCAATCCAAATTTATTTCGCTTGGAGAATCCGGAAGATTACTCAGACGTACTGGATACCTGGCGTTGTTGTAATGTTGGCGTTAGCGTCCTCTGGTCAGTACAATCGATGTTGTGTCCTTGAGCACAAAATATACGACTCATGCATTTTTCCACAGCTGGAGGTTTCATAACAGGAGTCAAGATTGCGAAACTCAAGCTCTTTGCTGACAAGCCAGAACTACACTGGTCGGCGCTCTTGTGGTTCCTAACAGCCTGTGTCGCCGATTTGTTGATCACAGGAACGCTGGTTTGGAATCTGGTATGTGCAGTGTCAACTCTCTAACCATATTTGATTCGAGGACGCTTGAGGTTGATTATTGACATTGTGTTAGGCTCAACGCAAGACGGGCTTTGCAATTACGGACTCGGTGGTTGACAAAATCATCAGGAGTAGGTTATAAAGACAGTCGGATATCGAGCGCGATTCTAAAGCTGCTTGTTTACTTAGTGACGGTACAAACCGGGATGATAACGTGAAAATTATTCGGTCATTAAGAGTATGTATCAGATGTTCTAATGGGTTTGCTCGACAGTTCGATTTGTGCCATTGGCGACGTTGCTTTCTTCATGGCCTTGCCGGTGAGTTGGAATGCATTTTGGGAATAATCGGAGCTGAATTACCTCGTTGGTTACAGCATACTGGACTGTAAGCAACAAGATCAGTTCTATCTCGTTTGCTCAATCACTTACTCTGCTGGATAGAAACTTTCTCTGGGACCTTACGTTAGCCAAACTCTATACCAACTGCCTAATGTCAACCTTGAACGCGCGAGCGGGCCTGCTGAGGCCCAGTCAAAATTCATCTTCTGGCGTGCAACGGAACGCGTTAGATCGTTCGACGCACAGAGGGTCTAGGTTTCGTCCGGTGAGAGATATGATTCATTGGAACGACTTTTATCTCAATGACTTACCTGCCGACGTCTTTAGATGGACAGGTTTGCAGAGCATCCACGTACTGTGAGCACTCGCAGTGGATATGATATACACCTTTTAACTTCCCTCCTTTGTTGCTAGATCATGACTTCACCGCACGTCTACGAACTTGATAATACCAGGACATTCGATTCGACCCGCTCTGGTGGAAAGACACCGTTTAGCCTTCAACAAGACGTGGAACTTGGTATTACGGTGACCAAGGTACGTTCCTTTCGGCGTCCCTCGTATGATATCTAAACACGTTGTTGTTTTTGAAAGGTCATTGAAACAACAGAAGATTAAAGGCGTAAATATACCCTTCTTGAGTAGTAGGTACTGTAGATTGTCTGTGTAGTTTTATGTTATGAAAGCCAAGTAGTAACGATGAGAGCCGCTGCTATGTGGCGCCATTTGCGTAGTCAATGTGGGAATTTTATCTCGATGTATAGCTTGCGTGCCAATGCCAGTCAAGACAATTGACCTGCAAGCCTAAACTATCTACCTATCTATTTGTGGCTACACATACTGCTCGTACCTCCTTCCCAGGTTGAATATTACTCAGGTACGATCGCAATCCTCTAAAAGTGTTGCAGATCTTCCCCATCCACTTACTTCGACGAAAGATGTCCTCAACAGATACATAATTGACGGAGACATCAGAAAGATTAATTACTTGTACTTACTTACCTGAACTCATATTGGTGGTACCGTGGTACACTGAATATGTGCACAGCGGAGACGCGAGCTGGACGCGAGTATTCCGCTGATATTCAGGGCCTTCGGAGATGAATCACAGAATTGGAAGGTAGCAATGACATTTGACATTCGTCTTGCTGGGCGTCCTCCTAAAAGAGCCACCAGGGTAATTTGCCCAAGGAAGTCCCCACCTTCAAGTTGACCGAGCTCGTCTCTTGCTTGTTCAGCGATCTTTGTGCGCGCGACATGGTACATTCACAACAAAGTTTCTCGGTAAAAGAAGACAACAACATCGAAAAGGGCGCGAGGTCTTCGCTAGAAACTTCCAACGGCGCTGATGTTGTTGCGGACTCTGCAATAGCAGGCAGAGTCTGGCGGAAACTCGATTACCATCTTCTCCCAATTATGTCAATGTTTTATCTCCTGTCGTTCTTGGCACGTACCGCGACGCGTCCTTCACCTGTTGGCTTATTCATGTATCACAATTTGCAGGATCGAACGAATGTTGGAAATGCGCGTGTGGCGGGACTACAAACAGATCTTGGAATGTCGAACAAACAATATTGTATCGCGTTAACGGTCACATATGTCCCTTATATCGTGTCTGAGTTACCTTCGAATCTCGTTCTCAAGGTATGTTTTCCAAAAGATCTAGAAATGTTTATGACAGCTTTTCTGTACAGGCTGTCGGGCCCCATTTGATGCTTCCAACGATGTTGACTCTTTGGGGAATCGTCACCACGCTGCAGGGAATTGTCGATTCTTATTCAGGTTTTCTGGCCTGTCGGTTCTTCCTGGGTCTCCTGGAGGGTGGCGTCTTCCCTGGACTTGTACTTTACCTTTCATACTTCTATCCTCGATACAAGATGAACACGCGGTGAGTACTAATCTGGTCAGGAATAACCGCACTGATCACTTGTCTTCAGCGTTACCCTGTTCTTTTCATCTGCCTCTCTCTCAGGAGCATTCTCCGGAATCCTAGCGTATGGAATTATTCGGATGGACGGAGTAGGAAATCGACCCGGATGGTCTTGGATCTTCATTCTCGAAGGCCTATTCACATTTCTGTTCGGTCTTTCGTCATATTTCATCTTTCCTCGATCCCTCGACAAAACCTGGTTTTTGAGTCCTGAAGAGAAGAATTACGTGAAGGGAAAATTACTGGAAGATACCCACAAGGAGGAAGAGGTATTTAGCTGGAAAGAGGTCCTCGAGGCACTGAAGCTTCCTCAATTGTGGCTCCTTGGCATGGCGTTTTTCTTTGCCGCGACTATCCTGTTCGGCCTGGCTTAGTTAGTGGTTTCAGATTCTATGTGCTTTACCGTTCGCTAATGACAGGTATCTTCCGCATAGCTTTTCTCCGTCGATTATTCAAGGCCTTGGGTACACTGCAGCTGATGCACAGCTGATGAGTGTGCCGCCTTACGCTGTCGCTTGTGTCGTTGCTTTGATTTCATCTTTCATTTCCGACCGTTATCGATGCCGAGGGGTTGTATGTATTGTATCCGTGCTTCTCTGTGCTATCGGGTTCGCAATGTTCCTCGGTGTGTGAACCTGTTCCTCTTGTGAACCTGATCTCAAGGATCAACTATCCTCCCGCACTAGGATCTGAATCAAAGCGAGTCCAGTATGGTTCTCTATTCTTCTCTGTCACCGGTGCCTACATGGCTCCACCCACCCAAGCTACGTGGAATGCAAACAATGCCTCCCCTCAGACCCGGCGAGCAACAGTGATCGCCATGGGCTTCATCATGGGCAACTCTGGTGGCATTCTCGCCACTTGGCTGCTTGGCTCGTTGAGCCCTGCGCCCAAGTACACCAAGGCAACAATCACGCTCTTAATATTTAGTCTTCTTGCAGCGCTATTTTGTGCGCTCAATATATTGTATCTGCGGATAGCGAATGCTAGGAAGGCAGAACGAAGGAAAACGATGGATAGGGAAGAAGAAGCGCCTGGGCTTGGGAATCATAGTGCTTGGTACATATATAATTTGTGAAAAATGAATGATTTTTCTGACCGAGGGATATTGGAATCGGTCTGTCCTTGGAAATGAAATTACAAGTTAGCGCACAAAAAACGCTCGTGATATTGATCCTGAGACTCAGAGGACACAAACGAGTTCGGAGTTCAAACGTTCAAGATTGAACTATCTTCGAACTGTCCATGGCCAGTGGCTACAAGTAAACAGCCGCTTTCGGTGCATCGAGAGAAGTCATGGCATTGAATAGTCATGGATGAACATTGGACAATAATTCAAGGTGCATCAAAAGGTCTATCGCGCGCTGTCTTTTGTTCCGCATTCAAATTTCCTACATCGACATATGCGTACTCGTGGCAGCTTTTCGCCTATGTATGTAGCGGGTATCGAGGCTATTCTTGTTTTCTGTGAGCTGACAGGTGACCCACAATCTATGTTATACTCGATACTGATCGAATGACAACGGTTGGTAGGCGTTGTTCTGATATATTCAAAAGCTTTTGTCTTCTTGTACTTTGTTATGCTTAGAGAACAACAATATCAGTAACCTCGTTCGCAGTTCAGGATGACGATCCAACGGTTCTCAGCTATCTCCTGTAGGCATACACATGGCGACAGGACAGAAATTAGATAACGTCGTCCGTTAGAATAGTCCTTGTTCTTTCTATACTCTAACGGTATTTGACATTTGACAATGTACTATCTTTGTACTTTAAAGAACTTCAAGTTAGTGCGTGTACCTCAGCTACCACCCCACCCCACCCCACCCCAACAACATAGCGACAGTTCTTCCTTCTTTAATCCTCTCAATCCTTATTCTCGTAGGATCTACTTTATCTGAATGCAATCCTTCAGTCATGGCAGGCGCAGCGGCGACGCCCTCACATATCCAACAACTATTAGTATGTTCACGTCTGTTGCTTCAAGTTCAAATTGATGTATTGAACGAACATCCTGTAGATCAGTCTGGTGATGAAAATACCATGTCCAAGGAACGACCAGTGAACTTGAAAGGTACTCAGGCAGGTATGGATACCGATGAGCCACTGTCAACCCAGCAAGAAAAGAGTATGCCGCCGGATCCATGTCTTCGTTGAACCTTGTTCAATTTTTCTTAGTGGCTTTCTATATGGTCGAAGCCCAAAGACTCGCAGGTAGCTTGCAGCCTCAAATGGAGAAACTGATCAAAGATGAAATATCTTTGCCCTTATGGGAGCCCGCATTCAATGTGCCAAATTTGGAGGTTCCGCAAAAACACAAAGATTTCATTCACAGCCTGAAAATACCTCGAGCTCGAGCTCCTCACGACCATCTCCCTGACATGTTGTTATATGAGTTGGGTCGGTTTCAGCAAGATGAACACTTGAAAGCCCGTTTACGGGGTTTGTTTACAAAGCACTCCAATCACAAGTAAGATTCCGACAGGCGATTCAAGTTCTCTATGTCATTATGCTTAAACTCCATCCTCCAGGATATTTGTCAACACTTCTGGTGCTGGAAAAACCAGACTTGTTTTGGAGCATTTGTGTTCCAATTGGGGCCTCTATTTCTCTTGTCATAATGATTCTCATGTTGGTTCCAAAGACGTGCCTTCCGCCATGTCAAACATCAGACAGGCTTTGTTCGGAAGCACACTTCCACACGCACCAAGTCTTTTGGTTACATCTGCGGATATCGCTGTTCATGCCCGCCATACAGGTACAGAGCCTAATGATGTCACAGACGAGGACGTTCTTATAAAGAGGATTGAAACATTCAGGAAAGATGTTCAAAAAAGTGAAGAGTTCCGTCAAGCCCTTGAAAAAAATCAACAGCTTGCTTGCTCCGAGCTTCTTGTCCCATTACTCTCTCGGTTGCTTGTCTTCCAGCAATACATCATTGCCATTCAGAAGACAAAAAAAGATTTGAGTCAAATGGATCACAAACGTCGATGGCTGCATCTGCAGCTACATCCTCATTTGTTGAGCAGCAGTGGTAGTGACGGAGATGATCCTTTCAAGCAGCTCAGCAAGGATCTCATTGCCTGGTTTGAGAGACAGGGCATCGATTTATCCCAGAAAATACGCATCATGCAGTTTCTTTCACAGGAAATACTGGTATGGATGAGGCAGACTTTAGGCCAGGCAAATAAATCCACACCAATTTACATCGTGATTGATGAATGCCAGTTTGCTGTCGCAGACATGGAGGACTTCTTTCGTTCAGCCAATTGGACGGCGAGGCGAGGCATTCTTCGTGAGATAGCCCGATGCTGGGATGAATCACTCAATAGTGAAAATGGAACTGGAACTAGTGCTTTCATTTTCACGGGGACAGGATTGTCCAGAGAACTTATATCCGACGTGATTTCCTCTGTTGTTGTGAAGACACAATCCTTGTCCAACGTTTATAATACTGGCGCGTTCGATGACTTCAAAGCCCAGACAGTATACTTGGAAAAGTTTTTCCCTCCGGATATATGGCACACTTCTGGCCACCTTCGGAATAGAATTTACTATTGGCTGCGAGGCAGGCAAGTCATCACAATTGCGTCGAAATAATTTTGTTAGCTAATTGATGTTTATAGATATAGGTTTACTGCGGAGTATATGTCTCTTGCATTACAATGTGGATATCAAAATATGCATCAACTCCTGGACCAATACATCTACAGCGTAGCCTGCTTCCGCCCTGCAGATTTTGAGGACCCCGAGAAAGACTTATTTGGGATTGTTGAACTACCTAGTCCAGCATTTGGATTCGAAAAACTCAACGAAAGGATGAGGCAGAAAATAAAAACCATTGCTCACGAATACCTTTTCACCTCGAAATTGGCAACTTACTTGGGAAGTGATGAAAGAGCATACATTGAACTCGGGCTTGCAAGAATAAGCGGCTATGATGGGAAAAAGTCAGTCAAAATTGACGAGCCTCTGGTTCTACTCGCTTGCTCTGTGTGGTTCAACGAGCAAAGACCTCATACAGTGTATAAAACACTGGCCGATCAGATTGATTATCACTACCCTTCGACTGGGCGCAATGGGTTTGAAGAATTCATGTCGTACTATCTTCTGCAAATTCTTCAAAAACCTATCAAGTTGAACGAGGTCTTTGACTTCAATGGTGCGGATGACAGGGGCTTGGGAGATAGGGAAGCACAATTGGTGACACTCCACCTGGATGAAAGCCAGAAGCTTGTAGAAGGGAAAGTCAGTTTAGTGAAAGGCGACTCGACCCTCTTTGGACCAATTGGGCTGGGAATTGGGACGAAAGACCACTCCGCTCTGAGCGAATGGCTGAGTTTGAAGAGACATGCCACATTTTGTTTCCCGATGAATTTGATGGGGCCTGATATCATGTGTTTCCTGAAGTTGGAAGGCAAAGTTTCAGGCAGCTTCACCTATATATGCCTCGCAATCCAGTGCAAATACCACCGGACTAGATCACTTGAGCCCGAAACTCTCAGGGGGGCTATTGCTACAGTCACTCCAAGACGTTTCTTTCAAGTAAGCCATTGTCACTGTCGTCGATGCTCAGCTGGCTGATGGATGGTGTTACTCCATTTCAAGAAAGACCCCAGTCTAGATCGGGTGTCCAAGCGGGAGAACATTTTGAACACTCTTCAGAACCTCAAGTTCAGGGATCCATCCGCGGGTCAATATGGTATCATACGCATTGTATGCGGCTTTCCGGTCAAGGTGGATCTTGCCAAAGCTTTTCCTCAGGCCCAAACGACAGACAAAGACAAACGACAACGAGTGTCAACCCAGGACCCGGACGAGGGCGATAATCATCTATTGGGAAAATTGAGGATTAGTCTGTTGATTTCAACGACGAAGAACGAGCATCCCACAGATATTCTTGATGTCATCAGGGACAGGGCGGTCGATGCCAAGAACGACGGATTGAGTTATTTTGACGAGAATGATCCTGCTGTCTTGGGAATTGACCAAAGGGGAAATGCTGCCAGCGTCAGCGACACAGTTGTGGACTCTGTAGAAATCGAGTTCTCGTCTACTGGCTCAAAGCGCAAACGCAATGAGCTGTAAAAGGCTGTGGATCGTTGTTCGTTATTTTCAGCCGCTGAAAAGCCCAAACCAGTGTTCGAGTTCAACTTCAAGCTCAAGCTTGAAGCACGGAGGACTAAGCATACTTTACGCTATTATTACTTCTTGTTCGTCTATACTTAGAAGCGGAGTCTGGTGTTTTTGTAGCATGGATTTTGACGAAGATACTTCTTGAAGCCGGTTTCCTGAGGAGTCGGTATGAATTAATACTTTTGCTTGTCAGTTATGTACAGTACATTGATGCATCGACGTGTTGGTTACCGTGGAATTAGTCGTGAGAAATTTATATTTATAGCAACCGGTGCAGTGGGACCGAAGACCTTGGCAATGCCCAATGGACCAGCAAGAAGCTCTCAGAAAATTTGCCGACATTGGGAAGCCAGACCTTGCTACCGACTTTCTCTATACATGTCTTACTCCTGAAGTACGCGAGAAACTTACATTGGAACAATGTGCCACAATTCTATCAGAAGACCCTACGTTGCACGAGAAGCTTAAGGAGGCACATAGATCACAGAATCTGGAGGCGCTTGACAACCTTTGTGGTGCGTCTTTGATTTTTTTGCGCGATAAAATGTTTAATCTTACCAACAGTCCATGTTAAACGAATTGCATGGAGATTTCATCCTCGTCTGGGGAGGATGAACGAACTGATTCGGTCAATTTCGTTGGATGGAAATATAGCATCTATAGCTAGAGGAGAATCGGAACAACATTTTTGGACGTCGAATAGCGACGATGCACAAATGGAGACCACGGTTCACGTTGGGAGCTTGCGTATTCCATTGGGGAAACCGAATGATGCAGTCCCTCTGATCATTCTCCATGAATTGGGTAGCTTTCAGCATAGTTCCAAATCTAGGGAAAAGTTAGACCGAATTTTTTCTTCATCGAATCACACGTACGAGACCATTTGCCCTCTGCGAAGAACGAAGTAATTTATTTCCCTAGATTCCTCGTGAACACATCGGGTACAGGAAAAACAAAGCTCCTCTTCGAAGGCCTATGCCTCCATTGGGGATTTTACTTCACGTGTGCTATAGACGCATCCTGCCTTGGATCATCCGATCTTCCTTCTGTTCTAAACCAGCTAAAATGGGATAAAAATTGGACGTCTTACCTACCACGTGCACCTACTTCTGACTCTGACTACTCCTCGTCCTTACAAGCCAATAGACGATTAGTGTACCGCGCGGTAAGCGAAGTTTTGTTGGCACGGTTCCTCGTCTTCAGGATGTTTCTGGAAATCTGTTCAAAGCAGGGATTCTGTCTTGCACAGCGGCAACGCTGGTTGGAATTACAGATATCCCCAATGAACGTCATACCGTTATACGACTTATTCGGAATGATCAAATCTAAAATTACAGATGCTTGTCTAAGTGACGAAGAACTGGATGAGGCGATGCTGAACTTGTTGGACGAAATACAGAGCACATGGGAAATTGCTGCTGGTGATTTCTTTTACATCGCAGTAGATGAATCAAACGTAGCGTCGCGAAAGCACGAGGAGGCGTTTGAAGATGAACACGGCCGTTATCCTATCTTGAAAGAAATCATACGCAGCCTCCGACGACGGGTGGGCTATTTTCCCTTCAGATTTGTTGTATCTGGCACGATCATTCCCGAAGACCATTTTCAGTCGACCGTCGGCGAGTGGGATGATTTTCGCTGGTGCTCAGATACTGGGTCTTTTGATGACCCAGAAGAACACCGCCGTTATGCCACCAAATTTTTGCCTCCCAGATTTGCCACTTCAATCTCTGGGCAGGCTTTATTGGACCGTATGTGGCAGTGGTTGCGTGGACGGTTTGTTCAGGTCTACTGTTAAAATATACATTGACTTATACATTGCAATTTTTGATGGTTAGGCATCGTTACACAGCGTCCTTTCTTGCAGTGTTACTCTACAACGATTTCCACAGCCCTCATACGTTGCTGGGTAATTATGTCGAAAATATCACTGAATATCTTCCTCATGATAACGGTAAATACTCGGAAGGAGAGAAGGGTCGTTCTAATGATTGGTACCTACCACTTGGTCATAAGGGACTTGGCTTGCGTATGTTGAAAACATTGAGATACCATTACTATATGCGTTAACTTCATTTCACTTCTAGGGTCACTTAAAACAGTCACAGTAGAAATGCACCGTGCAGCCACTTCCTTTTTGAGTACTTCGACGGGTTGCATTGACTGCTTAACAGAGGATAGAGTCCTGATCACTGAAGATTACGGATATTTCATTGACCCTGACTGCGCTCAAATTGCACTCAATGAGCCCATAACAGTGACTGCTGGCGCAATGTGGCTCAAGAAAAATTCTTACTTCGGTTTTGAAAAGTTTATCAGGATTTTTTGCAAGAGATCCGAGGTTTTCGTTCATCCTACTCATTTTGCACATTTTCTGGCTTTCTGGCTTACCTCGATCTCGGGACCTCCCTGCGAAATTCCAGATACGTACAGAAGCTTTGGATCACCCACAGTAATACCGAGCCACTGCAAAATTTCAGATGCGTTCAGAATCATCGGATTACCTGCAGCCCTCCCCGAAATGAAACTTGTCACTTTCACAAAGATAGAACAACGATTTGAAGCAGTGGACGTCCATCTGCGGGAGGACATCTATGGCAAGCTGGTTTTTATGGCCAATAGTAACGAAGATATACTCTCGTGGTTCAAACACGAGCGGGACGAACCATTCTGTGCTTTGTTGTCTTCCTCGAGCAACACTGTGATCCTAGTATTTTGCTTACAACGTGCCGATGAACAATCGTTCTGGGTGTTCGTACGGATTTCATCAAAGTCCACAAATGAAGAGGATATAGATTTTGCGCAGGAGATTGACGACCTCCACCCTACCAAAGTCTTTCATGACCAGGTACGTACCAACGCGTTGCAATTTCGAGCTCTCCGAAAATGAAAATGATTAATTGACTTCCAGCCTGACATACTTTCGCTTCTCAGCAACTTACCGAACCTCTGTCTCGAAGTCGGAGACTTCGGTGTCCTCCGGATTTCGGGATCCTCCTGGGCTGAGAACGCGAGCGAAGATAGCATTCCTCCTGAACGACGTCCGGCTGGGGTTTTGAACATTGACGGCTTGGACGAGGCTGAAAAGGGGGTTCCTTATGAGGAGTTTATGCGTCGTCTTTCGCAGGCCATCGTTCAAACCAAGAAGAAGGTGGAAACTGCGCTTCCGCCACCAGTAGTCGAGGACTCAAAGAAGGGTAAGAAGCGCGGTAGATCCTCGACTGTACTTGAAGATAGCGCAACTACCCCCAGTGTCGCTAGAACTCGCAAAACCAAAAGCGTTCGGTCCACTAGGGGAGATGTTTCGGATCGTAGGGCTGCCAGCACTCGAAGAACCAAAAGCCTGAAGTCTACCAATGTGAATGTTACAACAGGATCTGACAACAAACCTGGGCGTTCAAACGATCGTCAAGTCACTGGAAGGATTCTGCGATCTCGTCGCAGTCTAGGTCGAATCAGCGATGTTGCCCCAGGACGTGTTTCGACTGTGGTGACTCGTCCTGACCGAGTTGAACCTATAGCTTCAACGTCGTCTTCGACACCATACAACTTGCGCAAGCGATGAATGGGTTATTTGCTGTCTTGATCATTTTTGTATTCATCATATTGGATGTACGTTTATACCGACAGCGCCATGTATTCCTTCTATCTATCTATGTACCAAATGTCAGTATCTACCCGCTTGAATGCCAACTTTGATACCGATATCACACTATGTACAGAAAATGTAAAAACCGCGGTTGAATGGGTGTTGGCTCCGTACGTTGTCACCTCCATGTTTAAGCGTGCATTTCATTTCAGACCACTGTCGACGTTGAAGCTTCTGAAGGATTGTTTATATTATTGTCAATGGTCATATTTATGTAGTGGGTTCGTCCTCCGCAAGTTGCACCATTGGACCTGTAACAAAATTGATTCTCTAGGAGCTAGCTCGCCAGCTCAACAAAAAAAAGGCAGATATCCTGGATACCCGCTACATAGCCGAGAAGTTGTAGCAGTTGACGAGCGTGTCCTGGCCTAAGATGTATCTGCCCTACCAAATATACAGCAAATACGCGACAAAGGCACTTCACATACAGGAAACCTTAAATTGAAATGCTAAGGCAAATGGAAAGGTTCCCGATGCATTTCACCGTAGGGAGAACCCTGAACACAGCGATGTGAGTTGTGGAAATTCATGTAGTTTAAGTCCTGAGAGAATCGAGCGACTGAGTTGATCATGATCATAAGAGCAGGATGAGACAACGGACTTCGAGTCACGAGGAAGTCCGATGGCTTAAACTTGGTGGTAACGACCGAATGAAGAACGACATACAGCCTGAGATGTTGTGCGCACAGGAAGAAGGAATCTTGTCCTGCATATTATCTGATGATTCCTGGCGAACAGGCAGCGATTCACCAGTTGACGCCCACTGTGCACCTTGATCGGTAAAAGAGATAGGTGAAAGATAATATAATTCAAACGAGGCTGAGATCCGGGGCTTTCACTCGTCCAATGAAATCGAGAATGGAACCAGTGGTAAAATTCGAGCATGGAGGGAGGTTGAACGAAAAAGTGATCATGAAGGGAAGATCGGGTGAGAGAGAGATAAAAGGAGATAATGTAGACTCAGCGACGAGCGTAGTATATTGCACATGTTTCATCGTATTCCATCAAGGTATCAAATTGCTTGCGAGAACAACAATACGGCAACAGCTTTGACGAATAGGCCCGCATAAGGGGTGGTGAAGTTATCGTGGTCGTGGTACGAAACCAAAGTAACCTCGGCCCGGTTTGTTTTACCAACAATGCTCAAGCGCTCAACCATACCCTCGATTCCTCGGCACTCAACCATCAAGTTTGCTCCATGGATTCTCTCGCGAAGCAGGAGGTTTTCATTAAATTCCCGGACATTGAGAAGCTCGCGGTCGCGTCCAGCTTCCTTCATGCCTATCTCGCTCCTGAAGTACGCGAGAAACTGTCGGTGGAAATCTGCGCCACGATTTTGGCGGCAGAACCTACGTTCCACGAGAAGCTCAAGGAGGCACATAGATCGCAGAATTCGGAAGAGCTTGAAAACCTTTGCAGTGCGTCTTCTGATTACCTCTGTACGACAAGATATTGACGTGTGACTACCAGTTTATCTCAAACAAAATGCATGGCGCTTTCATCCTCACCTACAAGAGATGAACCGACTGATTCGCACAATATACTCCGATGGAAGGATAGCGCCAATAGCTAGAGGTGAATGGAAACGACCTTCCTGGATGTCTAAGAGTAACGATGCACATACGGAAATCATGGCTCACATGGAAAGCCTAGATATTCCAGTAGGAACACAGAACGTGGCAGTGCCTTTGATTGTTCTCTATGAGTTAGGTAGCTTTCAGCACCATGCCAAACTTAGGAGAAGGTTGGACCGGATTTTCTCTTCTTCCAACCACACGTACGAGGCTAGTTGTTCTCTGTGAAAAAAATCGAGCCACTGACTCCACGATTCGTAGGTTTCTTGTGAACACTTCCGGTACAGGAAAGACCAGGCTTCTCTTAGAGGGCCTGTGTTTCCATTGGGGATTCTATTTGACATGCGCCATCGATGCTTCTTCCCTTGGAGCGGCCGATTTTCCTTCTGTTTTGAATGACGTAAACTGGGACCATAGCTGGACCTCTTGCTTACCGCCTATCTCTGATTCTAATCACCCCTCATTGCTACAGGGCAATAGACGGCTAGTATATCGTGCGGTCAGCGAAGCTCTGTTGGCTCGGTTCATCGTCTTCAAGATGTTCCTAGAAGTCTGTTTCAAGCAAGGATTTTGCCTTGAACAACGACAGCATTGGTTGGAGTTACAGATTTTTCCAACGAACATTACACCCTCATACGATTCATTCAGTATGATTAAATATGAAATTACAAGGGCTTGTCTAAGTGACGAGGAACTAGACGAAGCCATGCTGCACTTGATGGAAGAAATCCAGACCATATGGGAAATGCCTGGTGGCGATTTCTTCTATATCGCAGTGGATGAAGTAAATGTAGCGTCAAGAATGCACGAGGAAGCGTTCGAAGATCAGCGCGGTCGTTATCCTATTTTGAAAGAGATCTTACGCAGCCTGCGACGACGGATGGGTCAGTTGCCTGTTAAATTTGTTATTTCGGGCACCATCATCCCAGAAGACCATTTTCAGTCAACCATCGGCGAGTGGGATGATTTTCGCTGGTGCTCAGAAACCGGGTCTTTTAATGATCCAGACGAACACCGTCGTTATATCACCAAGTTTCTGCCACCCAAGTTCGCTATTTCAGTACCTGGGCAGGCACTGTTGGACCGTATGTGGCAATGGTTGCGTGGACGGTTTGTTCAGGTCTACTGCTGCTATATCCAAAAATTATTGACTGCATTTTCTATGGTTAGTCACCGTTACACAGCGTCCTTTCTTGCTGTCTTACTGTACAACAATTTCCACAGCCCTCATACGTTGCTGGGTAACTATATTGAAAACATCACTGAATATTTTCCTGATGATAACGAACAATACTCGGAAGGAGAGGAGGGTCGTTACAATGATTGGTATCTGCCACTCGGTCATAAGGGACTTGGTCTGTGTATGTTGGAAACATTGAGGTACCATTACTACCTGCGACGCTAAATTTATTTGAATTTTAGGGTCACTTAACACAGTCACGGTAGAAATGCACCGCGCAGCTACTTCGTTTTTGAGCACTTCAACGGGTTGCATTGACTGCTTGACAGAGGACAGAGTTCTGATCACTGAAGATTACGGATATTTCATTGATGCCGACTGCGTCCAGATTGCACTCAATGAGCCTATGACGGTGACTTCCGGCGCTATTTGGCTCAAGAAAAACTTTTACTTCGGTTTTGCAAAGTTTATCAGGATTTTTTGCAAGATTTCACAAGTCGTCGTTCATCCGACTCATTTTGCACATTTTCTGGCCTTTTGGCTCACCTCGATCTCGCGCCCTTCCTGCGAAATTCCAAATACGTACAGAAGCTTTGGATCACCCACAGTAATACCGAACCCTTGCAAAATTTCAGATGCGTTCAGAATCATCGGATTACCTGCAGCCCTCCCCGAAGTGAAACTTGTCACTTTCACAAAGATAGAACAACGATTCGAAGCAGTGGACGTCCGTTTGCGGGAAGACATCTACGGCAAGCTAGTTTTCATGGCTGACAGTAACGAAGATATCCTCTCGTGGTTCAAGCACGAGCGGGACGAACCATTCTGTGCCTTGTTGTCTTCCTCGAGCAATACTGTGATCCTAGCATTTTGCCTACAACGTGCGGATGAACAATCGTTCTGGGTGTTTGTACGGATTTCATCAAAGTCCACAAATGAAGAGGATATAGATTTTGCGCAGGAGATTGACGACCTCCACCCCACCAAGGTCTTTCATGACCAGTTACGTACCAACGCGTTGCAATTTCGAGCTCTCCGAAAATGAAAATGATTAATTGACTTCCAGCCTGACATACTTTCGCTTCTCAGCAACTTACCGAACCTCTGTCTCGAAGTCGGAGACTTCGGTGTCCTCCGGATTTCGGGATCCTCCTGGGCTGAGAACGCGAGCGAAGATAGCATTCCTCCTGAACGACGTCCGGCTGGGGTTTTGAACATTGACGGCTTGGACGAGGCTGAAAAGGGGGTTCCTTATGAGGAGTTTATGCGTCGTCTTTCGCAGGCCATCGTTCAAACAAAGAAGAAAGTGGAAACTGCGCTTCCGCCACCAGTAGTCGAGGACTCAAAGAAGGGTAAGAAGCGCGGTAGATCCTCGACTGTACTTGAAGATAGCGCAACTACCCCCAGTGTCGCTAGAACTCGCAAAACCAAAAGCGCTCGGTCCACTAGGGGAGATGTTTCGGACCGTAGGGCTACCGGCACTCGAAGAACCAAAAGCCTGAAGTCTACCAATGTGAATGTTACAACAGGATCTGACAACAAACCTGGGCGTTCAAACGATCGTCAAGTCACTGGAAGGATTCTGCGATCTCGTCGCAGTCTAGGTCGAATCAGCGATGTTACCCCAGGACGTGTTTCGACTGGGGTGACTCGTCCTGACCGAGTTGAACCTACAGCTTCAACGTCGTCTTCGACACCATATAACTTGCGCAAGCGATGAATGGGTTATTTGCTGTCTTGATCGTTTTTGTATTCATCATATTGGATGTACGTTTATACCGACAACGCCGTGTATTCCTTCTATCTATCTATCTACCTAATGTTAGAACTTTGATATCGCTAGCGCACTATGTACAGAGAATGCAAAACTACGGTTGAGGAGTATTGACTCCGTACGCTTTCACCTGTACATTTAATCGCGCCTTTCATTTCAGACCACTGTCGTCAAGGATTGTTTATGTCTATGTTATTATTATATTTATTTTGTAGGTTCGTTCTCTGTTGCGCGATTGGACTCGTAATTTTGTTGCAATAAAATTGATTCTCTAGGAGCTAGCTCACGAGTGTTCTTGTGTGTGAATGCTGAGACTCATATATGTATATTGATAAACGAGGGTGAGGACTATTTGCAGGTCTTCGAGATTGTTATTATCATTGTCGCACCATACTTTACAGAGATTCATGGTAGAGTATGGTTCGATGGCGTAGTTGGTTATCGCATCTGTCTAACACCAGCGCCTTGTACACAGAAGGTCCCCGGTTCGAGCCCGGGTCGAATCATTCATGTTCCCACCTACTTTTTTCAGATCTTCCACCTATTATTTCTTGGACCTTCTTTCTTTCAAACTTTTCTATATGTGCACGACTGGAGGATGTTTGTATATACTAGTAGTAGTAGTCTTTTGTTTGATGTTGAAGAGAAATTCGGAAATTCTGGTTATTTATTTATATCTATCGAAGTAGTGCCACACCACCCTCCTTCACCCGGTATTATATACATACGATACCATATTCAAAACCTTTTGTTCAAGACCTCCATAATTGATTTCATTTCATTCCTTTTTTGCAATACTCTGCAATATTCTGGCAATTACTTTGATTCTATGGATGGGTACATAACAAATGAAATAATGTCCATGTTATGCTATGTTATGTATTGGTGGAGCAACCATGCGTATGTACAATTATACCAATTCCAAGAAAAAAAAGAGAAAAGGAGAAAGAGAAAAAGAAGAAAACGAGAAAGTATCTGGTATGTATATATGTATTATATTGTAGCAGCAGGGTGGTATGGATAGTACAGTGCATGCACAGTTCCCACTCTTTTAACCACCACCTCTACCTCCAAGGTTGACTTTCACACATGTACTCAACAGCACTGAAAGCACTAAACCACTAAAGCACCTCTCTACTTCAAATCCCTCGTTAATGCTCAAACACCATCCACACTTGCACCCACACCATCTCCGTGGTAAGAACCAAGGCTCACCACGGACATTGATTGGGATTCATAAAGAGAATTATGATGAGAACCAGAATCATTGTCATCATCCCAATTGGTCTGTGACTCTTCATTGTTGTCGCTATGTCCTCTATATTGTCATCCATGACATTGTGTAAGACCTGGGTCAAAATTGGTCTTGTAGATAGAGTTGGTATTGTTAGTTTATGATGTAGTATGCTGGAGCTTGAAGGGAGCTACAGGAACCATGACCAAGAACTGGAATGACCTCATGGAAGTATCAGAACATTGAGTAAGACCCTTGAGGAGGTCCCTAGGATGATGACTGATGTGAGATGCAAACTGGGAACCTGAAAGCATTAGAACAAGTGAGGGATGTGAATGATAGGAACCCAAAACATCAATACAGATAGTTTGAGCTGTCAATGGACGGGAGTTATAGGAGTAGAAACTCCCAACAAGAAGTGGGGAACCTGGGAGGTAGTTGTTATGCCCTGTCACTAAACCTCCCCATGAACACCCTGACCCTTTTTGCTCTCCAAAAACCTCCTGCTAACCTCCCCAGAACCTCAACTAACCTTCAGCTCCAATATCCATGACCTTCAACCTAAAACAGCAGTACCCTGATGCCCTTGTACACTGGTCTCAGATTGTCAGCATGCTCCCTATCAATTTAGCCTCATGTACTTCGTACTCCGTACTTCATACTTCATACCATCCCCATCAGATGCCCGTTTCCTACAAAGCTTTCTTGCTCACTTACCCTACCTATATAAGTTAAGTATACCGGCTTTGGTGGTGTTGGTATTTTGCCATTGATGGGGTTACCTTTCCATGGATATAGTTTGTCGACATGGAAGATGGGATGAAGGCGATCTAGTGACAGGGGGAGGTCAAGGCAGTATTCCAGAGGTCCGACTTTCTCCAGAATGCAGTAAGGTCCTAGCTGTCGGTCCCCTAGCTTTTTGCTGGATAGCTGCAGGTTAATGTTCTCCGCACTTAGCTAGACTAGATCCCCAACTTTGAATTGATGCGCTTTTCACTTCCCACATTCGTATCCTTCCTTCTGTTGCTTCTTTCCTCGATGTAAAGCAGCTCCAGCATCCTGCCGGGCTTCTTGGAGAATCCGTATGCAGTTGTCTACTGCTGGAATGCCGCTGTGTTGACGAACCAGGATATTGAACAGGGGGAGGTATCTGTAGGTTAACTTGAATAGGGACATGCCTAGGGCCGAATGAGTCCGTGAATTAATCACAAACTCTGCCATGGGGAGATGTTCTGCCCAGCCGTCTTGTCATCATCCCACGTAGAGGCAGATGTATTTCTCCACTTCCTGATTTGCATGTTCAGTTTGGCCATTGGACTGAGGACGATATCCAGAGGTTAGATCTGATTTGATTCCCAGTTTAGCTAGGAGGGATCACATGAGTTTAGCTGCAAACTGAGGTCCGCGGTCGGATTTGAAGTGGAGGGAAAGACCATGGAGACGGAAGATCTCTCGGTAGTAGATATCAGCAACACCTTTGGCTGTGATGGAGCTGGTGCAAGGAATAGCATGAATTTGTTTTCCATACAGGTCTGTACAGACCAAGACCGCGTCATATCCATGGGAGTTAGGCAGTTGTGTTATCAGGTCAACCCCTACCTCTTCCCATAGACCAGATGGTATGTCCAGTGGTTGAGTTACAGCTCGTGGGTGTTGTTGGATCTTCTTGCAGGCGCAGATCTCGCATCCCTCAATGTATTTCTCCACAAAAGAATGCAGTGTTGGCCACCAGAAGTGGGTGCTGACCAGGTCAAGTGTCCCATGTAATCCGGGATGTCCAGCAGTTGGATGGTCATGGCATTGATGGAGAACCTCAGTGCATAGGTTGTCATCTGCTGGTACATATACCTGGCCTCAGTAATAGACCAACCTGTTGTCCTCCTCCCATTCAGCTATCCCATTGGCCAAGCATTGTAACCCATACTTCTTGACTGTTTCCAGGCCTTCTGGTGAAGTGGCCAGGTTTAAGGACAGTCTGTTGCTGATTGTCATCGCTGTCTGCTACATGATGTACTGCCATATGAGAGAGAGCATCAGCTTGGGTATTTACTTGGCCAGGACGGTGGATCATATGAAAGTCAAACTGTGATAGATAAAGGGCCCATCGGGCTTGTCGGTGGGTGAGGTCTTGTGCTGTGCGCCAGAATTCGAGGTTGAAGTGGTCAGTGATAATTGTCAAGGATTGTTTATGTAGTGGGTTCATCCTCTGTTGCACTATTGGACTCATAAATTTTGTTGCAATGGAATTGATTCCCTAGGAGCTATGTAGCTCACTATGTAGCTCACCAGTGTTCATGTGTGTGAAAGACACATATACACTCATGCAGACTCATACACTCATGCATTTTGTGAATGAGGTTGTCGCTATCATCCATTAACGCAATATGATTCATAAATATCCCTTGTAACATGGTTCGATGGCGTAGTTGGTTATCGCATCTGTCTAACATCCTCGATTTCTGTTGATACCTGTACACAGAAGGTCCCCGGTTCGAGCCCGGGTCGAATCATATGTTTTATTTGTTACCTTGTCGATATTTTTTTTTCGTTCAGACTTTTTGTATGTGCACCGACTGGAGGATGTATGTAGTAGTAGTAGTTGCTTTTTGGTTGTTGAAGGGAAATTCTGGATATTTGTGTACTTAAGTGATGTATGTACCCACCCCCTCCCCGAACTTTTTGGTCGAGCACTTCACGAATTGATTAAACATTCCTTTTGCGACGACAAATGAAACTAGACGAAACATATATGTATTGGATGGGATGGATGGAGTAAACACGCGTATGATTGTACGTATTCCGAAGGGGAGTTTGAGGACGAAAGAAAAAAACCGAAAAAGAAAAAGAGAAAAAAAGAGAAAAAAGAGAAAAGTATCTGGTATGTGTGTATGTGTGTTATGTATGTATGATGTATGTAGTAAAAGGTAGTACAACCGGGACGCATGCCACGATTTTCCAAGTATTTCAACAGCCACCTCTACTCTACCTCCAAGCTGACTTCACGCAAGTGCTCAACAGCACCAACGCACCAACGCACTAAAGCACCACCTCAAGAACTAGTCCGATATCGATATCTCTCCTTCAAATCCCTCGTTAACGCTCTCAGCATCGCGACTGTTACGACCTTCTTCTTCTCTGTCTCCTCTTCTCTTTCTTCACTTTCACCTCCCTCATCATCCAGACCTTCACCTTCCCCGCGTTCATTTCCATTTCCATCCGCGCCTCTACCTCTACCATCTCCGTGGTAAGAACCGAGGCTCATCACAGACATCGAGCGGGATCCATAAAGAGAAGTATGATGGGAATCAGGATCGTTGTCATCATCGTTATCCCAGGCGTTCTGTATCTCTTCGTTGTCGTTGTTGTTGTTGTCCGCCACGTTGTCCTGCATATCGTCGTCCACGACATCGGTAACATCAGTAACCTCGATGTCATCGAGATCAATAACGGATGTAGACGCGGATCCTGGGACGGAGGTGGATCTCGAGGCGGAGACGGAGGGGTTGTGGGAATAGGTTGAGTAGGGAGAGTAGGTGGGGTAGTTTGGGTGGTTGGAGTAGTTTGAGTGGTTGGAGTAGTTTGAGTGGTTGGAGTAGTTTGAGTGGTTGGAGTACTTCGCGGAACCAGTGGATAGGCGAAGACGTTTGTTACTACTGTACAAAACGAATAAAAAAAAGAAAGAAAGAACAATTCGTGTTAGTAAGACGCTGAACAAAGTGCGTGTGTGTTTTTTGGTTTCTTCTTACCTCGAAACACTCTCCCCATCAACTCCATCGACGTCAGAGAAACTTCTTCTTCTTGTCTTCTTCGCGTTCTTCGCATTCAACAACCCATTCAACCCACTTGTCCCGTTCACATTGATTCCACTTCTACTACCCCTCCCGCCCCCAGACCGATCCAACCTTCGGAACAACCTCCTATGCAACCGATTCATCAGCCCCGACAACGCGACCTGCCGAGGCTTGATTGCTTCCTCGAACGTTTCCTGGGCGGAGAGGATGTGGGTTGTGGGGATTATGAATGATAGAGAGGGAGAAGGAGACGGAGGAGAAGGAGAGGGCTGGGAGGGGGGCTGGGAGGGTTGAGAGGGTTGAGAGGAGGGTTGGGATGTATGTGATAATGGTGTTGTTAATGTGGTCAAAGACTCAGAAGATGAACGGTTCACCACAGCGGCAGACGTCGTTGAACCCATAGACCTAGACGTAGACCTAGACGTGGACGACGTAGATGCACAACACTTCGACGACATAACCAACCCACACCCAAACACCACCACCTCCCACAGGTGTTCCACGAACGTCCGCGTGGGGAAGATCTTCCCCATCCGGGAATGGGTCTGGAGGTCGCGGATTAGGGAGAGGATGGTTTGTTCGAGGGTGGTGGTGATATCGATGGGGGTGGAGGTGGTGATGGATGTGGAGGAGGTATTGATTGAGGTGGATGAGTAGGTGGTGGAGGTAGTGGAGGTGGTATTGGTATTGGTATCCGTACAAGTCGATGCCTCTCCTTGTCCACGTATGTCCTGAATAGAAATAGACTGATACAACCGACCCAACCACTCAATACTCATTTCATACACAGCGTTCATCGCTCTCTCCCCATTCCCATTCCCTTCCCCACCCATATCCCTGTCCCTATCTCCACCCCCACTCCCACTCCCACTCCCACTCCCACTCCCACTCTCACTTCCACTCCCATCTTCCCGCGTACCCAAAACCGGAAACTCCGGGAACTCCGGGAACACCACGCCCCCCGCCCTCATCGGCACCGCGAACTGAAACTGACTGCGCCGCACAAGCGCGCAGACGAGATCCAGGGCGTGGTTGATGAGCTCGACGAGGGCACGGAGGAGGTGGGTGTAGAGTGGCCAGTTGACTGGTTTGGGTTTTGGTGGTGTGTTGAGTTGGGGTGTGTGTGTGTGTGTTGAGTATTTGGGATTCGGTGGTTTTAGTAATTTGGTGAGTTTTTCGTATTTTGGTGAGGTTTTCGTATTTTTTGGTTTCGTGTTCGTATTTTCGTATACATTTTTTTCGGTAATTTGTGATTTTATCGATATTTCGTGGTTTTTGAAGCGTTTTCCGTATGTTGCAATATGTCGTATGTCGTATGTCGAGTTCATTAGTTCATTATGCCGTTTTTTGGGTTCGTGTTGTTTCGCGTTGTTTCGTATTTCGTGCGTCGTGTGCATCACCGGCGATTCGTATTTCGTGCGATTTTCCGGTAGTTATATTCCGTGTATTGTGTATCGTGTATCGTATCGTGTGTTGTGTATTGTGTGCCGCAATTTCGCAATTTCGCAAGTTCATATTGTCGTCGTCGTGCCGTATTCCCGTAGAGAGATCGTGTGAGAACAGGAAAAGATGAGAATGGAAAAAGATGAGAATGGAAAAAGGATTGAGGTATGAGATGTGAGATATGAGGTATGAGGTATGAGATATGAGGTATGAGATCGAAAGGATGAAGGTGAAGGAAAGAGTGGAATAGTGGAATAGAGGGAGAGGAAGAGGAAGAGGAAGAGGAAGAGGAAGAGGAAGAGGAAGAGGAAGAGGAAGAGGAAGAGGAAGAGGAAGAGGAAGAGGAAGAGGAAGAGGAAGAGTGGAATAGAGGGAGAGGAGGAGGTGAAGAGGAAGAGAAAAGAAATAAAAGAAGAACGGTTCCATCGAGACCGAGGAGGAGGGGGGGGGGGGGGGGGGGGGGGGGATGATGATACATGATAAAGGAAGGACATAGGAGAAGGAGGAGAACGAGGGCACGAAGACCAAAGAACCACAAAACAACAAAACACCAAAATCGAAAAATCGAAAAAACCAGTAAACCACAAAGCCCAACAAACCCAGAAGAAAACCCAGAAGAAATCCAAAACCACCCAAAACCACCCAGAAGAAATCCAGAAGAAACCCAAAAAAACCCAAAAAAACCCAGAAGAAACGCAAAAACCCAAAAAGAGGAGGGAAAAAAACATAGACGGAGACAGAAGACAGAGACAAGAGCCAGACCCAGTAACCAAATCACAAAACCAAATCACAAAACCAAATCACACAACCAAACAACAGCCAGAGCCAGCGACAGCGACAGACCCAGACCCAGCGACAGACCCAGCGACAGCGACAGAACCAAAGACAAAGAGAGGGAAAAAAAAACAAAAACAAAAAATCAGTAGATACGCTGACAACGGGGGGGACGAGGGGGAGATGGGATGACGTACATGAGTTAGTGGAGTTTGTAGGGGATGCGTTTTTGGATCTGTTGCGGGCGTTGTTGTTGTAGACGTTGTTGTGGGTGTGGGTGGATCTGGTGTGGGCGTTGTGGGTGTTGGGGGTGTGGGTGTTGGAGACGGTGGATGTATAACCCGAACCCGAACCCGAAGAGCAATTATCCAACCACTCCCCAAGGAAGGCGGTGAATGCGGGTTGGAGGAGGGTGAAGAGACCTGTGGGGGGTGGGTGAGGAATAGTGAGTGAGTATTAGGGAGTGTTAGGGAACGAGTTGGGGAACGAGTTGGGAGTGAGGAATATGAGTATGAGTGGGTGGGATGGGTATGAGTGAGTAAGTGGGAAGGGATGGGTGAGTGAGTGGGGAAGGGAGTGAGTGGGGAAGGGAGTCAGTGGGGAAGGGAGTGAGTGAGTGGGGAAGGAAGGAAGGAAGAAAGTAACTCACCATTCACCCCCTCAACGACTCGAACCAGTCTCCCGTCTACGTCCAACCCACTCAAAGCCCCCGACCCACTCAAACCCCCCAACGCCCTATCAAACCGCGCATCGAGGTCGGTGGCGGTGGATGTGATGGAGAGGACGGAGTAGGATGCGATTGTTGGGTATGCGTGGGATGCGTGGGTGTGGGGTTGGTGGGGTGTGGGGGAAGAGGGGGAAGGGGATGGGGATGGGGAAGAGGGGGAAGGGGTGTAGAGAGATATCTGGGGAGATGAAGAAGATTAGATATTAGAGATTTGGGAATTGGGGAAGATTGGGAAGAGTAAAAGAAAAAAAAATCATTAGTACGAGAAAGAACATCCAAAAAACCCCCCAAAAATCCCCCAAAAACCAAAAACCAAAAACCAAAAAACATCCAAAAAACCCAAACCCAAAAAATCCAAAGAAAAAAGAAAAAACACATACAAGATCCACCACATCCCTCGGAATCTCCTCGTCCTCCTTTTCTGCCCAGTGGATGAGTATTAGGGAGGGTATGAACCACTTCTCTGCGTCCTTCTCTTCGTCTTCGTCTTCGTCCTCTCCAGACTCCCTTTCCCCCTCCCCTTCGTCCCTTTCCCTAAACTCCCTTTCCCTTTCCTCTTCGTCCCCTGCCCCCTGCCAACCCTCCTTGGACTTCCACTCCTCCCCTTCCTCCTTCGACCCCCCCTCCCCCTTAGACCTCGACCCCTCCCTCCCCCTCTTACCCCCCCTCCTCCCCCTACCCCCCCTCGCAACACCCTCCACGACCCCCCTCAACCGCGTACAATCCCCCAACACGACATACCGCCGCGCCAGCTCGTCCCGCACCCCGGACAGCGGGGTGAGCTCGAATATTATTAGGGATGGGGAGGTGAAGGGAGGTATACTTGGTGGGGTAGGTGGGGGTACACTTAGTGCACCTGGTACGGAGGAGGATGAGGTGGGTGTGGAGGAGGTGGAGGTGGAGGGTAAAGTAGAGGCGGTGGTGGTACAGGTCCGTAGCGGAATCAAAGGAATCTCAAACACCTCTTCCCCTCCTTCCCCTCCTCCTTCCCCCTGTCCCCCCTGTCTCCACCACCCGCTCCCCGGAACGCCGAACTTCGTCTGTGCCCATATCGCGGTCGCGTCCACCGCGGGGTTGAGTACGAGGAGGAGGGTGTAGGCGGAGGCGAGTGTTGTGTTCGCTGCTCCGTTCGCTGGTGTAGCTGGTGCTCCTACCGCTCCTGCTCCTACCACCGTCCCCTCCCCCCCTAAATCCCCTAAAACCCCCTCCCCCTCCAAAACCTCCAAAACCCCCCCGACTCTTCCCCCCCTGCGCCGGACATGGGATCTCCACACGTCGAGGAAGGTGTTGGGTGCCCAGCGGTGGCGGTGGGTTTGTTGGGTCTGTTAGATAGATAGATAGAAGGAAGGGGGGAAGGGGAAGGGGGGGGTTAGTATGGGTTAGGAAGGGAAGAAAGAAGAGGGGTAAGAAAAAGAGAGGAAGGGAAAGAGAAAAAGAAGAGAGGGAAAAAGAGGGAGAAGGGAAGGGAAGGGATGGGGAAGGGAGGAAAAAGAGGGAAGAGGGAAGAGAAGGAAAAGGGAAAAGGGAAGGAATGCAACTCACCTCGTTCAACCGCCTAACTAATTCTTCTTCGGTTCTTGGGGTGCCGGTTCGAGTAGTAGGATTTGTGCTATTTCTCGTACCGTTTTTTGTGTCGTTCAGAATACTATTCCTGATATTGCTGTGAAATCCATTCCTGATATCGCTCCTTAGAGACGAAGAGGAAGGAGACGAAGAAGACTCATTAAGAGGAGACGAAGAAGAAGCCGGAGCAGGAGCGGGAGCGGGGTGATATCGTTTTCGTCCTCCCTCTCCCTCTCCCTTCCCCTTGCTTCGTCTTCCTCTCTCTCCCTGTCTACCTCCCCGAATCAGTCTATGTTCAGGAGTTCCCCTCCCTTCTTCCCTCCCAACACCCCTCCCTAACTCCCTCCCACCACCCCTCTCACCACCCCGCTCTGAATCCCGCTTAGCATCCCTCTCACCACCCCGCTCAGCATCCCGCACCACAGCCCGCTCCCACATCTCCCCCGCACGCACGCGGTCGCGCGTCCGCGCGAGCCAGGCGGAGAAGGATTTTTTGAGGAGGGGGGTGGGGTAGGTGGGGTAGGTGGGTTTGGGGGCAGAAGTAAGGGTGGAAGATGAAGGGTTTAAAAGTGTGGGTGTGGGGGCGGAAGATGAAGGGTTTGGAGGAGGGGTAAGGGTAAGGGTAAGGGCAGGGGTGGAGGTAGTGGGATTCGAATGTGTTAAACTCCCAGGAACCGTAGTATTCGTCCCTTCACTCTCACTTCCTCCTAAATCACTCCGTCCTAAATCACTCTGTCGTATATTCCCACTAACGCTCCCCCCACCAGAACTAACCCTCTCCCCACCAAAACTAACCCTCCCCCCACCAAAACTAACCCTCTCCCCAATAGAACTAACGCTCCCGAACCCCTTCAAACTCCCCGCACGCGATAGTAGAGACGGGGTTAGTGGGCTGAGGAGTGCACTTGCACCACCTCCTCCTGCAGTAGCTCCGGTAGCTCCTGTTCCTCCTGTTCCTCCTCCGGTAGTTCCGCCTCCCTGTGAAGGAGGGGTAGACAACCCGGTGGTTTTGAGGAGTGATAGACGGGGGTGCTGGTGCGTGGACGTGGACTTGGAGGGAGTCGTAAACGTAGTCGGAGTCGTTGTCGAAGACGTAGTCGGAGTCGTTGTCGTGGGGGGAGTCGTACTCATGAAAGAGGGTGTTTGGACTGCGGCTGGAACTGGCGCTGGAGCTGGGACTGGGGTGGAAGGGAAAGTAGGAAAAGAAGAAGGGAAACTGTGTTCCTTTGATGCACCAAACACACCAGTCGTGGAATCGACAGTAGCATTTGGAGCGTTCTCTGGTTGGATCGGGGTGGGACCTGGAGCACTGATATTCGACGCAGTAAACACGTTCGACGCAGCAACACCAATATCACCAGACCCACCAAACCCAATATCACCAAACCCAGACCCAGGAAACCCAGGAAACCCACCAGACCCACTCGACCCTGCAACATTCGACCCTGCAAACCCTGCAAACCCAGCAGACCCACCAAACCCACCAGAAACACTACCCACAGTAGGAGTGGGAGGCAACGAAATCGGGAGAGGCCGCGGTGCAGGGGGTGGGTTGAGCGAGGGGGTGGTTGGGAGGGGGGTTGGAGGTGGGTTTGAATTCGGTGTTGGGTCTGAACGTGGGTTTGTTGGGAGTGGATTCGTTTGGAGTGGATTCGTTTGGAGTGGATTCGTTGGATGAGTGGGGAGTGGAATCGAAATTGAAGTTGTTGAAATTGAGTTTGTTGGGTTCGTTGAGTTTGTATTCGTTGAATCCATCCCTAGTCCCTGCCCTTGCCCTTGCCCTGCACCCGGACCCGGAAGTGGCCCTGGAAATAAAACCCCAGATGAGACCCCACCTCTCCTCGCATCGTTCACGTCGTTTGCATCGTTTGCATCGTTCGGAGCAGGGAAGAGAGAGGGGACAGGTCCGGAGGGTAGGGATTTCGTAGACGAAGACGTAGGAGTATGGGTATGGGTATCAGAAGTATGGGTAGACGAAGTGAGATGGAAAGTGTTGGGACCGGAATGAGGAGTGATACTTTCGAATACATTGTTATTGCCATTGGTGGTGTTGCCATTGGTGGTATTGGTACCAGGAGTTGAAGTTGAAGTTGGAGTTGGATTTGGAGTAGGAGCAGCGGCCCCAAACGTCCCGAACCCCGAGAACACCGATGGAGAGGAAAACGGAAAAGGGTTCACGGTGGTCGTTGTTAGGTTTGAGAATGCCGAGGGGGTGGTGGTGGAAGGCGCGGGTGGAGGGGCTGGGGGTGCCGGTGCAGGGGATTCCTCCTCCTCCTGCTCCTCGACCTCTTCAACAACCTCCTCCACCTTCGACTCCTCCTCCTCCTCCCCCTTCGACTCCCTCCCATCAATAATATCCGCCAACCCCAACCCCCCTCTCACACCCTCCATATCCTCAATCCTATCCCTCCCAAACAAATGCTCCAACAAACACGCCACGAGATAAACCATCCCCCTCTTCCCCTTTTCCCCCATCAACCACCGCGCCAACTCCCCAAAAATCCGCATTCCCTCCTCACCCACCACCAGTGGGCTGGTTTTGGTTATCGGGGTGCTGTGGGATTGGACGTGGGCGCGGAAGGCGGAGGTGAGGATGTACACGGGGTGGGTGAGGATGTGGGGGGGGATATCGTCGTGCCGCTCGCGTTGGTCGCGGATGTGGATAAGGCGGTGGTAGATACGCATTTCGAGCTCGTTGGGGGAGGTGTATGTCTCTCGTTGGTCGGTGTAGAATTCTTTTAGCGATTGAAGGGCTGGATCAATCTTAGGGGTTACCCCAATCCCAATATCAAGCAAAACCACTCACTATTCATCAACTGCTGCTCCTCCAAATTAACCGAAAACTCCCTCTCCCCCCTCATCTCCCTCAACGCCACCACATGAAACCTCACACACCTCTCATGACACTCCACCGCCACCTCCCCCTCCTCTCTCTGCATCACAAAATCACTCCTCACCGCCCTCGTCCTGTCTCTCAAAAACGCATACGTGCGCACAAACCCCTCCCTAACCATCAACTCCCCAAACAAATAATCCAACGTCCCTTTCAACACCCTCGGCGGCCTCAAATCCGAAGGTAACGTCTTATCCCCCGCAGCGCGTTCGTACGCTTTCACAGCGTGGGGGTGTGACACGCGTTTGGAGTGGGGAGGGGGGAGGGATTCCCAAGGGAACAAGTTGTTCTCGCGTTCGCGCCGGTAGCGCTCGAACCGCGGACACATGTCGGGGCAGGTCCCGACGAGGGTGATGGCGTCGGAGAGGCGTTTCGGGACGAGGGGGTCGTCCATGAGTCCCGCGCGGATGAGGTGGAGACGTTCGGATTCACGGGATTTGACGAGGGCGTGCCAGAAGAGGTCGCGGTCTTCTTGGGATTCGAGGAAGGGTTCGGAGGAGGGGGAGGGGACGGGGAAGAGGGAGATTGGGGGGTCTTTGTTTTCTTTCTCTATCTTTTCTTTGTCTTCCCCCTCGGAGGACTTGTCATCCAACTCCCTAACGAACTTCTTCGACCCAAACACACCGCCTCTTCCTCTTCCTCTCCCTCTTCCCCTTGCGTTTGCATTTGCATTTGCACCGCCAGCGACCCATTGTTTATTCCGATGCATCCCTGGACCACCTGGTCCTACTCCTGGTCCTACTCCTACTCCTGGTCCTGAACCTACTCCTGAACCACCTGGACCACCTGGACCTGGACCTCCACGACCTGCCCCACCAAACACCACCGAAGAAGTTCCACTACCACCACCATTACCATTACCATTCCCACTCCCACTACCATTCATATTACCATTACCACTACCACTCGACACATTCCCACTCGCATTCCCACCCCCATCCCGAGGCGTCTTCACATCCCCAGACACTCCGAATCCGTCTCCGCTGGCGGGCATGTTCTATGGAGTTTTTGTGGATTTTTGGGGGATTTTTGGGGATTTCGAGGAAGGAAGGTGTTTTCGAGGATTTCGAGGTTTTCGGGGAAGGTGGTATGAGAGGAAGGTGTTTTCGAGGTTGAGTTTGGGTTGACGAGGAAGGTGAGTTTTGAGCTTGGTGTACGAGAGGGTACGAGGAAGGAAGGAAGCAAGGTGAGTGAGTGAGTGGCACAACCCGAACACGCGCGCGTAACAGCGTAGAGGCGTAGTGAGAAAACACCGAAAGAGACACCTGAAAACCGTAAACCGTAAACCAGCAACCTGAAAACAAGCTGTAAAACACCAACCAGAAACACAGAAACAGCAACACAGTAAAACACAGAAAAACCGTAAACACAGTAAAACACCAACCGCAAACACAGAACCAATCGACCCCAGGATTATCCAAACAATATCCAGAGGAAATATATGGGATATCGGGATATCGGGATACGCCGTCTACCGAGGAGAATTCTATAGGTAAGACGAGTGGTAAGACGAGAAATCGAGTCGAAATTCGATCCAACGGACGATGGTAGGGATAGAAAGAGTTTCGAAAGAATTCGAAACACAATGAAGAATGAGAAGAATGAATGTCGATGAAAATCACGTGTCTCTTTCTTCTTCCTCCCTCCTCCTTCCTCCTTCCCAAGGTCCCAAAATCCATCAAAATCCCAAAGACCTCCAAACAAAGCACGGTTCGATGGCGTAGCCGGTTATCGCATCTGTCTAACACCCACTACCGGACCAACCACCACCAGTGGTGGGTCCGGCGGTGCACAGAAGGTCCCCGGTTCGAGCCCGGGTCGAATCATACCTATAGCTGATTAGTGTTTTTTTTCTTTATTTATTTTCTTTGCTTTCTTTCTTTTTTTTCTACTTTTCTTTTCTACTTTCTTTTTTTTCTACTTTTTGTTGAGAACGGGTATGACAGAGGACAAGACAAGATGCCTCACAGGAGCGAAGAGCGCGATAGGCACGACTCTGAGCAACGACGACAAACGACGATGGACAAAAAGACTGGATAGAAGAGATAATCTAACAACTACATACATGTTGTCTCGTAGATACGTTGTATGTACTTGTGTACCTATAACTTCTGGGCAGTCCGAACAACAAACTCCAACACTTTTTCTACACTTTTCTTTTTCAACTTTTCTTTTTTTCCCTTTCTTTTTTTTGAGGGGGGGGATTAGTGGATCTGGGCATATTCCTTGATTCCATCTATAGTATATACTATATCCCATTACCAAACACCATACACCAAACACCAAACACAAAAACACAAAAACTTCCAATAATGTAGAAAGAAAAAAGAAAATCCAAAAGAAAATCCAAAAAAACAAATCCAAAAACAAATCCAAAAAAACTACAATACAACTAAGTCATCTACTATGATACCATCATTTCAGGTATGGGCACCACATCAAATGGCTGAAACAAACAACTTTCTCAAGTCAATCCACTGGCTTGGCTCAATTGCCTCCCTCGGATTTGTTTTTTTCTGGACAAAAAGAAAAAATATCTCTGCATCTCTGCATCTCTGTGCTACTGAGTACATGAGCCCTTTCGATGAGCAATTAATAACTTTGTTATTTCTGATGTGGTTGTTTGGGAATATGTAGTTGTTCAAGAATATGTAATTTGAATTTGAGATGAAAATAAAAATGAAGATGAAAATGAATATGAAAATGAGATTGAATCTGGCATATGGCATATTGCCATATACACACACACACACACTGGAATGGAGTTGTTGTTTCATAGTTACTTATTATGTATATATATTTATTATTGTGCTGTCAAAATTTTTTGGGTATTTTATTATAAACAGATATTTAAAAACAGATATTGTCAAGTCCATGCCTCGGGCCTCCATCCCGCCGCTTGGTATTCCGAAGATCCATCTTTATTGTAATCTCTCCTTATTGTTCTTTCTCACTACACATACCCTTTTGTTCTAGTCCCTCCTTATTGTCTTTTACTTTACCCTGCAGGTACTACACATATAGCTCCTAATAGTTAGTCTGGCGCTCCGCACCGATGCGCCGCTCCGTAGATATAAATATTGTCTGTACGCTACTGTAGTTCCTCAGTTTAATTATCGACTTAGATCAACTTAGATCTCCCTTCCCAACTTAGCCCTTCTCTAAGTCTTCAGGCTCAACGCCTTGAAGTACGTTCTACCCAACCTTAGGACTTAAACGTTCTTTGGTTCACTCCTCATCACCGGCGATACCGCCGCTCCGACTTGGCTGCTACTCAGCTCCTCCCTTCCATACTCTCAATCTCTGGGGACTAACGGCGTAATGGCAGTGTTGTTAATAACTTCACTACTGTCCCACTTGGCCTCCCGCACTTAGACACCTTTTGGCCTCTGGCACGGTTACACAGTGTACATGATCTCAACAGATATTCAAAAACATGAGAAGGATTGACCAAGCCAACAAAGACTTGTTTGTCACACATCACCAGTTCTTGGAATGGGGAAGAAATGATAAGCAGTCAACAATTTCCATTTTCAGATATTTTGCAAAAGAAGAAAGAAAGAAAAAAAAAAAACTCTTCCATCAAGTGGATTCACAAATGCCAAGTCAAACTCAATCAGCACTAAAAGAAAAAAAGAGGGTGTTATCAACACTACAGAAGAAGTACATGCATGCAACAAGCAATCCAGGTGTACAAAGAATCAGAAAGTACAAACCAAGTTATTATCATACAAAACAGTATGCAAAGCCATCAAGGCCCAGTGTTTCGAGGAGACAAAAAAGACGATCACACTATCAGACTCAACATTACATAGACAGGTACACAATGGGAGGAGTCATACAGAGGCAAAAGAGGCGCAGTGGTGGCTGAATGATGCAAAAGAAGAAGAGGTATTGATTAATGAGGTCACCTACGATGCTAAACAAGGATTTCCACTAAACCACAAATGGCTCAAAGAACATGCTGATCTAATTGCACAGGCACGTCACGGTGAAAAATTTTCCTGTGGAAGGTGTTGGAAAGAATTGGAGAAGGTCATTTCATATCAAATCATTGCAATAGGATTGGAATGTACTGAACCCCACTCCATGGACCATTCTCTAGCTCGCGCTGTCGACCCATACAACTATGAATATTACTTCAACTTGCTAGAAAATGTCATCGAGGGCAAAGGTGGAGATGATATCATTCCTGCAGAGTTGTCTTATGGCACAGATGAGCTGGGACTGCAGAAAGGTATTGGTCAGAAAACTTGGGGTCTGGGAGCAGCGAAGAAGAAAATACACCACTAACAACAGAGTGGTGATCAGGGGAATATCACTGTTATGATTACTATCTGTGACAATGGATCTACAATTGCACCAGTGACATACCTAAATTTTGGCTAGACATCTATGCAGTGAACTGTGACACTTTCACATGTAGATTTGTGTCAAGAGGACTGTAATTGAGATTGAGACCTGGATTGACAGTCAAAGTCAATACTGAATCAGTCCAATAGTTGAAGGGACCCTATACCCATACTACCACAAGTTGGTTAGTTTATTGGACCTTACACTGGCAGGAGTTTGGAAGAACTTACTCAAGTGACCATAAGCTAAGAATTGAATCAAAATGACTTTCTAGAACTCAAGAATTGTCAAATACACATTCTAGAATGAGATCATGCATTAATCTAAAAGACTGTGATTTAGTCTAATAGACCAATCAGGTTGCATGGTTGAGGAAAATGACTAGAAGAACAATCGAAGTACTGCGAGGCTCCGAAGACATATCAAATGAATGTCAAAGAGTCCTGACGTAGAAAATATTGAAGAATGCAATTAAATGAATACTATGTGTAACTCCCTTGATAGAGTATGGGCACAATGGGTGTCTATTGAAAGAGAGAAGCAATTAGTTTAATCCAGATGAATCAGATTGATAGGATTAGAATTGAGGAGAGCTGATTTGCCTCCAGACGAGGTGACAAATGATCGAAGTAAGTGTTGAACAGCAATAACAGCTGAACACAATTCGAGTCATTCTCCAAAACAATTAAATTAAATGAACATCGAAGTACCTGCCTATGTTTGGAGGTATACTAGAATCTTGGAACCATTATGGACCAAATAAGGACATATAGATTCAAATTAAATGGAATCTGACCAATTGTAGAAGTTTCCTTGTGGTTCCGAACGTTTATTTTATTAAATTAATTGTACTGTGCAACTCTATATCCTGTATGTATAAATAGCAATCTGATGTATCTGGAATACAAGTGATTTTGGGACGACATTGCAGTGCTAATCCGTAAAAAGGAAAGACACACTCCCACCAGACTGAAGCCTCTTTGCTAGCAGCCATTCGGGCCTGGCACTTGTGAGTATAGAAATGTCATGTTCTGCTCCTTGTGACTGCAAGAAGTTATATCCAGTTGTTGGGTATTCTTTGAACTTAGTATCAGCCATTGGTCTTAAGGGCAAATCACATTGTATGGTTGTGCCAGCACATAGTTCTAGCCCTCTGTAGGGGTCTGTGTGTTTCAGTTTTAATTTATTTTGATTAAAACCCCCAATTCTTGATATACCCATATCAATACCAACAAAACATAAATAGTGCTGAATCTACCTTGATCAAAGGAATATATCGAATCCTTAGAGCAATTCAAATTGATTAATTGAAGCTTTCCCTTAGCTCTCAAAAGCTTTGTGGGACCTTTGACAATGCTACCCCTTGCTATTAAATAAATTTGATAGCAGTGAACTTACATATTGTGTATTAGATTGGTTGGTTGGAGCGCCCATTTGATTCCTTCCTTTCTCTTTTACACAAAAACGAGGCAAGCTTATTACCGTTAGTCCCTGGAGAGAGATAGTAGAAGAGAGGTACTAGTAGCAGCCAGGTCAGTAATGGCAGTAATGCCAATGACAAGGAGCAGACCAAAGAACTGTCAGTCCTGAGGTCAGAGTAGAGAGTACTTCAAGGCAACAAGCCTGAAGATTTAGAGGACAGAGAGAGACAAATAAGGGTGATCTAAGTTGATAATTAAACTGAGGAACTACAGTACAGTACAGGAGTATTTATACCTACTAATCTTTGCATCAGGATGGAGCATCAGACTAACTACTAGGGGCTGTACGTATAGTGCCTTCAGGGTAGGAGATAAGACAATAAGGAGAGATGAGGTAGAAAGGGAATGTGTAGCAAGAAAGAACAATAAGGAGAGATTACAATAAACAGTGGATCTTGGAGTACTGAGCACCGGAGTGAGGCACCAAGGCATGGTCTTGACAGGGTGCTTATATAGGTAGGGTAATGGAGCAAGGGAACATTATAGGAAGCGGGCATCCAATGGGGATGGCATGAAGTATGAAGTATGAAGTATATGAGGCTAAATTGATGGAACACATTCTTATGATCTTAGGCAGGTATACGAGGGTGTCAGGGCACTGCTGTTTTAGGTTGGAGCTTCTGGATATCAGGGATGGGAGGTTGATTGAGGTCCCAAGGAGGTTAGTGGAAGGTTTTGGGGGCAGAGGAAAGGGTCAAGGTATTCATGAGGAGGTTCTAGGGGTTGCAAGGTTTAGTGCCAGGGCATGACAACTCTAACAGGTATATGTTGAACGCGGCTATGCTGTTCACATGCCACTAATATGATCATGTGTTAGACTATGTCATATGTAGTCATATGTAGTCACTTATTATATGCGGATTCCTCAGTACTTCCTTATGTAATACTCTCATACAATTATATATATAAACAGTGTCAGGTTATAAGCACTCAGTTGGATGTAAAACAACTGTATTAGGTACCTGTCAGGTTATAAGCACTACATAGGTTGTGAGTATGCTATGTTTGGATAGCTACTATGGGGCTCACCTCAGTTGGATGTAAAACAACTGAGGGAGCCCTCATCTGCTGTCCGCAGGTGGCTGATGAACTGTAAAGTATGTATGTAATTGGATGGAAGCAAAACTTGTAGACTGTGTGTACACTGGATGGAGAGAGTCTAACAAACAGGCCATATTCTGTACTGGAATCCAACTCGCTTCTCTCTCATCTTTATTGCCTCACTGAGACTCTAAGCCCTACTACCCAGGTATGGTGCTGGAGAGTGTCCCCACTATGCACCCCTTGCCTGCTCAACACTCAGTTGGAAGTAACTCTATTGATAGTCTATACTGTTGAGCAGGCAAGGGGTGCATAGTGGGGACACTCTCCAGCACCATACCTGGGTAGTAGGGCTTAGAGTCTCAGTGAGGCAATAAAGATGAGAGAGAAGCGAGTTGGATTCCAGTACAGGATACAGCCTGTTTATATACATAATTGTATGACAGTATTACATAAGGAAGTACTGAGGAATCCACATGTAGTAAATGACTACATATGACTTATCATAACACATGATCATATCAGTGGCATGGGAACAGCATAGCTGTGTTCAACACTGAGCTTACTCTAACATGCACATGTAGTTGACATATGTATGTCATTGGACTTTGCATAATATAAGTAATCATGTCAGACTCCTTTGCCTCCCTCTTTTCTTCCTTCACTAATTCTACTAGTGTTACAGTATACTGTTTATTGTCACCCACCCCTTACTATCTACAATAATACCTCAGTTTCCCACCCTGTGACAGCCCCAGTTCTTGGTAATTCTTGAGTCTTGACACCTCACTTCTTGCACCATGATCATTTTAATATAAAAACGGCCCTCTGGGTCAGCTTTTCACTGGCTAAACACCTGCCCGCGGATCAACCCAATTGGGGAAACCCAGAGAACCCAGAAGATGAGAATGTGTATTCAATGCAGGACCTTGAGCAAAAGCCTCGAGAAGAACCAAACAAATAGATCGATGTAAGTGTAAAAGGAGTAAAAGGTGAACAGAACAGAACAGACAGAAGAGGATGTTGTAAGAAAAAAAGTCCAGATGAAAGTAATGTCATACAGAGGATATAGCTGAAGAATAGAGACAATTGCGAAACAACAAATATACAATAGATATGCACAGACAAGACTCAAGACAAACAATTCGACAAACGTATCATTTACATAATTCATGGAGACAGAGAACCGCATATGAAGTAAGACCCGAGGTAAGTAGAAGATACAGCAGTGGAACATTTTTTCAAGAATGAATGAGAATTGGGGGTTTGTAGAAAGTAGATATTGAAATCGAGAATCCAGTTGATATACATGAAATTTCAATTTCACACGAAAGTTTTACGAGTGATGTTCACCTTCTTTCACCGACGTGACGATCGGCTGAAGCTGAGATGGAAGCGCGGGCTGAGCAGGGTATGATGCCCATGTAGTAGTTGCAGGAGGAGGATATGGACCAGGATATGCCGGAAATGGTTGACGATAGCCGTAATACGCTGGATGGCCTGGAGGACCAGAAACAGGACCTGGGGATCCACTGTACTGGGTCGCGGAGGGTACGTTAAGACCTTGTGCAGGCATAGACGAAGGTTGTTGAAGAGGAGAAGGATAATGATACATAGCCTGAGGGGGTCCATATCCCGGCATCGGGTAATAACCGGTATAAGCTGGTTGAGCCGAAGCAACTCCCACGCCGGAGACAACACCAACACTGGCAACACTTGGATCAGGATCAGAATACGGGACAGGAGGTTGCGAAGAAGAGGAAGAAGGCGTGGGCGTCTGAGAAGAAGAACGTCCTCGTTGTCGATCCCGATCTTCAGATGTTGGGGATTCAGGCGGAGAAGTGTCGTTGTTGGTATTATGATTAGGACGTTTTCGCTGCCTTTTCGCTGCTGGTTGTGCGGCAGTAGAGTAGGGTTCGAAGCGCTTGTTTGGACGTTTGGGGATGTCTGCGACACGGCCGTCCGTGAGGAGCGGGAGTCCTGTGGAAAGAGGAGCGGAGATTATGGAAGACGTGGAAACCGCTTCGATATCATCTGCTTCACCGCGATACCGAGGGACTCCGTCTGGACCAACTTCGACCTTTGGAGGGTTCCGGAAATGTGTTTTGTCGAGGTATTCCGGGCTGATATCCAGGGACGCCAGCTCAGGCAAGGACGATGGAGAACGCAGACGACCATTCTCAACATCCTCAATGCGATAGTAGGAAATCAGATGTTGAGCTACGCCTCCAATGCTCAAGGAAAAAGTCTTGGAAAAAGTCTAATTCAGAATTCAGAAGACAGAGAAGATATCTGTAACGTACTTTTTTCATTAGACCGTCAGATTTAAATTTGTAGCTATTCGTAAGACTGCCCATCAAAGACCGCTCCCGAAGCTTATCAAACCCAAGATGATTATTACTCGTTTCGCTCTTTGGACGAGACAAAGAGTGTGTTTCCGACGATGGAGACGCATCGGGGACTTCTGCGGCTTCTTCCTGTGGACGTGCGCCCTTATGACCTGGACCGCGTTTATCTGTCTCTCGATATAGCAAAAAATTTCCGAGGATGCGACTTGGGCTCCAGAAAAATCCATCGGTCCAGCGTTTGATACCGCTCTCCTCCTCGTCAAAAACGAAGACTGAGCCAGAAGTAATCATTTTGCGCTCGGAATCGACAAGGCGTCGAGTAACACGAGGTATCCAGCCACGACGAGCAGCCTCGAGGATAAGAAGTGCGTCTCCGGTTGTTTCTATCCAACCAGTCCAGGGTGGTTCGTTCCATGTGGTCGGCGGAGGCTGATGAGAAGCCGAAGACGTCGACATGGTGGTCTAGATGATAAGCCTTCATCATCATCATCGATGGGCCAAAGCGAAAATTATCATGTTGGAAAAGATAAAGAGCAGCAAAACCAAAAAAGTTTGAAGAACGATTGGGTTCAGCCCATCATTAGAGTTTAGGATCAACAATATAAAGTTGGCGTACCGTTGGCCCAGAGTCTGGCGGAGGAGGAAAAATATCAACAAAAAGAGCCAAAAATTCAACCGCCGACTGAACCACTGCCTTGGCTCAGTCTTTCCCTACTTTTCCTTTTCCTCAAATCCAAAAAATTTCGATAATTCAAGTTACGTGTCTACACGCGTTTTTTGAATCTCTTGAGCTGTGCGTTTCTGGGAAGGAAGGAGGCTTTCAAGGAAGGGACCTTTGCCCTTTGCGCTCGTCGAGAATTAAGGTTTAGAGCTCTCACTTATGTAAGAAGTTCTGCCGCTTTGGCCTGGTTTAGGCCTTTAGGTTTTCTCACTCAAAGTTTAATCTCAGCTCTTGTCGGAACGGTGTCGGAGGAACGGGAGCGATCTGGAACGATGCAGCTGAAATCCCGTGGCCAACCACACGGGGAATTTTACCAACGGTAATCCAGACACTTGCATCCGAGTCCGATAGCATGTGGAACAGATAATTTCTGGCCCACTGAAGGCGCTATTCCTCTAACAGGTACCGCGCAGATCCACAGCTTGACATGACTAGCTTGGCTCATACAAATTCCAAGCTCGATTCAAGTCTTTCGTGATTTCGAGAGGCCATATGCAAATCGACGCAAATCTATCGTGCAGACTTGTTGGAGAACCTAATTACTAAGGTAAACGCTCCAAGTCAGCAACGATTCAAGGAATATCGAGCACCACTAGGGTGACCGAGTTGTGAGCCTGATAGATCTTTTGGCATTTCCCTTGTCCGTTGTATATCGAGCGCAGGCACACAAGTACATAAGACTTCAACACACTCCAATTACCTTCGATGCGCATACATGGTTCGCGGGAAATCGCAGTGTAAATTAGACGCCCTCCTATCTGCAACTCCTCAATGAGATGGATTGAGATCGATTTGACGCCTTGTATTGTAGTGTAGTTGACTTGACTTCTTTGACCGGATAATGATTGCACTTGAGATGGTGTTTTGATGGTTCATGCTATGTAACCCTGCCCACTTTCGCAGCCTTCAACATTTTCATGAAGTACAGGCTAATGTCAAGACCAGTCCTAGTCAGACTTAACACCACCACAAACCCTTGGATTCTCCTTAGACATACCACGACGGCTCTGACTGTTGATTATACACACCTTCCGTAGCTTGACAAATCCGACCCGACCTGGACCTAAGAAATTAATATTATAACAAAAGTATTGCCGTACTTACCGACACTGATAGACACTGATAGATGTGGCCAGGTTCTGTTATGGCTTCATCATGATGCATCGATACTATGTACGTTTGGAAAAAAGCTCTTGGAAATCTAATATACTGGCATGCTATTCGTCAGTGCTTGGGGTACATAGGCAACTTTGCTGGCCCGAAAAGTTCAACGAACGTGTTCCATTTCGCATGTGATGGATTTAAGCGCCAGCCGATTTGAGCGCCTACCATCGTGTGTTTCAGACCGATTCTCAAGCTTGGACTACCACCTTATCGGACCTCACAGGAGCTCTGAAGCCCGTCTTATCTTCAACATCGTCCTTCTATGTCCTCTGCTCAATAATCTCCTTCACTTCCGAAATACCTGTCCCTGTTATTCGTTCCGCACAAGAAGCACCGAGCTCCATGCCAGCCCGGCATCTGCTTCCTTGACCTCTCTTCGTGTGCACAATAACCTATCTTTACCGTTATCATCTCCCGGGACAACTTGGGTGTCGAACGGGGAGTTTCCTTCGTGAATCTACATCGGCTTCCTGAATGTTCGATCTTTTCTTGTAAACTCAATCGTGGTCCTTGTTCTCCTCAGGTTCTCCCTTTGGGCTCGGGTGATTACGAGGCTGAGAACTGGAGAAGGACGTGGCCGGCTTGCTGAGGCCGTATCCCAGCGACGCTTCTTGTTCAGTAGTCGACTCAGGAGATGTATATCTATTCGAGTAGCGGACTTACTTGTCTATTCTTTTCTATCATTCGACTTTTCGACCGATCAACGGTACCGTGCTGGTTATGAGGAGACGCAAAAAGTGAAGACGGATGACGGGACCTGACAGTACCTTGTCTTTGTTCAGGTCAAGTTCCAGGAATAATTCATACCTTTACTACGTGGTTCACAGGGTTCCTGGTCTAAGACTTTTCAGCAATTGACGTTTTTTAATACTCACCTATCGTCGTAGGACGATTCAACATGTATCAATCTCGCGAGTTTTCGTCTACCTTCAACCGAAAACCAGGGCGAAATCAGTGCATTTTCCTGCCTGCCGAATGAAATTTATTTTTCTGTTCCTTCTAGTTGTTCCATTGTTTCTTCAGGTCCCAGCAGGTCCCTCAGGTTGGCTCAAGATCAAATTGACTCCGACTAAACATCCTCAAATGCTTTGTTGTCATTACGCGTATTCAAGCGTTATCCTAACTGGTATTCCTCTCCCAGGTGACTAGTTTCTTTCCTGCTTGGATTCTGCTGATATTTTTTGCATGAAAGTTTTGCAACATCTCCAAATACCCGTGATTGCAGTCAATTTCCGGCAAGGCCACATCCAACTTTTCGAACGGGGAATAGCATTGTCGGCACTTTCTCAGATCAATTTAGACCTGTTCCTCGTCATTCATGATGTATGTTTCCTTTGATCGACAGCAATGATTGAGAGCAGGATGTCAAGTACCATGCAATAGCAATTTCTGATACTGAAAGGCCCTGATACTCTACAGTATCGGTCAACACCGATAACTATCCCGAGAACCTTTTAAGGCACCGACACGGCCGTCAATTGTGCTTCTTGTAGAGATTATTCGGGCTTTGGGGTATGTGCGCTCTATAATTACTCCGAAGGGCCTACATATGTTTCTACCAACACAATAAATGCTGGACTTCAAGAACTACACATATTCGACACGTATGTACGTTACGAATAAGTTTCAAAGCTTACGTTTTCCGTAATTTTAGGTACACCAGTAGCCTTCCTCGGGGTGACTCCTTCTAGGTCCTTCCCATTCAAGATTCTGAGTAGAATTTAGAACGGAGGTTGAGTATGGCGCCAGGTGTATTTTACGCTAAAACGTGACTTCATCCTTTCCGAGGCTGGTGGGCAGTTGGGATCTCGACTGATCGACGATCAGCTAGAAGTATAAAAGCTCGACGTGTCGCTCTTCCCTTCACTAGTCCAATTTCAGTGGGCCTATGTTCACCATGCGTTCTCTCTCAGTCTTTGCGCTAGCGTTAGCTTTAACGTCCGTTCATGTGCGACTGTTCCCCGATCTTCCACTCCATTCATTGCGCTAACTCTTTCCCAGTTATCCTCTGCTTCAACCCACATTCATTCAAATGTCGACGGAAGGCGACACCGTCGACAAACTATCCCTACGAACTTACCCGGAAATTGGACATCCGAAGGATGTTTCACGTAACTTGCTTCTGTATATTGATGTTCGCGCTCCGTCTGACTAAAAGTAATGTTTTGTTAGAGACAACGTCGGGGCCCGTACATTATCTGGTGCCACTTTTGCAAACGGGACTGGCATGACAATTGAGCAATGCCTCAACTTCTGTGATGCCAACAACTTTGTTCTTGCCGGAGTGGAATTCGGCGATGAATGCTGTGCGGACTTAACCAGTCTTTTGAAGCTGTAGTCAACGCTGACGATCAACATAGATTGTGACAATTTCATTGAAAATAATGCCAGTACAACGGCAGCTACTGATTGTAACATGCCATGCGCTGGAAATGCGAAAGAAGTCTGCGGTATGTACGGTCACCTATTATGCGCCCACTATCTGCTGATCCAGCAGCTTCACCATTCTAGGCGCAGCCAATCGACTCAACGTCTTCAACTCTGGAAAAACCCCGCCTCCTCCCCCAGTTACCGTCCCAAGCGTTGGCAACTGGACTTCCCTCGGCTGTTATAGGTTAGTCAACAGCCCCGTTAATACAGATGAAGCTTCTTTATGAGAAATTATGATTTTACTCCGACAGCGACGGCGTCAATGGCCAGCGCACCCTCACGGTAGGAGTCAACTTAGTGAATCCGGCAACTGTGGAAGAGTGCACTGCGACCTGTTTCGCTGCCGGATATCAGTATGCCGGCACCGAATTTGCAGACCAATGTTGTAAGTTTTGAGTTTGTCAAGGTCTTTTTACACATGTTGACAAGATCCTTTTTTTGCAATCAGTCTGTGACACTGCCATCACTAATGGAGGTGTACCTACACCAATTACCGACTGCAACATGGTATATTGTCTGATTTACATCCACGAAATCTCAATGATGCATATGTACCTCTTGTATGTAGGTCTGCGCTGGAAATTCTTCGGAGTTTTGTGGTGGACCGAATCGTCTCAATGTAATTACTTTTACTTTTTCAAATACCTGTTTTTTCATGTGTCCTCGCAGATGTATAATTATACTGGCGACAATCTTCCTCCAATCACTGCGCCTGGAGGCGGGGGTGGCGGTGATGCCCCCGTTTTCCCGGTGACTTCGGGCCTTCCGGGATCTTGGAAATATGTGTCTTGCTATGTGTATGTCCTATGTCTTTATTGACATCTTCCGTGCATCATTTCTCATAACAATTCAGTGATAATGCATTTGGCCGCATATTCGAATTTGAACAACCCGATAACGCTAACACCACTGTCGAAGAATGTATCAGCGTGTGTTCCGGTCAAAATTTTACAGTGGCGGGCATGGAATTCAGCGTAGGTACCCTGCATATTTTGTAGAACATACAACTGATAAGTCCTCTTTTAGGATCAATGTTGTGAGTTTGATTGACAGTTTGCTGTCTAACCCCATTCACTGAGATACATCCATATCACGATCAGTCTGCGGTGATAGATTGGTCAATGGCGCCGTTGTCGCAGATGATTCGACATGCAACATGGGATGCGCCGGTAACGCAACGTTTGTCCTTCTTTTTGATATTAGACGAGACATTCTGACATTCGTTTCATCTTCATCAGAGAAGCCTGTGGTGGACCTAATCGACTGTTAGTACATATGCCACTTTCTAGTTGTCGTTTTGCTAACTGAGATGATACAGTTCTGTCTACTCTTCATCAGCAAATGTCACTGCTCTGCCCGTCCCCACTGTACAAACCACTAATCTCACTGGTAACTGGACATATGCTGGCTGCTACACGTTAGTGTTTCGATGCTAAAATCGTCTAGGACATACCCCTGATTTCATCTACAGAGACAACGCCGCAGGCACTAGAACACTTCCATGGGAGCTTCAACTTACCCTAAACAACTCGGCAGAAACATGCACAAGTCAATGTGCTGCATTTGGGTACAGTGCTGCTGGCATGGAGTTTGGTATCCAATGCTGTAGGTTTCTTAAAACCATAACCTCATAGGTGCTGTCTAAGGCTCACTTTTTTTAAATACAGTCTGTGGTGACATCTCTGATATCGCAGCCAACGGTGCAACATTGGTAAATACTCCGTTCCCTTTCTTTCTCAATGCGCTGAAATGTGCGACAGGCTCCCGAAAGCGACTGCAACACTCAATGCTCTGGAGACCCTATCCATCTCTGCGGAAGTACGTGTCCAAAGTTCACATTTACCATTTCTGGATTCTCATTCCACGGTACACAGGTGGAAACAGACTCCAGATGTACACTTGGAACGGTGCTCTAAATGTTTGGCACACACCTGAAAACACTGGATATTACGAAGTAAGTCCGAATCCCTAATATCTCTACTGCTCATGACTGACGATCCACAGTTTTTCGGTGAGCAAACTCGTTGAAAGCTGTCATGAATCTCATTGAGTTGTGTCTTCTTAGTCCCTGGGTATGTGCCTTATCGTCTACGTTGTATTTTTGTGTTTACATACTTCTAGTGTCGTGGTTCCTTTGATTGCTACCCTCGGGGTAAACAATAAGGTCACATTCTTAGAGAAACACGGAACAAGCGAGTAAGGGTTCATCTAGCTATCATGTAAGCACATACCTGATTGGTACCTTCCAGGTTCGACAACTCTACTGGAGCATACGAACTTGACCTTAGTTTAGTCTCTAATTTCTCAGCTGCATGGCGGACTATGCATGTCCAAACCGACGTGTTCTGCTCTGGAAGCGTGATCCTTCCCGACATAGGAGCTCGACAAATCAATGTTGGAGGTACGTCGTGGATGCTACATGAATTGTATAATGAACTTGACTTAATTTCGTTTAGGCTGGTCGCTGGATTCTACATTTGGTGTCAGACTTTACACGCCCAATGGAGTGCCTGGAATTAATTCAACTAACGACTGGGAAGAAAACGGCGACGAACTTCACTTACTGGTGATTCATATGCGATCATTCCTCCAACGTAAATTCGCTCATGACATTCATTATTAGGCTGGTCGATGGTATCCTTCCGCTTTGGTGCTTTCCAATGGATCTATTTTGGTTATGGGGGGCGAAACCGGCAGTAACGCATCACCTCAACCAAGTCTTGAACTTCTTCCTCTTCCCGAAGGGTCAGGCGTCGTACCCCTCGACTTCCTCGAAAGGACTGATCCGTGGAACCTGTATGTAACATGTCCTATTGCTGAATACCGGTCCTTACCCAAACTTTCTAGTTACCCGTTCCTTACTATGCTTCCTTCTGGTCGAATTTTTGTTGGTAAGTGTTCGATCAGATGATGGTCGTTTTCCTACTCATCACTTTACTAGGGTACTACAACGAGGCCCGTATCCTTGACCCTGTCACCTTCGATACCGTGCAAACTCTACCCAACATACCTGGGGCGGTGAATAACTGTAGGCGAACCTGACTGTCTCAATGCTTTTGATTTGAATGTTCTGTAGTCCTTGCAGGTCGTACATATCCCTTGGAAGGTTCTATGATTCCCTTCCCTCAATACGCTCGTAAGTTCAGCCAGTAACTCTTTGAGTGCAAAGACGATGACATTCGATATCTAGCTTATACCGATCCGCTCCGTATTTTGATTTGCGGAGGTTCTACTCCTGGACCTGGTATGATAATGTTTGTGAAGTCCTAAAATCGATGATTGACTTTATTAATCAGCACAAGTGATTGACAACTGTGTTTCCATTGAACCGGAAACAGAAAATGCTACATGGACTCTCGAGCGAATGGTGAGTTTTCCACGGCAATATTTACCGTGATCTGGTCATTAATTATCCATACTACAGCCTTCCAGAAGAGTCATGAGCTGCATGGTCCCATTGCCAGATGGTAAGCAATGATCTTGCTGGTGGTTGGAATGATCTTTTTCTGAACATGTAATCAAGGAACAATGATGATAATGAACGGTGCTATGGAGGGTGTAGCTGGATTCGGTCTCGCTTCGGACCCTAACTTCAATGCCGTCTTGTATGACCCCACCCAGCCTGTCGGCCAACGTTTCTCGATTCTGAACAACACAATTGTCGCACGTTTGTACCACTCCGAGGCCACTCTCCTGCCGGATGGACGTATCCTCGTTTCTGGTTCTGACCCGCAGACTCCTGGATTCCCTGAAGAAATGCGTATCGAGGTTTATGTTCCTCCGTACTTGAACCAAGGCATTCGCCAGCCAGAGTATAATATCTCTGAAACGGACTTTGGTTACGGTCAAACCTTCCAAATCACCAACGTCCAGGTCTTCCATGGCTCGATCGCGAATATCAAGGTTTCGCTTATTGCAGGTGTGTAGCTAATGGGTCATGTTCGTGCGCAAAAGAGTTCAAGTTTTCGATACAGCTACATCGAGCACGCACGGAAATGCTATGGGCGCTCGTACCATCTTCCCTGAGTTTTCATGCTCCGCAACGACTTGCACAATTACCACTCCACCGAACGCGTTCGTTTCACCGCCTGGCTGGTGGCAATTGTTCATTTTAGATGACGCCAGGACCCCTTCGCACTCCTCATGGCTTCGTATTGGTGGTGATCCTGGACAACTGGGCAACTGGCCAAATCTTCCTGGGTTTACTCCTCCGGGACTTTAGTAACGGAGGGAATTCAGGACTTTTGACATCATGTTCTTCTTTTTAATTTCGGATTGCTTTGGGACTCTCCTTACCTATGCCATCTATTCCTGTCGTTACGATTGTGTAAGACGAATTATTTTCTCACATTATATTACTTCTATGTATGGTCCTGGATAGCTTGTGTGGAGCCGAAATTGTATTGGACTTTCTGTTCTCTTTGGGCCTCCATCGTAAATCCCAATCGACAGTCCCTGTCAACTTTGTTTTTATGATTCGCAAAAGATAAAACCTATTTCCTTATCGTGAAAAGAGTGTGTGATTTCAGATACATTATGACCGGAGGATAAATCAAAAACTATGGAGTATAATGCCAAAATACTGGCTCGACCCGGGCTCGAACCGAGGACCTTCTGTGTGTAAGACAGATGCGATAACCAACTACGCCATCGAACCGTTATTTGTAACGTTCTTTGTTGATACTACTACTACAACTGTGTAACGTAACAGCAACTCAACGCGTGTTTGTTTACCTATTTGGGCAACATTTTGTGTTCTCTCTAGTTTCACTCTCACGACTAGAATTTACACCTTTCGTGGTATACCACGAAGACCACGAGCCTTCCACGGCCCACTGTGCGGTACACTTTTCCTGACTGCCACATCACTTTGCTACGACATATACTCCGCCAAAGCACCTTTTGCACATCCATAAGTGTCGTCTTTCTCGTCGCTGAAGATCTCACAACGGCCATGACACGATTTGGGGACTTTGCGCCACTATGTACAAATACACCCTCGTACACTTGGTGTAACCTATTCTATCGACAACTTTCATCCGATTCATCTTTGAAAAGTATCTTGACTGGTCTCTCTGCCGATGCGAATTCAGCACCAGTGGGGATCAACCCTGTTTGTGGTATCGCTAAAGCTGGCACTACAATCGATGGTCCACATCAGGGCACAGGAAAGAGCTTAGGGAACATCGCCAATATAGTCGTGTGTGCTGTGAGCATGCTCGTGATTTTAGGCCTAATTGTTGCATCTCAAAAGAGGAAAGCAGCAGTCGGTGAGTAAATAACTGAGCTCGATCTCGCTTCTGTATTCTTATAATGAGTTCAATCTCAGGTCGTGTCGAACTACGAAATCTTCTAATCCTCTATTTCCTCACGTTACCTTTCCAACTTCTGACCACTGGCTCCTTCCTTGCGCAAGGTTCGACAGCGCTGGTTGCATTAACCGCAATACACGCAGGGCTCGTAGCGGCTTTTTTCTGGGCACTGCTAATGAATGCACTCATCGCCACTCAGAAAATTGAAGATGGAACACCAGCCGCACTAGTCGTACGTGGCCTTGTTTTCCTTAACAACAATTCATTTCTCATCCATGAGTAGCCCTATCTCCTTTTCTGCGCAGCCTTCTTTGCGGGTACCACGTACATTGCATTTGATGTTGGGTTAGGCATCACGACGGCGTTGGGTCCCTCAAATGACCCCAGAGAACTGCGAAGCATTCCGTTATTTGTTCTGACGAGCATCTGGCCAGCAGTGTCAGTATCAACTATCATCTTTCTCTTCAGTGGTTCGGCGTTCCGTCTCTGTTACTGATTGTTTGCCTAACAGGGCTGCGATACTTTATTTTGGTATCATGACATACATCGTCCTAGCTGTCCTTAATGAGACACGGCCAATGTGGTACTATATCCTTTCTGCAGGATTATTTGTGCTTAGCCAGCTGGCTTGGTTCCTCCTGGGAAAGGTTATTTGTGAAGTGAGCAATATTCTTCTCGATTTCTCCATTTTACCCCTACCGGCACATACTACCCATTCTACGCCCGGGTATTTGACCGCGGTGACCGCGCGGTCATCACTTGAAACAGGGAAATGATCTGGGATTTGTGACTCCCATCACGAATCATCGATAATGGATGCAGTTGGTGGCAGTTGCAGAGGTCTAAAGAATGGGGACATGGCTGGTGCATTGCACTCACCAGAAGTCTCAATTTCCGCATTGCGTACCTTCTGCCTCGTGTTTTGATAACTGCATCCACCGAGAACTCGGCTGAACTAATCAATTTCTAATTCACAGGGATCAACAAGTAAAGTCGACGGATCCTTTGTCGCTACAATTCTAGAGACTGCTGCCGTTGGTGTATTATATCTGGCATGGAGGAGTATCACAGAAGGTTCGTCCTGCATACGACAATCATTTCCGTTACTGTTGTGTTTCAATGCATCGCTCGTTCCCGCTTTTCGTGGTCCGCAGTATGCCCGAGTGGCGCACGTATGTTAAGAGTTCATGCACTGGTATTGCATCCGCCCTCATGGCCGTGGAAGCTTGTCTGTGGACAGATCAGATGTTGGCTTGGAGATTGTGTTCTAGCTGCTTTTGCAAGCGAGACAAGCTGTTTTTCGCGCAGGTGGTCTTGAAATATCTAGTTGCTTCTTCGAGTTTCTCTTATAAGCTGCTACATTTTCCCTCCAGTCATTATACCGCTTTCATCTTATCTATCCTTTACTTGAACTCTCTTATTGACGTTTTTTGAACAGATTCATGGGATGATGACCCCTATCCAATGTATCCCTCATAGCCTCTCGGTTTATCGTTTCCCCGGGAACGTTTGATCCTAAAAGCGACACCTATCCAGAAGCCTCCCTTTTTTGTTAATTCGATGATGTTCTATATTCCCGTAAAGAGCCTGGTCTACTTATGTTGTGATTTCCATGTCTTGAAGTGTTCGTTGTTACCCCTTCCAGTGCTTTCGACGGTTCTTGTCCTATCACTTCGATGTTATCACTTCGATGTTTTGCAGTCATATGTCCCACTTGTTGGAGGTTGTAGATGTACCGTTAACGTTTCTTCCTTTAGGCCATTTCCCTCTCCCTCTCTCTTTCTCCCTTCCTTCGACCCGGTCGACCTGTTCCATCACCGCCCATCTCTCTCTTTCTTATCTTTCGCTTTGTCCCCCCTTTACCTGTTGTGTTGCCCTTCAAACTCTCGTGTGCAAGGACTATTCGTGTAGCCTGCAGAGCAATGAAGATCTCCTTTTTCTTGCACAGTGTATATATATATGTGTTATGTGTATATCCTTATCATCTAATTCATCATCCTAAACTCGAGCTTGACGCCAGGCGTTTTTATATATCCTTTCGTGATACCCTCCAGTACATTTTCTTTTTTTTTTTTCAGTGTCTATTGTACTGGCTTACTCTTTTTTGTTGACATTGCATGTTTGTGTTTCTACCAATCATGTGTTTTCGGCTTTGAGCAGGAGGAGGACGGTTGATGGTGGTGCAACTTCCCGATGTGGGGACAAGTGTGGTTTGGGATAAATACAAAGAAAGCTGTAGAAGGGACGGGAGAATCGAGACAGGGCGGAACATAACAAATGTTCCACCCTGCTCTACGACTTTAATGACTTCATATGTTCACCGTATTCTTTCCCAAGTTTATGGTTGTCAATAAATCTGACTTGGACGACGTGATTTGGTCTATTACTACATGGAGCACCACATCTGAATACTATGAGCTCGATGCTTCCCGATTAACAAAATTATCCATCATCAACATCCTACAAAAAGCCTCCGTTTGGGGATTCGAATACGGCGGGGGTTGTTCCCACCTACCACCTCCACCACTCATCCCTCCTCCGCGCCCATCTTGACCACCTCCTCTACCTCCTGTTTCACCGTGGAAACCCTCCCCGACATCTGCTCCGCCTCCTCCCGAAACCGAAACTGACTCCGGCCCGGGAGCAGTTCTCACAAACTGCTGCACATCTCCAACGGGTACCCTGCCTTCCTCCCGAACATTTGCCTTCACCCACTCTAACTCCCTGGCCACCATCTCCCGCGCAGCGGTTTCTTCCGGAAAGGGTTTTTGTTGGCGGGTAAGGGAGATGTGGGAGTGGAAGGCGCGTGTTATAGCGAGCCAGTGGGGGTCAAAGGTTAAGATTGGTTGAGCAGATGAGGATATGGGTATGTGTTGCGCTGGTGGTGAAGATGCTGAGGTATCTGTAGTGGTTAGTGTAGGATCTTCTCCCAAATTCGCTTTTGAAGCAGATGACGGGAATCCGGGCGTATCGACGTCGATTACCTACAAAAAATTGATCAATCTCTGCTTCTGGACCGACCAAATAGAATAAGGATTGAACTCAGGAACAAAGAAACTGGACAGCAAAATGAATGAACAGAGTAAGAGAAACCTGTGTAACCCACCTCCAAAAACTTTCTCTGTGGCAGGCATTTGTCTAATGCCACAAAGTGGGTGAACCATCCATTGGTGACCTTGTTAGGAGGAAGAGGATACATCGATCCTGATGTTGGTGGTGGCGGCAGCGGAGCTGGAGGTACAGCGACATCGAAATCGACGTCTCCGTCCAGATCATCCAGCGTGATTTCATCAGGGTTCTTATTAGGAGGTGGTATTGACGCAGCAGCTGGTATCGATGTCGAATTCTGTACGAGTGTTATGTCCTCTGCCGGCCCAGATTCGGATTCACCGTCGATGATAATCTCATCCGGGTTCGCAACCTTTTCCTCATCCGCCTGTTTACTCTCCTCCTGCGTCTCCCACCAAACTTGAACATCAAACCCTACATGCAAATGCGCGCTAAACCACCATCGCGGTCTTAACACCTGCAGTAGACCCATAAGAGGAGGACTACCCAACTTTCCCTCGGATACTTCTTGTCTGAAGTGCGGCTTTTTGCGGAGAAGTTGGTTGAGATTGGAGGGAGAAGCGTAGGAGGTTATATTGAGTGGCCAGTCGTGGGATAGGAAAATCGTCGTTGGGGAAGATGAGGAAGAGGATGGGGGAAGGAGTGATAATTGCCGGACGGCTGATTCACGAATGTAATAGACGGAGCGTAGATCGTCTTGGTTGTATGGTTGTCGCTCATAGTAACCTGTTATATTAGACGTGAACATGAGGGTAATATCATTGAGTGTGTATGTTTAGTACCTTTGTTGAATTTGTGACCTTTGTATATGCCTGAAGCACCAGAGATGCGAATTCCATTGATTAGTACAGAACCAGCGTTGCCGAGAAAGTAGATATTGGGTGCTACCCATCCACCGTGAAATCTATAAACCCAGAGAGCTTATCGGAAAGTCAAAGTGAATAGTAGGATTGACAACTCACAGTTCCCAAAAGTAATTACTCGCTTCATGATTCCCACCAATGATAACGGTCAATATCGGTGCAGTCTTTTCCCCAATGTAATATCTACGAAAAGTCAGTTTTACAAGAAAACAAGGGGATTTGATATTCACTTGTAAAACCCTCCTAGATGTTTGTACTTGTTCGGTACCGCCATACATTGCAAATCTCGTTCATTTCGTACGGCCTGAAAATCTCCGCAGATTAAGAGCAAGTCGACGTGGTAGTTGTTCTTAGCTTCGATGTCGGCGATGGAGGAATAGATGGAATCTAGGTGGCCGTGGCAGCAGCCCTCGATCGCAATTTTCATTAGCCCCACGAAATTCGAATCGTATGAAGTGGAAGACTTGGTTTTAACCTTGAGGTCTTCCCACGGTGTTCCATTGGCACTCCCTAAAGCTAGTCATATTTCAGAGGTCGTACTACAAGCTGGAGGATAATCTGAGGATAATATAATGATCAATATATCGTAGCGTCATCGCACCGGAAAATGGGAGCAGAAGTAATATAGCATAAGAGAACCTTATCATAGGATAGAATATTGTCACTAGAACGTAGTATGTAAATGATGGATACAAGGCATGTAAAAGAACAATGGGATATGCAAGAAGTACAAGAATAAGAAATTAGAAGAGTCACAACAAGAAGACAAAGGAATCATATGAAATGAAAGCAAGAGCAGACAGGTGTCTAGGATCGAGGTGTTAGTACAATTGTGCCATTCTCAACTTCGAATAAAACATACATCACAGATCAAGGATCATCTTCATCCAAAGCAATAGGTTCTAGATAACTTTCCGGAACTAACGCAAGTTGTCTTTCTTTCTGTGACGATCGTCGCTTTCCTTTATCGTCGACTCCGTCAACTACGACAACAGCCCAACCTGCTCCTCCTCCGCGACCGACTACTCGTACAACCTGTTCTTCGTTCAACGCCATCTCTCGTGAACCTTCCGGAATGAAAGGGTAAAGGGCACGGTATAAACCGGGACTAAGGGGACCAGCATCTTCTTCGCCTTCCTCGTCGTCCTCCTCATTTTCATAATTTGGTTCATCAGATGGGAGACTCCATCGTCCATTCCATCCTCTGTTATCATCTTCGTCAGTCTCTTCTTCATCTTCGTTCTCATACTCATCGACGTCCATGGCGTCGCTGTCCTGAATATCTTGGTCTGCACTAATAGCAGCCGCTTTCCAAGCTTGGTACTCGACATCGTCAAGTAACATTTGGTAAATTACCCGCACTCGATTTTCTCTGGGTATATTCAACGTCCCCTTACCATCCTCTCCTAATCCCTGATGCCTCGGATCTGAAGCCGCATACGCGAAGTCTCTGATCTTCAAAGGTATCCGATAAGAACTAGTTGTCAGAGGATGAGAGGATCTGTCTGATGGGCCTCGGGAGGGATGAGTAGACGATGGCATGGGCGTGGAAGTCATGGAATAGGTTGCGGGAACAAATGATAAATTGTGGGCCGCAGAATCGAACGATGTGGTTCTTTTCGCATGCGTAAGCGTTGTGTTGAAGTCAGCGGCCGATAATGTGCTTTTCATTAGTTGCCCAGACAACGGCCGATTGTAAGCGCTGTGGCGTTTATCGAAGGACGCGGAGCGCCTAAAAGCCCTCTGTAGACGACCAAAAAAGCCACACTCCGAAATACTAGGTTGAGATAAATGCTTCGATTTTGGGATGGAAGAGGTAGAGGAAAATTCTGGAAATTCATCCGATACCGTTTCTGTGCGTAATTTACGGGGTCTAAGGGAATCTGAACGAGAAGGTAGCGAGTAAGACGCTGAACCCGTAGTGCAAGATTGAAGGCCATTTAAGGGCAGGGAGAATCGATTCTTCTGTTCATTAACAGGAGGATGCATTTCTCAAGGGTATCGATAACGGAGAGTCGAGACGGAGTTGCAATTGTCTCAGATTATCAATCCTACAAATTTACTTCCGCTTGACAGGATATTTTCAACAGTACTAAATGAAATCTAGTCCCAGATAGATAGAATGTGGCCCTTTCTAGACAGTGCACATTTCTTGTTCACCTTGCTTGCAAAGGTCATTTGTTACTCAATATTATTAGCACTGCGGAAATTTTACCCACGGTTTCGGCACTTGTTTCTAATTCTAACCTGTCATTTTTGTCCTGTTTAACCACATGTCTACCATACCAGTGTCCCTCCACTGTTGTGTGCAGCATGCTCAGGTAGGTCAGCAGGTATTCACTTCCTGTTCAAATAACAACTCCAGCTGTTCCTCGTCCTGTTCCCACTCTGCCTCCTTTATGTATCTACCACAAGTTCAGTGTATGACGTACGGCTGAAATCAGTTGACAGATATTCATGCCAGGGCGCAAGCCGCCTTTGTATCTGCTGAGTACCACCGACCACCTTCATATCAAATGAGTATGGGCAACTCCCTGCCACTTGGGCTGTGAGAACAAAATTCTTGCATACATAGATTGGCATGGCACCTGTTAAGCAAATCTTTTGCACTGTTGTTTGAGATATTGGAATACACAATAACCTAATTCATGATGCTCAGATAGTTTAGATTGTAGATTACATTGATGTTGACAGAAAACATCTCATAATTTCCAATGAATACTGGATATTCTTACATGTATCATCTCAAAGATACCCAAAATGTCTGAATGTTTTCTGTTAACATGAATCATCTATGTGAGATACACTAATCCTGATGGTTTTTAGAAAGATCCCATAGCGCGAACCACCATTCTGAGCCTCCCCCCCGGAATGGGTTTAATCTTACATAATTCGTATTTCTACTAAGCAAAGTCTTCTTGTTGCATCCCTATTGCTTTGACATGTTACCTAAGATACAAAAACCTGTGTATGCCTAATGTGGCTGACCATTGTCCTAGTGTAAGGTCCAGGAAAGCACAAATGTTCTTTGAAAAAGGATCATCAGGAGAACTGCTGCTGCTAGACTTGCAAGGCAGTCTAAGCATGATCCTGACTAAGACCCTCCCGGTGACATGCCTAAATTTTGGCTAGACGTCTATGCTGTGAATTGTGACATTTTCACGCATAGATTCGTATCAAGAGGACTGTAATTGAGACCCAGATTGACAGTCAAAGTCAATACTGAATCAGTCTAATAAGTTGAAGGGACCATATACCCATACTACCACAAGTTGGTTAGTTTACCCATCCCCGATACTACCTTCGGATAGCAGTCTACCTGTTTGTCAAGCAGGATTATACCAGACTCGGACTACATCCGAAGGATGACCATTCACGTATGACATACCAAGGGTATTCTTATTGGACCTTACACTGGCAGGAGTTTGGAAGAACTTACTCAAGTGACCATGAGCCAAGGATTGACTCAAAATGACTTTCTAGAACTCAGGAATTATCAAATACTCCTTCTAGAACGAGATCATGCATTAATCTAAAAGACTGTGATTTAGTCTAATAGACCAATCAAGTTGCATGGTTGAGGAAGATGACTAGAAGAACGATCGAAGTACTGCGAGGCTCCGAAGGCATATCAAATGAATGTCAAAGAGTCCTAACGTAGAAAATATTGAAGAATGCAATTAAATGAATACTATGCGTAACTCCCTTGATAGAGTATAGGCACAATGGGTGTCTATTGAAAGAGAGAAGCAATTGGTTTAACCCAGATGAATCAGATTAATAGGATTAGAATCAAGGAGAGCTGATTTGCCTCCGGACGAGGTGACAAATGATCAAAGAAAGTGTTGAACAGCAATGACAGCTGAACACCATTCAAGTCATTCTCCAAAACAATTAAATTAAATGAATATTGAAGTACCTACCTATGTTTGGAGGTATACTAGAATCTTGGAACCATTATGGACCAAATAAGGACATGAAGATTCAAATTAAATGGTATCCGACCGATTGTAGAAGTTTCCTTGCGGTTCCAAACGTTTATTGTATTAAATTAATTGTACTATGCGACTCTATATTCTGTATGTATAAATAGCGATCCGATGTATCTGGAATACAAGTGATTTTGGGACGACGTTGCAGTGCTAATCCGTAAAAAGGAAAGACACACTCCCACCAGACTGAAACCTCTTTGCTAGTAGCCATTCGGGCCCGGCACTTGTGAGTATAGGAACGTCATGTTCTGCTCCTTGTGACTGCGAGAAGTATATCCAGTTGTTGGGTATTCTCCGAACTTAGGATCAGTCGTTGGTCTTAAGGGCAAATCACACTGTGTGGTTGTGCCAGCACATAGTTCTAGCCCTCCGTAGGGGTCTGTATGTTTTGGTTTTAATTTACTTTGATTCGAACCCCCAATTCTTGATATACCCATATCAATACAATCAAAGCACAAATCGTGCTGAATCTACCTTAATCAAAGTAATATACCAAATCCTTAGAACGATTCAAATTGATTGATCGAAGCTTCTTACTTAGCTCTCAAAGCTTTGCAGAACCTTTGCCAACGCTACCCCTTGCTATTAAATAAATTTGATAGCAGTGAACTCGCATATTGTGTATTAGATTGGTTGGTTGGAGTGCCCATTAGATTCCTTCCTTTCTCTTTCACACAAAAACGAGGCAAGCTCGTTACCGGAAATACTTCCAATGCTGATAATGACAAGGAAAACAATGGATTCATATTGACTCAGAGCATTTTTATATACACTAGATGCATAATTAGTACTCTAATGAATTCCGATCCCTCATGAAGTGAAGGAATGTGGAGGCAAAGGTTCAGCGCGAATGATTTTGGAACCAAAGACTAAGCGCCCACTTAGTCAGCACACAGAAACTTTGGCGGGGCTGCCCATACTCATATCAAATAACAAATCCAGCTTTTCTACTGCCCTGTTCTTACTCTAAGAGAAGGCAGCAGAGCTGTCTTCTCAGAGGATAAAATAAGATGTGGTGATGAAAGCGGGTGCTTATCACTTTTGAACTATGCTCTCATTGTCAAAACTCACTCAAGCTTGTTTTGTGATCCCACCCTCTCTTCCCTCTTTCACTTAAGTGTCCAGTCTTCTGACAAAGATGCTCCAGGCTCAGCCAAACCATGTTTTGTGTGTTTTCCCACCCAAGCGGGGCTGCGCTCCAGGCAAAACCTCACCCACTAGTTAATAGCACCCGTCAGTGCTCTCTTCATTCCCAGTGAGCTCAGTGGAGCAAATACTTATCTTATTTTGCCACTTCCATGTCCTTATTGCTGACTGACATTTCAGCATATTGTTTACACACAGAGTTTTTGCCTCCGTTTCGTCTCAGACATGTGCAACGTTGCACCGTTAGCCTTTACTTTGTGCTGCACCCGCGACCACCCCTTTACTCTGCTTGACCTGTTTCCAGCTACTTGAACCTGTTCCACACTAACCCCCACTGATTCGGCCATGCAGCAGGGCTCTGAGTTCCTCGGTAATGGGTTGAAGCCTACGGCAGGTACAACAGCCACAGTTGCGAAGGTTGCTTCTTTCACATTTGGGGAGGAGGAACATCTGTCGAAAGGTATGTGTAGCTGATATATGTGATTGTACATTGACAACTTTCTGCTTGCGAGTAGAGTCGGTTAATGCCAATGGTAAACAGCATTCAAGTGCACCAAATATGAAAGCGGGGCCTTTCAAGGTGGCTAGGACCACCGGGTTGGCCAAAGACTGAAGGCCACGTACAGTTGTCTGTTTTTATTGTTTATGTATGTTCAACTCCTTGTAGTCAGGTTGTATTATTTTACAACAGCTTCGATAATATATGTATCTGTTATGTATTGAGCTTCACTGCAGAGAGGTGCAATTTTCACGTGACTTACCAGAACGCCTCAAGCAAGGTTTGTGTCCCCTGCGGGGGCAACTAGTTTTATAATTTTCAAATGAATTTTGAAAGTTCAAAGAAGATAAAAATGTACGGCTTTGACTTTGTGAGAATTTATTCCACGTGTGTAGCGAGCGTCAAACGGACTCCGTTCCGTAGACCGTGACCCAAAAAAGAATTTAACTTTCAACCTAAAATCTCTTTTTTGCACGGAACCCGTTCCATAAAAGAAGCAATCCTCAGCTCGGAGATCCGTCTGTCTGGTTTCTCGGAATGGTGGAGACTGTTATGGATGAAGGAATCCGTCATAACCTTTTCAACTCGTACAGGATAATAAAACTAACAGTAATTCCTCCTGGACGACTTCTGACTAGCCAATTTACTCACAATGGCTTACCCCTCGACCTTGAAAAAATCCATGGTCACTGGTTCCGATGAAACTTTGAACCAGTCTCGATTGGATCCAATCGTTGAAGAGCAACAAAGCAGAATCACTGTCGGTGACGACGCGTTCGGGGCACCAGTAGAGACTGTCAGTCCGCTTGGGTACCATGTTGATTGGATTAGTGTGATCTTCTTAGTGCGTGCTGTCATTACTCTTGTGGCAATTTTTGAATCCTAGTTGTGAATAAGAATGTGAGCAGGATAATCGGTGTCGGAGTATTCGTCACCCGTAAGCTTGTATCTTGTCCTATGTCGTCCGCGATGCGATAAAATTCTTTGTAGCTGCGACGATCTTGAGAGGTGTAGGCTCTGTGGGGCTTAGCATGATTTACTGGGTCATAGGGTTCCTGTTCTCTGCCGGTAATCACTCTTCTGCTTGCTTGGAATCGAACTCACATCTTCCGTCCCTCTAGCATCTCTCTGTGTATACCTTGAGTACCTCTGCTATTACCCTCAGCGATCCGGGGGTATCGTCACGTATTTAGAAAAGGTGCTGACATACTTCTTTCTTTGCTCGGCTTCTACTCAGCTCGTCGTCTGCGCACAGGCTTTCCCTCGACCAAGGTTGATGGCTCCATTCTTGTATGCTTGTTTATTCTGTACACTGTCTACGAGTAGTGCAGCGTGTATTGGTATGTATGTTTGGCCTAATATTTCCATTCTACTCGTTAATTCACACAGTCTGTTCAAAGTATTCGCAGAATACATCCTCTTAGCACTCCAATACAACATAACAAAATGGAATGTCCGTGGCGTAGCGGTTGGGTTGTCTACTACCATGACTTTGAGTGAGTTTCTCAGTCGATTTGGTCTGATCTCCCACAAACTTCCGAGGTTTCAGTATGTATCTTGAGCACGAAATGGTCACTTCATTTCTCTAACGCGATAGGGATGATCAAGGTCCTTGCTTTGGTTTTGTAAGCCACCGTTTAGGTCTCACTGTTAGACCTACTCAACCACTTTCAACAGGATTGCTATCACTGGGCTGGTCGTCCTCTGTGGAGGTATCCCACATGTCCCAAATCCCGGGGCAAACTTCTCCCAGCCATTCCATGGAACCTCTAACAACGTTAATGGATTGGTGAGCGCGTTGTTGAAGATTAGGTTCTCATACGTCGGGTGGGAGGTAAGGTTTTATGAGCTTGTGGATGGGGTCATCGGCTAATACGTGATTTAGAGTGTGTTCAGTATGGTCAATGAAGTCAAGGTAAGCAAGACGTTCAATTCTGGAAGATAACACTAATTTTCGTTGTAAGGATCCAATCCCGACGTTGAAAAAATTTGCACCCTTATCACTCGGAGTAGTCTTTGCATTATACATATTGGTTAATGTCGCATACTTTGCTACTGGTGCGTCATCTGCTTTCACCCTTCTTTCATCACCTGTTAATATATTCCCCGCAGTCCCACTCGAAAAAATCAAATCGTCCAACGAAATGATCGCTAATCTGTTCTTCGAAACGATCTTTCCAAGCTCCCCAGACTCGACCAACATTGCCTTGATTGTTCTACAAGTCCTAGTGGCAATAAGCAGTCTCGGGAGCGTTATAGCTGCCACAATATCTGCTTCACGCATCATCCGGGAAAGTGGTCGGCAAGGGCTTCTTCCGTATCCTCAGATATGGGCATCGACAAAGCCATTTAACACCCCGTTAGCGGCGTATCTCCTACGGTGGACTGTGACAAGTGTGCTCATTGTGATTCCACCACCGGGGGACGCATTCAATTTTAGTAAGTCGTTGTTTCTTCTTCACTTCACATTCTTGCAAACACTAACATGATGCATTTTTCAGTTGTAGACCTGCAATATTACCCCGAAAGCATCTATGCATTCCTCCTCATTATTGGGCTCTTCCTCATCAGACGCCGACGTCGAGCTGTTGCTGCTCCCTCTATCCCATTCAGAGCTTGGACCTTCGTCGCGGTTTTCGCGCTTATAGTCAACTTGGTGATCATGATCATTCCCTGGGTACCTCCGGAAGGAGGAATTTATGCAGGCGACGTATCTTTCTTCTATGCGACGTACTGCATAGCTGGATTGGGCGTGTGAGTATCATTTCTCCTCAGGACGCTTGAGTCGGGATTACTCATCCGGAGTTCGGAATGATAAATATAGTATCGCGCTTTCCTGTGTTATCTACTATTTCTGGTATGTCTATTTTCCCCGCCGAGGAGGATATCGAATTCGACAAGTCACCGAGAAGTTATCTGACGGTGCGCAAACCTCGAAAATTGTCAAGGTGCCGATAGAAGTATTAGAAGAGTGGGATGCAGCGCATGTAGACGATGTTGAGCATCTAGTAGGGAACGAGGAAAGGGGGGAAGATCAGACGTAGGGAGGCACGTAGGTCGGTGTATAAATTTGAACACAGGCCGTTCGAATTACGTGGAGGACTCCATGCCTAGAGATTTACACTACTGAACGGGGTTTCCGGTACGTTCTTGGGGTTTTCGTATAGATAGATTACGGCGCAAACACCGCTCGATGTACACTAATTTACATGATACATACAAAGGTTCGAGACTACATAAATTTGGGGTCGACTTGAAAAAATGCACCGCTTGCCCTTCTGAGATCATACAACATATTTCGAGCAACAATGCTTACTTTCCGCGTCTATTCAACTGAACGCCAGTGCAGCCCAAGCCGCTATGGCTCCAACGGCTGCTACGGTAGCAGTTTGTACTGCGACAGTTCCAATGCGACGCGCCCTTTCCAGCCTTCGAACTCGCTTGGGGAAAGGTATGAGAATGCCGTCGGCATCCGAAGAAACAGTGCTCGTTGTGAAGTCGTCGCCGATAGTGCCGCGCGCGCGAACGGAATTGTTGGCGAAAGACTTGGAATGCGATTCAACATCCACACTCATCACCTCATTCAAACTTTCACTCACTTCTACATTAATGACTGAACCTTCACCGATACTGTCATCGCTATCATCAGCGTGTTTCCGCTTCAGCGACGACCGAACCAAGTGGTTTTGGGAAGTGGTCTGATTGATGTTCAGTTCTCCCGATCCTTCTCGTACAATAATGCATACCTGCGCCGCGGTCTGTTCGATTTCTTGACGCAAGGCAACAATGATTCGTAACTCATTTTCAGCATCGGATCGAGCGCTTTCCGTCGCCTTCAGTTCAGCAACACTCTTTTCCTGGAGTTTGTGGAGCTCTAGAGCAGGTAAGGAGATAATCAATTATGATAACATCTTGAAGAAACGAACCGTCAACCATCACCCGCAGCGGCGTATTTTCACTGATATCTTGTCTTTGTAGAACCTTCAACATATCTTCTTGGGTGTCGAGTAAATTGTTAGCGTCACCGATCTGCCGGTAAAGCGCCTTAATATCCGCTTCCGCAATAGCAAGGCCAGCACGACAGTCTTGGAGTTCAGTAATCGGCAAACTGTCACCACGAGTATGAACAGCATCAATGGCATTTTGTGTTCTTGCCTGAGTAATGTGAGCATCCACCTTTGCATCTTCCTTCCACTTGATCCACTCTTGTCGTAAGTTGCTCAATTCCTCTTTGCCATGGACCGCGGCATCTCCTTTCAGGCTCTGCTGGCCCATCAAATCGTCAACATCCCTCCGCATATCATTGAGTTCCATCCTCATGCCTTCAACGTCACTTCGCACTTCGTTAATTTCGCTTTGAAAACCCGCCGAATCCCCGTGAACGATGTCACATTCATCCTTGACACCATCAACTTCACCTCGTAGGGAGTCAAATTCGCCCCTGATACTCTCGACGTCGTTTCGTAGTCCATCTATATCCATACGATTTCCGTCAGTATCGCTCCGCACTTGATCAACATTTCCCCTTGCTTCGTCGACATCAGAGCGGATCCCATCAAGGTCACCTTTCACCCAGTCAATGTCGGTTTGGATTGTAGCGAGGTTGGAATCTAAGCCGCTAAGATGATCCTTTGTGGTAGAAAGACTGGAGGAAAGGGTGTTGAGTTGTGCCAGCTTTGTATTCATGGTAACGACGTTGTCATTGAAACGAGTTCTGTACTTGCGGTGTCGGAGTCGGATGGTGGCAAGATCATTCTAAATTTCGAGAGTTAACATCATAAAGATACATATGGCCTGGACAATAATAACCTTCACAGATAGTAACTCTTTGTCGATTTTATGAAGGTCCTCATTGGAGTCAGTCTCGCGGGCTTCCGAAGTAAGGCCAACAGCAGAAGCATGAGCACCATCGGTAGGTTCCTTCGAGTTAATTTCAATGTTTGACCCACTGAATCGCTCCTACAGTATTCGTTCATCCGGCTGATGTCAACTGACTAGATCGCGGATATACTCACCTTCAGAGACGAAAACGCAGCTCCAGCACGTTGCAAAACGCTCGTTACTGGACTTGAGGTAGCACTCATAACTTGTAGATCAATCATTGAACTGTTAGGTTCTTCCACCTGAGTTATTTGGTCAGTATCGACAACACCAAAAAATGAGGTTGTCATCACATTCTCTGGTTCCTCTTGTACGCCAGACCGGTTGATGTCAACCTCATCGAATACCTGTTCATCCATCCCCAAGCGATCTTCGTCTTCGATGTTGTCAGTTACTACGCTGGGAGGCTCTTCAGTTAGGCATCCTTCTGCATGTGGCCCTAGCTCATCCTCTATGCTCACAAGCATATCCGTGTTATCCTCTGGATCTCTGCTGTCTTGAACATCGTGCACATCTTCAGTATGGTCTAACTGAGGTGAAGACAAGGAGATACCATGTTCAGGAGCCTCTTCGACGAGGACAGCAACAGAACTTTCTTGCTCTTTTGAACAAGTGGAAGCAGGACGAGATGAAGTTTGAACGGAATCAACCATTCGCATCATCAAAGATAGAGGACGAAGGATAGGCTCCTCTGGAGAACAATTAACGGCGCAGGTAGACTGTGACGAGGATTGACTGGAATTGCTTATTCGGTTCAGCAAAGCTGGAGGAGATGAAAAATGCTGTAGAGAACGCATAGGGGGGGAGGAAGGTAGAGGAGGTGGTGTGCTCAACGGCGACCAGGACTCGTGATGTGCGTTGGAATCTGTTGTGAAGTGAATCTACACGATTAAATTCAGGCAGGAGATCGAGCTTACAAGAGGAATCCCTTCTAGGTTCGCTTATCACCAAGGGCGTATCAGTTGAATTATCATTGTTACCAACGCTCTTCGGTGGTGAAGGAGGCGGAGAGGGGGTAGCGAGATCCATAGGAGACATAGACCAGGATTTGGATTTTCGACGTGGAGGCCTATCAGGGCGACCGTGTTGAAATAAAGTGTTCATACTCATTTTTGTCCTCGAACGCAAAGCTTGTGTCGTTTGAGGCCGGATGGCAAAACTATCCTCTAAAGGATGTATAGGACTGCCAAAATCAAAGATGTCGTTGGTATAGGCATCTACACCATTCACCGCTTCGATGGTGGTCTTGTCCGCTTGGGGTTGATTGAACTTTGAATTGCTCATGGAGGGAGAAAAAGATAGCGAAGGCAGAGACAGGTGATCTCTATTGGCCTCGGTGCCAGGAACTGTAAAAGAGATATAAGAATGAGTAAGCACTACAAAGATTTGCTTGACAAGGATACGTACCATTTAATATCGGCAATGTAAGAGTGCGAAGGGCGCTGTTAACGCTAGGTATGACTGTAGAAAGAGAAAGCTTGGGAGGAGGAGGGATTTCCACGATGTCAGATTCATGGTCTGATGAATGATCATAGGATGGAGAAGGCGATTCATTGGAGTTTGCCGAAGAATCTGAGGAAGAGGAATCTCCCTCTGAAGTGTCACTCGACCGTAATCCGTAACGACCTGAGGAGCTGGAAATGGATTTAGTGGTGCTCGCAGGCCTTCTTGGGATAGAATTGTTAAATATAAGTTCCACCCTCGCGACTATGGGTCGAACGATTTCATTGTTCCTACCAACTGATTTGCCGAAAACGACTACGTCACCATTGTGCACTTGCACTAAAGTCTCTGTCGGGATTGGTCTTGAAGTGAGATCTGTGGGTCGTCGGATGTGTGTTCCATGGTGGGATGAAGTATCGGTAACATAGAGCTAAACGATTCCTTATCAGACTCACAAAGAACGAAGTAGTGACCATTGACGTACAAGTCCAGATTCAGAGAATGTGAACTTGGCATGAGCTCTGCTCACAACAGGACAGCGGAACATTGCGCTCGAACTGTCACTATCATAGATATCTGAGCCATGTTGAGGCTGCTTCCGACCAACGACGACGGTGTTCGTATTGACTCTACGAAACATCATACAATGACCTGATTCAGCTCCATTTTTCTCAATATGCAGATCAAATCCTGAAGACTTCAGACTATGGATGAGTACAGATGCTACAAGGCAGCTTCTTACCAGTCACCGCCTGGACAGAGGGGCGAGGCCGAGGCGTGCTGAAGCCAAGGAATTGAATGTCATCTTCGATCATCGTTGGACTTTCCTCAGTAAAGAGGGTGAAGACCAAGTGTATAATCTCGTTGTTAAAGGCTACAGTGAGTCGATGGTCGATGCGGGTCAGGTCAAATTAGAAGAGACGGTGCCGCTTCAAACCTTATATACCGCCGGATATAGATTGCCGGTACCGTCCCGAGGCCAGTGTGATTACTCAGCATTTGATGAGCGCTCCCAACAATGGCTGAAAAAACTTGCGAGAAGCAAGTGATGGTGATACATCGATAAAAGTTATCAGCACTTCAGCCCCTGGATGCGCCTAGCAGGTACATAACTTCGAAGATAAAATAAATAATAAACTATCTATTTATTTCCGAATCCCTTTTCAGAATCAATGCCCTGCTTATATCGCACCCATATGTCCGCGGGGCGTCACCGGTGAATAGGCAGGCAAAGGCCTTGGTGTTAGTGGAGTAGTAGCGCCGGCAGTACGTGGAGTTCTTGGAGGTATGGGTGCAGAAGAGAAACCGGGCCCTGCACTAAGCGGGGGCGCCGTTCCTAGCCTTGAGGGGGTTCGAGGAGTATGCGGGGTAATAGGAGGGATAACAGGTGCATTCTAGAGAGATGATGAGTCAAACGTATCAGACGCGAAGGAAGTGATATTCACATAGAACCCTCCGGGGCCTTCAGCAATGATATGCAATCCGGGAGATGGCCTCGATCTAGCTGGTTTCACTGGTGCAGATAATTGTTGGATACCGTGACTGCTGGGTCCAGCACTCCTCGAGCCATTCTTCGATTGCGACCCATGAATCAAACTGCCCCAGTGTACTTTTCCTTTAGACATTGGGCTTGACTTCATCGACGGCTCCGCGCCCGCACTCCTTGGTTTCTTGATAGATGATGAACCTCGACTATTGCTGGACCGACCATGACCAGGAGCACTGGCTGGGGCGTAGTCGTAGCTTCCATACTCGGACCCAGAACGTGACCCAGACTTGATACTACGCAATCTGGAGCTCCATGAGCTGGAACTGCTACCTTTGCCTGGCAGAGGCGCAGAAGACGGATCATATCTAGCCTCCCAGGTAGGGCCCTGTATTTGATTCTTTTCCACGGATAGATATTTGTCGTCGTCGGAATCGTCATCACCTTCCTCCTCATCGCGCCGGCGGCCATGGGAGCTGAATGCCAGAGGCGGGATCACCCAAGTTGGAGCATGTGAAGTCAGTCTCCGGGTCCGTCTAAGGAAGTAATATATTGCAGCACAGAGCAGTAGGACGAGAACTATTATTGATTTGAGAGATTTAAAATACATATCAGACCAAGAAACTCACGTATTGTAATGACGATCGCAGCGATGGCGCCTCCTGAAAGTTTATCGTGACAAACGGTTGTACCATCAGAGTTTGTAGTGCAAACTTGCGCTGCGGCAACGCCTTCCACAGAATACGAAGATAGTAATAGAACAACCATCAACGACCAAGCTTGGCTGTGATAACCTTTGATGTCCGATGAGTTTCTTGCAGTTTCCTTACCAGATGTAACACATACCTTTCGAAGTACCAAAAGCGAAACCACCTTGTCCAATCATCAAAGTTGTTCCTTTCATGACCAATAACTTCTTAAATATAAACTAGGCTCGACCAGCGAAATTCAGAGGAGATACGAGTACCGCGCAGCAGCAACAAGTCACCAGGACTTGGGGGCAGACTTCACTGTCAAAGTGAAAGTGTGAAGGTGGAAGGGAAGTCCAATCAAAAGATCAAACGAAAAACCATGGCGGTGTTTATAAACCTCCCTCGGCTGTTCCAGGCGCTTACTGATATGTTTCCGGAACAGCCCAGGAACAGCCTCCCCGACTGGGGCCGTATCATCAGCCCAAAAAAGTTCATTCACTTGGAGTCGGGGCCGGATGGCTTGTATGTAGAATCAAAGGCTCCAAAGTCACTTTAAGTATTTCCGTCGTTTTCCAAAGTGCTAATTGACACATAGAAGGGAATACAGAACTTTGTCAATGCTCACCCAAATCGCCAGCGTCTCTGACATCCTTCACTCATCCTACCGAATCCAATCTTTCCAACCATTCTTGAAACGATTCTACCCACTAGAGAATAGCGGAATTCAAAGGCGTTGGATGTCGATTGGTCTCAACAAAGGACATTGTTGCCAGGCTGTGGGTAATATTCAAAACGAAATTTTGACAAAACAGTAAATGGGAGAAGGAGGAAAGGATCAGGAAAGTATGTGAAGAGGTGGAGCGTGTGGCGTTTAACTCTTAAAGTTGAGGGAATCGAAATCATAATTGAGGCACTACTTCGGGAGAAGGGCGGCAATGTTTTTTCACGAAACAATTACGACAGCCAATGACGAAAGATGATAGTGGGTAGAGGTATTGTATTTATCAGTCCGTGGAATAAGTAGTGTACGTGTGTATTTATTTATGTGCACTTTGAGAAATACAACTAAAAACACAGGAGATGAAGGGTGCCTTTACAAACGAGTGGAAAGGAATGTTACGATTAGATATGTACCTCTGTGCCTTTGAGGAACGCACTTAAAAGCATAGGAGATGGATTCACATAAAGAGAGGTGAGGAATGTTTATTTTTGTGATACTACACTGAAGGGGAACAGACGAATAGAGCTTAACATTGCTCGTACATTTGCACAGAGTCGCTGTGGAAGATTGATCAGCAGTGACACAGAAACACGGTAACAGGCGAAGACAAGCCCACATCACAAAAGCACGTTGGTCTGGATTTGTAGGCCATGTTGGGTACCATTGATCCTGAGCATTCAAGAAATCGCGCATAGCAGCTATGTGTGTAAAATTTATTAGTTTCGTGCTGTGTTCAACTTGATGTTATCACACTTACTCAGAGAGCCATCCAACCAAGGCTTTTCTGGTCCATCGGGAAACCATCCGTTTGTTCCCCCAATACCAACATCCAAAATAAGATAGAACCCTAGACTCAAGATGAGCAGGAGTGCGGATGTGTAGTAAAGCAAGCAACATACGCTGATCAAAAGGGGCAGCATTAGTCCCATTGACCCAAGGATTCTCAAGAGCAACAACTTCAGAGCCATTTTGGACAACAGCGGGGAAATCACCCCGGTCCCAGAAAGCTTCGTTGATGTTGAGTTCCAACATGTGATGTAGACGCGAGTCGACATATATACGACTGCAGGAAATAACAATCGGCATTAATAGATATCCTAAAGCCACAACAGAGGACGTACATGAATTTTTCGGTCCATTCAAGTGAATAGGTATGGAATCCTTTGTCGTAGGAACCTCTCTTCATCTGCCACCATCCGTATGTTCGCCAGACTTCGTTGAGCCATGTCAGAGGACCCCAATTTAACGATCCGCGGACATAATCGGTTCCTCTGCGAATCCAGGATTGTTTTGTTTCGAACAACACGAAGACAGATCTCGCAACTCACTGTTTGGGATAACTTGGCCCATTCCCTCGTGCTTCCATGATGTCAATCTCCCCTATGTAATGGAATGTGTCAGAACGAAGGTCGAAGAGAAAAAAAGCTCAAGGTAAGAGAATTAGATCCGGCAGATTGTGCTGGGTGGTGGAAGTCGAAGTATGAAAGCATATTTGACATTCATCAACAAAATGTCCACTTACCACTCAGAGGCCATGCCCCGTAAGCGTCGTCAACGGGCAGCATCCATATCGCAGGCCACATCTACCACAATGGATCAGAAACTTGCGCCACCAGTATAGCCTTTCAGCGAAGCAACGTACCCAGTCCCTGCAGCATTGTCGGTCAGCTCAAATACGGTGATGATGGACAACGGATTGAACTCACCCAGTTGGGATTTTTGCCACAACATCGACTCTTCCGAATTTCATACTGGCAGTTTTTCGTGTGCTAAGCCTCGCACTTTGGACGGGGTTGATGATCGTTCCCGCGGTAGCATTGCTGACCGCAGAACACGCTTTGTAGTAAGCTTCAGCGTCGAACGTGTTGGATCCGATAGCAGTTTCGTTTACATTTGTGGCCGCAGTTGAAGAAGAGTCAGTGTAGGATAGCCCCTGGGTGATGTTGTACGTGCATCCGGAGATGTTATATACATGCCCGTCGAGTATATCAGCCATTGGGATACTGTCAGAAGTCAAGGTCGGAAGAATGTACAGATGGCCATTTGCAACAAAGGAGTTATTTTCAGAAGCAGTCGTCATTTCAAACTCGCCGTTCCTGATGATAATAGAATCAGACTCAAACTTCAATCTCAGGATGAACGCGCGATCTTACCCGAAACCGCTCATGTCAACCTCTCTGAAAAATGTCCCGTTGTCCCCAAATACACCATCTTCGCTACTAAAGTCTTCATTGAGGACCATGCAGAGATTTCCTGTGATCATTGGCACGTTCCGATAGTCCAGGAAACATTTAACGGCGCTGACAACCACTCCAACAAAGATCATTCCGTACGTAAGGGAGTACGCGATGCGAGCGTAGGGGTCACGCGAAGACAGCCAAGGTTTGTTGGGCGCCGTCGTGAGCATAGTTGACTTGGGACGGTCTCTCTTTGATTTCGCCGGGGCTAGAGCACTATGGATTGTGAGAGGACGTGAAGAAGGAGCAGCAAAAGCCTCTCTGAGACGACCTGAGAGATGGCGTGAGCTGGCATGGGGGGAGTCAGATAACGACGAAGTAGTGGGTCGACTGCTACTGTATATTGATGAAGACATTCGCGGAAGATCGGCGACACTATTAGCGACAGAAGTGAGTCCGCTGCGAGGTCTGGCTTCTGGGAATGGATAATGACTGTCATTATGAGCACCAGGAGTGGCCATCGGGGTTTGGTCACCAAAACTGAGGACGCTCGCTGGAGGTGAAAAGGGATTCGCGGCCATTGAAAACGTAAGACTCCGTGGGGTTACCGGGGGTGTCTCTACATAGGTAACTCCGGTGTTAGGACGAGTCTCATCAGTGTGAGTGCCACTGGCTTGAATTTGAACATGTTCAGCAAACCGTGGCTGAGGGACTGTGTCACTAGCATCTGAAGTTGAACCAGATGCGGACATTTTGGACTCGAATGTGAGATGGTGTGACAAAAGTTAGCAACCCAGCTAAGCCAGTGGGTTTTTACAAATCGATGAATCCTTGTTATAAAAGAAATCATGATCAGACGGACAAATATTCAGCCGGTTCAAAGACTTTTCCGCGCACTCAGCGTTTTGAATGTCAACTTTGTTCCTGGAGGACAGGACACTGGTGGGAACTATTAAGAAGGACGAGTATTGAGATCGATCTTGTATAGTTTTCTGCGTAAGGTGTAAGCGATTACCATAAACATCGGCATCTAGATATTTACCTCAACTTCCTTTTTAGACGCACTGCCCCATTCGCTCGCCTCGATCACAAGGATATCACCGCTGGGCACTGCAGCTCCAGGCAATTTCTCATTCCTAGCACTTGCTAAAGACCTACCCGTGATGGTCATGCGACTAAAACTCTACCTGGAGTGATTCACTCATCACTGGTACCATACAAGCAAGTTGTTGCCACTGAAGTAGTGGACAGTTCGTCTCACTAGCGAGCGCGATGTGGCAATCGACGTATCCGCTGGACATCGTTAGACATCGTGGCTAGTCCTGATGCAGATGGAGTGTACTGAGAACGGACTACTGTTCGAGTGAGACGGCACTTACCTGATCCAAACACAGTTGCCTAACTGGAGGCAGCTCACATGCAGTATGTTGTATTCATTTTCAATCCCCTCCTATCAAGGAACATACTGCCAAAATATAAGCTGTGGATTGATCCAACAGTCGTCGTTGATAGTCAAGATATCATGTCAAAATCAGTTGCAACAGGTGTTAGGCAACACATTCAACAAGCTAGAGACAATGGACTTCATGGACAAGTCATAGTCGACAGTCAAGAGATGCACTAGAAGCTAGTCTTTCGGACGTGGATCAAATCACGAGTGGAACGATTAGAAGCGGAGAAAAATGGAATAGTTAGTTCAATTTCTCCCTCAATTTCCTCGAGGTCTTCAAGTGTTCTTCAAATGAGATGTCCCCGGAATCTTCTTGGATAGATTTTAGCGGAGTCATTTAGCAGTTCGTGCAGAACTGAAGAAATCTTCGTGGGAATAAGTGACGGAGCATCAAATTTTCCCCCTTCAGACTTCACTATCTTCCGACTCGCTCAGTCCTGACGGTAAGTCCGGGCCTAGACTTCAAACATATGGTGATGTTCTTGGATTTACGTACCTACTGTAGGATCCAAAAACGAATGTTCCTGTACCGGAAGGCGCACAACTTTTCCGCCATTTCCCAAAATACAATATCTCAAACCCTCAACTGACTAAAACCTAACACTTTTGGCTGGCAACGGCTTCTCTTCTCTCAATAACGCGACGTCCGATTCCGCGAAGTTGCTCAGTTCTCTATGTCTAGTTCATCGAAAATTCTTATAATGACGAACGTGGTACGAAGATGTCAGTTCTGATCGCCTTCTTAACATAGTTCTTTGAAGTTCTGTCATCGAAATAGCTAACTCAAAGGAAGATTTTTATAAAGGTATCCTTTTTTTCGCCTTCATGAAGCCGTGGCTCAAAGCGTTAGACATCCCCCTTAAGCACTCACGAGCATCACGTATCACAAATCTCAGAACTTTTCTTTTGAGTCCTTGTATTACCCAAGGCCCGGGTTAATACAAATTTGGGTCGGCTTTTCTTTTTTCGGAGTGCGCTCTTCACCCATTCAGGTCCATAACCCCTGCCACAAAAGAATATGCACCCATGACATCGCATGCGTATCGATGGCCAGCGCCAGCCAGCGCCTCGAGCTTAAGGTCGATTTCTTTGCGCGTCAAGTTCTGGTCAAATCCCGGTCTCATTTGTGCAGACATTTTCTCTGTGTAATCAGTTTTCTGACCCTTTTCTCTTATTCACCGGATCAAAGTATTCAATGATTTCAATAATTCTTTGCCCTGGGCTAGTTTTCCAGACGTATCATTCGTTGGAAGCTCAATAGGGCTCAATCCCGAAATCTTTTCACGAAACTATAAACAGTCATGTCTGATGCTACAAGTTGGAATCTGTCGACACCACAAAGCCCTGAGCACAGCTATATCAAGTTGTAAACAGAGCGACGTGCCTGAAGTTGGCGCGAGTTCTATCAGGTTAAGTTGCCTGTATTGCTTCCTTGTTCCTTGTGCCAGAAAACAGCTTATAACTCAGTCGGGCCCCTGGAGAAGACTTCAATACTAGGGACGAGATATCATTGGCAATTGTGGTGTTTTCTAGGACCCGGATGAATATCATTCGGGATTTGTATAGTACGTTCTCGGTTTTTCTTTTCGTGTACACTTTGTTCCTCAATGTTTTGACAGACGTAAAAAAATCTCAGTATACATAGTATATGTATTACTCATCACTTGAAGATTGCAGAACGACATCCTCCGTTCTTTGGTATCATACAATTGTTATCTTGCCTACACGACGTTGCTAGAGCGCACCTTCACTATCCAATCAAAGTTGCATTTATTCTTTCAAGACTTCGCTCTGACTTCACAAGTTGATGGAGATATATTCTAATAGAGTGCAAATCCGTTCCTGCTATAAATCCGAGCTAGGGGATATGCCATTTGAAAGCGGCACGGCTTCATACTTGATGTTCTCTTCATGTCATTTCTTATCTTTTTAACACAAGTACTCACTGGCAAATTGATGAAAGTCTCGTTAGCACTCACAGAACACTGCGTATCTCCCATTTATGACGGGCATCTTGGTTAAAATAGAGACATTTAAGAATAATATTCTGACCTTATTCGGAAAGAATACGGCTTATCATCAGCGCTCAACCTGCGGGATCCTTCTAACTGAGTTATGTCTGAAGTTTGTACCAATCGCCACTACTAGCCAGCATCTGCCAGCTGCCAACAGCTAACGGCTTCAGATTACCCATGATGCAGGTGCTATCTTTGTATCATGAAGACATCATGCACCTGATCCAACGCGGCGTGTATGCTCTCCGACCCTTTCCATTGGTATTGTTCCGTGATGTTCATTTCCGAAGACGATATCAAAATCATTTTAATTTTGCATGTCTAGCGACTGAAGGAGATTGTAGCTCAAATTATCTGGTCTTTGCTAGTAGGTCAGCAACCTTCTCTAAAATCTTATGCACCTCATCTTATACGTGGATTCAGTGCAATGCAACTACGATACGGTGGCGTAGCGGTAAGGTCTTCGTAATAGCAATATCAGATTAGAGGCCTGAAGACATCACAATGCACGCGTATACTCAGGAATATTTACGTGGATATCGCCACAAGTTCAAGTCGTTCGAATCTCTTCCTTTCAATGCAATGCCAAACATATCGCCTCCTATCGCTTCCGAATACTGTAAACCCTGCTGTAAGCATTGCCTCAGAACAATCTCTCGGGGGGTCCGGAATCCTAAAAGGGAAAGAATTTCTGTCATGCGGCTAACCTGCCCGAGTCCGAGGCTTTCAGAACACTCATGTCAACTCATCTGGAACGTTACACTCTAATCGCCTATGGACCACCAGACAGGCCACGACATCGCCCTGGTACCTCGCCTGCCTTGTGCCAATCAAGTTTCTTCTCGGGGCCCCACTTTGAAACTTCTGGCTTGTATCTGGCATAAAGAACAAACTTCAGTGGTCCGTAAACTGTTCCCCGAAGTGTAAAGAAAGTACATGCTCTTCGATGACCTCTCCGAAATTATCTCATCATAGCCGGGCCTATACCTCGCCCATGATCCATGGCGTCAGAGAGGGGCAATATCACAGTTGATGCGCCCTGGATGATTTTACCGCATTCAATCCAACCAATCATCTGAAAACCTCACTGGATTTTGCCTTGTCCGATCAGCGAGGTAGTAAAATTGTGTATATTCACACGTCCAGTCTTTTACATACTAACTGAAGGATCAAGAACGCGCTGAAGGCCGAATGTACCTCACCTCAACTCTCATCGCACCTGCCAAAGCTTCTATTGAACAGCAGATCTTCTTTAGCACTGCACCAATCCTTTATAAACGTGATGGTCTGTCATTTCATACTCGGCTTTTCTTGTTACTGTAGCTCCCCACGGCTTGCGGTCCTCAGCCAATACTAATCAGAGGGTCACCATGGACTACGATAATTACGACGCCGTTCTTCATTATCTTTGGGCCCGCGTGAGTATTGGCCGCTTTGTTTAATTGGTAGTGTTGGAACTCCTATATAGACCCAAGGAGATGCCTGGTTCAAACCTACAGAGGAGAACATTTCAGCTGGTGTTTGCCTCCGTGTAGAGCAAGGTATTGAATTGTTTCTCACTGCTTCCTCATTCTCATCATCGAGCTTCTAGGTCGCTTCCGAGTCTTTCCTTATGAGAATCGATACTTGGTGCCATTTGAAACAGGCGAGTGCGAGGTCCTTTCCGTATAACTTGATCCAGTTAAACTTGCTACTTCGGACTTCCTTCCCAGCCGTGAGGCAATTGAATCCCCTTGTGGCAATCAAAGTTCGCAGCGCAGCGGTACACGCTGCTCTTGGAACTGTGTAAGTTCTTTCGCCTTTGCCATGATATGCGCGATGCTCAACATTCTGTCATCTCAGCCCGGAAGATTCCACCGCTATCTATCTGGATGTTGGGACTCGCATACAAATCTTGGAGACCATCAGCCATTTGCCTACAGCGGATAAGGAACAGTGCGGTGCTTTCATCGTGAGCATTCCTATGATATATCGTTGCATGTACGCTTACATCTCTTAAAGCGCGATGAACGTGTCCTCATAGTCTGGTCGGATGATTTGGACAAGATCCTCTCCTTGTGCAATGATTTCGAAAACAAATTGATGAAACTGGTTTGGCGCTCCCGCACGGTCATCGGTGGGACACCTTCACTTCTCAGCAACTCTGGCAGCGCCTCTATCCCACCTTCGACTACTGCCTCTGACGTCAACCTTGCCGAGAAGCCTAATTCTGAATCCCAAATTTCTTCTGTACCCTCTTTGACGCAGGAAGTTCGGAAGCCAAAACATAAATCCAGATGGAATTGGGCTCGGGGACTAACGAGAAAAGCTGCTGCGAGTCCCACTGATTTGGAGAAGGGCTTAACACCACAACCTCGGCCTACGCGTCTACTCGCTCCTTTCTACAGTGGTTTTGGGGCTGGTTTATCTGTTTGTACGTCTTCTATGATTTAGGATAAGGTATTGCGAACTCTGAAAGCCTTTCACAGACTTCGTCGGATCAGGCTTGTCTATCTTGATGCAAGAGTATCGGTTGGACAACGACTGGAGAAGGTTCCTGCTTCTGGTGACTACTCCATTCCTATATTGCGTCTCTCTTGTGAGTACAACATAATCTATGAGTGCGCCGATATTCATCTGCGTGAATAGTTCTTCGCGCTGCAGACCATGTCCAGTGTCACATTTCTGTATGTAAATTCAGCGTCATCATTGCTTCTATCCTGACTGTGATGGGTTAGATTTGGCCCTGTCGCTCACCATCACGAGAACTCTCGCTATTACTCTGCAGTTCCCCCAGAACCCAATCCTGAACTAGACTCTCGTCTCCCTCATGTTACTGTTGAGCTACCGGTTTACAAGGAAAGCCTTGAAGAGACAATGTGAGTTTGACGCCACCGCACGACGGAACCACTCTTGTTCCGCGAGCTACGCTGCGTCTAAGGCCTAGTCCCCTTCTTTTTACTTTTCATGCTCTTGATCGCTTGCCATTCACCATACGTTTTTCTTTGAATCATTTCACGTTGTTGTATTAACTTCTGACTTCTAGTGCACCGTCCGTTCATTCTCTCAAAGAAGCTATGCAAACTTATGCTCGACAAGGCGGAACTTCCTCGATATTCGTTCACGACGATGGATTACAACTCGTCAGCCCGGAAGAAAGGGAGCGCCGTATCCAGTTTTACGCCAATCACAACATCGGCTGGGTGGCACGGCCTCCCCACTCTAATGATCCGGATGGATACAAACGCGCTGGACGGTTCAAGAAGGCCTCTAACATGAACTACGGCTTAGCACTTTCGTTGAAGATGGAAGCTAAACTTGCCGAACTAGAAGCTTCGGAGGCCTCTGGGGTTTCAGCTGCTACTGAAGACGGTTTATGTTTGGAGGATAAAGCTTTACAGATGGCCATCGAGGAAGTCTACGAGACCAACGGGAAGAAATGGAAACCTTGGGCCTGCAATGGTCGGTCACTACGGATCGGCGATGTCATTCTCATAGTCGACTCTGACACCATCGTGCCAGAGGTGGGCCTAACTAACATTATTAATACCTAATATTTTGCACTGACCTCATATATGCAGGATTGTTTCCGGGATGCTGCTCGGGAGCTAGCTGAATGTCCTGACGTGGCAATCATTCAACATGAATCTGGTCAGTGACATTGCTTCTATGTAGTATTGAATTCCTCTGATCTTAGCTCGACGTGTAGATGTCATGCAAGTTGCTCATCACTTTTTCGAGAATGGGATCGCGCATTTCACTCGTCGAATCAACAAGTGGTAAGCTTTAACGTCTTCGTCCTCGCTAATTGATATTCATATGTTGGTTGTAGTATATCTATGGGATGCGCCAATGGCGAAGTCGCTCCTTTTGTTGGCCACAATGCTTTTCTCCGATGGTCTGCTATACAAGATGCCGCTTTCATTGATCCTGATGACGGTTTGAAGAAGATATGGTCCGAGTCAAACGTATCTGAAGACTTCGATATGGCGTTGCGTTTGCAGGTAGGATGTCCAACTGTGAATCAAAACGCCCAACTGACGCACTATGTTATCAATAGCTCAAAGGATATATCATTCGATGGGCCACATACTCAGATGGAGGGTTCAAGGAAGGTGTCTCCCTAACGGTCGATGACGAATTGAACAGATGGCAGAAGTATGCCTATGGTGCGACAATCACCTTGTATATGTGGCACCGTTGCTTACCGATTCCTATAGGCTGTAACGAACTGATCTTTAACCCCCTGATTTCTTGGTGGAAATCAGGTCCTATTACTAAACAGCTACGAACTTTCATTTGGTCAGGAGCTCCAGTCCATTACAAGTTCAGCATGTTCGTATCATGTTCGCTGTGTATATGATAGTCACAGACCTGATTTTCTCCAAACACAGGATGTCTTACATGTTTTCTTATTATGGGCTCGCTGCTTCGGTGAGTGAGCCTTCTAATTTGCTTCTATATATTTACTAATCTATCGATAGGCCATGCTTTCCGTCCTCAATTATTTCCTTTTGGGATGGGCAGCCGATGTTGATGGGTTCTACCTCAAGAGTTTCGAGATTTGGTTGGCATGTACCGTCGTATTCCCTGGTGCAGGAAACGTAGGTTATACGGTGCTAGAATATCGTTTGGGTCGACGCAATCTGTTTTCCGCCTTCCTTGAGAATATCACTTGGATTCCGTTCTTGTAAGTCTATATCTATTGACTATTAATTCATCCTCACGTTCAATGGTAGTTTTTTCTTCTTTGGCGGGCTGAGTGTTCATCTCTCGGCTGCATTATTGGCCCATATGTTTTCATATAACATCAAATGGGAGGCAACTAAAAAGGTTTGTGCTTATTTGTTTCTTCAATTTTCTTTAGATGTTAACGACGTATACCACACAGGAAGTTGAACGATCAAATTTCTTCATCGAGGTCCCCCGCATCTGGAAACGCTATCGACACATCATGGTCCTTGGAGTCATCACTATTGCTACTATCATTGTGCTATCACTCGATTTTGTACCAGAATCATGGCGTATACCTGGAACATCCTGGGCTATTATCCTTCCTTTATCGTGGGTTTCCTGATCTTTATCTTACTAGAGCTAACGAGAGCTAACGATTTCATATAGTATCGTTGTGGCAGGACACGTACTGTTCCCTGTAAGTTCAAGGTCACATCGCCCAATTTTTCGCACTTATATCACTTGTCTAGATTGTACTAAACCCTTGGCTGATGATTTTTTCTTATTGAGAGTCTCGCATTCTTTTCTACCACCCACCCACATCACGAACACAGTGGCTCCATTCACTATCTCGAACTTTAGGATATTATGGTATTTTATCTGCTTTACAGGAACTTTGGGCTTTTGGAGCCAATCTTGGGCTATAATGACGAAAAGCGCATGTATTCTCAAGGACTAGAGTTGAAAGAACTACATGGACTCTTCGGTCGACAATATTGACATCCATAGACTTCAATATACTATTGTGCATTTGCTATCATACACATACTTTACTCATTCAAACATTGACAATGTGACTTACTGAATGCACGAGGCGCGTCAAGGCTCGTAGTCAGGAATCCTCGATTCCCTTGTGCGTGCCGCATCGTAGTTCCTTTTCGTAAACCATTCTTCTTAGCACCGATTTATTTCGCTCCTTTGCTGCTATCCGCTTCTTATGGGCACGCGGAATAGAATAGCTCGCGATTGTCTCATAAATGGTATCTTCTTTGAAGCCTTCTCCACCTCATATTACTAGTAACCAGACCTTCTTCCCGAAATCGATGAAGCGAAAGCTCGAGCAAGACATTGAACGTTCATGAGGCAGTCTCCCGATGAGTCAGTCTATATAAGGAAGTTACATGCAAGCGTAAATATTTTTGCTCAGGCTTTACTGTGTATGATAGATAGATACTAAATAAATATGTATATTCAGATACAGCTAGTGGAGACGCCTATCTGATATTTTGATACTATATGTATAACGATCTGAACTCGATGGGTCACTCGTTTCGGAGGTAACAATAGCTTTATAAATAGGGGTAGAGGTGGAAATGGCCAGGTTTCAACGCCTTTAACACAAGATCGCTCGCTAGCCTCCTTCTCTATTACTTTTTCGTCCTGTTTTTTTTCTGACTAGGATCGGCCATGACCCACCGCTGTTTTCCTCTCTTCTTTCTTCTTCTCTTCATAAGCCTTTTGCTCCGTTTTCGCAGCTCTCCGCTTCTCCTTACGCTCCTCATCTCGTCCACAGGAAGTGCCATGGTACCTGAAGTATGATGTACGAGGCAGGAGCAGGATGCGAAATGGGAGGCATCAGCTTGCACTAAGTTGTATTCAGTGCAGTTTGTTCCAGATTGCTCATGCTGAGGATATGTATTCTCCATTTCCCCGCTCGCTCGATCAACTGCCACGAATAAAGGCCAGTTCGGTCGCGACAGGCACGTGGTTCCAGGAAAGATTGTCTAAAGAAGCGGAAGGTTGCAAGGCTTCCAGGAGCAAATAATAACCTGCACTATACATAGGAGGGGCAGAAAATAGATTGAGGTATGTGAATCTGATGCCTCAACTTGAATTAAATTGTTGTTTTACTTCGTCGACAGTTGGGGTTTGGAGGAATACGGAAGAGGCACGAATAAAATTAAAAGCGTGGATGGCGATCGAGCGCCCTCTTGACGAAGTTTTATGAAGGATTCGTTATTGTTTCTGTCTTGACTGCCGTTCCGGAAGGAATGGTTGAACTTAGTACTTGCTCTTAATTGGTTTCACGAAGTGAATATCCAAGCAGAATTCGTCAGGAATGCGTCAGGAATGTCTTCCCAGAGCTTCGAAAGATTGGTGTAGTTAACTTCAAACTTTTGAATTTGTAACTGGTCTCTCCTCTCAGCGTATGCTCCTCGGACAGACAGTCTGCGTCCGCTTCCGACTCCCAGAAGGTCGTGATTTTGATTTACCGAGTATATTATCATTTGAAGGTTGTCAATTTCGAGGAATTTACGACGCGCGTCGGAAGCCTCATACTTTTATTTACGTAACGACAAGAACGAAAAGGGTCGAAAGAAATCGCATATTCATTCTCACGGAACAAAGCGAGCTATTGCGTAGTTTCCAGGCGCTCGTCCTGTGGCAAGAAGTCATACGCAGCCTCAATTTCTCTACGTTCGAATATGTAATATGAAGCTCTAAATTATATTTCACTTGGTTTTGGCTTGAGGCATGGTCTTCTTATATGCTTCCTCAAGCTCTTTCTGGAAATGTGGAAGGACAGGCATGTGGGTCTACATAAAAAAGAGCAAGTTAGTTGACGAGTGAAGGAATCATAGAGATTCACAAATCAAAGTACGAACCTTGTATTCCATGCTGAATTCGCCTGAGAAAAGAACGAGCAGAGGTGAGTTTTTTAAAACAGGAATTACATTGAAGACAAATCGAATGAAAAGGCGCGATGGGGCAGGAATAGAAAGGGTGGAGCGGAAGAAGTTGGGAAGGGGACGGAGGGGAAAAGAAGAAGGGAGAAGAGGAAGCAAACGTACCCTTGCCCTGAGTCGAACCACGCAATTGGTTCGAATAACCAAACATATCGTTCAAAGCGACTTCCGCTATACACGTAAACTCATCATCGCGAACTTCACTATCGATAATGGTACCTCGACGAGTGTTCAGTCCACCAATCACAGCACCTGATACGACATAGAAAAATGATTATCAATCGGTATCATATCAGCCTGGAAATTGGGGGCAAGCCCAAGATCACAGCCACTCACTTTGAAACTCCACAGGAGCAATAACTTCTACTGTCATGATTGGTTCCAGAATGACTGGATTAGCAAGCTTGTATGCTTCACGGAATGCACCGATTGTCGCAATCCTGAAAGCCAATTCAGACGAATCAACGATATGGTATCCACCATCCAGGAGGACAAGTCGACAGCCAGAGATGACGTTTCCAGATAAGGTCCCTTTTTCGAGGGCTTCAAAGAATCCCTGATGCGGCACAGCAGTAAAAATGACAAAAAGTGAACAGAGTGATAGGGGAGCAGCCAAAAGGTTAGCCCATTGAGACAACGAAGAGTAAAAATAACGGACCTTCTCCACACCGGGGAAATACCCTTCAGGGATTGCTCCTCCCAAAATATCATTGACAAACTCTGTGTCCTTTCCTGTCTCCTCGTCGGGTTGCATAGGCTCAATGTACCCGATAACTTTAGCATATTGTCCTGCACCCCCAGTCTGCTTCTTATGAGTGTAGTTGAAATCGGCACGCGAGGTGATTGTTTCGCGGAAGGCGACGCGAGGTTTGCCAGTTATGCAGTCGACGTTGTATTCTCTACGCATGCGCTCGACATAGATCTCAAGGTGGAGCTCACCCATGCCAGAGATAATGGTCTGAATGTAGGAGAAGAGGGATGAAGGAAATAAGCAGTTCGGCGATGATAACAGGTCATGATAGTACATACCTCTTTACTTTCGTGGTCGACGTGAACCCTAAATGTAGGATCCTCCTTTTGGAATCGATTCAGCGCGCGTGAGAAGTTGGGTGTTTCGATTCCTTTGGATTTGATAGCGAGGGAGATGACGGGTTCTGGGACATACATTGAGGTCTAAGAAGGATAACATGTAAGCACAGTATAACTAAGTTAGTCGATGAAGGAATATAGTTACACACCATCGAAAAACTCGTCTCCCCATCCGTAAATGTATCACCAGACGAACATTCCACGCCGAACATCGCACAAATCTCTCCTGGTCCAATTGAACTAACATCCTCCATCTCGTTACTATGCATCCTCACCAATCTCGGAACCTTGACCTTCTTCCCAGTGCGTGCATTATAAATCGTATTCGCCTTCTTCAAAGTCCCCTGATACACCCTCATATACGTTAATTGCCCGAACCTCCCTTCCTCCAACTTGAATGCCAATCCAACCAGAGGGGCATCTGCAGCGGGAGTCAAAGGGACCATCGGTGCTGAGCTTGGCTTTTCTGTATCGTGGGCAAGAGCTTCCGCTTCTGAAGGGTTGGGCAGATACGCGCAGACGCCATCGAGGAGGGGTTGAACACCGGTGTTCTTGATGGCAGAGCCTAAGAATACTGGGGAGAATTTCAAGCCAGTAGTGGCTCGGCGGATGGCGGCATCGATTTGGGCATTGGTGGGTAATTCATCCATGAGGACAAGGTCACCAATTTCTTCATCAACGTCGGCAAGTTGTTCAATTAGTTCCCGACGTTTAGCAGTTGCAAGGTCAATGAGCTCGGCAGGGATCTCTTCTGAGATGACGACTTCGTTTCTAGATGGACGCGATGATATTAGGAACATATGGCTTTACAAGAAAGGTTGTGTACCCTTTGACTCCTTGATTATATATTGAGCGCCAGTGAACCAGATCGACTACCCCACGGAATTCATCCTCTACACCGATAGGTACGTGAACCGCAGCAGCAGGAATCCTGAGTTTCGTTCGGATCTGGTTGACGATTCTCCATGGGTTGGCTCCGGGTCTAAACGGAACATTTGGTGAAAACTTCTGTATATCAAAGTGAAGTCTGGAGTGACATACCTGTCCATTTTGTTAATAAAAGAGATCCGAGGAACATTGTACCGTCTCATTTGCCTATCCACTGTCGTAGTTTGACTCTGTACGCAATCATTATAAGTTGTAAAATGGCGGCATAGAGGGAGGACGTACTTGGACACCTGCGACAGCACATAGAACCAGGATAGCCCCGTCTAGGACTCTCAGAGCTCTTTCAACTTCTATAGTGAAATCAACGTGTCCTGCAAATATGGGACTGATGCATGAGCCTTAGTCGAAAGTACCAGAAAAGACGTCAGTCCACATACCAGGAGTATCAATGATGTTGATAGCGTACTTTTCCTTCTCGTTTGTTATTGCGTTGGTTGCCTCCCAGTCACAAAATGTGGCAGCACTCTGAATAGTAATACCCTTTTCTCGCTCTAGATCCATACTGTCCATCTTTGCACCGACATTGTCACGTCCTCGGACCTAGTGTATATATCTAGATGTGATATAAAGACGGGATAGAGGTGATTCTTGAATACGCACTTCATGGATCTCACGAATTCTCCCAGTATAATACAAAATTCTTTCCGTCAACGTAGTCTTGCCTGAATCAATATGTGCAGAAACACCGATGTTACGTTGCAGTCGAAGCCGAGACCGGTCGTGTTCGGAGAGAGTATACTGAGGAGTAGGAGGAGTAGTTTTTTCTTCCGCTGTTACTGGTGCTTTTTTGAGCACAGCAGCTGCCGATGCCCAGCGTCGGTCGCATCGAGCAGAACGAGTTATCGAGGATGAAAAGAATGCAAATGAATGGGAAAGTGTGTTGCGAAGCATTTTGAGCTGCAAACTCTGAAAGCTGCAGTGCTTCAGATACAACCCGGTCGCGCTACACCGTACGTCGTGGCGAAAGAAAAAGTTCTTTTAGCGGTCACAAAGGTCGAGGCCGGCACTTGGAAAATCAACGCTTGAATCACATGACAGTGACTATTCTTTCCACAACGATGAGTGTAAATCAGTTGCTTGGAATGTATAATTCATTTTACGTGTAAAATCTAGACATTGGCCACAGTCGAGCTCATATTTGACTTGGTACGATCTAATAATGTGCCGGTTGAGAAGGCTGGCGAGTGTTGTCATGAACGAGCTTTTGTAGTTCCTCCTCTCCTTCCACTACTAATGCGAGCCTTCCATCCCGCTGCGAAAGATCAACTCATCAAGCAGCAGATCATCGAAGATGCGGAGGCTCAAATTATTTCTGCCGTCGCTGCCTCTGGTTCTGATATTACTCAGGTCGGCTATAGTGGGTTCAATGAATACTGGGGGATTCTGTTTGACCCCCGCGCCGCCTTGGACAAGTTTAAAGGGCCGTAGAGCCCCGATACGCTCCGACTAATCGCTCTGACCGAACCTATCTCTCGTCGTGATACTACTGAGGCAAGAACTGGTGACCGGAAGGCGCATGTGCGTGAGGCGTTTCCGGGTGATGGACGAGTTATGAGAGCGTGGGGATTTCTGATGTATGCTCTTTGTATGGCGCGCGCGGGTGCGGTATTCACCCATGAACTGATTCTCGTCAAACCATCGGAGGGGTATCCATGGGGGTCTTCCCTTTCCTAGCTGTTGGTAGGCCATAGATTGAAAGTGTGTCTACTGTCAGATCCACTCAGGTCATCATCCCAAGTGGGTCTGTCCTCTGTTGGGAGGCTCGAGCTTAAAGATGCAATTTTGGAATGGGTTCTGGGTGAGCTTCCAGGGGCCTTCATTGGATCATTTGGCATACATACAGTTCCCTATAATATTTTGACCATGCAGCACACATTTCACATAATAAAAGATTACTCATAGGAGCTGATAAACTCTAATAATGCACTTTGGCAAATCAAGACCAGAGCTGGGAAGAGTTGAGACGTGTCAGAATCTGGAGATGCGGAACATCATGAAAGGTCCTGAAATCAAAAGGAAAAATAGATCTAGACGACAGAAGTAAGGGAGGAAAGGACTGTCATCCTTTGCGGCCTATTATGGCCAGGATCGTACAAATTCAATCCATGTATACATAATGGTTCGAACGTTCTTCGACACATCACATTCGCAGCATTCTTTCAATATACGGTAGTGAAGAAAGGACGCGTGCTATCGTGGAATGACCATTAGCATACTCACATTTTGTCTTGTGGGTAATTCAATAATAGGCAGCATACACTGAAACATGTTGAAGAAGGTCAATGTGATAAATGTATAGAGAAATAGTTCCAATTCATACAGCTAGTTAACTATTCATGTCACTAACACACTCCCAGATACCTTTCAAGTTTTCCTTCCAGAGGGTGACTTTGCCATCCCCGCAGCTGACAGCAAGTAAATTACCAGCTAGACTCCAGGATACCCGCCAAACAACATCAGGGAACTTGCTAGAAGCTCCCGAAGAAGACGAAGGCGAAGCTAATGCAGACGACGGGTCAAGAGCAGTCTTCACCCAAGGCGAAGTCGCGGTATCCTTCGTCCAAATCAACACGGTCTTATCCTGCGACGCAGTAGCGATATAGCTTTTCGGAAGCCCGATATTCGGAGCCCAGGCGACGTCTCGAACCCAATCAGCATGCCCTTCCAACGTATCTTCCTCGACCCATGATTGAGAGTCCTCGCGGTATCCCCAGATTTTTACGAGATTGTCGCAGCCGGCGCTGGCAAATCGTTTCACGGATTGGGTTTGAGATTGTTGGCCTGGAATGGATTGTTGTTGAGGAGTGATGAGAGAGCCGGGTATGACGGCTGGGGCCCAGGAGACGGCGTTGCATCCAATGGCGTGTCCATTGAATATGTCGGCGACCCAGCTACCGTCATCTAGGTGAAAGTACAGTCAGAAGCCGACGATGGGCTAGATATGTGGGAACGCGCCTTTGAAAGTAAGAACAGAAATCTTTCCGTCGGATGATGCACACGCCAGCATAGCTCCAAGCTCATGAGGAGCCCATGAAACGGAATTTACTGCACATTGATAAGTTTACTGGGTTTGTCTGAAGGACCGAACGCGTACCAGAAGCGGTGTGCAATGTATGTTCGCCAACTTTCGACCATCCGCCAGCCGAAGCCTGGCTTTGTTGTTCCTTCCAAATTAACACTTTTCCATCGTAGGAACACGAAGCCAGTATGTGGCCGAATTTTGGATGAGCCCAAGCGACCTGCCAGACGGGACCTGTATGTCTATTATTCAATCAGCTGTCAACGCTCGTTGTCGATAAAAGGCCGGTAGAAGACACACCCTTTCAGTGTATGCCCGCCAGATGTTTTTGAAGCATCTCCATCAACGACATCAAAAACCTTGACAGTCCTATCTGAGGAACAAGTAGCGAGTCGTTTTCCGTAATAGTCTAACTGTGCATCATGCTGGCGAAATAATTAATTCTTCATTACGGTGCTCTAGAACGCAGATGGGCGTACAATCATATCTTCATGAGCAGTTTCAATGGGAACAGAGTCTGATACCGTCGCTGAAGGCTAAGAGCTCTGGTCAGCATTGGGTCAAATCAGTAAAATGGATTGTACCATCGCGTTTGAATAAGAAGAAGAGGACGTGGCGTCACAGTCAGTGCACTGCTATGGCAGCGTGACAACAGGTGACAACCGAGGAAAAGCGAGGAAACTGTCATCATCATTGTACCATACACTAACAGTAATCTCGTCTAATCTCGTACAATATTCTGATAAACTTAGAGACCGTTCTGTTTCTCCCAAGCAACGTGTACATCAACGGCGGCAAGCACGGTCTCCTCCCAAGGTATATAATTCTTTAATCCCAGGACCTCTGCCGCGAAACTTGTGTCGAGTGGAGCATCAGTCTGCCTCGGAGGGACAATGTCTTGTGTTGGAAGTCGATTTGCAAGTTCAGGCCTCTCTCGACGTATCAAATCCGCTACATCTTTCCACTTGAACGTCGTATTCATAATAATAAACCTTTTGTCACGCCCGGGAACTGGCAGAGCAGAGAGAGCAGCGACATGAGCCCAAGCAACGTCGCGTACGTCGGCTAAATGCCCAAGGGGATAACTGGGGTAGGCTTCGGTACCTGTTGTGAGGATCTTGCAGAGGTTGTAGTTGGTTCCAATGCTAGTTGGGGAGTCTGTAACAGGGAAATTGGGAACGAGAGGTCCAAAAACGGCTGGCGGAAGCACTGTATGACCCGGGTCAAACGAGGTGACGATTGTGAAGGGAAACGGAACGTACTCACATATTGTAAAATCAACGTCAGGATACTCTTTTGCAAGCTCCCAGACTTTTTTATCCGCCAACGTCTTTGACTGTTGGTATATAGTCATTGGTGCCTGATGACGATCAAGAGTTTCCAGTGTTGCAGGATGGAAGAATTTCTCTGTAACTAATTCTTTGCCAAACGCTGTCTGTAATTGTGCTGAGGGTTTGTCAGAACATGAGAGAAGCAATGTATATACGAATGCATACAATCAAAGAGACTCGCAAAAGTCCCGGTGATAATGATCTTCTTGATTCCTGCGTCAATGGATTGGCGTACGATGTGAAGGGTACCATCATACGCGGCCTGTCGAAATATTTATTCGTCTCCAGGAAAACCGAATAACTGAAAATTCGACGCGCCTCAAATATCTGATCACTTGGAGAACCCTTGCTGAATAACTCTGCTGCCATGTGGATGACTACGTCAACACCCTTCAAATACTTGGTGTAGTCGGAAGTGAGAGTAGGTACTTCGACAGCTTCGAGGTTAGAGGCATCAGGAAAGATCCTTTGTAGTTTGGCAGCAGACCGAGCGGCGGCACGGACACGATAACCTTTATCCAAAAGTTGCGCGACGACATGTGAGCCGATGAAGCCTGTTCCACCAGTTACCTGAATACATAAAAGTTAGCTAGCATGTCAAGCTGTAGTATTAAGCGACGTACGAAGACCAACTGGTTCATGATTCGTTCTTGTTAAACTGTCACCGTGCACCAAATATTATCATTTATCGCATTCGTCCTGTTGTGACCAGCTGACTGAGAGATTTGTAAGGCATTCTGCTGTCAACGCAAGATTATGAAGACACTAAGCTCAACATAGACATCGATAGAGGGCGGGAACGAGCGAATATATAATTTGATGATTACAGTAGTCAATATGGATACATACATACATTATGATTGAATAGAAACCACATAGGTTATGTAGCGTAGAATTTCATCACGATCGTTTCCATCCCCAGACATGAAACTTTCCTGGCTCACGAAGCCATATATCTAACACTTTCACGTGGGCTCGTACACTATTTGACCCCTCCGCAAGCTTGACTTCTCTGGCCTTGTTCCCACACTTCCGAAACTCTTTGGCGTTGGCGCATCTGTAAAACCTGTATTTTTGGCTAAGAGCTTGAAAGCAGCTGACAGCACTGTCCAGCTGGGAAAGTGCTCCCAGCAGTACTGAAAAACTGCTGGGAGTGCTTTCAGCACTGGACAGTGCTCTCCAGCTAGTACCCTTGCTCTCGCGAACATCCAGGTTTTGCAGATGCAAGGGCACCGTAGCACATCTTTAGAGTTGCCAGCAATATCAACACCTCTGAACCCCTCGAGACCCTCCTTCTCTCTCATCTGCATAGCTCGAAGATGCATCTCGATCAAATCGTACTTGTTTTTCCCATCAAGACACCATTGTTCCCAGTCCAGCAGTTTTTTGAAGAACATTTTTAACTCATATCGAGCCTTATTGCTCTGCGAGATTGCACCAGGGAACGTTCATGGAACATCACAGTACATGCAATGGCAAAGGTGTTGGAGAGTACTCCGCTACGACTGCTTGAACCTTTCCTTTTTTGGTAAAGGCTGTTATTACTATAAACTATACAGTACCTACTATATCACGACCAAAACGGATTCGAGACCCTCAGTTGCTTTACAGACAACTGAGGTGAGCTTGCTATACCTTAGTTCATATTCCGTTCGCTAACCTAAAGTAGCTTTACCATAACAGGTACATACATATCAATATACAGTTGCTTTACAGACAACTGAGCTTTACCATAACAGATTATGAGACTGGTGAACTGAAAAGGGATCAGAGTAAAAAGAATAGAACTAGATACCACAACTACCGAAAAGTCAAAAATGTCATTTGGAAGTAGCCCAAACATCCCGAGACTCCCGGATGAGAAACAGCTTGTCGGTGAGGAAAGCTGGAGACCATACAAGCGCGAAATTGCATTCGCGATACAATCAAGAGGCCTAACGGGGTACATGGATGGGACAATTCCGAGACCAAACCAGTACCCAGGACAGATATACCCATCATCCCAACCAACTCCACTCTTTAGCCCCACGCCCTGTCTGGAGGAGTGGGAGGCCCGAGACAGACTGGTCGCAGGAGTGATTGTGTCGAATATCACTGACCCAGTAGGACTCGGAATAGACGAGACAAAGAGGGCGTCCAAAATCTGGCAAACGTTAATCAAGCGGTTTAAAAAACGAGACGAACAATGAATCCATCTAGCGGATACCAGCCTACGACAGGAAAAGTTCGAACCGACTGAATAAACGATGGAAAACCACGAGAAAAAGATGCAAAACCTACTGAAGAAGGTTCACAACTTGGGTGGGACGGCAACAGACGCCCAGTTCAGACAGATCATTATCTCCTCGATGCCCTCAGACTGGAGGTCAGACGTACGTAGCGTCCCCGGGACATTGAGCGCAGACGCATTCACCTACCTGCATACACTATGGTATGAAAAGGAGGAAGAGCAGAAGGAAGATGAAAGGGACTTCAAACGCGTTAAGGCGCTGATGGCAGCCCAACCAAGGACGTCAACCTCGAACCAGAACCGCGCAGGAGGACAGACAGCCATTACGTGCCACAACTGTGGCAAGCCGGGGCACATCACCCGAAAATGTTGGGCAAAGGGCGGAGGAATGGAAGGGCAGGGACCAAAACAGGGCCAGCCAAAAGGAACAGACACTAGCACGAATGCAGCAAGCATAGAAGACACCGACATAAAAACGCCGATGGCCACGTACGTAATGTCAGCTACAGCAGGCAACAAACCAAGTAAGTCTGAATCCGTCCAGGAGCTCAAGCCCACCGCTGACCCCGCAATCAGACAGAGTGATACCCTTCTAAGGGATCAGGGTCAGCAGGAGGCAGGAGACGAGGACGTAGATACAGACTTAGGTAGATACAAAGTTGTCGTAAAGAGGGAGTGCATGGCATGCCATGGAAACACCCCTCTGTATTCCCCATCCATACCAATAATACAAACCTTCTTGGACTCAGGAGCATCGGAGCACTGCTGGGTGCAAAGATCTGACTTCATAGAGTACATGACAGTACAAGGGCAGGGGGGAAGTAGCACAATATCTGGAGACGCCGGAAAGTTCCAAATAACTGGAACAGGGACAGTACAGTTCACAGCTCGAACTAGCGCAGGTGAAAGGGTGGTCCAGCTACGAGGGGTAAAGCATACACCCTCGTTCGGACATAACCTAATATCATTGCCGACCTTGGATAGCAGAGGCATGAGAGGTGAATGGGGACAAGGGAAGATGACAGTCCAAAGCCCAGACAACGAAATAATCCTGGAGGGACAGGGACACAACAAGATGTATGAAGTAACAGTACTGGAGAGCGGGGAAACAACCGCAAACTACTCCCGATACCACGACAGACCCACCGACGCTATCACCTGGCACAGAAGGCTAGGCCATGTATTCATACGGCATATACTACGAATGTCCAACCGCAAACTAGTGGATGGACTGAACATCACCAACCGAGAGGTACACGGCATGTGCGAGGACTGTCTGTATGGGAAGGCAACGAAGCACCCATTCGATGAAGTCCTCACGCACGAATCAGAGGTGTTGGAACGAGCACACATTGACTTATTCGGCCCGTCACGGACAAAGACCAGAGGGGGAGCAAGCTACCTTATGTTATGCACTGATGGAAGGTCATCGTATCGAGTACCATACTACCTGAGCAATAAAAGGAAAGAAACCGGAGTCCGAGCCCTACATGAATACCAACTCATGGCAGAGAAACAGACAGGGAAGCAACTGAGGATGATTCGGATAGATGGAGGCGGTGAATTGAATAATGGTCTTGTTGATGCCTACTGCGCCAAAAATGGTATCACCATCGAGAAAGTGCCCCACGACTCATCTGCTGCAAACGGAGTAGCTGAGAGAGCATTCCGCACAGTAATGGAGGGTACACGTACATTATTAGAGGACGCAGACCTGCCCTACTCCTTTTGGGGAGAGGCATCCAACACGTTCATATACGTAGGGAACTTTGTACCATCTTCGCGCTTCCCGGACACAGTACCGGTAGAAGCGTGGACACGGCAGAGACAAGACATATCACACCTACTGTCATGCCCTGCCTACAACCAGACCAGCCCCAGTACCAGCCACACGTTGTCACACACTCTAACCACCTCCTGCACTTCCCCTACACCTCCCCAAGTACCATCATGCACCTCCCTCCTGCACCTTCCCCACACAAGTACCACCGTATACCTACCCAAACGTCCTTCACCGACACACTGTCATACCCCGACCGCCACCAGACCCATCTCAGCACCAACCAGAAGCTCCCATATGTTGTAAACCCCCAAGACAGATCCGTTACCCGAGCACCTGATGACTTCTCCGACACACGTACATTCCCCGGTGCACATACAGGACCCCCTACAGCAACTCCATTAAGTATCAATCTCGATTACCGCCTCATGTTCACTAGATCCCCTGATGTTCCCTTGTTCACTTCCTGTACCTATTTAAGTAGTTCCGCAACATCCCCAAGCCCAGCTTGGTATATTTTGAACACACACCCTTTAACATAGGTCCAGTCCCTGTTCCTTTGTACCTGCTACCTATATGGAATTCTCTTTACTCTCTATTTCTTTATCTCTGTTTCTCTCAACTCTGTCTATCGTCTCTACGATCGTCTATATGGTCCAATACACGCTTTAACTTCACGTCTAAGCAACCCGAGTGAGTCTCCAAGCTCCCTCAAACAATACTAAAAGCTCCCCAACGCCTACCGCCTTGGTAAGCCAACCTCCCCAAAACCTCCTTGAGCTCCCCAATTGCTCCATAAGCTCTGGGACCTCAGTCTAGGTAATGTCGAAGCTACCTCCTACGTCAAACTACTTGTCGCTTCTCCGTTACCACCTCCAACGCTCGAGGACGTCCACCTCCAACCCCCAGTTCCCGGGACCTCCCCTTCCGGGCGTATACCTTCTCAGGAGCTTATATACTCAAGACCTATTCTCCATATGACCTATTCGATCTCACGTTGACGTTCTAGCGAGTACAACTCCTCCTACGCAACGCTACTAGGTTTTGTACCTCCACCTCCTCTATTTTACGTCTTAGGGACCTCCCTGGACCTTACAGGAACCCCTTCAAGGGTCACATCTCTCAATCCCAGCCACTACTAGGTCATTCCCGTCCTCGGTTGCAGTTTCCGTAGCTCCCTTCGAGCTCCAGCCTGCTCCTAGCACGCTACAACGTAAACTTCTCATACCAAACCTATCCTAAGACTTATTCTGACCCAGGTCTTACACCTATGCCCATTCGGCTGCAACTGCTGGGCAACACTACCGAGGAGGAGGACTGACGGGAAGTTGGGGAGACAAGCGGTTAAAGGCAGGCTTCTGGGGTAAATGGGCCGCAGAGGGTACCGGATCTGGGTACCAGAGACCAAGAAGATCGAAGAATCTCACAATGTGAGCTTCGAGGAAGGCCACCCACACCGAACGCGTCAACCAGCAGTAGTAGAGGAGGAGGAAGGTGGGGATGAAGAAAGGGAGGAACCGGTCAGGCCAGGCAACCAAGAAAATGAAACACCCACCATTCCTAATAATACCGAAGTCAATAACCAGGGAGAACATCAGAACCTGCCAACCGAAACACCAGGTGCCACAACCTGAACCTACCAATGCGCCACAACCCCCAGCTCCTCCCAACGCCATACGCCGCAGTGAGAGAGGACATATACCATCTCGGCGGCAGCTAGAGAACAAAGAATACAAAGAAAGGGAGCGTAGAGCAAGGGAAGAAGGAGAGCTGTGGTCGACAGAGGAGGGGGAGCCACTAGCACTAATAGCGCAAAACCCGTATTCATTCGCGGCAACCTCGGGTGATTTGTGGGTGCCGCAGTCATACAAACAAGCTATGAAAAACCCGGAGTTATGGACTGAACCCATGGAACAAGAATTCAAGACCCTGACAGAAAAGAGTTGCTGGGAACTAGTCCCATTGCCACTGAATGCAAACCTGACCGGGGGAAGATGGACATACGCAGTCAAATTCGATGCCACAGGTAACTTACTGAAATGCAAAGCAAGATACGTAGCCCAAGGGTATACTCAAATCCAAGGGCAGGACTACGACAAGACATATGGCGGTGTAGCTCGGATGGAATCTGTCAAACTTGTACTAGCAATTATAGCAGTCCTTAAGCTGTCCATATTCCAGGTGGATTTTACCGCAGCCTTCCTGAATAGCCCAATCACACATGAGGTATACATTAAACAACCTGAGGGTTTTATCAGACCCGGAACAGAACACCTAGTCTGCAAACTAAAGAAGTCTATCTACGGAACAATGCAGGGCAGCCACGATTGGCAGGAGACACTAGCAACAGGATATAGGGAAGACGGCTACATTGCATCCAGGGCAGATCCATGTATATGGTACCGAAGGAATGGCGGAGAGTACACAATTACCAGTACGTATGGGGATGATGTATGCGGGGGTTTCTCCACCAAGAGAGGCCAGGATACGGCAGTAAGCAACTTAGGGAAACGGTGGGAGGCGAACGAGGTGACAACTGAGGTCCTGCTCGGGATGACAATCAGACAACACCCCAACACAAAAGCGATCACCATAACACAAAAATCATATTTCCAACGCATGCTAATGCACTTTGGGCTGGAGCAAGTTCGTCAACGGAACACCCCACTACCCCCTAACGTCAAACTACGCGAATCACCAAATCCACTCCCGGACAAGGAGCAACAGTACATGAGGGACAAACCATACCGTGCAGTCGTTGGGTCTATCCTGTGGGGCCAAGTATGCACCCGTGCCGACCTCGCGTTTGCAGGGAGCCTGTTAGCAAGATACCAGCTGAACCCCGGGCGCAAACATTGGGCATGCATAGAATGGGTCGCAGGGTACATTCTCAACACCCTTGACTATGCAATAACGTACCAAGCACCGGCAGCACTGACTACAGCACCAGGGATGGGTCTGAAACCATATGCGTATGTGGACTCAGACCACGCCGGGTGCCAAGACACATATAGGTCAATGTCGGGGTACGTATTCTTCATGGCTGGTGCACCCGTTTCCTGGAGCTCAAAACGACAATCCACGGTCGCACTTTCCACTACGGAATCGGAATACATAGGCTTATCAAGGGCAACACAGCAGGCAGTATGGCTCATGTCTTTTCTTGCGGAGGTAGACCAGAGACAGGAGGGCCCCATACAGATGCTGGGGGACAATTTTGGGTCCGTCTGTCTAACCAAAAACTCGAAACGACACGCATTAGTCAAACATATCGAGATGCGACACCACTATATCTGAGAGAAGGTTGCGAGCGGAGAGGTGAACATCCAGCGCATACGCTCAGGGGAGAACGTGGCGGACATTTTTACCAAGGCACTTAATGGAACCACTCACTCCAAACTAGTTTCTCTCCTCGGGTTGGATCGTACGGAGTAGGGGGGGTGTTGGAGAGTACTCCGCTACAACTGCTTGAACCTTTCCTTTTTTGGTAAAGGCTGTTATTACTATAAACTATACAGTACCTACTATATCACAACCGAAACAGATTCGAGACCCTCAGTTGCTTTACAGACAACTGAGGTGAGCTCGCTATACCTTAGTTCATATTCCGTTCGCTAACCTAAAGTAGCTTTACCATAACAAAAGGAGGTTCCATTTAGACTGAAATTGGGTGCGACAAACATGCCGAGGAAGGAACAGATCGACGTATGAGATGGTTATTTCTTCCCCCAGATGGATATCTCACACTGCGGAGAGAGTCAGCGTGAAAGTTAGGTGGTCAAATCTCCAGATGGCATTGGGTCTGCAACTATTTGTCCAAAGATGAATTCCAACAAAAAAACGAGTATGAGATCTGCAGCTCATACCTATGATTACATCGGGAAGTTTTTAGGAAAAGTGCCTGGTACTTCTTATCCTGAGACTGCAGACCATTATCGTTCACCTCCAGTTCAATATTTAAACCATTTGTGGTCAAGATTCCCATCGGCGTACTGCCATTTACCGATGTTGAGCAATCTTTTGAACTGTATATCTCCCTCTTCACTTGGTCATCTAAATGAGAGATCAAAGCTTTGTGATATGATCCGGATTCCTCCAAACCGAAAACAGAAGCATCGAGTGCCATGTTAGTTGGAAGAACTAACACAGGGTGCTCGACTAATACAACTCCGCCCTGTGAGATATATGTTTGGGCGAGCATACCCATATCGCCGTTGAGGTTGTGAGCATTGTCTACAAGGTACGAATCATGACCTACTTCACAATGAGTGTGCGCTACATTGAGTCCATTATCCCATTCAGATTGCTGGCCAATGGTTCTGGAGAGGGTGACAGTGGACCCAAAAATAGCTGCACATTGCTGATTACCGTAAGCTCTCGGTGTGGATTCTGCAAAACTGAGCAAGTGGCACTGGTACTGCAGCGCCGGACGCCCAGCAGAAAAGTCCTTGTTATGCTTTGGCAATGAAACCTTGAGCTTGATGATAGGTGCATCTGGGTCCCAGATCATTATGATCTGAGAGTCAGTGCCACTACAGGCTTTCTTGCGCTGCACTTTGGATGAGGTCTTCGAAGTGATTGCAGCTCCATTTCCGATGGCGGAAAACTGGAGAGGAAAAATTTGCTTTGAACAGTGGAGGGTTTTCTGTGATGAGATATCCATCATGATATAAACCACTGCCAGCTTTGCTTTCCGACAAGAGTTTGATGAAGAGAGACAAAGGAAGAAACAAGAGGTTTATTCGAGCTGAACACAACATTTGGTGAGAGTAGAGGAACAGAGGGAATCAGTGGCGGTTGTATGAGTTGCCAGTGGAGAGTTTTGAGCATCACCAAAGAGGATATGGAAGTTTTTGAATGAAAGATTGACCGAGATAACTAGGCAAATCAAAGGAGGTATGGTCGATTGTGTATAGACAAAAGGCATCATGAAAGTAGTGGGATGTCTTTGACCAAGCTTTAATATGAATTTGCCGCCACCTTGGCCAACTGTGTTTCCAGAAATGAGGTTACAACAAAGGATGCTATAGCTGTCCAATTGCTATTCATCACAAGAGAATCCATTGTTGGTATACAGGTCTGAATGACAAAAATGTGTTATACAATGAAGTGAAATCTGACCCAGTGTTCACAACTCGCAGTCATTATGAAGGATGCGAGTACTAAGAAGATCGGAGGCAACACAAAAGGTTTTTGCGTAGTTTTGCATGCGGTAAGATCATAGAAACTGAGATTTACTTGAGGAGAAGTCAAAAATACGGAATGCACTTCAATAAGGCTCGAAGCATCGAACATGAGGACAAAGGGAAGGTGAATTGATTATTGCTGTAAGGCATTGTGAATACAGTCATTGGATGACTTCCCGTAAGGATTATTGGACAGTATTTATTTCTAACAGTTTCTAACGTCCTAAGTGAACTAGTCCGATCAACGGATTTTGAGCAGAACTTGAGACGGTTCTGCACTCGCTTACTGGGATAAGTGAACAGCGCATCAACTGTCCGTCAGTCGCATCAGACCGGCTCAAAAATTATTTACTCAGATTATTGGGCAAAGGCTTACAGTGACGGCATTTCCCACGAACACCCCCCAATTCATTTGGGAATTTATTATTGAATTGGAGGGTGCTCGTGGGAAATGACCGTCACTGTACGGGAAGTCATCGATCATCCATTGTCCTCACGGACATGAACTATGCACGTGTTTTGATCGCAATCGTGACGACGCGCGCACGCTCATCGTGGCAAGTACTACATACATAGAGTTCTAAAGAATCATTATATTATCCTATAAATGTTTGACTTTCGCTGCGCACCATTCTCGAGAACAGTACTCTAAGCAATCCTTCTCACTATTGCACAAAGGTCTTCGAGTTCATTGAAGATTTGGTATTACTGATACGTGAGAGTTACAGGGAAGTGAATATAGTTAAACGCATGGTAATTAAAGCTATGCTGAAGGAGGGAAGCTATGGGAGTAACTTCGGACTCGGATGTCGATGATTTTGCATCGACTTTTTGTTCCTATAATTATATCTTCTTTTTAGATGAGGACTTAACAGATATGTTTGACTTACATATTTGCGCTATTGCATTTGGCCACAAGACTAGGCCTATTGTAGCTGGAAGACGACAAACCGGCAAAGAAATCCTCATATGATGGAGCAAAAGAGCACTGAGGCAGTGGCTGTCGACCCAAAACTTGGTAGTGACTTGGAGTGTCGGAAGCAGGGCCTTCTGATATTGAGTAGGAGTAATTGCTCTGAGCGGGAGGAGCCTGGGATGTTATGCACTCAGAATAAATGCCTGTTAATGCAATAGAATATATTTCGTCCAAGCTGCGAACAAGGTTCAATGGAAGTCTGATACCACCCAATACAGCACTTACAATTCCTTTGTGAAGTTATTTTGTAGGCCAGCTGCCCAGTCAACAGGTGCAGGGGAGGAAAACCCGTTCCTCTTGATAGTAGCTATTGCTGTGTCGTAAACCTTCCAACTAGTGAAACTTAAGACAATTTTCTCGGTGAACAGAGGCAAATCCTCACTTACAACTGCTGCTGGAAAACCCAATCTACGCTGGAAGATGGAGTGCAGGCAGGAGCTTGAAAAGACGACATATTAGTGAGATCGAAAAGTATGAGAAGCTGAGTCGCACCAGCTAAATTTGCCTTATTATATGGTTTCTTGAATACGGTCAAAGCGCGTTGGCCACCTTTGCTCATAGTCACGTCCGTCTTTTGTTACAACGACAATGGAAAGACAACATTGTGGCCCAAGGGTCTTGCCCTTTTCGTTGGACCATAGCACGATTGCATTTCTTGACCATTAACGGGCACATAATTCTCGGCGGGATCAAACCGAGTTCTACAACTCTAGTCACTAAGTGGGAATACTACTTCCAAGTTGATCTAAGCCTCGAAATCCCCATTCCTCCACAACGTCTCGGCGCGTTTCTTCCAGTATCGTTCACATCCACAGTCAAATGTTGCAGAATCACGGTCATCCCATTGAACGTAAGGCACATCGGATTCAGGTGCTGGATTTCGGAATATCAAGCTATCTCTCTAAGCAATTTTGAGTGATGGTCGTCAAAATAAATGCGACACTAACCATTCCTAACCTCAAATGGATGCCTGGAGCTTCCGGTGGGACGTATGATTCCAATACATCATGGGCGCCCTTGTGAGGCTGAGCATTATTGTTGTTGTTGAATTTGCTTGTTATGATAACCCGCTGAGCTGCTTTCGCTTTGATAAGTCTCTGGATGTTCCGAGTTACCACTCCTGATTGAAAATGTCCTGGCCTGGCTGCTTTATGTGCACCAGTATGAGCGACATCACCCAATGCGAATACATTCGGATATGCTGTGTATGAGGAATTTGATGTAGCATTGTGATCATTAGGGGAAGCAATTTGGAGCGTAGGCAAAACTCGGATATACCCAGTTTCGGGGTCGACGGCGGCGGGTGCGAGAGCGCGAAGTGGATCAGAAAGTGGTGTACCGCCAAGACAAGTGATCTATGAAGCTCTTCAAAATTAGAGAAATGAGATGAAGCATACCACGCACAACCAGATCGGCTCTCAGTTGCTCCCCTCCACTCAAGTGAACAATGAATTCCGGTGTCTTCCGCGTGACTCCTAGTATTTCGTTAGAATCATCAAACATCCCCTCCACTTCCTCAATCCTAATTGCCCTTTGTCCGAGAATAGTGTCTACTCCAATTTCTTTCATCTTCTCCATGGCAATATCATGGAGACCGTGATGAAACGTATGAAGAAGCTTTGCACGAGAATGAACGAGAGTGACATTTTTTGAAAGTGTGGACTTATAGGTCTTGATATCGGTCACAAGTTCTGGACGACATGCAATATCAATACAAGAAGATACAGTGGTGAAAGTATACTCACGTACTCCGTAAGCCCCGCCTCCAATGACAACGATTTTGTTAGCCCGTTTCATATCTGCTTGCCACTCATGTATGTGCACAAGTCCTTTTTCCTTGTCATTGCTTGTGTCTTTGGTGAGGGTACTATTCACGATATTAGAATTGTGCAACCCGAGTGTTGTGCGTTGGCCTGTTCCTGTAGCAATGACAAGGTATTCATAAGGGATAGTTCTTCCATCTTCAAGAATGACTTCAGCAGAAAGAATCGAAGTAACTAAACCAGTAATTATATGCGTGCAACGATGCGTTTTGTGTGGTGAGAGCATTGCATATGCTTCATCAAAATATTCTGAAGTGTAAGGAATAAATGCCTTGCTCTCGAAACCAGATACAGCATGCAATCGCGGGAAAGCAAAGATGTTCTGCGAGAAATTAATCTTTTGTATCTTCTGATGAATAGCAAGGGCAACCTTGAAATGTGAGCTCTTCTCAACAAGCACGATGTTGTGCGTCTCATGGACTAGCGGTATGAGATCATCAACAACTTTAGATCCTGCACCCCGCCGAAGTATTTAGATTCCGATCTAGTACGGAGGGAAACATACACGAAGCTTACCGACGTAGCTACCTCCTACAACAACAATGTTGGGCTTCACATCATCACCACTTCCATGTGGGATCGTGTCAATTGCCATAGGTGTCTAGGAAGGATACTAGTCTTGTGGAATAGTGGTAATAGGTGGTCACCTCTTCAGAGGAGGCAGATAATGATTGCAAGCCAAAAATTTGGGGTCGGTATATAAAGGATTTCGTGTAGTGGCTGTTATCTCTCCATTGTGTTTATCAGATAAGTACCTGATCAATCATCGAGGACCGCAACGGTGACGATTTGAGAGTGAACGCCGAACAATGCCAAACAGTCGATATTGGTACAACGCAAGTACCTCTTGGGTACTGCTACTAAGATGAAGGTGTTCACAGACATCCTATTTGGGGTAACTAGAAAGAGAACAACATGAAAGGATATCGTGACGAGATTTGAATATGTCACTCCAATTTTACCACTGGCCTGGTACAAGAGGGTACAAGATGTACATGGGTAACCCCGCCCAAATTATAAGGTTATTCCCTCCCTTCAGGGGACCACTTCGGGTTATTCATTTCAATATGCGTGACCCCACCGCTGAGAATACTGCTGGCAGTCAAATTGAGTTGAGGTGAAATAGCTACGTTGGATTCCATTGACCACACAGCAACAGCTACAGTGCTAATTAACAGGATGTCAGAGCGCGATGGTATCAACACAAACAAGTGGTCACCCACCTGACACCTTGATAATCGAGTATACCTTGATGAACCGGAAATTCGAACTGCGGACTGAAATGGATGTTCAGCAGTATCGAACAACACTCTTCGGTAGTTAAACATACCCAAGATTAGCTACTCTCTTTCCTAACATCCAGCCGTTCACGAACTACAGAATATGTGGCAAGATGCACTTGGGATTGGAGGAAGTTGGCTCTTACAAGGTATGCACGGTATGATTGTCCTAGTTCTTCTTCAAACGTGAATGACATGAAAACATCAAGACCAATGGGAACACTGAGATTGAACGTAGTGACGAAAAACCCTGCGCCCGCGGAGGCGTTTGGAAGCCCAGAAGAGAGAGGTCGGCCAATCCAGTCTGTAGTATCGAAACCTGGAAGGTGCCAACCTTTGCGCTCGCCAAAGAGCCCGCCTTCATTGAGAATTCCGCGAACTTTGTCAGGGTAACCAGAGTAGCCGCCAATTTTGCCTTGAACTCTCCATTCGGAGAAGATACCGCAGTCAAGCCGGAAGCCCCGTATACCCCGAGGACTTTTTGGATCGTTGAGGGTAACTGCATCTACTATTAGATATAAGGTGTTACATAATGTGTCGATCACTTACGAACGGTTTCATTGAGGCCCATGTTATCCTAGCAAATTTAACATTTGGCAGTCCATTGCCAAAGTAGTTTTTGGACATACCAGGACATACCTGAAGGATAGTTATGACATTGTCTTCCTCTGGCAACAACACTCCTTTTGGAAAAATGAACTGGTCATCAGTTTCCTCGAGGATGTTGGAGCTAGCTGAGGCACTGTGTGAGTGATAGTCAATGGTGCGGTAACTGAGGATGATATATAATAACGAACTTTCCGTACGATGTATTGAGGAATACACCATTCAGCCATACACTGGCAGCAAAAGCTGACAAGATTTAAGTACAATTCAATCAATTTCACAGTAGAATAGAATCGATACCTTCTCCCCCGTTGATGGAGAGATTGACACTCTTTTCTAATCCTGTGGCATTGAAATGGCCTCTCCACAGAACGATATTTTCACAGCTGATAGTACATACTTGGTCAGTTTACGAAGCTATGCGAAAGACAAGAGACTGACAACCCATAATCACAGCCATAGAGTATACGTCCATCGCCGTAGTACATGGGAAAAGGGATATTCGTGGTAGTGTGATTTGCCACTGTCCAAGATGAATCATCAAAAGTTTTGGAAATTTCAGGCAAACTATTCCTGAATTTCCAACCCGACAGAGTCGGGACTTTGACTGCCACTTGAGCACCGTTTGGGGCAGGAATCGTGCCCATTAGAACAATGCTGGGGGTGTGTCTTTGTGACGTGCCAGATGCAGCTCGTAAATCAATCTGTTTGCCATTCCACGTCGCAGAAGTGATCCGAGCAGGACCAACAATAATTATCTTTGTTCCATTGGATTGATAGGTGAGGTTTAAATCCCCTCTGATGTTTAGAATGCGCGAGTCGGAGGCAATAGAAGCTGACCGCACGAGGTAGGGTCCTCCTATGAGCACCGTCTCGTTTGTACCTATGCTCCAATAGCTTTTATGTGGGTCAATGCTGGTAGACGATGAAATGGTAGGGGCAAAAAACATGGATGCGGTGGGCGTGTCAGCGAAGAGAATTAGTTGCGTATCGGATTCGAAGACTGTGACTAGACCAGGGGAGAATGGTGCGGAAAAGGAGATGACTGTGATTGCCTCAGAGAGACCGACAGATGTTCCATTGGTAGCCGTGAATACATCGGCTGAGGATGAAAATCCGGAGAGAGCAAGCCCAAATTCATGAGACTGCGAGGCGTCACCATAGAGGAAGAGGACGTCCCGCGAATCGATGGAGCCAGAGAAGAAGACCTGTGCAGTCGAATAGAGCATACGAGATTTGGCGCCGTATGCGTAGTCGGTAAGGACCACCTTGGACTCACGACCACTGAGAGTAATCGCAGATGTCACAAGGGGAAGATGTAAAACGTCTCCGTGGACAGTCGTCACATCCAAAGTGAATGACGTTATCGCACTACATAGAGGACAAAAGTCTAAGCAGAGATAAGTTCGGGGTGGAATGAAGCGTGCGCACGTAGAAGTAGAATCATTCTGCCGCACGATCCAAAAACCAGCACCCGAGTCAGGGTTCTGCAAAAAAGTGACCGCAACAGCGGAAGGGTCAGATACACCACTTCCGCCGGGAAGCCCAATGGATGAATTTCCGATCCGGTTCGTTTTGTAGAATTCTGGTGAACTGCGAAGGAAAATACCTTGAAGCTTTATCTCTGGGTGTTTGGGAGTGAGAGCACGAGATTCAGATATCTATTAAACTGATCTTAACATTACGAGGTATTACGCCGCACATGTGAAGACATCGCCTCACCGTGCCACCATAATCATAGGAGGTATACACCTGGAACAAGGTCGAGATGAGCATTCTTCTAATAGGACACTCATTGTGACCTTACTCCACTGAATTAAGCATTCCTATAAGCACCTGAGATGCAGGGTAGAGAAAACATACCCATATGGGAGAGCCCCCCAGGACGTGCCTCCATAGAACATGTAATAACTAACAAGTTTGACATTACTGGCCCATAGCTGACGATAGAAGACATTCTCGAACTCGGGACCAGTAAGAAGTGTGCAGCCACTATATTCTAAAGCCGCAAATGAGCGGGGTCTGCGGTACAGACATTCATTGGCGCGCACGAGCAGATCCAGGACCCCATCCGTTTAATGACCCTCCTTGCATTTCTGAACAATCGTCAGATACACATGTGCAGAGATGGGATCCAAAGTACGCACCTGGTACGTAGAAAGGTTGCGATGAATCTACCTGCATGTGGTAATCGTAGTAGTCGACGACAGTGTGCCACTCATCCGGGTCAGCGCAGTCATACCGTTGAGGGTAATAGTCGTTCCTGCAATGAGCAACTGTTATATTTCTGAGTGGACTTTGAGCATGATCTTTACCCATGTAAATCAACAGCACCCTAGATGAGCAATTAGAAATGTCTCTTAAACAGGATCATTGTAGTACCGTTCCATTAATAAAGTGGTCTTGGTTTCCAGCATCGTTGTATGTGAAAGGAATGACAATGCCCGCCTCCCGATATGTAGCTTCTAGTTGCGCCATGTAAGTCTCTCCGGTATCCAGATTGTACTCGTTGTCTACAAAATGATGCAAGTGAAAGGGCGGTATGGGTACGCAGAGGTACACAGTTGAAGTTGACTGACCGATTTGCAGAAGAATAACAGGGCCACCATCGGTGATCTCGTTTCCGCGGATCTTAGAAGCGATTGCCTGAATGTAAGGAGTCCACGCCTCCCGATAGTCAGATGCATTCGTGCGAAGCGTTCCAGCGACCTCCGATGTAATCCAGTGTGCAATTCCTCCAGCTGTTGTCTCGGCGTTGATATACTAGGTCAAATCTTTAGTTTCATGAGAAGAGAACGCAGTTAACCCTACAGGACCTAAGATTTTACATCATTTGAACGTTTTGACTTCGATAATGGAGATGAACATACCGGGTCGTAGAGTTATCCAAACTCCAACTTCTCTAGCAGCGTCAAATAGAGGTTGAAGATCTCTCCAGTCATTGAAATCGATTACACCACGGGAGGGATTTAATAGTCCCATATGAGTGTATACCTTTGTATATGTAAGTTGGTTCCTCTGACATATCATTATCATATCAATATTGTCACTCACGCTTATACTGTTGAGACCTGCAGCCTTCACTTTTTCAAGAATATCGATCCATAGCCCGGGAACCGGTAGGCGGAATGTGTGGAATTCACCGCCGCTGTTGGAGCGAAAGTCAACAAGTGCCATTTGACATCAAATGATAGCCAAGTTACTCACTGTAAGAATACACGCTGGTCTTTCAGAAGAAGGCTATAACTGTCAAACTGGACTTGGTCAGTATAATTAGAAGCAACAATCTTGTGCACTAAGACAAGGATTATCATTGCCCACAAGCGAGGGAGAAGATTCATGGTGACAAACTCTCAATGAGAAACCATAAAGGAGAGATAATTGCACTATATATATGAAGTTCACGACAATTAGTCTTCTGACTTCCATTTGACAATGAAAAGACGAAAAGGAGTATGAAAAGTGAGCGGACCGATATTGACAGCAGAAAGAAGCTGAGCCTGGTGACAGAGGAATTTTTTCGGAAGATTATTTGCCCACAGATCCCAGAAGGATGAGATAGGTGCAAGTCTTGTTTTGCACCACACAAAAAATCAACGACTTGATTGACTTGATCGACATGAGCTAATAAGTGGTTACTATTATTCTAGTCAAAGAGAGCACCTCCATTAGGCGATATCTGCAAAATTCGCCGTCAGCATAGAGAAGTAGATTCGTGGAGTTCAAACAGCTTACAGTTTGGCCTTTTAGAGGTTAAAAAGGTGCGAATCAGTGAATAGGGATTAGGATATGGAAGAAATGTGGTACCTGTAACATAATGTGCTTCCTCGGAGGCCAAATATGATACAAGACTCGCGATGTATTCCGGCTCGCCAAGTTTGAAGTAAGAGGGCATCACTAGACCATACTAGCGGCGAAGAACTTTAAGCTGCCGGGGCAGAAGAGGACTGCCAACAAACCTTGCGAAGAAGTGAATCGGGATCATCCCAGAACGGTTCATCTGGGAACTACTTGAGTGGTTATACCAAATGAAAACCGATTACAACGTACTCAACGCGGTCTTAGTGAATCCTTGCATAATGTGAGCGAACTAGTGAGGGCTTCAAACGAGTAGCTTACCGGGAGCATACGCATTGACAGTGATTCCAAATTTGCCTAATTCAAGAGCTAGAATGACTGGTTTCAACAGTAAAACCTTTACTCATAACGTGAACTCACCGGCACTTTGGGTTAATCCTCGTACGGCAAATTTTGAAGCACAATAAGCACTGGCTTCAAGTCCAGCTACAATTGAAGAAATTTAGCTGAAGGGGTTTATTTTTGCGGTGAGAAATATGAGCAACTCCCACCCTTTCTCCCAGCAAGTGAAGAAGCACCAAGAATTCGTCCGCCGTTTCCCTGAGCAATCATTTGTCTCGCGGCATACTTGTATGAAAGAAAAACTCCGCGCGTATTGACTGCGAATATCTTGTCCCACTCATCAGCGCTATCTTGAAAATAAGCGTCAACTAGAATACAGATAGTTTAATCGCTCTACGCTTACAATCAATCGTGGTTTTACTACGAGTGATTATGCCAGCATTTGCCACCATCTGCGGAAAGAGAACATGTCTCGGGGTTCACGTTCGGCGTCGATGAAAAAACAAAGGATTCAACTCACCACGCGGAGCTCCCCGAGCGTTTTCGACACGGCATTGACCATCTCCTCTACTTCTGTCTCTTTTGATACATCCGCAACGACGAAATGAGATGCTTTCCCGTTGACTTTCTTGATATCCTGGGCAAGCCTTTCAAGTTGGTCCGATTTGCTGGCAACATCGTTTACTGCAACTTTGAATCCATCTTTGGCCAGTCGAAGAGCAATGGCTCTACCGATTCCTTGAGCAGCTCCAGTCACAAGCGCAGTACCGAGCACCATCGATGCAAGTATGGAATGAAAGAGAAAGAGAAAGGCATTTATAACGTTCCCAGATGAGATGATGGAAGCGAGTAAGCCATCTGACCTGTGAGATGAGCTTATTCTGTACCAGAACCTGCATGACGTGAGGATTTCGAAACGCACCTTCAGCGCAACTGCCTTGTTGGATTTGGGCATCAGGGTATTAATTCCGAGTTACTTGCAGCACGATAAAGGTAGAAGCAGTGTAGAAGCCCAGAGATTGAAACTGATCGAGCATGGTTGATACACTTTCCCACAGTTGTCATGTTACAATTAATTGAGCACAGTTTACTGATTGCGATTGGTGTCCACTCTTCTACGTCCTCTAAACAGCCTTGATTATACATATGACAATCCGAGTGGAAATAGAAACTGTATCAAAGTTAGTGCTTTCCCTGAGTCAACGAATTGTCTTCATCGCTCGCGAGACCAGTGCGTGAGCTATTGACCCAATCCTTGCCCTAACTTCGGAATCATAAGAGGAAACTAAACTAGAACAATGTTCGTTCTATCTTTATTTCGTTGTCTTGGGCCTGCTAGGCTTGATTTCGATCACTAGTCGCTTGCAATGCGTTGCTATCTTTAGGTGATATATCGAATCATCGAAGCCTTCAAAACTATCACCGCCGCTATATTCCTTTCGCATGAATATATACAGCTCAGTTCTTTCCCTCTGAAACCCAAGTCACTCATACCTGATGACATCCAGGTCCCTTACTCGAGGTGCAACGCGTGTTGCTCTTATCACAGGGGCAGCTCAAGGCATTGGCAAAGCCATTGCTCTGCGATTGGCCTCAGATGGATTCAAAATCGCGCTCAACGACGTTGATAGTAAACGGAACCAGCTCGAAGGAGTAAATGACGAGATTGAGAAGGACTACGGCTGCGAAACGTGTAGTGTCCCTGGAGATGTTAGTAAGGAGCGCGATGTGGAAGACATGGTGCAGGTTGTTTCGCAGCGTTTGGGTAGCTTGGATGTAGTAAGTATCGATAAATTGGCCTTTTGAACTCACTTTTTTCTTATTTGTTATCCACCTTGAGCTTGAGTCCGCTCTATGTTACTTATATCAACGATCTTGCAGATGGTCGCAAACGCTGGAATTCTCGGGTCCTACACACCCATCCTTTCGACAAGCATGTGCTTTTCACGCGTTATTATTCTCTGCTGAACTCGTTTTCCGGCAGCTGAAAAACAATGGGACGACGTCCTCCGAATCAATACCAAGGGTATTTTCTTCTGCTACAAGTATGCGGCTAAACAAATGGTTGCACAAGGCCGGCCTGGAGGGAGAATCATCGGAGCGTCATCATTTGCTGGGAAGCAAGGTAGCTTGATATCTTTGAACCTTCTCCTCAATACACTGGCTGACATGGAAAAAAATTCCCAAACAGGCTTAACCCATATTGGCGCATACGCCGCTTCAAAGTTCGTTCGTGGATTGACACAGGTTGCTGGTAGGGAGTAGTTTCTTGAGATTTTCCTTCTCTTCTCAAGGACAAATTCAATTTAGCTTTGGAACTGGGTCACCACGGCATCACAGTAAATGCATACGCGCCAGGTACGTGCCGCTTCTAAGATTAACATAGCACAAACGTCACATTACACTATGGGCTTTTCAGGCGCTATAGAGACTCCCCTGGGTACGTTCGACTCGAAGTTGGACCACATAATATCCCTTATTTGTTACAAACAGCTACTGCGATCGATCTTTCAACGACACCCGCAGGCAAAGATGTACGTCCTTTACTGCTCGGGCTAAAAGTATGGGCCGGCAAATGAGTCTGACTCTTTTCATTTTAGTTCCTCAACAAGCTCCCCTCGTTCTCAACCGTAGGAAAACCCGAAGACGTTGCTAGTTTGGTTTCATTCCTTGCCTCTCAAGAATCTGGATATATCACTGGTGAGCCGTATTTGACACTTACGGCTGAATGTATAGCTTATTTTCATTAACCTCGATAGGGCAAACGGTCTGCTTTGTTTCTTCAGTCATATGCTCCTTGAAAAATGCTGATTGCCTAATTAGATTTCCGTCAACGGCGGTCTATTCTTCGATTGATCTTGAGCGTTAAATTGTGGTCTCATGTTTCTCCCTGCTTGTAATGGCTTTGACTGTTGGGATGACAGATGTAACAACGCCAGTTGATTGCCTACGGGGCGAAGCAATGCTAACGTTGCGACGTTGAGCCCAAGTTGAGGCTGAAGCTAGATAGGAGATGCTGGAAATGCTTTGGATCAATCGAGTAACCAGTGGAAGTCTTATACATTATCAATGAACCCAGTGTACACAAGTTATAGACAAATATAGATGTAATATACAGATATACAGAGAATAGAAGCAGATATATGGAATATGGAATATACATAGACAGTGCAATTGTTGGTAGATTATGTCGTATAAATCGTATCATTCATACATTTAGTCAGTGCAGTCGGATGTGAGCCAGTAGAAACGAACGAAAGACGTGGGGGAAGCGATATCATCGATTTACTTGATCAATTAATAAACGTATCGGAAGCTGCACCAGAAAATAAGAAAGTCAACCATTTAGAATCGTTTGAAGCCCTGGTACTCGCAAATATGCGAGGATAGACGAGAGACTCACTTGACGTTCTGCAAATCCGTCATATCCGCAAACGCAGTGTCGTTCTCGTGGGGACGAACAGTGGAAATGCCCCCAAGCGATTCGCTATCCTTGGTAGGCTCTTGGTCTGCACCTTCAAAAACGCGTTGATCAACAGAAGCATCAATATATGAGTGTTGGTTTGAGGCTTCTTGAGGCTCACCAGAAACGGCAGCCGCAAGATTGTCGCGTTTACGATTTTGATAGATAAGGTAAAACCTCAATGCAATGAATATGAGAACTTCAATGCAATTGCTGACGAGCATCGAACCGATTCCTAGGTGGTACGTTGGAGCGTCTTGGGTGCGGTAGAAAAAGGGACCTGAAGTGGGATTGTCAGAATGTAGAACAGGAAGACACGATAGGACGCACCACTGATGTTACCCACACAAGCCCCCAACCAAATCATCGCGCTAGTCAGCTGCTTCTTTGTTTGCCCTGCTGTATTGCTCGTGATGATGCTTAGCCCGAGGACAAAAGAGGCTTGATAGGATCCTGGAAGATGGATGAAACAGGAATATATAAGTAAGAGTACGCGATAAGGATAACATTGCATGATAATCCAATCCACCGTATCACAGTGTATCGACAAAGAACTCACCGGTTAAATAATAGCATATCAACCTTCCTGCTGTGGCGTCCTGAGGAGCAAGAAGGAAACCCAGTGTGCCGGCGATGGTAGGGAGCATGAATAGTATGCAAACGAGGGTCCTGGAGTTGGCGGGAAGACGTCCATTCAAGAATGCTCTAAGCAAAGTAAGAGAAGCACGGAGGATAGGTATGAGCGGTGGGAATAGAGAAGAAGAATCAACTCACCCCAACCCAATCCAGATACACACTAGCGCACCTTGAGGGATGCCCAAAAGAGTCGTTTGAAGAGTGTCGAAGCCCAGTCCTTCAATAATGAGTGTCGAGAACTAAGTATCATATAATCATTGGTATAACGTTAGGACAAGAGAAGCAAGAGGAGCAATTACATTGCTTATCCCTCCATTCGGGATGTTTCCCACTAATCCTAGTAAAAAGAATAACCACGTCTTGGGATCGTAGAAGGTTTCACGGAACTGATCCCATTTGAACTTCTTATTATCTACTCCAGTCTGGTTCTCTCTCAGCCGACCGACGGCAAGAAGCCGTTCTCCACGAGTGAATGTACGTGTGGTTGGAGGAGAGTCGGGAAGAATGAAGAAAAGCACGATGCCCCAGACAGAACAAAGGGCGCCGACGATCAAAAATCTGCGAGAGCGATGTGAGTTAGATCTTTCACGTAATAATTGGCACAGATAGGAAGCGACAAACGTACTCATACTTCCAGCTCGCCAACGAGCCCTTTATATGACCAATCGCATACCCGAGTAATCCACCTCCGGCAACACCGACACCGTTCGCGGCATACCACATGGATATTCGAGATGGCTGCTCGGAGCGGCGGTAAAACATTGTGGTTATAAGCATGAATCTGCAGAAAATATAATGAACAAGTTGTAAGGCAATTAATATGTAGATAAAGAACGACACCTACGCAGGGTCAGCTATGGCTTCGAAAGCTCCTGACAAGATACGAAGAACGGCCAGTTCTGTAAAATTGCGCGAAGCTGCCTGAGCCCTATATCAAAGATGGCGGGTTCAGATGATATCTTTAGGGTGTAATACATGCGAGGCAAAGGGGCGTACATGAGTAGAACGCCCCACAAGAAAATATTGATTGCCAGGTATTTTCCACTCGGAGATCGTTGCATGAGGAGGTTGGAGGGCAAACTCCATGCTAGCCAGCCAAAGTAGAACAGGGACGAGAGCCAACTTAAGAAGTAATGGAGGATAAGCAAATGCAAAGAGGAGAAAAGGATGGTCGTAGAAGTGAGCACACCTGTACTGAGTTCCGTGCAACTTGAGATCCGACTTGATACCGAAGATAGCAGCATATGATAGAGTCGTCTTGTCAATGTACTGAACAACATCCAGAAAAGGTGAGTGAATTATAAGAGCAATCTTAATTGAACGTACATAGAACGCGTAACAAACAGCTAGACTAAAACCAACAAGACGACAGTAAGCTTTAACATAGATGATAAGTATGTCAAATTCAACAGACCAAGGGATAATCAGTCTATCAATCTTCTTCCTCAACTTCATCTCCTCAATAGGATCAATGCTCGCCTCATTGGGATACTTTTCCAACGCCTCTTTGTAAAAATCATCCAATGGTTCACGATTCCACAGACGCGCTGCGGAGAAGGGATGGGTGCCGACTAAATCCGAGTCCGGGATGATTCGTCGGCCGTCCGTAGCTTCTTCGGTATAAGAGATAGAGGGTTCAGCTCCGACTTTCGAGAGGGTAGACATGCTACGCTTCTGTGGAGAAAAGAATTGGCTCTCTTTGGTCGACGGGGGGATCCAGAGCGGGGTGAAAGGATAAAGGAAGAAGAAGACTTCCCCGCATACTTTATACGGAAATTCGCGTACCTGTTCCTGTCTAATCGCTCCGGTGATCCGTCACAGCGGCCCGGTGCTTCCAGCGCCCCCGCTTTCTTCTTGTTTTCCTGTAGGGTCATACATATGTAGATCTATTTTTCCTTTCCGAGCGAAGTTCTGCGAACTTTCGTGTCTCTAGAATCCGATGCGTCGCAACTTTCTCCAGCTCTCCCCCCTCTCCCCCTCCACGGGGTCTTGATTCGCCAGTGCGCCTTGTCAGAGCTTATCAGCTCCCATAGGTAATCTTTGATTATGCGGAATGTGCGCTGCAATGGTCAAAATATCGTACTGTATGCTAAATGATCTATCGACGATCTGTGTGTACTAAGATATCAAGAGCAGATATCTCTTTATTTATATATCCATCTGCGGGGCGATGTGAATATCGTATTATGAGAGGCAAACTAGAAAACAAGATGAAATTAGAAGGATTCCTCCGCTACCCACTATGTTATGGGCTATATTCAGCGAAGGGGGCGGTATCAGGCGGTATCATGGCGGTGCATTCTTTATTTATCTGCGGGGACCTCCGACGCAGCTCCGACGGCTGAATATAGTTTATGTGGCGACCATAAAATGCTGGTATGAGTTTCGAGATTATAACCAGAAATCCCCAGCCGCCTGGTGCGCAAACGACAAAGCCCTCATAATCCGTTTCATTATCTAACCTTAGAGCTGGTCTCTACACCCACGAACGACATCATTATCGCAATATCTAGCATGCAGCGCCTTTCTTTCATCCCGGTACTTCTCCTCATTGCCCTCGCAGCATTTACGAGTACTGCCTACGCCTTTCCTGTTTTCGGACCTCAGGCTAGAGCTGAATCCACGTCCACCAAGACATCGTCACCTGTCGCTTCCCCGACACATCCCATGATAACCAAACTTAAAGCAGTGTTCACGAATGGCGGGAAGAAGTCACCCTCCGAGTTTTCATCACTCAAACATCATACTATCGGGTACGGTTTCACCCTTCCGGTTAATACTTGTTTCCTCGGTACTCTCAATTTGGGCTCTTACAATTGTGCGACTTAGAAATATGTCACTGAGAAGAGAGAAGTCCCATTGTCGAAGATCAAAATGATGCTCGAAGGAATCACCGATAAACCACATGCGATTGCAGGCCACTGCACCACCGTGCATGGCAAAAACTCGGCTCCTTTTTTGGGGGCTATTAAATATTATGGAATCAAATAAACGGGGCGCCTTACAGGCGCCGACATTGAATGTTTTTTAAGAATGAAATAAATACATGAATTACAGTATTTATAGAGTAACAGGGGGTAACTGAGTGAGATGCTATGAGACGAGAAAAAATAATTGTGACAGAGTCACAGTCCCGTGATATCCCGTGCCGGTCACAAGAATTCAATACAATTCAACTCAGTGTTACATTTGGCCAAATAAGGCGAAACTACTGCCATAAAGGGAAATAATTTTTGTATGGAGTACCGTACATAAGGACGATACTTCCGTAAACTACAGCCTCGTAACAATTCCAGAAAGATGTTTTCCTCGTACCGACGGTGACTTATGCATTCACAGTGAGTCATCCCCAAATGTTCAAAACTCTAATTAACTGAACGATTTAATATCCAAGGGTTGGTCGTTGGTGAGTAATGAAAGGGAAACGGAAAGCTTTAGATATCCGCTTACTCGGTATGGTTCTCTTGCTACAGTGTATGATATATGCCGCACCAGAGGGCTTTAAGAAGTTGAAACAGCTTTCATTGGCAAGTTTTCGAACTCGATTTGATTTCATACTAAGTATATTAAACTTCAATTTTCGCACTTGTAGATCTACGAGAAGGACGACATTGACAGGCCACCACCGTTTGGCAGGCCGGGAGAATACATAGACCCGGAAAAACGGCCCATTGTCTTCTTCGCCGCCAACGTGCCAATCACAGGGGCTAATAATGAGAGAACCATTGCAATGCACATTCCCCAAATCCACGTAGCAGATGCGGAGAAAATTGGATTGCACACCCACTGTCTCAAATCAAGTATGTCCACTGAACTAATGTTGAAATCTCTCTTAATATACGCACAGATGAGAAACCACCAAAACTATGGGGAATAGCTGAATGGGAGAAATACGGAGTTGAGTCCTGGCCTGCGAAACTAAAGGCTGATTCTGACCCCGGAGAGCCTACTGTCAAGTCTGTTATTAATTCCAGCACGCAAACCAGCGGGTTGGCAGGCAATGTATCTCCGCATCTCCCTGAACATCAGCACAACGAGAAGGCGTAATCGTAGTGGTCTCAGATATGGCGGAGGCATCGGATGCTATGTGGTCAGCCCGTACTAAGTATCCGTCGCACTACCTAAGTCGCTGATTTTGGGACGGGTTTTGTTGTGTCTTGTACTATATCACCCTATGTATCCTTTACGAGCTATTGTATCCATATCCTCTTAGCTTCATCGTCCACTGTCGTTTCTCCTATGTGTATGCTATCAGATCAGATGCGATCCTAAAGGTAACCTTCGAACGTCAAAAACATGACCGGTCCGTAAGTCCCGGAAGACGATCTTGGCCTTGCTTGAACTTCCGAGTCGTCTCAACTTGTTCAACTCCGCAATATTCTCGCCGCTCCTCGCTCCCTTCCCTTCCTTAGCTTATTCTGCTGTTTTTCTCTATACTTCAAACTTGTACAACTTCTCGAACCTCCATCAAGTCTTAGTACTATCTTGTCCCTTCAGTTCAACTACGGACTGCGGGAATCGAGGAAACTTCCTTTCAAAAACTCTTCGCTTTCACCGGTTCTCCTCGAAGTTTTTTCATCCCAACGTGCGTCTAGACGTAATATCGACATGGCTGACCTGTAAGTTGTTTGCTTGTCGTTGCATTTGCAGCATTTCATTTCTCTTTTGAAGGGGCGATTTTCTTGCGCTTATCGCTGTAGGTCTTAATATCTCAACGTTAAACTCCATTTACTAAACCTTGATGCCAATCATAACTTCTCATATTTCACCTAAAAACTTGTGGACACATTTGCAACCTTGAACTTCTGAAGACAATCGTAGTTTTTGCGGGTATCATATATGGGGTATATACCGTTGTCGGCTCGGTTTCGGAGGGAGTAAAATCTACGAAAGACAAGTACGTTTAGTACCTCCATTCGCACAATCCGTAAATCATTGATTGATCTTCCTCCCCTTTCTCATTTCCGTTATACCTTCTTTTATCGGCTCCGTTCGCCTCAAAAAACAACCACAACTGCCTTCGCCTTGGTTGTGATTCGGGTCGATGTCTCTCAAACGATTTCATGTCCTTCATGTTCGCAAACGAACAGGTTAAAGGAAAAAGGCTACGAGATATCAGACAAAGGAATGTCTGTAAAGACGTCGAAGAGGATGAATAGAGAGGACTATGTTGATGCGACCCAAAGGTATCCTTTTGTCGTTCACCATTCCCAAGTTTTCAACTAATATATACCTCTCCTTATCCCCTTCCCTGATTCTATCGTCCATCTTCATGACCTATAGAGGCTTGATACGAGCTATGGGAGCTTCCTCTTTCGGCTCGAACATTGATGGGACCGCACAAAGTCCTGCCTCCACCTCACCCTCAGCTGCATCAGCTAGCCTCTCAGCGCCGACGCTGAAGCATCGCACGAGTTCTTCATCAATAAAATCTGCTTCCTCAGGAAAGAAACTCAGTCTGTTTGGAAAGAAGAAACACGATTGATGGAATACGCTGGCGCTCCGCTCGCAACCTGTCCAAAACACGAGGTAGAGAGAGAGAGAGAGAGAGAGAGAGAGAGAGAGAGAGAGAGAATGCCTCTTGGGCGAAGCGAGGGGAAACTAGGATGTCAGCTGTGGACTTGCGGGAAAGGTGGAGACAAAAGAGCAGGAGTGAGCGGATGGAGGATACACCTTGTGGACTTTCGATAGGTCACTCACCTACTGCGAACCGTGTACTTTTAAGCCTTCCGCTGTTTCTCTTTACAGCGCTACCTGATGTTTATGTACATACATCCATTCCCTTTTTATATCTTTTTTATTTTTCTGCTTTTTATACGCAAAACTATCACCCGATACATACATAGCAGGTACAAGTGGTGGAAGTACATAATGGTAGATATCGGTATACATAACTATCCACAATCTTTTTGGATCTAAGTGAGAATTCACCCCAAGGGTCAGTGAAGAACATTTGTTCATTCGCAAGTTTATGAGAGAGGGATTAAAGTATTTTTATAGACTACCAGTTGGCAGAACGGGATAGACTACATACAAGGATTACAAAATGTACAGTTCGAACATTGTGGTGCTGATGGTTACACTCTAGTAATTAGCATTTCAGGATGCTTTTGATTTCTTTGCCTCCTCTTGCTCTTGTTTGACAACCTCTTGCACCGCACTCAACAACTTGGCATGTGCATCCTTCACCGTGGCGATAACGCCATAATTCTCCCCAAGCGTCCTACCAAGACCGAAATCAAGAGGTAGACCGCGCGAGTCTGTGATTACTCCGCCAGATTCGGTAACCAAGAGAGACCCGGTTGCATGATCCTTGAAGAGTGGAAAAGACGACGTAAGAGATCTGACCCGTGATGCCCTAGGAACTGATGTACTCACCCAGATCTTTTCCTTGTATCCAACCCCGGTAGGCATCCTCATATACGCCCCTCCATCTCCCCGTGCTAAACAGCCATATTTAGCTTGACTATCCATTCGAATCGGGGGTTGTGTCAGTCCCAGTATAGCGGAAATGCGGGATGAAGTGGAGTGAGATGAATGAGCGGCTTCGACTGACTCTAGGAAACTAAAGGAAGACGGTGTATATGGAGGCATGGTAAGGGGTATCGGGTCTGCCCCGGTAAGTTTCAGCTAGGGTAATAAGGTTGAATCGACTATTTCAAGAACGCATCAACGGGAACACACTTGTTGAGCTCCTTGGCCTCTAACGGCAACGAACAGGCACCCTTTGTCTTCATCCGGTTTCGACAAATTCAGAGGCAAATTAGGACATCCTAAGACTCCGACTTGGACCTGGGCATCGACGATGAGAGCCAAGCACACAGCGTATTGTTCTCCTCGCAGGAAACCTTTTGTCCCATCAATTGGGTCAATTGTCCACATTCCTACAGGGACATATGGTTAATCAGTGCGTCGGAAAATTGGCAGTAAGGAGGACGTACTTCCATTTCTACCACCTTCATGGTTCCCTCGATCAATCGCATCCAACAAATTGTCAACGCTCTGCTCCGAGCCAGGACCGATTCCCCATTCTGCAATGTCCCCGATACCAAGCTCGGCTGTCAAGGCTTCGTTTGCAAGCTCGACAATGCGATCTCGGAGTGAAGCACCACTTGCTGCGCGCAAGTCTGCTGCATCTTCTTCTCCGACGATTGGGTCATCGGGGAATGCACGATGTAGCATAGAACTTATAACTGCCTGTGCGGAAAAATCCCCAACTGTGAACAATTAGATATAAACATCGAGGAATAAAGGAAGTTTTGCTTTTACATACCTGTGACGGGCGACTTGTCTCCCTTTACTAACGTCTCATTCTTAACCAACTTGTTGAAAACGGAAGATGTCAACAAACACGCCCTCCGTACCGCAGAGATCGCGAACTGTTTTTCGGTTGTATATGCGAGCGACATTGACCTACGGCTGGTTGCAGGGATGAAAGGAAAACAAGAATGAAAAGAATAAAAGTTTATGGAAGAGAGAAATCGATAAATCATCCCTTCGCCATGATAGATTTCTCAAGAGCGTGAGTTCGACGTCAGGATGGCTCATTTTTCTGCGGCCCGGAGAACGCGTTTCTTTTTTTTGGACCACTTAGAACTCATGTTATCCTAAGCGTCGCTACTCCTTGAGTCCGTTTGACCCTTCTAGGCCATGGTCTAATCTCACAATTCACAATCAGTTTTGCAGTTCAAACGTGTACTGTTCCACTTCCAGTCTTCTATCATCAGCGCCCCAAAATTCAATAGACTCTCGTTCAGCTTACTCGATACAAAGCGAAATCTGTATATCATATGCTTACTGCGACTCGCAATCCCCTTCCCGGTCTTGTAGGATCTTTCACTAGGGACAGGAACGGTGCACTTCTTATCGTGAACGTAAATTATACCATAGTATTTCGACGGAACCTTGTTCCTTCTTGTTCCCGCTTGCGAATTTGGTTAACCCCGAATGTTGAATGGAAATGGTTTCTGAGCAGCTATTGTTTGATAGATTCCAAGCGAGTGGCTATTAGTCCTAACCGACATGCGTCTGCTAGTGTCAGGTCTACAGGAGCCAACAGAATCAGACCAGAATGGCCGAAATGACTGGGTAACTCGGACCTCATTGGCAAGTCACCTACTCTCCTCGACACTGAACTATGATTGACTCTATGTGGTATCGCTCGAAGACATTCCGCGAATTCCACCTTCGTTGGCTCGTATCAGCATTGTTATCTACTCTAAGTACATGTTGTGCTTCGCTTTGACGTCGGGAGTTGTTTTAATACCGTTCGATCTAGGACTATGTAGATCACACTCAGCCTCTGGTTACTCGGTTCAGAATCAGTTCCCAGCCGATACTAGTTGAGTGATTTAAGTTCCTCCGTTTTCGATAAATCATGAAACGATCATCGATAGATTCTCATTCTCTTGCAATACGGAAGTCATCTGCTTTTTGGAGGCATGCCATCTTGGAATATGGCTACTGGATGCACATGAGCTATATACAATGCCACAAATGTGGAAGATGAGACTCACACCACTTGACGGGAAGCAGATTAGATAACAGGAAATTCCTTCGACTATAATTAAGTAAACACTGTTTCTTTCAGTAAGTACTGATTGTGTTCCTGCCAGCATGTGTCTTCTCATGTTTCCAGCTTGACAGCAGATGCAAGATACATGTGTACATATATCCCATCTCATCCTTTCTCTCCCATCTCCCTTCAGGCCAGCACCATAGACAATTGGTATCCGCTTTGAAGAAACAGAACCGACAAGGCTAGTGTCCGCTCAGAGGAAACAAAGCCCATTAGCTAGAATCAAAGAAGTACATGGCACTCCACAGAGCTCTAGCGCCGCTCTGGGCCGCGCTTTCGATTACATATGTCCATTGGTACTGATGATTCTCCGACAGTGATCTCGAAGAGCCATTTTGGGAACTCTACAACAACCTCTAGAAGTGGACCAATCACAGGTTACAATCTGTGACTTGATTCCCCGATGATCTTTGGCATGACGGGCGTGATCTACGATACTGCAGGAATCCTTTTTATGCTAAGTTTGCACTGCTACGTATCTTGCTATGTATTGATTGTACTTACCTCTCGGTATTTACATGTGAACCTATTATTAGAGAATATTTCGTGCCGGGGTTGCGAAGCAAGAATGTACCGGCTTTGGGACCTCCTGAGACTGAAAATGCGAGACAGGACGTATTATACCGTCTGAATCTAGAAGCTGAATTCAAATCCCCGAAGTAGTCCGGAAGTTACTCGAAATCAGCTTCTAAACGCGGGGAACCGGTTCAATCATGCTTGTGAGATTTGACCATATGTTCAGAAGGTGGAGACTGCCAACCTGCGAAGGCTCTTATCTATTCCCGAGGGTCTACATAAAGGGAAGCAGAAGGGAAACGAAGTTCCCGTCCTTTGCTTACTGGCTATAGTTCCCTGCCATGTCGTTGGAAGACAAGCAGAGCGGAGACTTCGTGGACGCCGAGAAGGGACTGTTACCAGCCGATATAGGTATTTTTCCCTCTCAATTGGTTCTGCCAAATTCAGTATCAACTTAAGGCCTATCTTCCAGAGGCCGTTGAAGCAATCGCCATCCCAGAGTTCGATGATCCTAACATCGACAAAGATGCTGCCATCGAGGGAGTACTTGGTCAGTTTTATCAACACTCATCGTACTCATTTGAAGTTCACTTGAATCGACAGAGGATGATTCTCCCTACCCCGAGGTTCGGTCCGCCGTGGCAAACACAGACGATCCAGCCATTCCGGTTGGGACTTTGAGGTCTTGGACTATTGGCTTTGTCTGGGCTAGTTCGTCCCTTATTTTTCACTTCGTGCATGCTTGTACTAATGACTGCGTACCCTAGTTCTGATTCCAGTAAGCCTTAAATCATGTCTGCTTGGCATGACAAAATACTGATCTACCTGCCTTCTAGGGGCTTAACCAATTTTTCTTCTTCCGATATCCTTCTGTGACGATTACCGGTGTGCGTCATCATCATCTTGCTTTGCTCCATTCGCAGTTGACGTTATTTCTCCTTGCATTGCGCACAGCTCGTCGCACAATTACTTGCGTTCCCTATTGGTCGAGCATGGGCAAGATTCGTCCCTAACGTCAAGGTGTTCGGTATAGCCTTAAACCCAGGTCCTTTCACTATCAAGGAGCACGTAAGTAACGCCACCGTAATCTACAGCGCATGACAACTGATGTTCTATCCAAGGTTCTTGTTACAATAATGGCTACAGTCGGTTATCAAAGTGCATATGCCACTGATATCGTTGCTGTCCAACGAGTTTTCTATAACCAAGTATTCAACTTCAGCTACCAGTGGCTCATGGTCATGTCCACCCAATTGATTGGTTTCTCCATCGGTGGTATATGTAGACGATTCCTTGTTCAACCCCCTTCGATGAGTGAGTTCACACTACATTGTTTGATTGATCATACAGATCACCGATCGCGATTCCTTTCAGTTTGGCCGACAGACCTGGTTACTTGTACGCTCTCTCCCATTTTGATGGTTTCTTATCGCCCACCTTTACCATGTAGGTGCCTTGTTCAATACACTCCACTCCACGCAGTATGCAGGGATGGGAAAACGTGGAGGTATCAGCCGTGAAAGATTTTTCCTGTTCGCATTTCTTGGGTCATTCTCTTGGTACTTCATGCCTGGATATCTCTTCCAAGCATTGAGTTATTTCTCCTGGGTGTGCTGGATTGCACCAGACAATATCAAAGTCAATCAGATGTTCGGGGTATGTCTGGAAGTAACACTGTCGACAGAGTCAAAATATTTACTGAACAATATATTTTACAAGTATCGATCCGGTCTTGGAATGAGTCTCCTTACCTTCGACTGGGCTCAGGTATTGTTTCTATTTCTGTTAAATTTCTGTCAAACTCTCTCACCATGCGTCTTCAGATTGCATATGTCATATCGCCACTGGCTACACCTTGGTGGGCTGAGGCCAATGTCGCATTTGCATTTGTATTCTTCTATTGTGAGCACTCATTCACGATAACACAGTGCCTTGCTGAATGAACTTTCATAGGGCTTATCGCACCAATCTTATATGTACGTGTGCTACACCGTTGTACGGCTGCTGATTTAAGTTCCTGACCTTATTTGTATCCCAAAAGTACACCAATACTTGGAACTCTGCCTACCTCCCGTATGGTCGTTTCTCTTAATTCTAGCTCGGCTATTCATTCGTTCAATAGGGTCCTCAACGATGGGTCTTTCAATCGAAACGGAACACCGTACGACGTCTCACAAATAGTCAATGCCGATGGATCTTTCAACCAGGCCGCCTACGAAGCCTACAGTCCCTTGTACTTGTCGGTGACTTTTGCACTGGCTTATGGTAAATCGGTACAAAGTATGTTCTGTGTGACCTGTTTACTGACATATCACTCTACAAAGGATTGTCTTTCGCTAGTGTAACGGCAACGTTGACACACACATTGTAGGCCTTTAATACCTTTGATGCAAACAATCTCAACTAACAAAGTGCCTCAGCCTTTTCTACCGCAAACAAATCTGGCATCAGGCCCGCCGCTCCATCCACGAACAGGCTGATATTCATGCAAGACTCATGTCGCGCTACGCCCAGGTACCCAACTGGTGGTACATCATTATCTTCCGTGAGACACTTCTTCGGGCTTGTCTTTCTCCAAATCGCTGACAAGACATTTAGTGGCTATGTTTACATTCGGAGTGATTTCGATTGAAGTGTGGGACACACAGTTCCCAGTTCAATACTATATCCTCGCCCTTGTGATATGTTAGTACCTTTGAGCCTATATGCGTGTAAATTCACTCACAGTATGCCATTCAGCCTTCTTTTACACCGTTCCTATTGGTATAATTCAGGCAATAACTAATCAACAAGGTACCATTGAATATCTTCCTTCCCACTCCTAAGTTGCTCACCTTTTCATATCTTCCAGTTGGGCTCAACGTTATCACTGAACTTATTATTGGTTATGCTCTTCCTGGCCACCCAGTCGCAATGATGATGTTCAAGACTTGGGGATACATCACAATGGCACAAGGTACCACTCCACGCACACGAGAGGAGAGAAATACGCTCATATGTCCCCTTTTACCACGATAGCTTTGCAGTTCACCCAGGATCTCAAACTGGGTCATTACATGAAGATTCCTCCGAGAACGATGTTCGCCGCTCAAGTTATTGCCGCCGTTATCGCTGGAACTACTCAATTGGGTGTTCAAGCATGGATGTTCACGAATATTCAGGGTATGTGTGATCAGGACCAGCCTGATGGTTTTATTTGCCCTTCGACGACGGTGTTCGGCACGGCTAGTATAATTTGGGGTGTGATTGGTCCTAGGCGAATCTTTTCGCAGGGCACGACTTACTATGGTCAGTTAAACGCATGTTCTGCACAGACGTAGTGACAATTTGATTTCAGGTTTGCTGTTCTTCTTCGTCGCTGGTTTCCTCGCACCTCTCGGAGCCTGGCTTGTCAGTCTTAAATGGCCAAATAGCTGGATCCGCTATGTCAAGTAAGTATTTTCCTGTCCGTCCATAATTCAAAGGACTCAAGTTCAGTTGCCCATAGCTTCCCCGTCGTGTTCACCGGTACCGGCCTTCTTCCACCCGCCACTTCCATCAACTACGTTCCATGGGCCATTGTAGGATTCATCTTCCAGTATGTCATTCGTCGCAAACACTTTTCGTGGTGGACGAAGTACAATTATGTTCTTTCCGCCGCTATGGATTCTGGAGTGGCAATCTCGACTATTGTAATATTTTTCTGCTTGGAGTTCCCTGACGCTGGAAAGATCGGGCAGAGTACCATAGCCACCTGGTGGGGCAATACCGTCAGTACTGGGTTTATTCCGAAGTTGTTCATTCATCTTAATTCAGATCGTCGAATTTTTCAACAGGTCTTTGAAAACACTGCCGATGGACAAGGATTGTCGCTGCTCACTCCTCCTCCTGGAGGATTCGGGTGAGTCGCACTTTTCCATTGCATTGTCAGTCTCTGAGCTCGATTTGGCTTTAGACCGAATACTTGGCATTGATGTGCCATTTTTATGTTCGCTACGAATGACTTGGGTAGCATCTATGTATGTATGTGTCTGTTGTATTATCTGTAGTAATGCTATCATCTGTGAGAACCAATTGTCAAAATTCGGATCGAACCCATGTTGACGCCTTAACCTAGCACCGAGGCATTCGAATTTCGCTGTGATAGAAATATGATACAGAAAGGACTTGACTAACAACACTACAAATGTCCCCTGACACGCTTTGGCTCATATCTACCAGATTACTGTTATAAGTGGGAAATTCAGCAAAGTTAGGAAAAAGGCGCTCACGGTTCTTCTAAATATTCCACCTCCTTCCCATCCAAAACAAGGCCCGTGATAACATTCTCCTCTACTCTTGGGATACTAGACATCCCGACGATGGGGCTAGTCACCTTCATATTGACCCAAACCAGTGCGACTTGGGTCATTGTCCAACCTTTCTTCTTGGCGATTTCCTCAACTCTTTCAATGATAGTCTTATCGGCATCAGAGAAAGGACTGTAAGAGGGACTGGATTTAGCCTCCTCGGCCCGAACAGTGGCATTGGTTTCTACAGGACGACAGAGTTTGCCGCCGGCGACAGGGGCCCAGGGAATCAATCCGATACCATTGAAGTTGCAGTAGGCATTCATTTCACGTTCCTATGCGGATATCAGAACCTCGCACTTCAAAACAACTGAAATTCTACCTCTTCCCGATAAAGTAACGAGTACTCATTCTGCATACTAGCAAATTTCGTCCACCCATGCTTTTCCGCTATTTCGTTCATACGTGCAAACTGCCAACACCGCATTGAGCTAGCTCCAATGTACCTTACCTTCCCACTTTGCACCAGGTCGTGCAAAGCCTTCATCGTCTCTTCCACTGGCACCTTGGGATCAAAGCGATGAATTTGCAGGAGGTCAATGTAAGAGGTCTTCAAACGTTCCAAGGATGCATCGACAGCATTAAAAATCGCAGCGCGAGAGAGACCAGATTGGTTGACGTATTGAGGCCAATCTCGCATATGAGGATTATAGTATGTGCGGGTACCAGGATCCGCGGCAACCAGACCATTGCATTTACTGAGGATGACGATTTGGTGACGAGGAATGTTGTACTGATTGCGAAATGGGGTTGAATCAATGTGATTGGGTAGTCCTTATATGTATGTACCTTTTCAATGAACTTTGCAACGATTTTCTCAGATTCGCCATTCGAGTAAACATTCGCGGTGTCGATTGTATTGATCCCGCGATCCCAAGCAGCTTTGAGGATGGGGAGTGAATTTTCTTCGTCTAGAACCCAAGACTAAAAGTATGAATAGAGTGATGAGTTGGACGATGGGCAGAGAAGGGAATCTGCAACTTACACCCCAAAGTGGCGATCCATAGCTCATCGCACCAACCTGGTCAGAAAGAGCATTAGTTATCAAGATGTCTAGAGTACCAGACAAAGAGCATCTACGATGGGCACCGACACCCTCAATCCTGAGGACCCCAGCTGATTGTATTCGACGGGGTTGGCCATGATGATGATATTGATAGTGGTAGTTTTGGATGAGGAAAGATTCTTCGTCCTGGTCTCATGAGCATCTTTAATTACTTTAGATTACTTTCACCTTGCTTGCGAACTACCAGTCATTTTTTGATGTGCTGAGGTACAATTTGGACCTGTTTTGTTTGAAAGCTTCCGATTCTACAGCTCACCGTACTCACTGAGGCTCATCTCACCTTAGATCATTTCATTTAGCATACAGGGCGACCTGTACCCACTCGGAGCGTGTCCCATTTTTTTTTACAATTCAGGTACATTAGTCAACGAAGTAGGGTGTGGTCGAAACCTAGCTGCCCAATACTGTGCTGCATTTCATCTACTATCCCGAAGACGGGAAGTGGTTATAGTGAGGCACAACGTAACATACTCCCACTGAGTAGTAAGCGTACAACTATTATGTGTAGGGTACTATGGGCAGACAATCATTTGTTACTTACTGAAACTGATATGGCTGCAACTACTGCTGCCACGATGTTTTGATTAACACAGCAGCGCGCTCTGCAAAAACATACACTGGAACCTGCGTATGGCTACAGGTAACAAATGGCTAGAGACATTTCCTCAGTGTCATGAATAAAAGCCCAATAATGAGCAACTCACGAAAGCAGACGCATCAACTACTCTCAAACCATCTACACCTTTAACTTTTAAATCCGGGTCCAGAGCCCCATAGCTCGCGTCTTTGGCAGACATCGCTACGGTCCCCACCGGATGTGCCGAGCTTCCGGTAGAGTTACGGATGTATGATTCTAATTGAACATCTAATTCTGTGGCGTTCATGGTGAAAAAGTCGGGAATACTTGGTAGTCCTGTTGGTGGCTCGAGGATGTAACCGTCCCACACTGAGGCATTGAGGAACGTGTAGACGATCTTGAATGCTTCTTTCATTGCAACAATATCAAACTTGGCCGTGAGATACCCTGGGTCAATGATCGGAGGAGTGAATGGGTTTGAGCCATTGATAGTAATGGAGCCGCCTAATCGACAAAGAAAATGAGAGTAGAATAAAGATAAGACAAAATACCGACGAGAAGCAGGAGAAACGACTACTGTGGTCATTGACATGTGATAACCAGTTGTCGGGGGTGCGATAAAGTAACCATTCTGTAGTCCACACATTCAGACAAGAAAGATTTGGGTATTATTGAGTAAGTTAACTCACTCCTGGATAAATTTCTAGATGGGGAGACGTCGCACCTGCAGCGAAGTCCCCATACTCATCTGTCAATTCTTCGCTAATCCGGTAATATGATATCTGGTTTGCAAACGTATCGCCTAGTGGACCAGCGCCTTGGAAGTCTCCCTGTCCATCTTCTCCCATCCATTCCGCTAGCACCTCATTCGAGACGGTATCATTGCGGTTGATATCGTCATAAGTATCTGTGGTGCTAGCTAAGAATGCATTCGCAATGAAAGCTTGATCGGAAAGATTCTGTCCAACACTAGGAAGGTCGACAAGGGCCGTGATTCCTGCGGTGAGCAGAGTAGTGGAATTGCCGATGCCGGAATTGAGCAGTATTTGAGGAGAACCAACGACACCTCCGCAAATGATGACTTCTTTCGAAGCTGTAATTTGGGTCAGGGTAACTACATGATCAGGAGGTAAATCGGGTTATCTACTCGTTTATCGCGATAGGAAGACTGACCATTGGTAATATCCTGCGTGAATTCCACAGTACGGAACGAGTACCTTGTAGTCGAGTTCAATGTTGTGTTACTCGTCGGAACAACGCGGGCTACCCGCGCATTCACTAATACATCCAAGTTGTCTTTCTCATCAGGTAGATAGGCGGTGACAGAGCTACTCCTGCGCCCTTCCGAGTCAATGGTCCGTGGCAGCCAACCTATTGAACAACGAGATTAGCATGTTTGTTGTTGGCGTGTGCATTGAGAGTTACCTAGTCCTAAAGGCGACCCAGAATTGACATCCTCGTTATATGAATATATTCCCCCTAGTTCATCCACGGCATCCAGGACCTTCGAATCGATGCTTTGCGAGAAGCTAGGCAGGCTGACATCGACCGCTCCATTGTAATAGTGGACGTTAGGGTTGTATTCGCCTGTAGTATTAGGATTCCCAGCCGGAGGCACAAGTTTTTCGTTCTAATTGAGACAAACCGAACGAAACATCAAGCAAAAAGAGGAGAAGCGATAGAACGCGGTTTAGACAAGCAAAAGAGTTCCTTATGTTTACGAACCAGAGCAAGGTACTGTTGAATACTGTCCCAAGACCATCCGTCATCTCCAGTGGTATCTGCAAAGCGATTGAAGTCGTCCGAAGACCCACGGGTGTAGAACATCCCATCTTCATAAACAACTGAGCTCGGTGTTTCTTGTACCAAAACATAAATACACCCACTAATTGAACTGGATCCGCCCAGAATAAATCCCCTCGGGAAAAACAACCATCGGTCACCCAACCCGGGCTGGACTGTCGTTGTAAGATTCCAGTCGTACTGCAACACCGTCCGGGTGGCGAAATATGGAACGGTGATATTGAATACGCCGACGGAACTGTATGTTGTGATAGTAAGTACATGGTGGGCGTTCATCCGAAGGAGAATCGGAAATAGATATCAGGAACGAGAAGTTTATTTGTGGGTCCCACAGCGGTTAAGTTTCCAGGACAATTAAAAAAAGAAGGCGATGAGAGGGAAAGAGGTCGACTTACGATGTTCCAGCTTCAAGCACCAATACATTGAAGGCAGAATCTTCTGAGAGCCTGCTGGCTAGTGCGATCCCTGCCGTACCTCCTGCGAACAAAATTTGTTCGATCGTCGGAACCTTGAAAAGGCAACACACACCTCCAGCAATGATAAAATCGTACTCTTTTCCCAAAGGGAGGTCACTGTACTGATCATAGATCGCAGCAGAAGAAATCGCGACCAGGGTCGATAAGTACAGTAAGATTGTTGCTGCTGTATAAAGGGATTGGGTACATCTAATAATCATCGGAACGTAGGGACGTGGATATGCTTTGGGTGCACCGTGAAACAGGGGATATGCTGGAAACGAAGAAACAGGTCAGACAGTTGGAGCTTCATCAAATGCTTCCCCTGGAGTGCTTATATATGTTCTGCTGTAAGCCTGTAATGGATGAAGAAGTTTGGTCCTGAGCTATACTGTACTAATGCGCTAATTGGACCTGGTGATACATGACATGATCTTGCCATCTTGGTGGATACGACGTTCATATTGACTGTGTAACGGCAGGCTGAATGTTCAGAAGTTGAGAAACGCGTTCAACACGGGCAGATTGCTAAGAGAAAGACTATTTTGAAGGGAAAAAGGAGGTGAATGGGGAAATCGACGGAAGATTAGAGCTCGCGAAAGGAATGGGATGCGTCAACATATATGGGAGGAGTCGGAGACATAGATCTTCACAAATGTATCGCTTTACCAATCTGAAGAATGTGATTAGTGTACTGTCAAAGAAGGACTGGAAGAAGGATTAATTCAGTACTTACAAGCACAGTTTGTGTCAATTGATGTTTGAGATGTAGGCCGTGTGCAAGAAAGACTACACTACATAGGATCGGCTTCCTACGAAAGACCTGGTCTTGCAAACAAAAGGTTCAAAAAGTTGAATAAGACGCTTATTTTCTGGTACATAAGTAATTCTGCCCAGAAGGACTTGAATGACTCGGAGAGTCCGGGGCTGTACCAGGACCGTGACTAATGGCGTGGGAGGATTTGTTCACAACAGCGAGGAACCTACTGGAACCCATCCTTGTTATCATTATAAACACACCCAATCCTTTTGGGATTGGATATCTCCTTGATCATCCCGTCTGAACCCAGCTCGTAGAGTTCTCGAACCTTCTTAGTGCCAGTAAACCAGCAGCAAATTGAATTGCTCAGCTACATCGTTCAACAGCGGCTTGTCATACGCGTCAGAGCCCTCACTAATTGGAGGCAGAGAGATGAGGGTTTCAAATTATCGGTGTGCACTGCTGGAGTTGGTATGTATGTCGTCTATGGACATTGTTGCGGCTTTCGTCTTATGCAAAACCATTACAGCACTGCAGTTCTTTTGACGCGTATGAATTGGAACACATCTATAACAATCGCATACGGATATCGGATATCTTACCCGGGCGACATGTAGAACCTCAGTTACCTACTTAATCGTAGTCTCCGGTTTAATTGATTCGATGCATCTGAACTTTATTGGAAATAGACAAAGCTTGGATTCCCCGATCTCATTCTCCTGAGGCTTACCATCGGACAACGCGGTATTCGTCTCATTGAACAATTTACACTGTTCATCGAATTGTCATAAAAATACACATCCGATCCTATCAAAGTGAGCTCTCATCTCAGTTACCACCATCTTATCCAACGACCTTTAGGCCTTGAGCAAACCTTATAGTCGCGTCTGATACACGAGGCAGACTTCTGACGCCGCACGGCCAAACCCTTTGGTGAATGAGATTGTTTACTGCTCTCCTGTTTACCCCCATGTCGACGAGTCCAATCTCAACTCGCCGTCGCCCAGGTCGTGATACGGAATCCACCACTGGACGCGATGATACTCACAATGTTCTCGCCACAGAGCCTGGCCTTGGTGGCTCGAGATTTAAATCCGGTTCAGGACAATTCTGCCCGTTTTTTGCTCGAGGCCAATGTCGTTACGGCGATCAGTGTAGGTGGCGTCACGACGCTGTAGCGGCGATAGCCACGGCCGTTAGTCGTTCCAATTCAGCTTCATTGGCGGCAAGCAATGCAAAGGTATGCACATTTCATTTTGAGCAAAGTAATCGAGAGCTCAAAAATCGCAGATCCAGACCCCGAGCGAAAGTAAAGTACAGCTCCAAGTTAAACCGTGTTTTGCGTGGAGGAAGGGTTCTTGCACAAAAGGAGACCAATGCCGATATAGCCATGACCCCGCAGAGGCCGTACGAAGCAATCTTGTGTCACAATCTACTGCGGATATGACTACAATCAGCGCGCCACAAAACAAAGGTTCGATAAATCATCGAGCAAAAGTGATTGCGAAGCAGGAGCAGGAGCGCGCTAGAGAGAGAAAACGCAAGGCGGACCAGGAAAGAGGAAAAAAGCTGGAGCTGGCACGGCAGCGTCAAGAGGCTGCGCAGAAGAAGAAGGAAGCGGAGCTTGAAGCGAAACATAGGGCAGAGGAAGAAGCTCTTGCTCTAGAGAAATTCAAGATCCGTGAACAAGCTCTACTCGCTGAAAAACATCGTTCCGATGCATTGGTCACCATCCAGCGTAATACCTTCGGCTCTACCATCGCCACTTTTGGTGCTGGTGCCCAAATCGTGTGGATCGTCCCTGGCTTTCAGACTTGCCGGGTGAGGATTAGGGATATCCCGCTTGGAGTACAGGCGGTCCCGTTCCGGGACTTCTTACAGACGAACCTAGGTGATATGGGAGTGGACGCTAGGCAGAAGTTCTACGTCGTTAGTTTAAAACGGTGGAACCAGTTACAGGAAGCAGTCGTAGTAGCTGACGTCGATAATGCCAAAGATCTGGTTCGCAGGCTGGACGGTGTTATCTTCAAAGGGCAGTCACTGAAGCTTGACCTCAATCAGAACGGGGGAATGGGCGGCATGCACACCCGTAATTCCGGCACTTTTTCTTTGAAAATCTCTTGGAAAGATCCATCCTCTCGATACGTTGTTACATATTTATCTCAAATTACCGCCGAGGACCAGAGGAGACGTTTTAACGGGACACTGGCTTTTGGTCGGAAGATTAAAGTCGAGAACAATACGAACCGACATGGGGACATTACCCCAGACCAAATCCTTATTAGTGACCTACCCTTCGAATTGACAGACGGCAGTGTCAGAAATTTCTTTGACGGGATAACTGTCCGAAGAATATCTGGCCAGTCTTTAGGTTACGCCGAAGATAACGTTAGACCGCAGCTGAAGGAACATATTCGATGGCTTTGTAGTGTCAGATCCATCGAGCCGCCCGAATTTGACGAGGGGCGATCACAAATTCATACCACTGCTATTGCTGTTGAACATACAGTCTATGCCCGTTTCGACAAATGGGAGTCTGCTAAACAAATACATGACCTTCTGAAGAGTCAGAAGTTTTCATGGATTGGCAATGCCTTCTTCCGTCTGTGGCTTCCCGACCCTATCCAATATGAGATCACCATTCCCTTCCGCCAATATCAAGCTCAACTCACTCGCTGGAAGTCATTTCTATCTGACGCCGGAGGCAAAAAGGATCTTAGGATGCGTATAAACGAGAAGCCGGACAAGGAAAAAGTTTTTGTCCAGGTAGAAGGAGCCGACGCAAAAGCACTTGGGATGCTCAAAGTCCGCATCGAGAATCTCGCAGCGGGAGAGAAACTAGGTATCTGGCACAGATCATTCTGCACTGACTCTGGTCGATCGTTTCTCCGTTCTCTTCTATCCCTTACTGGGGTGGTAGTTGTTCCAGACTGGAGACTGAGGGTTGTTAAGGCTTATGGTGAACAACCGGCCATAGAGAAGGCTCGAGAGGCGATATTACGAGAAATTGATCGACTTGCAGGTTTGGAGTATACCGTGACGTTGAATCGCGATAGCGTGCGGTTCTTTGCACAGGAAGGGATGACTTCCTTGAAGGAAAGGTTTGGAAATGATAGTGTGTCCCTGAATATCTCTGGTTTACCCCGCATCACTATTCGAGGAGGCGAAGATGCTCAACGTGCACTTCACACTCTCATTGAGCAGTCGCATCGAAAGGTCCAGCCATCTAAAAATGAAGGAGGCTCGTCTTGTCCGATTTGTTTGGATGAAGTGTCGGTTCCCGTTCAGCTTGGATGCGGGCACGAGTACTGCAATGCTTGTTTGCACCACTTCCTCACTGCTGATGTCAAGAACTTTCCAATTGTCTGTCTTGGCGACGAGGCTCAGTGCAAGAAGCCAATCGCGTTGCCGGTGATCCAGAAGTTTCTCACCGAAGTCCAATTTGATACCCTCCTCGAAGCTGCGTTTATGCAACACATTGAGAAGAACCCGGAAGTGTTCAAATATTGTCCAACTCCGGATTGCGAACAGCTTTACCGATGTGCGGATAGTGGCTTGTCCGAATCACATGTTTGCTGTCCATCGTGTCTCGCCGAAATATGTACTAGATGCCACGAAGGCCATAAAGGCATGTCCTGCGACGAAAGACAACGTTCACGGAATGATCAAGAGAACAATGAAGAGCTAAATGCTCGGTGGGCTGGAATGACTGGCGTCAAGAAGTGTCCGAGATGTTCCGTCTGGATAGAAAAGACGGATGGCTGTAATCACATTTCGTGTAGATGTGGAGCGCACGTCTGCTGGCGTTGCATGGGTATATTCGATGCAGGCACCATATATGCCCATATGACGAATGCTCACGGTGGATATGGAGATGGAGATGGATTGATTCAGAACTTAGACTATGATGCACAGGCTCGTGAGCTGCAAGTCTGGAACAACCTTGCCACTACTGCTCGTCGAATTGCACAGGAGCCTCCCCAACCCCTCTATCATATTGATACAGGAAGGAACGACAGACTTGTACAAGAAGCACAAAGAAGGATCGCTTTGATGCACGAGCAGCGAAGACAGCAGCAGGAACAACGAGTCCGAGATCTGGAGGCAACACAACGTAGGACTCGTCAGGAGGAAGGTGGGAACTGGTGCACGATTATGTAGAGTCTCTTTCCTTGGACGCTGAATTAAGTACGACGACTATATAGCACTGATCATGACGACGAGTGAGAAAAATTATCGAAGACGCGAAGATTCTATACTATCTATCTATACCAACACATTCAGGACCATTCGAGATCCGATTCTCGCAAGTGCTCTGACCTCAGACCACAGAACTCCTCCGTGCAAGTTCCGTGCTGCCTAATTGTGAGCTGCTTATAAAGGTCAAATAATTGTGCTGCAACCCGCATTCCCTCATGGCCAACCTTGTCGAATACCGCCAGTTAGGAAACTCTGGTTTGAGGGTATCTGTGCCCATCGTCAGCTGCTTCTGCTCTCTTTTCATACTTGTAATACTGAAAAAATTGAACTGCATAGGTAGGTGCAATGAGCTATGGATCTCCAGAATGGCTGGTGCGTGAAGACGTTACCTATATGGATTGATGGCATTCATGTTGCTCTCTTTTCCTAGCCGTGGGTGCTTGATGAGGAACAATCACTCCCCATTTTGAAGGCGGCTTGGGATCGTGGTATCAACACAATTGATACTGCAAATGTCTACTCGAATGGCGAGTCTGAAAAAATCATTGCGAAATTCATTGAACAGGTTTGTAGCCTAACGGGACACATTTTCTATGTTGACTTACCTTCATGTCTTCGATGTAGTTCAACATCCCTCGTAATCAAATCATTATTCTTACCAAATGTTACGCTCTCGTTGGCTCCACCCCAGGTCTTCAAACATTTTTGAAACCCGAACTGAAGAATCAGCAGGAATACGTGAATCAATCAGGCTTGTCCCGTGCAGCTATCTTTAATGCAGTTGATGCTTCATTGCGACGCTTGAAGACGCCCTACATTGATCTTCTGCAAATTCACCGCTTCGATCAAATGGTTCCGGTGGAGGAGACAATGAAGGCGTTGCATGATTTGGTCCAAAGTGGGAAGGTTAGATATATCGGCGCCAGCTCCATGAGGTGCTGGCAATTTGCGCGTATGAACGAAGTCGCGGAGAAACACGGTTGGACAAAGTTTGTAAGCATGCAGAATGAATATTCATTGCTTTACCGAGAAGAGGTGAGCTTCTTTTCTTGATAAACCCATCAAAAACCCCAGACCTTTACCCAGGAGCGAGAAATGAATGCCTACTGCAAATACAATGGCATAGGCTTGATTCCTTGGGCACCCGTTGCGGCAGGCAGTCTTTGTCGGCCTGTAGATGCTAACACCACTGACCGCGCTGAATCTCGCAAAGATCACCCACCTTCACAACTCTCCGACGTCGATAAACTTATCATTGGACGTGTGGAAGAGCTTGCGAAAAGGAAGGGTTGGACAATGACCCAGGTCGCCTTGACATGGGTTAAAATGAAAGTTTCCAGTCCGATCGTAGGGATGTCTAGTGTACAGCGCGTCGAGGATAACATTGTAAATGGATTAACACTCACTGAAGAAGATACTAGATATCTCGAAGAATTGTGAGTGCTTTCAACTAAGAAGTTTACCCTGTTCAAATACTTATGTTCTTTTCTGTACACTGTAGATACACACCGAAACCAGTTCGAGGACATCAGTAATTAAAGAAACTTATGGAAAGTCCCTCTCAGATCAATAGTCAATAAAATGTCGTTTGAACTAAAAAAGTTTTTGTACTATTAAACGCCGACCAAAGGCTAAGGAGACTCAACGACTTGGTGAATATGCTAGAAAAGTCTTTAATTGAGTCTAAAGGCATAGAGCGTTTGTTGTTAGTTATGGTGACAGAACCACCTACAAAGCAAGTGGTAAACGGCCGCCTGACAAAGGATTGTCATAGATTTCCAACAAGCACTCCGAGTATGACTTTGGAATATGAGATTTGATTCGCAAATCAACTAATGGTACCATCGCTGTTTTATTAAAATTCAATATGTGTGACTTCATTCGAGACTGCCGAATTACGACGAATGTCATACTGACAGATTTCACTCAAGATATCCATCCTTCTAGTACATCGGCATCCTATATAATTGCAGTGAGTTGCAATGTCTATGGAAGGATATACGGCAAAGGATGGAGCATTAGTAGGTGCTATCTTCAATGTTTTTCCACAGATGAAGGCGGATGATTAGTTATCATATTGAGGCTCAAAAATGTCAAAGAGTGTTTGAGAAGAGAAGAGGATGGAAAAATTATGATGAGAGTGGGATTCGAACCCACGCCACAATGTGACCAGATTATAATACACACCAAGTATGTTGATCTCCTTAGTCTGGCGCCTTAGACCGCTCGGCCATCTCACCACATTCAGTAAAACTTCCATAAACAATCTAACGAGTTAATGCAAAGGGAACAACAGGGAACAACAGATTAAAGATGCATAAACAGAAGTCGAAGCTGAGAGAAGTAACATGAAGAGTAGGTTGCAGTTCAACAAGGTGTGATTGAAATCATTGAATGACTCGTACGATGGCGGTCACCCCGATAAGACCACCAAAAATAACCTTCATTTCGAATAGCGACGCCAGCAGGATTTGAACCTGCGCCCTCAAAGAGGAACAGATAGAGTCACCTAGATTCTAATCTGTCGCCGTAACCACTTGGCTATAGCGCCTTCGCAGTTGACCTTTTGCAGGATATAACTGAGCAAACCGAACTAATTAAGTGGAGTCTGTACCATGATCTCGATTAGCCTCAAGGCATATCCTTAGGTATCGTAAATTTCTCTTAGTCCCTTGGGTAGTAGCCCAAAGTACCGATGTCATATCGGTGTCAGCAAGACAGCAAGCCTGAGACTAGTAAAGCCGCAGTGTTGGTTCAAGGTTGAGCCGTTCCTTAGGCCTTTAACTCTCGAGGACTTCGGGAGAAGTTGACTCACAATCCCCTGAACAAAAGATTTTTCCGACAGTTCCCTCCTCGATGCCTTGAAACCCACTATCTGTATGGTCAAGAGTGAGGATCAGATCGATCTCGGGGATGAAGAGGCCAATAATAGTGTCAAGGCTATAGAAAAGATAAGGGAAGATGTCTTCGAAGACATCTGGACACAACCCTCACCTTCAAAATAAACCAACTATGTGAATTTCTGTCTATAAGGACCTCCCAATCTTGATTTGACCCGTTGTGAGGATAGCCATATCGGTAGGTAGTGGGTCAATGTGATGGGTAGCATATGGTGCCAGGAATGTGTGTCTAAAGAAGTTTAGAGTTATCCAATTTCACTATCTCGACATCGATTGTTTGGAGCTGGGATGAACACAAGTGAAGCAGGAACGTCTATATTCCAAATTTCCTTCGGCGTTACCGAGGATTTTCAGTAATCTCTCCGCCATGAACTCCAAGAGAGAACCTCCTATGTAGTGGTCCACAAGTATCTGGAATTCGATGGTTTAGTAGTCGTCTGCATCGGATATTTTGAAAAAGACACCTTTTAGTCTTTCATGAACTTTCATGAAAGACTCGAAAAAACCCGAAGACCTTCCCGTTAACTCAAATCAACCAAGAAAACATAAGCCTCGAAGTGTAGCGGAGGATTGTCATTGGTGAGATTATGAAAATAGGCAAACTTTTGGACCAGGTTATCTGCAAATATTGATTGTGGCTGCAATTGCAGGTGGCCTGTATCCGGAATGGTTAGATTCGGAATTATATATTAGCTCGGTTTTAGCGCCAACGGGCGCTACGTTCCTTGTCTTCTACTTTCACCATTGTCGTCTAAAGCAATGAGCGCTGCTACCTGGAGAAGTACTTTCACGTATGCTCTATTCAAACCGTGCCAAAGTTTTTCTGCTGAATTTCTTCTTCTTCAGCTTCAACAAATACAGCCAGATCACTGCTGGTGCAGTGCGTAAATCACTGAAGGAAACTCAGCGGCTGGCGGCGGAGAAAAGAGGCCTTACTGCTCTGAGATACCAGGTCTGGGAGAACGGAAAAGGTGGTGAACAGGTGCGGCTGACTTCTCATTGTCGATACGTCTCTACGAGTGTTGACTGTTCACAGGTAACTCTCGACCCGACGCAAGAGTCAGACCCGAAAAATAAGACCGCCGCTGTATGATGAAGGCTAGTATATTGTCGCCCTTGCAGCTCGCGGAAGATTCTCGAACCATGGTTTCTTTCATATCATAGGCCGGCCTTATGGAAGGTGTATATGTATTGAGGAAGCAGGCGATAAAAATGTTCTCTTTGCATACCAATACCGTTGGCCCATGAAATCTACGTGGCCATTACCAAGAATGTTGGTTCATATTCCTTCTCCAAAGCCTTTGCGTCAGAACGACTTTCCTCAGTGACATTTGAATGCGCTTCCGAATTCGGCGGTTGCGAACCTCCAGCAGGGATATAGAAAAGAGGCCGTACTATGACATCGGCCTCAAGATACACTAACTCCGCAAACATATAATCCAAGCTGTTGGCTCTCAATTACCGTCCAATAGTACTGGGTCTCGATACGCGATACACTGGCAACCACTAGAAAAATCCATTGACGCCCTCTATATCGTAGGGTCTCTGTCTGTATGCTTTGAACAAAACACTTTCTAGCCGACGCGTGCTCCTCCTCTGGTCGGTGGTCCCTCAATTCTTGAGAGTCAAATCTAATAATTGATATCTGCAGTAGGGTTGGAGTACGTATATCGAGTAATAGAACCGAAGTCTGCCCATGAAAACTGAAAAGTATAAGTTGAAGATAGTTAGACTGCTGTCATAACTGGCATAACTACTCTCGCCGTCATTAGGTTTCCGAATGTAGGTGCACTTGACAATGATAGTCTTATATCGTCATCTATAGTAGGAGTTGACGCAAATCTTGATGTCCATTTCAAACGTTCAGCCATGGTTAGTCTAGGAGATCATGAATACAAGCTGCACGATTCTAGTGTATATTTTATTCATGACGCCTGCTTGACCGTGGCTCCTCCATGGCTTCACCCTAAAAGCTGCCTGATTCTTTCACGATGCGTATAACCCTTTTACCGGCCCTGATCAATGGATTCTCAGGATCCCCGACAGATCGATTCTGGATCGATTAATCGACCAATGTCCAGGCGATACCTGAAAATAGCGATTTAACCGCGACTGTGCAGTGGCGTCGCTTCTGTGGCGTGGCAGAAACATAAGAAACATACCACGACTGTATTTTTTCATTGTTCGGGATGAATGAGACCAAGACTTACCGAGGCAATTGAGGGCAATTGCCTCTTGCCGATGCAAGGTCATTAAAAGTCATATTTTAGAAATGGAAGAATAGAAAGTAATCCAAAGGATTCACTTTTACGGATCTCCTGATGAGAAGTGCAACTCGGGGATGCGCGTACCCTTGAGCCACCTTCCAGGCTCAAGATTACCCTCCTGAATGACACTTATCGAATGATTTGAATATTAGTCCTTCTTCAGTATAGGATGATGATGTATGCAGCGAAGTATTTGTATAAATATATGTACTTCGATCGTGTTTCTCTATGCTGATCTATGCTAATTTTAAGCACTAATGTCGGAGTTTAGTGGCAACCCGCGAAAGTGCACATACGATTTGCAGGCAACTGATTATCTCCTACACAGTGAATTCCAAGAAAGTATTGTCTGGTGTACTGCAACCTGTTTACAAGAAAAATGATAGGAAATGTGCATAACGTAGATTCAAGATCTCGAGCCTTTCAGAATATGATATAGTAAGTATCCTTTACGACTAGGCAAAACTTTTGAGCGACTTTCTAATGTCTAAATGGTTCCACACTGAGTTATCGTGACCCGACGAACCGGATGGCCACTGCTTGAGCCTTGCAATTCAATCAACTTGACGATATCCATACCCTCAACAACTTCCCCAAACACGACATGGCGCCCATCCAACTAAATAGATAACATTTCATTGATCTCTTATTTTATTCTGGAATCGTGGAGGCACTTACCCATCTCGTTGCGACTGTGGTAATGAAAAACTGTCGACGGTTCGAGAAGCGGAGTAAAATGAAATTTCCCAATGAGCTAGGCAGTGATACGAGTATCCGGGAAATATAAGGCAAACCTGTGATCCATTTGTATTAGGCCCAGAGTTAGCCATCGAAAGAAGACCAGACTCTGAGTGAGAGCATCGGAAGTTTTCGTCTGAAGGGTGAAAGTCCCTCATCAATAACGAGCACTACAAAGAAACAATGCGTACCAGCAAACCACCCGCGTCCATAAATCGAGTAGCCGCCGGTCCCATTATGCGCTGTGAAATCGCCGCCCTGTATCATGAACTGACAGAGACTGTGAGTCAAATGAAGAAAGCTGGCCTACGGGAATAAAAATACTTTGGGGATGATGCGATGAAAGGTGCTGCCCGCGTAACCGAATCCATGTTGACTAGTCGCCAACTCGCGGAAGTTCTTGGCTGTCCGGGGCACGATGTCGTCGTATAGTTCGAAGACTATACGTCCAGCAGGCTGGCCTTGGATTGAAATATCGAACTGTCAAGAAATCTATCAATCTTTCGAATATGCTTCAAGAGCGCACGGGGACTGCCTGGCCACTCACAAAAACGTTCGCCCTGTTGCATTATAGTTTGAAATATCACGGTAGTAGGATGATGAGTCGAGAAATGAATGCAGAGATTGAAAGAATGGTCGGCTTACATTCCTTGAACAGTCAGCTTTCACCCGAAGCAGGCAAATGGGTACTTTGTCAGCCATTAGAAGTTCCATAGGTCGCAGTGAAGTGGAAGTGGTGCGGGTAAAGCAAGTTCAGAGCACTTCACGTGGTTATCAGCAGTATGGGATCGTTGTGGCTTACCTTTTTACTTTTACCGTGACTACTACTAATTTACCAGTATATCAACTGCTCTGGAAAGAGAGAGAAGGTGAAGTGTCTTAAATTCAACGGGGAGTTTTTATACTCACGATATCTTATTAGCACCGCTTCGAGGATCAAAATTGACTGCGACGACTTATACAATGGCTCTACACACCCCCCCTTCGAGCGGTCAAGACTTACATTTATGCTTTTTTTCTGTCGCTAATCTACGAAATGTTCCGGCTAGTCTTCGCACCATATGCCTTTCATATTCACAAGAAATCCGACAGTATGCAAACTGTATACCTTTTTCTTCTTGTTCATTCACAAATGGGATGGGACTCATCTTTTCTAGATTCTAAAGTCAGACAGGAGCCTGACGATCGTTCTCATGCTAATTCTTCTAGAAGTTAGTCAGTGCCTTCGTCACGTCAACAGAGGACACTTACGACTCGGGAAATACCGTATGTAGCTATCAACTGAACCGATGAAGGCCAAGGTATTCTATTAGATTCTCTGGAATTTCTCTGGCAATTTCCTTTATAGAATCGTCGTGTGCATATGTAGGCAGATGTGCTCTGATGTGCTCTGATGTGGATATAGTTTGAGGCACAAGTTTCCCCTCTAACTATAATGGTAATCATTGAACTTGAAGCGTGATACTGCATACAAGGCGTTTCTCCGTCATTGCCCCATATACATCCCCAAATATCATTTGTCGAGCTGTGATCGCCTTTGGGGGCTCATGCGGGAGTGGACAGGAGTGGACGTGCAGAAATCCTGGTTTGATTTCATTTAGTCGGGTCTTCTTTTTGATTTGAAAATTTTCTCTGTAGCGAGTCTTGACGGAATTATCCTTCCCCTGTCGTACATACTACATGAACCTCACACCCGGGCGTACATTATCTACGGTGTATTCCCACTTTCACCTGGTTAGACTTTCGCTAACGGTTCTTATGTATTCATGAATAGATATTTACACGGACGGCTCTTGTTAAGTGTTGTCGTTCTTGGTTCTCCCAGTTTGCATTGAGCGTTAGTGGCACCTCGTCATACTTGATTGTCTGTGATATGTCGGATGGAATAATTATTCTGCTCCGAGTCGACTATGACGTCGACTACACACGCATATATCACCGAGTCGTCATGCATTCATGTTCCATCTCTTTCGAAGAAAATACAGCCGTAGAGAGATATTCATCACTCATTAGATAGAAAATTGGTGGTCATTTACCCATTGGCTCTGGTAGCGTGAACATCTACCTGGTATTTTGGTATTTTCGCTGACCTCCATCCAGTCCACACCAAGAAATGCTAGATATCAAGTCGCACCTCCGATACGGTAGGATGTCGACTTCGATACATATGAACATTCGTGAGCTTTCCCGTTTGACAATACTTCGCTCATGAGACGAGAAGACAAACTTCGTTATCCTCGAACCGGGAATATCCAGGTTCTTGTCGGGAATCGGAGCAGCATCTCTACCTTGAGGAACTGCACGTTCGACAACAACCATGAATAGTATGGACCGAGAGCTTGAGAGGATATTATTGGAATCTAGATTATACTATGTGACTTTTGAAACATTTCAGTCGAACAACATCCGGAATCGTTTTACGAATACGCTCGGTATGGAATATCCTCCATTGAAGATTGGGAGGATAGTTTAAGCTTCCTATCGTCAATGTATATACTTCGGAAGTTGAGTCCATAATGTTCATACCGTAGTCTGCTAGCCATGATTCGATAAAACATCTATGTTGGCATGAAAAACGTGTCTTGAATAGCGTCGCAGGATAAGTAGGTTAGATATCGTCGATATAGTTCAGTGACGGATTTGGATTCTAATTTGTTGGCCGACTATTCCCAAAGGGTGCCTAAGATCTTCCATAACTGTGACTTCCACTTCACCTTGGCAGGAAGGAAGGTTTTCCATCGTGTCACCTCCAGAAACATTGACTTGATTCATAACAGGCAATTCATCCCGTTGCGCGGGGCTACAATATGCACAGGTGCAGCGAAACCGCAAGGTGTAGAAAGTTCGAGATTGTAGAGGAGCAGTAATGGTGACTTTGTGGCTGAAACAGAGTGAGTTTAAGTGTTACAACTTCATTGACAAACTGCACGTACTTGAAAGAGACATCAGCGGCTTTTTGAATGTCACGAGCAACCAACGTAGCGCGTTTTCCATGACTGCACTCGGGATCAGCGACGATAGAGTGGCAAGCCTGGTAGTTGAGACGTGCATTCTTGCGAAGGAGGCTTTTCAGTCGCTTATACATCTCTGCCGCTGTCTGAAATTCGGTTCCAAAAACCATCGGATCGCGACCCATTATTTGTTTGCGTGCCTATATACAAAGGAGTACGAGCGCAAAGTCAGAATATGTGTGCGTCGCAGGCTAGGAGAAGCAAGATACCTCCTTAATATTGGAATACTTGACTCGCTTTTTTCTTCTTTCCATAGTTGAGTTCGCATCACCGATACTCTTCCACTTGAGCTCCGGCGCCTGGAGCCCAGCGACATTCTTTCCGGTCGGCGCGTCTCCTTTTTTCACAGCAAGTATTTGGGTCATTTTGACTCTCTCGTTCCTCTGTTTGTGGTACGCGGTTCTCTTCCGCCGACAGGCTGTACATGTTTTATAGAAGGGATCTGCATTGGCGCGGCACAGGTTGCATTTTGCTGGTAGTGACGCGACCATGGGTGTAGATGCGAGGCTGAGCGGCTCAGACATGATGTAGGGAGACGATGTTAAGGTGCTGGAGACGGTTTGAAATTGAGAAGCACGGGAGTTGCACGTGCGCGACTCGCCTCGCTGCCTCGGTGGTCCGTGCGTAGCCCCGAGGTAATTATGCTAGCTCAAAATGTTTGGTTTTTCTTTTGCTTAGCTTCGAACAAATGTCATCAATACTTGGCCTCTACAGGTACACATCGAGACTCCTCTGTACCGAGAAGATGCAAACATTCATTTGAATAGTGCTGCATTCGCAAGACGTCCAATGGCTACTCAAAGTGCTACCTCTGCTGTTATTTTTGGTGCCGGAGATGTTATAGCTCAGCAACTGGTTGATAGGAGAGGTCTTCGGAATCACGATGTGAGTAACATTTGTCTTAATCGTGTGGCTGGGGCTTACCAGAAGATGTACACAGCTTATCAGGACCGCACGATTTGTTTTCTACGGGGGTGCGCCAAATTCATCGCTTGTTCACAAGCATTGAATAAATCTGATTTAGTCGCCGATTCGATGTACTCGTGGCTGACATCTCTTTGATTCTACCATGCATATAGCGTGCTTGTTTGGACCTGTTTTAACGAAGTGGCACCAGTTCATTAACCACAGGCATTTCGACAGTCCTTTTCGTGCTGTTGTTTACAAAGTATGCTGGTCACTCATCCTCATCATATTCGGATCTGCTCATTTGATTCAAGGTAACCCTGGACCAGCTAGTTGCGGCACCTTGTGAGTTACATGATCTCTGTGTTTGACCGCAATCCTCATAGAGCTTCTGCAGTCATTACAGTGCCCATGTTCTTTGGTTCGATGAGTATTTTAGAAGGCCGTCCCGACGAAGCTATTCCAAGGATAAAAAATGTTCGTACTCTATTCGTGTTTATCATACTTCAAGACCCAGGACTAAGTCGTCTATCTTGTGACGGTAGTCCTACGTCCCAACATTGACGCGCGGTTGGTGAGTCTTTCGTGGGTCGTTGCCCAGGAAACGCTTGTTCGCTCAGTCCAAACTTAACATATAGGTGTCTTTTTATACCTGCGCAAATCGTCAATTTTGCTTTTGTTCCGGTATCGATGCGCATATTATTCTTCAGCACCGTTGCGTTATGTTGGAGTACGTCGACGTTGTCTATTAACACAAATGACACGATTAAAATTATTCACCCTATCCATTCATAACAGACACCTATCTTTCGTTCTTCAATGCGGAACAAAGGCGACTGCAGGAGCAATCCGAGAATTTACCATAACGTTGTCGCGAATGTGGTCAATGCCAGTATAAGTATAACCTGATTTATAAGTATAGAAAATCTCAAGTTGATATATAGACTATTATCCGTCTGACAGACGAGCGCAGAGTCACAAAACTAATGGTGGATTATTCGTGAACCATTTGACGTCCCTTTCTTGTCCGATTGACTGCATTTGACATCCGAGTTGCTTCCGAAATCTCTTCGCAGTACTTAACCATAATATTCCGTGGCCACGAAACTTATCGAATAACTCTGGTTTACTATGCATTCCTATCGCCTGGGCTCAGTGACCGCAATATACCTATTCAGTCTTCTGTCATGTAGCCACCAGATTACCATGCGTTGCCAAGTACTACACAAGCCAACCTTCGGATTTCGCTCCCAAACACGGAATGATATATGCACATAGGAACAAATGACAGCTCGCTAAATTTCATCCTATACAACTATAGTAGACTCTCGATACAAGGGGTAGGCCCCTGGTACGCCGCACGCGGTCAGGGAAGTTATTTTAGAGTTGCTATCCTTGCCATATAAGTTGGCGGTCTACTTAATTCGAATTGTGGTATTTGGGTAGCCCAATCATCCTTGCTGGTGAGATAAACCATCTAATCATCACTGTATGTATAGTGCAACACATTGGCCTCTACTCTTAACAGACTAAATTGGTATGATGCAGTGAGTGACGCCAAGACGAATCAAGCTGGAATGGCCGAGTCGTTAAGGCGATAGATTTGAATTGTCAATATCTATTACTCTCTGAGTGCGTAGGTTCAAATCCTGCTTCCAGCGATTCTTTTGTTTTTGGAACTTGTACCCTATTTTTACCTCTAGTCATTTTCATCTCGATCCTATTGACATGATGCGGGCCTCAGGTTTTATCTGCTCAGCCAGTATTTCCAAGTTTTTTTAAGCTAATCATGAGATCAGAAGAGGCCTGATATAAGCGCTTGGCAACAGTTGAATTTCAAGAACGATGTCCTGTAGAGTCCCAGCAGAGTCCCTTGTCATTATTTCTTCAAGTACGATATTCTCTTCGTCAACATTGCTTCAAGCTCGTTATCGTGATGAGATCTAAACTACTGGAGTTGAACATGCACGGGCGGTATAACCAAGAATTGTTTGTAAATCTTTTCTCCAACCTACCGAGAAAATGTCATTGTTCTGTAATCTGGGGCGTCGGCTCTAATTACACTGGGTCAAGTGAGTACAGATCATATAAGCCCCGGTACCTCTGTTTTTCATTATCTTGAATGGACCTAGATGATCATGTGGTAAGGGCCACCGCGATCCGCAACATGAGACGAAGAAATAACTTCGGAATAGACAACGCATCAAATCCATTTCTGTAACATGCTGTCCCAACGTCTGTTTTCAAAGCTCAAAAACGCCGTGCCTCTCGAAATAGCGATGATTCCCCGAGCCAGATGTGTTGCTCAATCAAACAATATACCTCGCCTCTCCAACAGCATCTACTCTGTCTTCGAGACTCGTATACAATCCGGAAAATATGCGGGTTTATTGTATCGCTGTTCTTGTCACCGGAGAAATTCGTCCAGTACTGTCGTTGTTTGTTTCTGATGATCTATGTCCATGTAGTATATAAGAAAGTACTGTCCATGAAAATGTTCCTCATCGGTCCTCAACAACTGTCTTGGCTTTCACAATGTTCCGCTCTGCAGCTCTTATCTCCTTCACTTTCCTCGCCGTTGCGTATGGCCAACAAGCCGGTAATTCAACCAATTTGACTTCATGCAACATTCACTAATGTTGTACACCAGGAACACTAACGACGGAAACTCATCCGCCTCTTACCTGGTATGTTGACACATGTCGATCTCAATGGCAAGCCAACTCAACTACTCAATGTAATACAGGCAGCAATGTACGGCCTCTGGTAGTTGCACCACTCAAAATTCCGCGGTCGTGCTTGATGCCAACTGGCGCTGGCTTCATGACGTCAACTCGGCGACTAACTGTTACACCGGAAATACCTGGGATGCAACACTCTGTCCTGATCCGACTACTTGCGCTGCGAATTGCGCTCTTGATGGTGGAGATTACTCTGGTATAGCTGCTCAGGATTATTGCGATCAACCTCTGACGAGCTTTGACAGGCACTTACGGTGTCACTACCAGCGGAAGTGCTCTCACTCTCAAGTTTGTCACTCAGTCTGCTCAAAAGAACGTCGGTTCTCGCCTCTACCTAATGGCCCCCGGAAGCACCACCGAGTACCAACAGTTCAAACTTGTCAACCAGGAGTTCACATTCGACGTTGACGTCTCTCAGCTTCCTTGCGGTCTCAACGGTGCAGTCTATTTCTCCCAAATGGACGCAGATGGTGGTGTGGTAAGTGTCCAAATCTCTACATTATCAATTCCACATTTCACTCAAAGTGGTAAAATGAATGCAATAGTCCCGTTTCCCGACCAACAAGGCTGGAGCCAATTTCGGAACTGGATACTGCGACTCTCAGTGCCCCCATGACATCAAATTCATTGATGGACTGGTGTGTTTCCTCTCTCTTGATTGGTTTTCAAAACTTCCTGACATTTTCGAACTTTAGGCTAACATTGACGACTGGACTCCCGCTAGTAACAGTCCCAACACAGGAACTGGATCAACGGGAAGCTGTTGTGCGGAGATGGATATCTGGGAAGCCAATTCCATCAGTGCAGCTGTCACCCCTCATCCTTGCACGGTCACTGAACAGACCTCTTGCACTGGTACCACCTGCTCTTCTCCCAACTCTACCGCCGGAGTTTGTGATCAGGCTGGATGCGACTTCAACTCTTACCGTCTTGGAGACACCACTTTCTACGGGCCAGGAATGACTGTCGACACCACGAAGCCCTTCACCGTTGTTACCCAATTCGTCTCCTCCAACAACGAGACCACCGGTACACTTTCTGCAATTCGTCGTCTGTATGTTCAAAATGGCGTCGTCATCCAAAACTCTGAAACAAACATTCCTGGAATCACTACCACCAACGAGATCACTGCTGACTTTTGTGAAGAGCAAAAGACCGCTTTTGGCGATACCGATACCTTTGACCAAAAGGGTGGACTTACCGGAATGGGAACCTCTTTGGCTGACGGCATGACCTTGGTCCTTAGTATCTGGGACGATTACGCTGTGAACATGCTGTGGTTAGACAGCACCTACCCCACCGATGGTACCTCTCCCGGAGACTTCCGTGGTTCTTGCGCAACGAGCTCTGGTGTCCCAGCAACTGTCGAGGTGAGTTTCGTCGTGTGTCCTTGATTTGAAGATCCTTTGACCGTGGATCTCTTAATGCAGGCCCAATCCCCCAATGCCCAAGTCATCTACTCCAACATTAAGGTCGGTCCCATTGGTTCCACGTTTAGTTCTACGGGTTCTACGGGAACTGGAACGGGAACTGGGAGCGGGTCCTCCAGTACTTCCTCTGCTACATCCACTAGCAGCGCTCCTGGCGCTACACAATCTGTATACGGTCAATGGTAAGCTTGAGATATCTTTCATATCCGTCGGGTGCTTGACATCGCCTTTCTAGTGGCGGTACCGGGTACAGTGGGCCAACAATATGCGCGTCTGGTTCTACTTGCACAGAGTCTAGCGTCTATTACAGCCAATGTTTGCCTTGAGTCATTTCATGTAATACCCGAAGCGGGCATTTTATGAGGTGTTAATAAAGGGTCGATCAATACAAGGATAAATATTTTCCGTGTAATACTACAAAATACCCAATTGAAATGCGTTTTGACTTCCATCTATGTCTTCGTCTCGAATAGACCCTAGACCTCATACTGATAGACCTTCAAGTCCTCCATCCAGATGGGGAAGTCGACCAGAACCCGCTCGGCTATTTTATATTTTCGCTGCTCAGGATGCGATTGCATATTCCACGAAGAATTTGGACCATGCCTGATGCATTTTGATATTTGATGCTTGATGTGCAAGCTGTATTAATGTACACAATACCCTCTCCTTTATCTAGTCCTACTCCGAGTGTCCTACTACCTCTCACAACTTTTCACGCCGCAAAGGTTTTGACAGCTTTACGCTGAACCGGATCTCCGCGGACTTTCTGCAAACCCCGCAGGGCCAGATAAAACGCCTCAGTGACTCCTCCGAACCTTGAGGATTTTTCTACACCGCAGATGGCATGAATTTGGGGCTGTATTGTAGGAGAATCAACATTATGAAACAAATATGGGCGAAAGGATTTATTACTTCGTATTTGCCTTATCCCGTTCATTGTAAATATCCCCTGCTTGTTCCCAAATCGACGTATCTCGGGTCATTTCTACGCCCTGGCTCCTAAACAGATGTTCCGTGTCATATAGGAACACGAGTCTTTGGTCCCGAATCAACGGATGGATGCTCTGAACAGATTCTTCTGATACCTCGAGGGGTCCAAGCGACGATATTCGGACGATACATAACCTGAGCCTTGTACAGCGCCCCAAAACGTCGCGAATAAATTCCAATGCATGCTTGATAGATTCCAAGGGTAGGGAATGGATTCTGAGGTTCAGCGAAAGATGGGTAAGAGAAGGAAGCATTGCGAAGTCGAACCAACCCCAATACTCCCAACTATCCATGATCATGAGATGTGTGGTGGATAGAAAGAAATAATGGCGAAATTGTGAAATCCGAGCGTGCGCAGTAGATAATGCGCCCAATTGGATTTGAACTTGACGTGGACGCAAGCGGTTTAGAGCCCCCAGTAACTTCTCGAAATTCCAAGAAGCGATCTGAAGTTCGACCTCATTCAAGGACTTGCTTTGAACTGTGTATATCGTTATGTCGACAATTCTAGGGCATGCCAAAAGGATGTTTGGGACACAGTCATCTTTTGGATCGAACGAAAGGCAGAGCGAGTGGACTGTTGCTGATAGGAGAGCCCGTTTAGAGGATCTTGCGGTCCTCAAGAAGGCTTTCCGGGACCTCTCTCTTAGAAGAACCACGTTCGCATATAGGATTGGATCAGTCCTGTGCCATGCCAGGAATAAAATGTGATGAAGAGAGTAAGGCTTGTCCCGTCAACGACCGGCTACTCACCAGTGCTGGACCAAATGGGAGACTTGGACAAGTCGTGTAGCGGCTTGAATATTATACCTGGCCGTGTGTTCAAAAATGGCGCGAATGATATGGAGAGGAAGGATTGGAGACATTGTCTAGTGGCTGAAGCTCGAGAATATAATGACATATTTATGTACCTTCCGCGGAAGTCAAATCCGTATTTGATACAGAGAGACATTCTCCGCGGAATGTTGGCTCAAGGGGCGACATCCGCAAAAAGCCGAGGTTTGTTCTGGTCTGCTATGCACAGGGCTAAAATTCGTACTCAGTAGTGCTCAGTGCTCCTTCAGCCTCAACGCCTTATAGCATCCTCATAAGGACGTGCGGAAGTGGGCCATCGCGCTTCGCGCGTGGCAGATACGAGTCCTCAATTCAAAATAGCAGCAAGAAGTCATTGAGAATAGCAACAACAAGTAACTTTAGTTAAAAGTGATATGCTCTACATCCCAAGGAAATATTCTAAGCAAAGGTATCATACCTGGAAGAGCTGCACAGTCCTTGCCCCAAACTCTACCATCAAAAAGATAACGGCTACAGACTACGGGTGGAAGAATATCAAGATCGATCATTGAAAGCCCATTTCCAGCAGGAACATTGAGATGATCCTGTAGAACAATATCAATAGGTACCTCCAAAAGGCCGTGGCCATACAAAAGTTCAACTGTGGTCAAGGATGAAGAACAATTAGACAACCAACGTCGTAGAATATAGTGCTCCATTGTGTGGAAAGGAGGCCAGACAATATACTGAGTCGTTTGGAGAATAAATTTTGATACATGCGGAATAGAGGCGAAAAAGGTACACCATGTGGAATGAGACCAGGGCCGGGAATCGAGCAAAGCTGTCAACAGGTCGATATCCAAATCACCATCATCAATTTGAAGTCGCAACATCAATGTCTTGACATTCCCAGGGAGAGAGGAGCGGACGAAACGAGTGATGGGAACGATGAAGAGGTTGTCGTATAGTGGATATGATAGTGCTACTGTTGTGACTGATGATGTATGTGCAAGTATACCAGCCATAGTTTCAAGTGTTGACCCCCCTTCTGTAGGAAACTGGAACTCGAGGTGAATAATATGGGTCGCAAAAGCACCTGAGATAACCTCCTTGGTCATCATGGCGTAGAGGCTCAAAGCCCGAGCAGGACTGAGCACTTTTATCCTTTGGTAGATAAGGGGTGGCAACAGCAAAGCAAAGCAGCGGCATACGGTCAGAAGCTGTACAAGGTTCTTGTGTTCATCTATGCGGTCACGGTGGTGTCTGTCGTATATGACAAGGGATTGTTCATCGACAGGTGGAATGGTGGTCGGGTCAAATACAAAAGTAAGAGACAGAGAAACGCGAGCAATGAGGATCTCCCGGACAATGTCTTCGGGAACTTCAACCAAAAATGATCAGGGTAAGACAAATGGTAACATGTATATCACACATACCACCTATAGTGTCATGAGTTAAAGAGCCTGTGATATCCATGATGGATCTGCACGAAATCAGGGTACATTCAGAGGTCCAAACTATATGAAGCATACCACCGGGATATCCGAAGTTCTTGCAATCAAGAATACACGGTGGGTAAAGAGACAAATGAACCGTTGGAGTGTTTGTGAGCAAAGAGTCTGAGAACGATATCGAGGCTGAATTGAAGAACTCGATGCTGTTTATTTATCAGCTGTATGCATGCTGTAAAATTCAAAAATGTTATTCGGTTGTTATTACAGGGATTTGCAAGGCACCATGAGTTGCTAGTAATTAGATAAAGAAGAGAAGAACCATTTCAGTGCCTTGCATTATCCCGTAAATCTCGGGAGTTGTTATTCCGAATTAGATTATATTTGACTCAGAAGTTAGGGCTAGGTTAGAAGCAAGGGGATCAAATTTAGAAGCAACATGTCCAAAACTCGTATTTTCGGCTAAGGGTCTGAAAGCACTTGAGAGCACTTCCCAGCAGTGAAAGTACCCAGAGCATGTTGCTTTCGGTGCTTCCAGCCCCGGGATCTACTGGGATCTGCCCTCATCCCCTAGCCGAATATGCAGGTTTGGCAGATGAATCATGCTGTAAAATCGATCCCCATACTCATCAACATTTGGCATATATTACAGCCGATGGTATGTAGCCTGGTCTACTTATGCTTAAATTGACAGTTTGTATATCATCGAACTCAAGAAGAGCAAAGCCATCATTGGCCATTCCATCATGAAAAAATATATTGCCACTGGAGTTGACCACCCTTGATACAAAATGACCATCATTTGCACTAAAGTAACATACACCCCGAAGCTTGTATTTCACTTGTTCATTGGCAATAGTGACAGTGATACAGACCGTCATATCACACTGGTCAATGCCATCTAGAGTAAAAGCAAGGATTGGTGGAGATTGTAACATCTTGAATGTCTTATACAAAGGAGAGTTGCATACCAAACAAGGTGTTCCCCATGAGTGCGCAGGCAAGGTATTCAACCAACACTCTGTAGACTGTGGTGGTGTTTGGAATGGTCCCATAAAATGTGCAGCAGGTGGTGCCCTGGGTATTCTACTTGAAATGTGACCCTGTTCGCAAATCAATTCTAATTGCATGCATGGCCTATGCAAGTACAGTAATTGAATCAAAGCATCCATTGTTGCACAATATTGACCCCATCGTAGACCATCTAGATGTTGGACAGATCTTCGGAAGCCATCCCTAATTTCTTCAAATGACAAAGCACCAGAAACATTTAGTTGAAATTGAGCAAATAGTGTAGGAAGATATGTGTATTGTTCAACATCAAAAGAGTTTTCAAGCCAAATATGTCTGATGATTGTAAAGATGGAATCAAATGCACAACTGTTATTTGACCATACTAATTGCAAAGGTCGCTGAATACTGTCTCTCAAATTACAGGTATTGTTGTCCTTTTGCACTGTGTTGTTGTCAGGATTAGAACCATATTTAAGTGATGCTTTATTGTTACACTGACTAATGGCTTTTTTGACAGGCTTGTACTTATTAGGAGAGGATAAAGGGGTAACCTTTGTTTTTGGCCTCTTGGGACCAGGCAATAATGTAGGCAAATCTTCAGAAGATCGTTTTCTTTTGCAGGTATTTGTATGATTGAGAATGGCATTATGATTTACTGGGCTGATATTTAGTTCAGCCACTGCTTTCGACTTAGCAGGTATATTTGTGCTTTGTTGATCTTGGTTCTGCATCAAATTCTTCCAGTTCTTTTTGTCTATAACAGTCCAACCAATATAAGAGAGAGATTCAGGAACATATGGATCCTTGTCTGACCAACGAATTGCGGAATGTAAATTTCCAGGCATATATGTTTTACTTTTGAGAGCAAGAAAACTTTCAATGAGAACTGTTCTGGTGGTGCCATGCACAGTCTCACCTAACTTTCCTTCAAAACGGAGTCTGCTTATTTCATCAAGGAGCTCAAGCTCTCTAAATTCTTTTCTTAATGAACCGGAAGCACCACCTGTAATGTGTTTAGAATCAAAACCTTGCAATATGATGGTATTTTTTGCGGAGCGGCTTCTAGACAATGCAGTATAATATGCATGATGATCATTAAATGTATTCAAATCTGTTGCATTAGGCTCTAAGCTTTGACCTTGTGAAGCATGAGCAGTTAAAGCAAACCCAGGCAGAACATCCACTTGAAATCTTGATGTGTAGATTTTACTATCATCTGGTAAGTAAAGATAACCAGAACTTTTACGGCGCGTAAGGGGCACAACATTCAAAGGCAACCCTTCGATTTGTACTGGGTTGGGTGGATCTGTAAGCAAAACAAAGAGCACATCAAGGACTGGCTGTCCAAACTTTCCTGTTGAAGCATGCCAAGTATACACAATGCCCCGTTGCCCTTTAGTAACATTGAGTTCTGTTGCAACATTGTGTCGAACTATGACTGGCATCCCTCTGCAAATTGAAAGGACAGCTGGTGCATGATATTCATGTGCAGAGGGTGGGAGATCCCATAGGATATCTTGAAGATCTCGGGATATTGAATTTATCTTGGAGCTCTTAGAACGTTTGAAGGAGGTTTTTTCAAGCTTATTACTATCAGATTTTGATGTTATACAGTCATCACTGTAGAAATCTGTAAGCTGTTGTTTTGTGTCACTTGCAAATCGTATACAGCCTAAGCGGTTAATTTCATCTTTTTGTTTGTTTTCACCAACAATAATGGGAGCATCGCGCCAGGGTCTTGCACCTATGTAGTGTCTCCCTGTTTTTGGAGATGATACCAAAGTATTCAGAAACCGTATATCATCAGTGGTACATGCTTTGTATCTCATATTTTCTAGTGCCTTTCTGAATTTTTTGTCTTCATTAGATTCACCTTGATTTCGCATGTTTTTTCGTAATATTACCACATGTGTAACTTGATGCCATAGAGCTTTACCTATTGCTGCATAATTGCCTCTTAGAGTTGTTGCAATTTTTCCAGCTGTATGTGTATATAATGAAACAGTCTCTCCCCCAATGGGTGGCAATTGAGCAAAGTCACCAGCAAAAATCATACTAATTGAGCCAAATGCATCTTGGGCCTTGTTTTTAACCTTAGCTAAACGCTCAGAGATTCTGTACATGTCCACACAATCCAACATAGATACTTCATCAAGTACAATGTACTCAATGCCCTCTAACCTTGAACAAACCTCTGTCATTGTGGAAAGAGGTGCTTCTTCTGTTTTTCCATTGAAACCAAGTAAGAAATGATAAGTTGAGCCACCAAGTAAATTAGCTGCATTGCCAGTTGGTGCAGTAGTTACAATTGCATATCTCCTCTTTTGCAAAGCAAAAAATTGCAGTAAGGCTTTGATGACTTGTGATTTGCCTGTTCCTCCCATTCCTCCTATATAGAGGTGAAGGGCTTGACTGCATCCTGAAGAATGCTGTGCCACAATACGGAATGCTCTTTCTTGCTCTTTATTCAATGAAAAATCTATTATGATTTTCAGTACAATTTTTTTAATACTTCCATATTCAAACCCCCGCTTTTCAAAATAAGATTTGTCACAAATCTCAACTAAGTTAGGTTTAAAGGATTGCTTACCACTTTTGTTGTCTTTTTCATCTTCTTTGCTCGGATCTTGTGCTGAAGGGGCCCCATACTCTTCTCGTCGTCGTAAAAGTAGCTCTTGTCTCATTGTTTTAATTGCAATGTTCCATTCTTCTGGCTTTCTCCTTACAATGGATAAAGGAACTGGGACTATATAACCCACACTTTCTGAGTTTGATTCTAGTGAAATGGTTTTTGTCCAACCACAAGACACTAATATATCTCTAATTATTCTCATTGATCTTTGCTTTGACAAAAAGTGTTTGCCTGCTGTCATACCTTGATCTGCATTATAGAAGACCAGATTGCTATCTTCATCATGCTCTTCAGAAAAGTGATTGTCATCAACTGAATTGTATTGTGGGCTGAAACCCCCAGCCCCATTCATCGATATATCAAATGGCAAAGGAGTTGGTAGCAAAGACTGATTCCCAGCTTGTAATTGCGAACGATAATCATCCCTTGCATCAAGACATTCATATCGCAGATTCAAGTTTTTGATGTACAATGAGACTTGCTCATCAAATACATGGATTAGAAAGGCTTCATGCCATGTTTGATTTTCAGATTTGAGATCTTTGCCTGTACGCCAAGGCTTGAACAATGTAAGTACTGCAGAACAGTAGTATTCACGATCACCTTTGTCAGGCCTTGGGAAAGCACCTCCAATTAAATTGGGAACATTACTCTCCCAGTTTCTTTGTGTTCTCACAAGATGTGAAGCTGCAAGGGGATGACCTTTCAGAAATTCCAGTTGGTTTTTGTGTAAATTCTCATCCTCCTTAGTAGGTATTTCAGAATCTGCACAATCTAGTTCATGTCCTTTTGAAAGTCTTTCTTTTGAGTTCTTCCTATCACGTTTGAATCTTCGAATCCAATCATAGAGGTAGATATGTTCATGCTGTGTAGGGCGATGTGTATAATCAAATGTAGATGACAAGCCAACAATGGTGTCTTTCTTTTTAATCAGGACCACCTTGTTGTCATTAACAGATTCATGAGAGTGCCATGCACTTCTGGCTTCAGTTACAAATGTGGACCAGTACAGGGGAATAAAAGTATGGCTACCATAGTGATCAGGATTACATAGAAGGTACAGACATATCATAGGACTACCTAACTCGAGCTTGGTGGCTAATAGATTAACCATTTTAGTCATTAGTGCACGGCTCTTATTCTTCTGAGACTGTGGACCCTGAATTATTTGTGTATTATTTTCAAATATAGTTTTTATACTATCAAAGACAACATGAGTTTTGAGTGATGTTTTGGTTATATAGTCAGCTACATAATATACTACAGCCTTTATAGCAGTTCCTGATGTTAGAGAAGTAACATCTGTATTGCAGCGCACAAGATAAGTGAGGGGGGGACACACATCATTCAACCACTGTTCTAGTTTCTTCAACTGAATGTGTCCAGTATCAGGATCAACAGAGGACAAAGGATACACAGGTCTTGGAAATCGTGCCTTACATTTTTTATACTTGTTATTCATACATGATATTGCAAATTTATCCAAATTTTTGATAGAGCCGTCTGGAAAAAAAGCACGAGTACAATCATGTAGATTCGATTTCATAAGTAAATCATCAATGGTAGCCAAGTAAGTATGATGCCACTTTTTATATGAATCACATACCATACACGCAGTTAAATTGCAATTGCATAATGGGGGTGGGGGTATAGGAAGGGTAAGTTCAGGACTTATATAAGAGTCAAGTTTTTCAGCCTTTCTGATATCATCCTGAACAGCTGCTTTTGTTCCAGTAAGGAACTCCCCAACACGGACACTATCAATATATAATAGGAGCCGTTTCTGAAAATCTGATTGTGGGTCAATCAACCTCTGTTTTATCTCTAGGGGTGATAGTTTTTTATTTGTAAACAATATGCCATGTAGATGCAAAGTAAGACGTCCTTGTTGTTCCACAGTGCAGTAATATGCTGATGTTGGCCCAAAGAGACCAGGCTGTGAGGTTGTCCCAACAATTATCTGCAAAAATAAAGTCACAATGAAATGAAAAAACCTTGCACCAGCAGCAGGATTTTTACTCAAGAGCAAACGACGCTCGGCTGAATTTCGAAAGGGAACATTGAATCTTTCCTGAGTATCAGCAAAGTAAATGCATATAGGGTGCTTGTGATCACAAGGAGCAATTGTGAAATACCATGTTGGTCCCCCAATGAATGTGATAAGTGACCATATCTCATGTTGCATATTTTTTTTGCTTGTGATAGAGCCCTTTGTTTTTTTGGAACCAAGTTCTAGGTCACGTAGCAGTAAAAAACATTCTTTTTCAGCATCAGTTGATGGTTTAACAAATTCACCATTTGCCATTCTAGTGGTCAAGTCTTGAAGTGTATCTTTGTTAACTGACATTAAGCGAGTGGAGATACTGTCAAATTTTTTTGTGTTGGCCAGGAGGTAGCTTTGTGTAGTTGCAGACTTAATCTGTTCATGATTGAATGCTACAAATGGAAATGCTAAATCCATCTGGAAACGTTTATCATGGTACATCATTAGAAGTCGCTTATGGTTAGTTTCAGACAGGTTTATCAGACTTAATGTAGTTGAGCCTATACCTCCTAAACCATAAGGAAATAGCCAAGGAAACATTTTTGGATATAAATGAGGATTATTCCAGATACTTTCAGGTTGAGCAGCATGAGTAGTGCGCATAAACTTTCCTTCTTCATCTAAATGTTTAATTGCTAAGGCTCTAAGCTGAGCAGCAGTTTTATGGTTAATATCTTCACCTACAATGCCATGTACAGTAAATAAACAATCTCCATTATCATCTAAACCATCGTCTTCAAGATCATCATGAATACTGACACCTGCAGCATTTCTATTGCTTCCTTTCTTGAAATATTCAACAGAAACAATGGGATTTAACTCTGAATAAGTAGCAAGATTCTCTTCTGAGAATGTAACATCCTCATACTCAGAACTGTTGAGTATAAGAAATTGGAGAGCATTTGCTACCACATTACGTCGTACAAACAATAATGACCTCTTATAATCATCATCAGTAGGTTTACAGCTACCTGAAAACATGACTGCAAGCACCTCATCTATTTCATCTCTAGGAGGTGGTAGTACATCATATATTTTTGGAATTGGATTCTCAAAAGCAATCACATTTGAGACCAACTTGCAATGCCCATTGCCATTGGAACTGCCCACCTGAACACGTACAAAACATTTGGAATGCCGTACTCTTGCAATTAACATTTTTTCATAGAATGTGAGACACAGTAACTCAGGTGGAACCGTACCTAACCATAAACCACGACATAGTGCAAATCTAGGGACCAAACCTTTGCGGATAGATGCACGGCATTCATGGCAAACTCTGTTACTGCAGTTAGTGTCAATAACGGGACCACGCATCTCTTTGATTGGATCCAATTTTGACAACCTTCGAAGTCTGGTTACCCCTGAGGCCTCAAGTATATGCAACATTGACTTGATGTGCTTAAGTGGTGACAAAGAAGTACTTTTGACGAGTTGACCACATACTGCACAACCTGACTCCTCAAACATTGTGGGATCGGATGCATTGCAAAACTGTTGAATTACATTGTGAATCTGGGATTGCGCAATAGGTGCGGGAGGAAAATCATCTTCAGCATGGCATACAATATATTTATCTATTGGGTCAGTCTCTGGGCTTAAAGGTAACTCAGACAATGGCAATAAGTCATTTGTCAATAGAGCTGCATTCTTGCTTTTAAATGTAAACTCAAAATGTTCACCATATGGGGGCAAGCTTGTTTCATTGACATTAGATGGAGACATGATCACAGTTTTTGATGACAATGACCATGACAGTGAGGAGTCACAAGTATGATCAGGCAAAGGATGACATATAGTATTTGCAGAAGTTTCAGGACAAATGGCCACAGATTGTGAACTGGTGGTGAAATGAGAATCAATATCTGCAGGAAGCGGAACAATTGGGTCATTGAGAGAAGAGGCAGCACTTTCAGCAGTACAAGTAGATGAGGATACAGTTGCAATATTATAAGAGCCTGTGGCCAATGAAGGTGAAGATGAGAAGGTCGAACAAAGCAATTGATATGGTTTAGGTACTTTTTTTGCAAGACGGCCCCCTCCATAGAATGGTTTGAAGGTATACACACTAGCATGTGGCACTCTATGTAAAGCACAAACAATGAACACACACATATGGTTCCTGCTGCAAAACCCCCAATGTACAACAACAACGAAAAAGATACCATTATCAGACCAATTGTGATACATGAATATAGCAGAATGGTTGCTATACAACAAGGAAGTAACATTCAACAGAATGCACCAGACAATGAGCAACAATATGCAAATTAACATAGGCATGAAAGCTCTCAACAAAACACATCCATCTGAAGCAAGTTCAAGTACCATTGAAGCAAGTGTACATGGAAAGTGCATGCCAGATGATGTAGAAGACACAACGCAACAACAGCGAGTATTAACAATGGATTCAAGGTAGTGTATGATCCACAGGATACACCCAAATTGTTCTGATATGTTGATGAACTAAAGTGATAGTCAATACAGAGAACATTCGTAAATCATGTTGGCATACCAAGTGAGTATTTCGGGCAAGAGAAATTACGAATTGCATAACAGTCACAAAGCTGGGAACCTTGCAGTAGACAGTTGAAAGACAACGTTAGGGCTGAGGGGGTGGGAATACACAACACTGAACATAGCCCAAAAATCTGATTAGGTTTCGGAGTGTGCAAATCATTCCCAATGAGGAAGCGATCCAGGTTTCCATCGGTGGCTACAGCGACACCTGTTTCGAAGCATGTGAATCACTTTTAGAAAGGTGTCAATTAAGAAATCAATTAGAAAAGGTGCAACACCAAAATTGAAGCGAAATTTCAGCCTAGAACATTGTATGGACAAGATGATTATTGATCAAGATGATATAAGCTATTTACAAATTTGTGTTATCGGGAATGAAGTACATTAGATGAATCTACAGCAAATATTGCGACTCATCTGCAGACCAAACATAAGGTGTTACATACCATGTACCACTAGGTGAATTAGCACCCCTTGGTGCATTCAGATGTGAACCACGTAAAACGATCAGTTTAGCATCACATGCGATAGGGACAGATTGAGGAACAGCACCACCCCTCGGACCATGAGGTGGGGGACGAACACAGGACCTACAACGGACCATAAAGAAGTTCTGACCCGCATTGTGGATAATTTCGCGTTTTCGAAGAACCCCACATTGACGACAGATCGCCTCGGTTATGCGGATCCCAAATGGAGCTTCGATAGCATGACACCATAATGCCTTCAACACCACAAGAGTTTGCATTTCATTGTTCGATTTTGGGTATGTGGGAGTGTAAGTCCAAACAAGGATATGGGAATGCGAACCGAGAATAGTGCTGTCTGCACAAACACCAGTGAGGACCCGCTCCACACTTTCACGTTGAAGAAGCACGCGATGAACAAAAAGATTGCACCATCCAGAAGCATTATTTGGTTGGAAGTCTTGGGCAGGAAAGGCGACCATTCTATCAAAGATGCGCCTAGAATTATTCAGCACTTACGATGAGAACAGAAGAGCCAAAAAGCAAGATATACTTACGATTTTGCTAAAGCCCCGATTGAGTTGAAAGAATCTTCGAACATATATGCACCACCACAAGCTAATACGAACAAAGTGGTGTCCATGGAGGACAGGGTAGCACGGAAATCATCGGGGAACACTGCATCGAGAACCTAAGGACATCTTGAATACAATGAGGTAAAGCAGAGGAAGTAGACTAATTACCTCGGAGGTAACACCGGAAGCACCGCTCTGCATTCCACCAGGCGAAAAATGCAATGCACCATCAGGGGTTGAGTGAGTCGTGAAGAAGATCACAATGCGCTCGATATTGTTGCTAAAAAGGCGTTAATGGTGAAATGTTGGAAGAAGGGATAACTCACGACTTGATTTTCAAAAGCAGTCTTTGAATAGATCGATCAAACTTGTCTCGTTGATTCAAGAGATCAAATTCAATGCATTCAGTTAATAGTACAATATCTGTCTCCTTGTAAAACTCTTGAAGGTGAAGAACAGACGTGGAATACAGAAGACTGCTCATTCCCTTGAGAGCCAATGATAGAACAGCCATGGGTCGGAGGTCAAGCGGATTGAAAAACGAACGCCGAGCATTGTTGACGTTAACAAGAACATTTGGGATCGGTGATAGGTCATCACGGGCAACAATACCCTATCGACAACAAAAATGAGTAAGAGAAAATACAAGTATAAGAAGACATACAGGATATGGCACATCCCATTCTTTATCGGATTCATGGATAGCGAGCCAGCAGGGAGGACATATCAAAGCATTCTTTCGATCATCTAGTACATTTTCGATAGCGGCAGGCGTGAATTCAAGACATTTTTTGCTCGCGGGAGGACCGTAGCAGATTAAACGGCCACATGAAGATATTTTTTGGTATAAAAGTGGAGCCTCACAACGGAGAAGCTGACCACCATCCTGACATCCAGCACAGTACTACCACAAATGACAAATCAGAATAGGGAATGTAATAGGCCAGAAAACTTACCACATCGTGTGTCATTCTAGAGACATATTTAGGGTTGGTGTAATTGGCATGGCTAGAGATCGTCGGCGCGTTACGACATAATTCAACAGAGACACTGTTACTTGATACAGCAGATGGACCACCACCGTTACCCGAAAGACGCCCATTGGTTGAATCGCCGCCAACACGTCTAGATACAACCCCACGACTCATTGCCGTACTGTTCCATGAACCCGCACGACCCGATGTGCCACCGCGACCGGCTACATTTCCTCGTCTCCATATACCACCACGCCCTGATACGTCGCCATGATTCGCGACGCCACCGCGACTTGATATACGACCACGGTTCATTCCTCCGCCTCGACTAAAACCAGCAGGGAAACCGCGAGTTGAAGGGACGAAGCTTCCAGGGCTCGGCATTGGAAAGCCAGCAGGAGATTCAACATGGTCCGTTACGCCAGGATTCATGAACGGTCGGCTACGGTTTACTGCCAGTGCACCACCACGAATTGGGAACGGAGTACTATCATGACCATACCCGGGAAATGGATCATCGCTATGCCAACTATGAGGGTTCGGGGCAGGGTACTCTCTGTGAGGATGTGTAGACCAAGCGCCGTGATAGAAATCAGACGAAGCATCGTAGTTCGGAGGAGCAGGCATTTCGTATCGATTGAAGGAGGGGTCGTGATATTGCGTAATGTTGTCAACAGAGTGTGAGTTTTGAATAACGTTGTTAACAGAGGGATGATCGGGACGTGCAAATGGATCGTCGGTGTCAAAGCGAGGATCGAAGGGAATGGTACCATTCCGAAGCAAGATACGTTCAGTACCACCAGGTTGGCGGATTGCTGCAGGAGGTATCATGTTGGCTTGCTCATCTTCATTGAAGTAAGCAGTGTAAGATTTACGCTGGTCATGTCTAGCGGATTTTCGGAGAGGAGGGAAAGGAGCACCATCGGGTTCAGAGATGAGGTCGTCGGTAACGGAAGACGGAGTGGAGCGACAGAGTGACATTAGTGGTGCGGGACCACCGGTGCTCTTTTTCGCCGTCTGCTTCGTCCGGTACTTCTTAGGTTTCTTCGGCAATGGCTGATCCTCGTTCGCTGCGTCATCCTCGCTCTCTGGCGCGTCCGGTACGTCTGGGTCCTCATGTGCAGCCTTTGCGCTCTTCTTTCTCTTGGGGGGCATTGTCAAGCGTCAGATCTAAAAAAACAAATGGTTAAACCAGACGTAATTCACGAAAGTACGTTGCGGGATGAGAGAAATGAGAACGTACAGGTTGACGTTGTTGGAACGACGGTACGCCGAAGCAGTCGGATGGTAGGAAACGCTAAAAAAAACGATGGTTAGTTCGGGTGCGATTCCCTCCACGCGCTTGCGGTGTTACAGAGGTGAAAACATACCGGTTGAGGTTGCTGGTACGCTGAAGCGGACGGATGGTAGGAAAAGCCTGAAAAGGTGGCAGGTAAGCCAAGGTGCGATTCGCGCCACCCTCTGCGGTGTGACAGAAGTGGAAACGTACCAGTTGACGTTGCAGGATCAACGGTACAGTGAAGGCTGAAGGATAGAGAGAAAAGCCTAAAAAAAAATTGGGATGGTTAGATAAGGAGCGGTTCGCGCTACACGCTGTGGTGTGACCCAAATCCCAACGTACCGGTTGAAGTTGCAGGACAGTCGGTATGGTGAAGCAGAAGGACAGTGGCAAAGCTTAAAAAAGAAAGGTGTATCAGAGAGCGCCTTCTGAGATATGAGGATGCGACGTGCATGCTTACCGATGACACAGTAAACACAGAAACGGTGGGACGCAGCAGACAAGGGGAAGATCTTGAAACGAAAATTATCGAAAAAGAGAGCGGTTAGCGAGCGAAACAAGCGATGAGAGCAAACAGACCTACGAGACAGAGTAAGGCTGAAACGTCGATGGAGGGGAGATATGAGGTGAAAGCTGAGAGCAACGTCGAGGTAACGAGACGGAGCGAAGGTATAAAGTTGAAAAAGACGGCGCTTGTAGCAACCAGCGGCCGGCAGGTCAAGTGATTCAGATAAGCGCGGGCAATAAACAAGTACAGCGTGACGTGGCACCGTTGAACTTGAACCACCATCTCTCGGAATCAACAGCTAAGTTTTTATGTTTGGACCATACGAAAAATATAGATCATTCAAATTTATGCACAGGTCATGACCCCACATAACCCACAAAGGTATGTCTTTGTTGTGTAAAGCAGGTACATTTTCGGTCTTTATGGCTAATACAATTCACGCAGACAAATAATTTTACAGATAACTTTACTGATATTTCTGGTGGGATCAAAGACACAGTAAGCCTGATTCTTAGGCTTGGTTTTTTTTTCAGTTCTTTCAAAGTGGAGCATCATCTATTGTTCTGGTTCCTGTGATAGAAAAGGGAGCAGCAGAGGTCACGATACCTTTGTCTGACTAGTGAAGCCTGTTCTGAGCGATAGGAACAGGAGGTTGAGTCCCCGGCGATGGGAATTTGCTGTGTATGTTTGCTCTCATTCCCTGCGATAGGAATGGGAGCAGTAGAGGCTTTGATACTCCTGTCAGATGATTTGCACTCATTCCCTGCGATAGGAATGGGAGCAACAGGAGGCCTCGATACCTCTTTGTGATAATTGTAGTCAGCCCAGTTCTGAGCGATAGGAACGGCGGGTTGAGTCCCTGGCAATCGGAATTTGCTGTGTATGTTTGCTCTCATTCTCTGCGATAGGAATGGGAGCAGTAGAGGCTTTGATACTTCTGTCAGATGATTTGCACTCATTCCCTGCGATAGGAATGGGAGCAACAGGAGGCCTCGATACCTCTTTGTGATAATTGTAGTCAGCCCAGTTCTGAGCGATAGGAACGGCGGGTTGAGTCCCCGGCGATGGGAATTATCTGTGTATGTTTGCACTCATTCCCTGCGATAGGAATGGGAGCAACAGGAGGCCTCGATACCTCTTTGTGATAATTGTAGTCAGCCCAGTTCTGAGCGATAGGAACGGCGGGTTGAGTCCCCGGCGATGGGAATTTTCTGTGTATGTTTGCACTCATTCCCTGCGATAGGAATGGGAGCAACAGGAGGCCTCGATACCTCTTTGTGATAATTGTAGTCAGCCCAGTTCTGAGCGATAGGAACGGCGGGTTGAGTCCCTGGCAATGGGAATTTGCTGTCTAAGTTTGCACTCTTTCCCTGCGATAAGAACGGGAGCAGTAGAGACTTTGATACATCTGTCTGATGATTATAGTGAGCCCTGTTCTTGCGATAGGAACAGGAGCTTCAGTTCCAAGCGATGGACATGTCTATTTCAGTTTCAGATATATCCTGTTCAGTGCAATGAGAACAGGAGCATGAGTTCCCGGAATATTTGACGTATATTTGCACCCATTCCCTGCAATAGGAACGCTAATTAGCAGGGCCCTCAATCCCTTGTGTGATGAATGTTGTCAGAAGTCCCATTATACTGAATCCAGGTTCATACTATACAGTTTGAGATTAGTGAATAACGGAGAATACTTGAATTTATTTGTACACAAATAATAACCCTAACCTAGTTTGGATTATGTAAACATAATACGTGGCAGAGCACTTTTTGATAAGAACAACCATCATGTCGGTAGACAGCAGAACGTTTGAGCAAATTATTGAAGCATGCAAAGCAAGTATATCTCAGAGAAGGTATGTGTTGTTTGTCATGGACTTATATACAAAATGACCTATTCACCACATGGCACACAAAGGAATATAAAAAAATGGAATGGAATCAATGTCGAACAGATAGTAAACATAATACTGATGGCAAAAAAAAACACAAGTAAGTTAAGACAGTACACATATGAACAAAAACTAAGAATCATTCAGTCAGGTTACCGTGTACAGCAGAGAAATTTGCCACATCACCAGCTGACGCAAGAACCTCTTTGGCAAATATGACACTCGGGAAAATGAATACAGCATGTATAATTACCGACTGTGACAATGTTGCACTGTTATATTATCTGCCTAATATATTGGGCCATGAAGACCAGGTGAGGAGTATGATATATGGAGGAAAAGTAATTAACGAGACATATCAGCGTAAATTGTTTGATTCAACTTCTTTGATATCTCAAAAATTACATGCCAGTATAGTACCTAACGACAAAAAGCCAGTGTGGCGCATTAACGAGTTGTATTTCACATCTGTGAAGAGAACAAGGGTATCACCAGGTTGCGTGAACTTTTCGCCAGGATGGCTTGCCCAAGGACATCATGTAGGTCGACAGGGCTTAAAATATGTGATATAATTAACAACATTGAATATATGTAGGGACCAGATTATCCTTTGTTGTCATCGACTACACTGACATATGGAAATCCTGAGCAAGTAAAAATCTGGCTCGAACAGATTAAAACTGCACAGTTGCTGTCAAATATTCTATTGCGGCTTCTACATCCAAAATTATACAAAGCAGGACTGAGGACTCTTGAGGGCCTACAACAGCTCCCACAAACAAAGGAATGGGCATTACAGTGGAAATCTGTGTTTAATTGTCTATGTGTTGTTTCATCAAGGGTATCAAAAGAACATCGGGACTCAAATGGGGAAAACAAGTATTTTGATACCTTAATCAACGTTGGTTTCTGTAAAGGGGCAGAGATGAGGATCAAAGAGCTGGGTGTGCAATTTAGCTATGGACCAGGGACAGCATTATTATTTTCAGGAAAGCTTTGGACACATGAAGTACCACATTGGAAAGGTGGTGAAAGGGTACTATTCGCATATTTTATGCGGGAAGAAGTCTTGCGTCGATTTACAGAAGGACCTATAGAGTGGGCACAAGTATTGTAGTATCCTAACGTGCATACAGAAATGGTTGCATATATATATATTTATAGATAACAAAGTGAATATAAGGCGAATTGCGCATGATTCAGGCAGAACGCCTACTTTGAGCTCTAGACCAAGTGCTAGGATCAAGGTCCTCCAAATATTGTATACTTTGATCATCATGGTTGTCATGGGGTACAGTAGGGACTGGAGATGGTGACAAAGAAAGTTGTTGATGTGCAGAGTGATCAGGGTTATTATAGGAATAATGGGTGAAGGGGGAAGTGGAAGAGGAAGACATATACGAATCGGGAAGGGCAATCAGAATCACAAAGGCTAAATTGAGAGACAAAGTCTTCGCCACACCACGGAAATGGGCCTTGTTGGGATAGGTATGTGCAGTGTATCCAACAGCAACCGTAGAACCAGGAGGCAGATCAACATTACCACCTTGATACAATGGATAAGAGCCAATCCCAACTTCATATAGCTGACGAGGTGTGCATTGGAATGGTGCATCAATGTTAGATGCTCGACCATCATAAATAGGAACTGAAATAGGGTATAAATGAGTAGGATGGAATGGTATAAGGGAGTAAATAATGACATACTTTCTTGCGCAAAAGATGTAGGCATTGTAAAGTAAGCAAAGGGTGTCATCCTGGGGTCTGAACCATTGAAGGAGGGAGGACGAGGTGGATGATGCACTGTGAACAATTGTTAGAAGGATATTATGGGTTTGGGCAGACATACTTTTGGTCAAGGGGCTATAGTCATTAGGATTAACCTTGTCACGTTGCCATTCTGGAAAATATTGTGAAGAGGCAAAGGTAATTACACCACCGGAGGCTTGCATTGCAATGGCCTCAAAAGACATTGCTGAAGCAAAGAAGCCACAGAGCAATTGGAATTCCTGTAAGAATGGCTTCAAGTGTAGTTCACGAACAACTCGAGTGCCACCGTTGGACAGATTGACAGGGACAACTTTGTATATAGAAGAGCGGTCGATGACACCAGTGGTCAAAAAAACAGAAGTGTATCGGGATGCATCTCCGCCACCAGAAGGGGATAATGAGATGTATTTTCCTGAAGTGAATGGCGATACCAGAGATGGCTTTGTACGGGATGGGTTTAAGAAAGTTCCCAGATTTGTAAAGTTGGTGATACGATACAGGCTCCTAAGGGACATTATTACATCAATGATAAAGGAGAGGAAAGAGAGTATAACATACATTTTCTCAGATACAGGGAGAGAGCCATAACATTCTCTGAAAGGAAGAAAATCGAAATCAGCAGGTGGTGCCAAAATCGAAGTGGTGGGAAATAAAATTGGTTTGCTATTGATCATAAGTAAGCAGAGGAAGTTGAAGAAAATAAAAGATATTACCGTAAATTCATAACATGGCGATATTCATGAGCTAAAAAGGGGTCAATATATTCAGGGCGGAGGCAGCCATTAATTCCAAGGCCTCCATCATCAAAAAGTGGCTTTGGTATATCTCTGTCGAGATCAAGTGAGCCATGGGAAAATGCATCAGAAGACATCAGAGCATCTATATTCGAAAGTAGAGTTGGCTCTTTGGGTCTAGTGTTGTAATGGAAGGTGGGAGATGACAGAGCAGCATCAATAGCAGCCTTTCTGGTAGCAGAACCAATGACCGCAGGAGAAGACAGAGCAGAATCAATAGCAGCTTTCCTTAAAGCTGAACCCTGAGGTGTTCGTACACTCTTGCGGAGATCACGGATGGGTGATTTGAATTGGAACACAGATGGAGAAGTGGTGGGCTTTACAGGTGAGTGCATATGGGTAGGTGTAGTGGGAATTGACAAAGCGGGAATACTGCTGAGGTCGTCTGGTAAATCAATGTCAAAATGGTCATATTCATCAATTTCCTTGTCAGAGACACCTGGTGTGACACAAGGCTGCAGGGCTGGTTTGTATTTTTTTACGGAGGTAGAGAAGGTGGTAACGGGCGTAGCAACAGGACTTTGATCCAGAAGGGAAGACGGGGTGGATAATGCCAGGTGATTATCGGAGTCGTCGATAGACAGAGCTGAAGAGTGGAGCTCATCTTCGTGTGGGGTGGTAGACTGCATTTGATCATCGAGACGGACATAAGATACACCATTGATGAGGAGCACAGAAGGAGCTGGCTTGGGCTTTTTCGAAGGTGAAACAGCAGCATAGGGAACATCAGAGCTAAAAAACTTATAAGGGGACAAACATAAATAGGCAAGTATTATTCTTACATCTTGCGTTTATCTCGTGAGGGAGTCAATGGCAAGGGAGGAGTGGAAAGAGATGGAAGTGGATAACCAGCAAGGATGGCCTGGTTAGAGCCACCACTGGCCAAAGCAGGTATTTTGGTGGCAGGACTAGATGTTTCTAATGCATTAGGACAGGGCGAAGATGACATGTCAAAAGATTTCGATTCCTTTATTCCTTGGACACCTATAAGAAGAGTCTCTATAAAATAGTGATGTAAGACAGTGGAGGCAATAGCACTGACTATCAGGACTGTCAGGGTGATCAGAGGTACTTGGACTGTTGGGACTGTTGCCATATGCAAGAAGGGAGTTGAGGGAGGCTGAACCACCATCGATAGCAGTAGGTACATCATCGTAGTTCTGTGAACTTCCCAAAACAACCACATCAGTGTCATTAATGGAGCCAAATGAGGTACGGCGAGAAATAGGGGGAGGTGTAAGATTAGACCTGATAGGTGTATAGTAAGAGGGGTGTGTATATAGCAGATATAAACACATACGCAAATCGGACTGGTGCAATGTGGACCATTTCTTCAGAAATGGCAGCCGAGGAAGCAGTTCCATCGCTAGCTTGTGCAGAGTCATTGATGTCATTTGCTGTATTACCAGGAAGGGTGATGGGACCAGGAGCACGAGGATCATTGACCGGAGGGCTGTCAGTAGCAGAGTTTCTGAAGGAAAAGCATTAGATATTTTGAAGAAAAATGTATATTCAGATGACGCACATGAAATCAGCAGAAGGGTATCTGGCAGAAGGTTTTGGCTGGCGCGTTGAACGGCGAAGTTCACTACAGGCACAATGTACATATGCATAAAGTGTAGAGGCAGGATACTCACGAAGTCATATTTTGGACTAGGAAACTTGAAGTCAATAAGACAGTAGGTGGGCACTGGTTGAAAAAAGTGAGGCAGTAGAGGAAAGAAGAAAATGATTGGATTTATATGTAGTATTCATGAAGGAGGATCACGGTGCAAATGGAGTTGAGATAAAAGGAGTTATAATAGAAGCAATGAAGAGATCAAACATGCAGTAACAGAAACCGAACAACAAGTAAAACCGCTGATCGTGAACGCAAGACAGGTGACATCGCAGTCAGACTTCGAGAAGTAATGTAGAATCATGGTCAACCATTGAAAAAAAAAATTGAGGGGAAGATTCCGAATAAGCAGGAGAAAGAGGATCAGAAAATGAGCAAAAGAAGCCAACAAAGAAAAAGGAAGGCAAAGAAGTTAGGCAAATTGTGGATCATAAATAGAAAGGTAGCAGGCAACCAATGAAAATGATTGATACGAAAAAAGACTGAATGAACAGGACAAAGAGGATTAGAAGATAGGCAGAAGGGGAGGTGGGTGTAAAATATGAAACACACTTAAGCAAGAAAGGTAGACAGAGAAGCACAGATTGCGAGGAAAAATTGAAGCAACGAGCTATACTGGAAAGAGAAAGTGAGGTGTTGCGTTGGTACAATAAGTAGCCCAAATAATTGATTGGAGTAAGTTTGTACTCACCCACAAAAGTTCAGGCGTTGCAATGGATGAATTTTACAGTGTACAGGAGGCACGTAAGTCAAAGAATACAAAGATCATTAGCATCAATATCTGCTAATGGTTTTTTTGGTGATAAGAAAATGCTCTTCAGAGGATACAACAGAGACGTGCAGAAGATAGGCCATCGCAAGTCCAAGTGAGTCTTATGACATTGGTGAGTTGTAATATTGTGGTGAATCAGTAGCAATGGTGTTGCTTACAGTTGGAATTGTACCAGATGCCGGCATGGGGTGACTGTGTAGAGGTAAAAAAATATCCAGAGCCAGATTGCTGGCGCATAACATGGGTGCAAAATGAGAACGAGGTAGAAGAAGTGGTGTTACACATTCAAGGAATAGTTGTTGATAAAAAGGTGCCACCTATCCGAGGTGAAAAGTGAGTGAAAATTGATATAGGATGACAGTGGACATAATGTTTCGAATTGCAGAAAAACACAGAAGTTGAAACATATGAGGCAATCAATTACGATTAGTGGTTTGGGAACAGATCAATTCCGAGCAGACTGCGAAGCTATAATGGATGTGTATGCAAGGCTTGCACGACATGTTCCCGGGCTGAGTGCAATTGAAATCAAGGAAAGGGGGGGCTTCGAAGCTTTGGAGATATCCAGCCGGATTTTCACGCCTAGGGAACAGGCACCAACAATGGAATGGGCAGATATTGATAATGACATTGATATTAACGGCTTTATACAAGGGGTAAAGATGAGCGATGCTCCATTTGTATATGGAGAGGAGAATGTGGTTTACTATGGGGAAGAGAAGGTATATGAAAACGGTGAAGTTAGGTAAGTGCATGAGATAAAAAGATGACAGTACATCTGATATTATGGCTTAGGACAGAGAAGATCAGGCCTGACAAGCTCCATGTAGGTGATATCGTGGATGTTGCATTCAGTGTGGTTGGTTTGGAAAGAGGAAAGGGAAAGGGAGGCATTGCAAAGTTGTTGTTGAGATCTGTGGAGATCATAGATGGGACACATACACAGGTATGAAACATATGCATAGGAATACCAAGAAGATGACATTTATTTGCAACAGAAATGGATTAAGAATAAGGCCTTGAGTGGCAGGAAAACAGAGATGAATCAAGCCCCACTCAAAAAACGAAAAATGTTTGATGAAGGAGAAGTAGAAGAAACGAGAAAGAGATTCAAAAAGCTGACAACCAGGATTGTTGAGGAGCAGCAGTAAGATATATTACAATAGGGCTTTGTGTTGACTGCTACTGTTGAGAAAATCGTTGTTTGGAAGAAGTGCGACAAGAAAGACAAAACAGTCACATCGGTGTACCTTCATCAGTCAATAGACGAAAAGATCAGTCACATCAATAGGTCATGTGATTTCATCAGTCACAGCCCATAAAAGGCAGATTGCACCCCCAAAAAGGAAATTAGTCACAGTTTCCCACATTTTGTTCCCCCATAAAGACGAATCCTACATTTCATTTCGGACTCGTAAAGGGAAGATACTCTGGGAAGCTGGGAATAGGAAAAAAAATTGAATAATGACTATAACTACCACTAAATTCCAGCTGAGTGGAAATACACATGGTGGGCCTCGTGAGTCCTCGGATAATCGAGATGAACGATGAAAGGGGCAAACAGCCTACAAGATATCAGTGTATGTACATAATTTATAATCCTGAATTCGACTTTGATCTCGACGCTCTGCCTTTTTCACGTGCCTTCAATCCTCCGAGCGACGCGGAGTCGGGATCGCCTCTTTCCCTTTCCGACGTTTCTCATCCTAGATTGGCTATTGCAAAGGCCCTATGATTCTCCTATCCTATAGCGTCCATCTATATCGTGCTCATTGTACTAGGCAGGCAGGTTTTGGCGAGATTTGTGTGGTGGTTCTGGCTGTACTTCAAACAATGGACGTGATGATTGAATATAGTTGAATACATCCTACGTGAAGGTGGCCAAAGTAGAGTGGGGTAATTGGAAGGCTGACAAGACAGTGCGTCTCATCTTCACAACTTGTCTCTAATATATCACGGTTTGCTGAATAGAGGAGTTCTAGGTGGCTATCAACCCTCTTTTGAACGCAAAAGTCCCTCGAAATTTGCATGCTTCTCCGGGAACGTTCCAGTCACACTTTGATATCCAACTCACGATCAATGACTTTCTGCATAAGGCGCCATTAGCACCATGCGTAAACATTGGCTGTTAGGCCTCTCATCGTCGTTAACCCTTTCTTCGAGGTGTACAGTTTCTTTCAAAAGCCGAATAGATCATGCCGTTCATTGAAGTTCATTCCTCTGGATTCAGGTCTAGCGTGGATAAATAACAGTCAGGTGCTTCGAACCTTGCAGGACTTTCCCAATGAGTTGATCAGCTCACTGCCCGCACACAGAACTCGGAACTTTTCTCACCAATATAGCAAATAGGGCATGTACTTTGCTTGAAGCTGTGCTCCAATGGTCTACTATCAATGTATGTTTGTTCGAGGATGGTGGTGGTTTAGCAGTGCTTTACCCAAAAGCTTTATCCAAGCGCTCATGTCAACAAACTGTATGATTCGCTGCTATTCTAAGCGATCATTTCAATAAGCTCCCTCCTGACTACAGCGTAGGTCCTGTGGAGATGGTGAATGCTCCAGGATTGACTAATTGGTATGATTCATTTAAAAACATGCACTTCTGACTATGTAGATCTTCAACGTTCAACTGCTACGCGGTCAGGACTCAGTAATCAGCTCTGATGTGTTTTACGCCACCGTGAAATAGATATTCCTGGAGGCTTCGAAGTTCGGACAATGTCAAATATTTCCCATACTTTCAGCAACATTTCCCGCTATGTACTACGTCGTCCTTCGATGTTGCTGCTGCTGTTCACTTTCGGAATAAACAACTCGATTATCTATCTTGTGTCAGCCACGTGCGTTACAGATACGGAGGAGGTTCAGAGTCTTCAGACCAAAATTTTATGTCGTCCGGTTGCATGCTCGAATGATGGGTAGTATGACGCCTTAGGTAGGTGTTAGATATATGGGTAATTGAGCGGATATATATAGTCTCCTCTGTGCGTACATCCGGATTGGAAGTGTTATAACTTATCATTTATGTGGAAGTTCTAGATGGTTACCAACCTCGTTTGACCGGGGAACACTTACATTAAGGTTATTCCGGGCCTGCTATGTTCTTGTTCATACGATGTTCATTTGCCACTCAGTCTCACTCAGTGCTTTCCCATCCAGCATACTACAATCAGTGATCTCTGAACCCGCTCTTTATGGTCCACCTGGCAGATCCTGATGCTACCATCATTGTTTCCCGTCCCTTTGAACATGCCTTTCATATCTAATATGGACATTCATCCACGAAGATTCACAAGTGCAAGGCCGCTATGATTCTCAGCCTTTTTGGAACGTTTAAAAGCCAGGACAAGTTCTGCCGTCTGTTCACTCGATACTGGTGTACACAGAGCTATCATGGAAAACGAACAGCGAGCTGTTCGATCTCTGTAAGTCACAGTGTCTGCGCTTCTCAATTCAACTCCGATCGCTCAACGCGCCAGTTACCAGATTTGGACCGATATTCATTGGCACTTTCCTTAATGGTATATTATATGGGGTAACTTTTCTTTCTTTGAAGACGTCCTGTCTTCTTAATTTCAAGTTCTGTTACTTCAGGTTCTTGCTGTACAGGTGTCTCGACTTTGTGCATCGCATCCACTGTATTCTGACATTATGACTTCCCGGAGACCTATTTCTATTACCAGAATAGCAGCAGGTTGTCTAGTTCTTTCTGACTGGGAAGCCCACACTGACGCGTTCACAGGGATGCTCGTTGGATTAGATTTCTTGTAAGCGTCGCTTGCTTCTCATTACAGAAAAGATCGACAGCTTATCGCAATCGCTCGAAAGGTTTTGTTCGTACTGATCGCAGAGACACTCAGCTCTATACTGGATTTTGCAGTGATCTGGGAACCACTCATGGAGAAATACGGTTAGCGATTTGACCTACGTTGAATTCCCACTATAACTATCACCAGGCTCCCCAACGATCTTCCAGACAACGTCAACAAGTAAGTATTTCAGTAGCGCACAATCGGGGCCACCCGGACTAATCATGTTTCACGGAAGCTTTCAGTGCGGGTACGGTCTCTTCATTTGTATATATCGTTCATTCTGACTGTTTTTAGATCCCTTGGTTACGGTATGTGCATCTGAAAAGGACCTTTCAGAATCAACTTTCTGAGCGCATGGCACAAAAGGCTGCCATTTCAACCACGGTGCAGCTGTTTCAAGGCTGGCGAATCCGTAGATTGACAAAATCGAACTTTGTTTTTGGCTCTATTGCGTTGACCGCTTTTGTTAGTCTAGGTGAATTGATCGTTTTAATCGCGAATACTATTGTGCTTTACTAACAACGTAACCTCGAACTGTAGCGGCTGGACTCACGACAACTATTCTTATCGCTCTTCATACAGCATGGAGCCAGCTGCAGATGTTCGAGTCCGGCTTTTTGGTTTGGTTGATAGCATCTGCTATGTGTGACGTTGTGATTGCCGTGTCTCTAACGTGGTTTGTGGTAGGTCGAGCATTTTCGTGCAAATTAAGTAAACTCGCTGTACACGGCTGCAGCTGCGCAACAAAACGCCCTTCACCTCCACTAACTCTATCCTTAATCGGATCATGCTTCGTGCGTAGCATCATAAAGAAATACAATGGTTAAAGGAACTTATCTTTTCCCCTAGTGACTCTACAAACTGGCACGATCACCGCTGTTGCTGCTATCGCTGATGTTTTCACGTTCACTATCAGCGAGGTGCGTATACGTACAATGTCATTGAATGCGGGACATAGTAATGATCTGCCTTCGTACATAGGACAAAACACTGTTTGCAAATTCTGGTTCAAATCTTATTCACGCATTGAATTATAAAATCTCATAGGGAATTCGTTTGGGCTTACTCTCTCTCAAAACTATACTCCAACTCTTTACTTTCGATGTATATGTCATATATTGTGCATTATCATTTGCTAACTGCTCTACTAGGTTGAACGCTCGCGTTGAATGGAATAAACTCCTTGATCCACCGAGCGTCCAAACACAGACCGATGTCTCGTTTTTCCATGTCGAAGTGTTGCATCACGCAGAGGATTCGGCGATGGTGATTTCTCAAAGTAACCTTACTGAATTGACTGATTGATATGGCTTATTCAGCGTTATGAAACTTCCGACCAGGTAATGTACAGACTCCTTTCGTCTGTTGCACGATATGTACTGACAGTGGAAGTTTTTCTAGAAAGCTGCTACCGTGGTCTACCCGCCGTTTTGACTTTCAGAGTCGAAACTTAGGATCTATGTAGAGAGCCGTAAGCTTCGACTCACGCTCACTGTACAACGGATTGGATATATGCAGGAACGGCATTCAGAAAATCTAGGAATGCATGGACATTAGGAATGTAATATGAAAATACGTAGATTGATCAGAGGACGTAATATTTCAGAATCCGGACGCCAACGTGATATAAAGGAGATTGGAAAAGCCACATAGATGAAGCGAGCAGCATGAACACTCTGGACAATTCCCCGAGGGACCAGAGGAAGCACAAGAACCGGAAAGAAATTTGAAGAACCAGCTTCAGGACCTGGGAGGTATACAGACCGTCAGGGAAATTAAATGGGTATGCCAGCATTCGGAATCACACCTCCCACAAACTCCTGTACCAGATAAAGTCTTCTTCCTCTACCCGAGAACAAAGAGCCAGAGTCGAAGGATCAAAATCGGACTCTTTCTTCTCTGAAGACAGCTCAAGGAGACGATGTCGATAGGTAATAGCTCGAGCCTTGGAATTTGTGTCGATGACTTCAGTTATAAGCTGAAGAGCTTCAGCCACCGTAGAGTAGTCTGAGCTCGCTTCTGAAACAGAGTGCATGGCTATAGAAAGCTCAATGAGCGCGTTTCGAAAATTATATGAATGAGTTTTCTCACCATTCACCGCGTTATCAAGATATTCTCCTGCGAGTTCCAATGATATACTCGCACGACAGTACAAGAGATCATTCATCCTTGTGTCCGAGTCAGCTGGGATATTCAGGATCTCATTCGTAAAGTAATTGTCCATCTGGAAATAACGACGTTTACGAGAGCTGGGCTGGGGCTCTAGTGGAATGCAGGTAGACGAGGGATTCATGGTCTGGTAAAAGAGAAAGCTCTAATGATGGTGGCGGGAAGAAAGCTATTGGGGCGGGGTCCTTTGTTTCGCGAACTATAAAGCATCATTTGGATTGCTTTGTATGTGTCGATTGGGAAAGAAAAATCGAGTGAGTCATGCGCGTCCGTTCACTTTGCCGTTGTTTGTTTCGGACTTCAAGTATTTCCGTTTGCCTTTCAAGTTTCAATTTCCCTCTCGCCAACCACCACTATAATCATCACTTCAATCAACCTACCTTCGGACTTGTCGATATGTCTGGACGCGGAAAAGGAGGAAAGGTAAATCATCTTAATCATATTGTCTCTTGATGTCTATCTAACTCAATACTGGGTGTAGGGTCTAGGAAAGGGCGGTGCTAAGCGTCACCGCAAGATTCTCCGTGACAACATTCAAGGTTGGCTGTGTTTCCCATGGAACGATTCGCTGTTGCTCACGTTTTCTAGGAATCACCAAACCTGCCATTCGTCGTCTCGCCCGTCGTGGTGGAGTCAAGCGTATCTCTGGTCTCATTTACGAAGAAACTCGCGGCGTACTGAAGATTTTCCTGGAAAATGTTATTCGTGATTCCGTAACATACACCGAGCACGCTAAACGGTAAGTCTTGATTTATCACAGTCGAACCTCTCCCAAGTGACAATTGATGTCTAGTAAAACCGTGACAGCCCTTGATGTTGTATACGCCTTGAAGCGATCTGGTCGTACCTTATATGGTTTTGGAGCTTAGGCCTTAGGGTGAGCTCGATCTCTAATCTGAACTCTTCATCTGCTCATTCGCTTTTGTGCCAGTGGCTAGATCCATTTTTATCTTTATTCTCTATCGACTTGTATGATCTCTGTATTCTATCATAATCAATTTATCCGACAACGACAATTTCGCTGTGTCTTCTGCACTCATCTAATGTCTTACTCGTGCAGTCGTGCAGTGCTCTCTGATTAAATATTCACCTTCCAATTATACCTTCTGTCTCGAGTTCGTGCCTGGTGATTTCTTTGACCCCGATATGTCCTGATATGTCCCTCTGAGTTTTATAAGGTGTCATCACCGAATCCATGGGTGATGCCCGTTACCCGCAGTATATGGATGACTTCTAAGATCTGTTATTGAGAGGAAGGCTGCAAGGTTAAAGTTGAAAGTGTATTTTGTGTACGTGTATGCATTGCGGTACTCCGAGTATTTGCGGATGGTAATGATTAAATTCTCATTGATAAGTACTGTATCGAGGAATACGATCGGAAGATCAGTCACACAAGCTCTTTTCCATCTAATTTGTATATCCTCCCTGCCTTCATCACAAACTGCACATTATCCACTGTTCCTTCGAAGTCCTTCTCAAAATCACCCTCCACGCCAACCAGATCAGCCGCCCAGCCTGGCTTTATACACCCAAAACGATGGTCATTATCGCCTAATGGCATATCATGACTACCGGCGGTAGCATTCACCACCTCCCAACCCATGGGCCGAATACACTCCCATCCACCCAAAGTGGCCCATTTCAGCACCTTCTTCCAATCCGCCCCGAGTCTCACCATCAGTTTCATCTCCAATGAGTTCTCTCCGTGCGGAAATGCCCCAGTGTCACCCCCACATGCGATGTTATCCATCCCTATTGCCAGAGCGCGCTGGAACATCTCGCTGACTGACTGCCAAGCCTGGTTTGCGCGCGGGTCCTTTCCCTCAGTGAATTGAACCTGATAATAAGATACCGCGAGAGTAGGGACCCAAATTGTATTAGGGGTGGTACTCAGTAATCGCATGAGGGAGTCTGGGTGTGGAGTAAGTGTTGACCCATGTTCGATGGAGTCTACACCGAGCTCGAGAAGTTTCACGATGGTATTGGTATTGCTGGCATGAGCAGCGACTTTAATACCTAGTGAATGTGCCGTATTGATCATACCTCCGAGTTCGAGTTCATTGAATGTTGGTAATGGCATGCCTGCAAACCGTGGCGAAAGACCATTCATGCGAGACCGGAATCGGTAGTCTGAACAAAAAATGAATCTGGTTGAGTACCAATCATTTCGAAGGATACTAATGAAGCGAATAGGGTGGGTATTCACCAGCGTAAATCTAGAGACACATCTCAGGACTGGCAAAGTGGCCATTGTAACTAATTTCGCACCTTTATCCAGTCAGCTCCTGCACCGATTTGCCGCCTAGTAGCTCGTATGCATTCATCAACTCCATCTGCTACTTCTGCGCCGGTTACGCCTTCTAGTCCTTCCAGATTCATGTGGAGGGAGCTTTTGGGTCCTGATAGATGGACCTTATCAATTCAAAGATGATGGTGGAGAAATTCAACGGGTTTACCATAACTCCCGGTACAAACTATGGCTCGGTTCGCACAAAAGTATCTTGGTCCTGGAATCAACGGATTAGGACCAGACAAACATTTTCGTAGAGATATGTCGGCGTCTTCAGCGCCTTCGGTTCCAAGATCCCTGCCCATTGCTTAATCTGTTGAACGACAAAATAGAGGACACGGAACAAACCTTACGGTTGTGAAGCCAGATATCAAGGTTTTGCGTGCGTGGACGGTGGCCCGGATTGTTCTCTCCACAAGGCTCTCTTTTGTAGTCTGGTCGTCCCACGATGTTTCCCCGTAGGAATGCAGGAAAACTGCCAGTACGAAATTCAACATCAGTGGAAATACCGCAAAAGAGGCACTTGCAATGGACGTGAGTGTCGACAAACCCTGGAAGGATCGTCAGATGCCTCAAATCTATAGTATTGCCTGAGGACATCTGGGAAGGGTCGAGGTCGCTCGGATTTGTGCTTTCGACATTGAGGATGATACCCGTGCTCTTTGAGACTATTATAGTCTGCGAAGGCAGGAATTGTAACTGGTAGGTATCAAAGAGCTTCCCGGCGAGGATACGTTGGGTGTCGGCTGCAACAAATTTCGTATTCGAGTTTACAGTCTCTGGAGAGTGTATTTGGGTCATTGGCGGGAAAATGGAACAAAAATAGGTCTTCAGTCATGGGTGTTGTGGGAGTTATTTGCAGAGTACGTTGCCGGACCGAGCTTAAATAAGGTACGATAGCGATGTGAAGAGGCTGCTAAGCCGCTCACGACATTGACAACTGACGACGAGTCGGAGCTGCTCAGCAAACAACACCAAAAATATCCACTGCCTCCTACCAGATTCGAACTAGCGACCTTTCCATACATCATTGGTACGAGTGGAACGCTCTACCACCTGAGCTAAGAAGGCAACAGGACCAATGCTTGGGAGTGTTAATTTTTCGACTTGTATTCAACTTCCATCTCTCCCTCGGGAAGCTCACCAAGAGAGAACTTTGATGAGGCCAACGTTGGGAAGAAACAACAACTTTACGGAAGACTTGGAGGAAGAGAACATTAGCGGTAGGGCTGAGATTTGAATTTGAATGCTCAAAAGGTATGTTCATGTCTACTTTGACTTTCTGTACTTCGGTGAAGCCTTAATTGACTCTCCCTCTCACCGATTCTTCACCTTCCAAACCAGATACTTGCGTAACTCGACCCTGATATTGCGTCCGGATACTTGAACATTGACGTGTGACGGGTGTTCGGCGGTGAGAGCGACATCGACTTCAATGGCCTTTGAAGAAAAAGTTATATTGACGACAATTGCAACCTGGGGATGCTCCGAAGTTCGATTTGGGGCGGACTCTGGATATGAGGATGATGAACAGGAGTGTCGCATATCCTTATCCAGGCTCCCTCTTCAACACGGAGGCCTCAAATCTACCTCATCCTCATTCTCTGCAGCAGTTCCATACTCCCATTGAAGGACTGAGCGCTGATTCACGATACTAGCAATAAATTTCGCATATGCGTGCTCCTGCGTGCTCGTACTCCCGCAAAATAAGAAATAGCCGACGTGACATTGTGAACGTTGCCAGAAAAGAAGGAGGTGAAGGCAGCTGTTATCAGGAAGTAATCACTATCACGACGTTATTTAAGGCTTCGAGGTATGTCGCAAAGCAACATCGCAAATTATATCGTACTCGATATTTCATTCTTGGACTACCAGCCAATGATCGACGGTCCTGTATCCCATCCGCAACCTTCACCAACTTTCAATATTACTCGGTATACTCGACAAACTTCGAAGATTTACTACTCACGCAGACATTTCCTAACGCTGTACACAATTTTTGTTGTTATTCCCCTCAGTGCATCATGTCTTATACACCAATGAACGTTGTTGTTTCTGCTCAGTTAGTCATCAAGGCATTCTCTACCACTTACTGCACGAGCTCGATCTCCTAAAAATCGATGAGCTTCGTCTCAGAGCCTACCTCTGGAAGTGCCAAAGCACATGTGCCGTGTCCATTGTGCGCCCGTAGTTTTCTCGAACCATCTAAGCTCGTAAAATCTTCTAATCCATCGGCGCCGCTTGACCTCAATAACTCACGAATCGTTGACGACACTCATCAAATTTCATTACCTTGTTCATTACCCAGTACATCATTGAGTGCGTCATACTCGATGTATTTTGGGTATGGCATCTGGGAAATACATTCACCTTGAGAGACTCCCTGACGCTTGCTATACGGATGCGTGGAGGAGATGCCAGGCCTTTCCTGAGCTTTTTTTAAGGAGTCGCTTGAAAACGCTCGGTAAGAGCATATCTGAGGGAAGGTAAAGTTTGAGTTCGAAGCTAGATGGTATAGAATTCCTGGGATATGTTGCTTCGGGAAATGAAATGAGTTGTGCCGAAGACCAGTATCATGGGTTGCAATGTCTTGTGGTGCTACGCTCAGCCGATTTTTGACCTGCCTGTACCACATTTCCGCTTCACACATTGCTCGATAACACTCCCAAAACAATGAACGTTTGAAAACTCTTACCAGTCATTAGGGTAGAGTTGTGTCTGCTTTTTTGCCTACCTTCCTTTCATCCCCAGTTCATTTTGCTCCTCGTTCCCTAGAACGTAGGTCTCTTGGACCAAGCCGTTAATATTCCTTCCTTGTCGCGATTTTTTCCTTGAATACAGATCTTCTATCAAATAGGCGCTCGAGATCGTATACATTATATATACGAGCGGTCAAAGTCTAAATTATTCAATCACTAATGCCCCAAGCCACTACCTCTTCCAGCCGCGACAATCCAAATCATCACAAAGATGATAAAATCGATAAGTCTCAAAAAACATTGCAAGGTAAGGCGCTGAAAACAGGGAAAGCCGTTAGCTTCTTTTGTAACTTACCATTTGACCACATAGATGGTCGCTTAGCAGATCTGACTGCTGCCTATCAAGCATCTTCGGACTTTCAGTCGAACAATCAAGATGAAATATCCAAAACCAGCTCAAAATTCGCGTCTTCGGCGGAGGTGAAAGCAATAGAAGAAAAAGTCAAGGACTTTGTGTCGTCTAGTCAGGTCTTGATGAGCGTTCTTGACGACATTCGGAAAATTCATCCTGTCATAGGTGGGATTATAGGCGCCGTTACCAACTGATTGACTCATGTAATAATTGGTCCGCTCTTTTCAATCCGGAAAGATGTCGTAGTACTGGCGTTCAAAGCAGTAGTCACTTTGGAGCTAAAGCGTCGGGATAACGATCAGAAAGTGTTGGTGCTACAGGTCAAAATGCAGGATATGATGGAAATCTTCGTGCAGTGAGTCAACATATCATTTTTGACTTGTGTGACTTTGAAAGTTGAGACTGAATTTACCAGGCTTCGAGTGATTGCTCCAAACCAGAAAGAGTCTAATCGAGGCTTTACGGTGGAGGAGAGCCTGAAAAAGATATGTTTCCGAATCGCAGAAGATATTTGGTCCTGTGCGAATCTGTGTGACTCGTATTCAAAGAAACGTCTTCTAGGTGGGTCGAGGTCGAAATCATTAGGGCAAGGTGTAACTCATAAATATGTGGTTTTGTCTCTACCAGTTAAGCTGCTCAAAAGCCCAATTTATGAAGGACGACTGGCTGGTTACATTCAAACCTTCGTGGAGCGACGTACGGAACTACATACAGTGCTGGGCATGTTTACTGCTCACAAGATACACTCGACATTCTCGCTTCTGGAAAACAATCAAGAAGTCCTCAAATCTATCAATAATTCAATACAAGTCATCTTTGAAAGATTGCGTAAACAGACTCCAATAGAGAAACAGATATGGAAGTTGATCGAGTCCAAAGGCGGACTTGAGAAGTGCACTGAAGACGAATCTGCTTTGACTGAATTGGTAAAATTTGATTTATATGGGTGCGTAGGAGACCGTTCATGGTTCACAAATCGGTTTACTGATACATTTTTGACTACTACGTTTGGTTGACGATAGTCCGGAACATTCTGAAGAAGTAGGGGTTAAGATGAATGTACCCCCAGTACCACCCGTACCATCTGCGATGTATCCGGGATATTCAACCTACTCTTCGCCGGGCGCCGCGGCAGTCCTGGGATTGAATCCAACTCCTTCCACATATCAACCGCAACTACAACCTCGCACAAGTACAGCCTCTCAGGGATTTGCGGCTCCAATGTCCACGGAGATGTATTATGGGTCATCGCTTCCAGTATACAACTCTTCTCCTCCTCCTCCACTTGAAAGGCATATGAAGCCTGTACATTCACATCGCAGTTATTCCAGTAATCGGAGGGTTTCAAATTCACAACCTATCGAGTATCTACATCGGCCCGAATCTCCAACGCGTTATCACTCTACATTTGCTACACGCTCTTCAGCTCCGTCTCAAGCCTGGGCGGGCTATGCTCCTGCTACATACGAATATTCTGAATCCCGACAACGACATAGATCTACGACCACCCAAAGGACATCCTCTACCCATGAGCGTTTCCATCGAGGACTTGAACTTGAAAATGAATATAGAACTTCCAATGACCCTGGGAGCAGGCGAGATGCAGAACAGGATCCACCTGGTCCCCCAGCACATGAGGTGAATCAGTTGAAACAGGAGTTACAGCTTGACGTCGATGATGATTTGAAGAAGAACATGACTGTATTTAAGCGAAAGCTCGATGAACAGCAGCGCCAGCTTCAACAAATTGAAAATACGGTGATTAACCAAGGGGATAGGGTGATTTCAGTAGTTCGTGAAGGCCCACATGATAGAATTCATGATCCAGTGAGTCAATGTGTGATTCATAGAATGGTGGATTTTTCATGATCAATAGGAACTCCGTGCTATCTGGAAAGAAATGGCACGTACTCGCGGGCATTTCTCATTCTACGTCTACTAATTCAGCAATTAGGGCTGGAAGCTAGGTGTTCCAGTGCAGGAATTTGTCCACACTCTGCATGATTACTATGTCGCTCAGAATAATGATTCGGCTGTAGTGGATAATTACTTCACAATTATGGCCTCACCAGCACCAGGTTCAACTGCCGACGATCAAACTCTTGCTTTGAGAGCTGCTTTCTCTGCCGCAAAGCAACGGGCAGCAGAAAAGTGGGCTCTCAAACACATCAATATCAAGAATATCATTCCGCTTATGGAAGTTTTCGATGGTGATGCTTCTGGCTTTGTTAGTGTCTGGGAAGCGAACCAGGTCGCTTCCTTACGCCCTAAAGATTGGAGGTATGTACAAAAATATACATACAATATTTCTTGCATTGACTGAGAGACCACAGCTTCCTTCAATGGCTAGCATATTGGGCAGCTGGTTAGAAACTTGTGATCTGTTTAGCTTTCAATGATTTTAAACACTTTGCTTTTGATCAGGTCGGCATTTCACAATTTGGCAATATCGACAAAAGATTGGAGCTATCATTCTGCAGATGTTCAAGTCTGTGGAGGATCTCATACCTACAAACAGGGACATTGTCAACCACTACCTCCTTGGTCTATGGGCTGTGGATCAAGTTCTCTGTCAAATTGTTCCTTGCACAGAACCTCCGGATGGGATTTTGGCTGAGAAGATTGCAAGTTATACTCATACTGAAGAAGATATCATGGAGCAGAAGTTGAAGGCATTGAACTACGAGATTGATGGACCCGATACTCTTGGATTGATAATTGGTGATTCTCAGATTGAAAGGGTGAGTACCATGTTTAGACTCATGACTATCCTTTAAGCTTGTAAATTGCTTTCAGAATCTCCTCCCTCTCATCTACCTGCTGCTTAAGTTTCATCTAATGATTATCCGTGCGGGTTCTCGGATTGTATATGATCGTGAAGAGCTTTTCACTGCCGAGGAAACCCTTTCACAGATTTTTGATGCAATTTTTGCCCGAGTCGATACCCTTTACTGTCAGAGTTCCATGAATTTCATGAAGATTTGAGCTAACTTGGACTATTTCATTTATAGGGTTATTTGGTTCTACTATTGTTGATTCTCCCTTCCTTCGGGAAAGTCGGCTGGGAGCTTTTGCATTTGGCATGGTGATCTTAGACTTCTTTGACCGAATAGAGATTCTCGTCTCATTTCACATTTTTAGTATTCAGCCGTTTTTCGAGGGATCGATCCGTACTACCCGCTTGCGTTGGACTATGGGATTACCAAGGAGATCGCGCCGCTATCAGATATCCCTGACGTTCCACTGAAGCATCGCTCTCCAGGAATAATTGAACCTGCAGATAGCACCTTCCATCCATTTACACTGAATGAATATATCACAGGTGTCGAGGGATTCTGGTCAGGCTATCTGTACAATGAAGCGTGGAATCGCACAGTCCATGGAATAATAGAATTCGGAGTCCATACATGGAATTTTTCGGATGAACAATTCTCAGCAATAGGAAGCTATTCCCAAGGGATGCTTTCTATAAATGGTTCAATCAGAATTCACGGCCAACAAGGTACACTAGAAGCCCACCTTCTGGCCCATCCAGATTATGATAGGGATCAAAAATGGGATATTGTTCTGCGAGGAACACTTGACATTGTGCGCAATTATGTAGGGAAAGGCTCAGTGAGTACTGTGTGTGGGGACTAAAAGGTCCATCCCAGATGCTTACTTGTTGGATAATGAATAGATTGCACGGTCACTGCCGCCTCAGTACACAATGTCAGGAGATTGGGGCACCTCCAATACACATGGGACTTTCTACTTCAGCCAGACGCCGACGTGGGTTCATCAATTCAGGTTGTTAAAGATTCCGCAAATTTCGAGTTCAACACCCGATATTGAATACCCTCAGAAGACCCGCCCTCCTTCTCGTGCACGGCTACTATGGAAATTTGCCTGCAATGCTGTCTTGCATCAGGTTTATTCACAGAAAGGCCTTTTTCGTACAGAGACAGTCCGGGGCATGTTAACCCAATTACGGAGGGGAATTGAACTTGCTAGATACCAATATCTGCTCTCGGATAATCAGCCGATGAGTGTTAGAGATCAGGAAGAGATGAAAAGACTGCTAACAATATCTTCGCCATGGATATCAAGATTCTGTCGTTCTGTTGCGCGTTGCAGATATCCCTCAAGTTGGGGTGCCTTGCACTTGTAAGTAAACACTTCCTGTAACATCCTCTACACTTTAGTCACTTACATCTTTGTACCGCTACTTCTAACTTCCCCAGCTATTCCTGGTGCTCAATGTGTAGCGGCATCATTCTTGGAAACCGTTATTACTGCATCACATGTGCAGAAGGTACATACGTAGAAGGGAAAGAACCTCCCTGCGACTTTTGCTCCACTTGCAGACATGAGCACGATACAGAACATCCGTGGCATGTACTCATCAAAATGAAGGCATTCAACCACAACAGACATTCACGGCCTCTGTCGGAACGGATCAATGATTTGCGCTTTAGACCTATAGCCAGCCCTCCTTCAATCGCTGTTCCAGTTTCCCCAACAGAAGGACGATCAGACTCCAGTGGGGATAATAAATACTACGAAAGTGATTTGGACATACTTCGCTCGAAAAAGGCATCTGATCGTGATGCTATATCAAAACGAGTACGGTTCTCAATCAACGCATTCCGGTTGTCGTCGTCGTCTGCTCCATCCAGTGCAAAAGAGCACGATGACTCCTTCCAATCTGGATTTAGGCATCAGCGTCGGAAAAGTTCCACAGCATCAGGAACACCAGGATTAGGGTTGCTTGGAATTTTGCATTCCGGGCGGAGCAATACTCCCAATAGCACCAATTCAATCACAGCTGTTGATCATTCAGAGCTCAATGCCGGAGAGGGGAAGGTAAAATCATCCACCAAGGCAAACCAACTTCAACGTCAGTGTGTTTCTTGTAACAGTGAAGTGAACCTTGAGCTAGAGAATTATTGGAGTTGTATCATCTGTTGTACGATATTTTCTGTTCTTTTCGAGTGTAAAATTGACATGCCACATAGCCGATCCACATACAGACACATATGTCGTCGTGTGCTCAGAATGTGAAAGGCGAGATAGGGGTCTATATGTTCCCAGTACACCAACAAAAGCAACTACACAAACTAATAGACAAGCGGCAAAAGAAGAAACACTCGGCAGCCTCAATGAGGACACAATCATCATGAATTCGGACAACCCAGGAAGTATCAATCCTAGGGAAGAGGATCCGACAGAGCTCAATAGTCTGAGCCACGATCATGGAGATTCCAATAACTCTCTGAGTCACGAAGTGGGTCACCCAATTATGCAAGCATATCAGACTCACCCGCCGGTGGTACATGGGCCTTCATTAAGGACTCCCAGTCCTATGTTTCAAAATATAAGTGGCTCTAGGTCTGCAAGATTCGATAATATCAGTGACGGAGATCCCTCTGTCTCTAGCAAGCGTCAATTGACCTTGCAATTTGTCAAGGGAATGTTTGGCGCTGGTAGAGGTGGCAAAAGTAGACCCAAGACAATGTTGTATTTGCCGTCGGCTGCCTCTGATACTGACGACTGGCAGAAACTGGCTAATTCGAATTTGCGTCAGGGAGGTCTTGAGGAAGAAGCGGAAGGAAAGTTGGACAACAATTTTTTCTACTACATATTATGAGTATTTTCTCAAATGTTATTTCACCGCAATGTAAATAATGCTTGACTTCGAAATGGGTTCGTTTAGATTGATGCCCTGCTCTGTCCTGAGACGGCCAGGCCTAAATGTCTCTACAACAGCGAATGCTCATCCCACAAGAAGTAGAGCTGCAGGGTTCATCTAATTCCACTAACCATTCTCGATTACTCTAACCCTACCTTCATGTGTGACTCAGAAAAACGAGGTACAATTACATACATACTAGGTCGTGAGGCCAAGTTGAGAAATGACAAGGATGTGTTGAAGTTCAAAGACCAAGTCAAGCACTTGGTCACGTAGTCGGTGGAATGAGTCAAAGACAGCTTGGGAGATAATAGATCATGGTCACCAATTGGTACAGACGCGATTTCAGGGTCGCATTCAACGGCACTTCTGTTACGGATTATAAGTTCGGAATATGTTTCAATCTCTGCGGTCTGTTTTCTATGTGACGATTTTGATTTATTTCACTTGTCATAAGGGAACGTATTTTAGAATACTTCAAAATATGCAGCCCTTTCATGCCTGTAGTACACATTGCAAGGTTTGAGTGTACACCCACAATATAAAATTCCTGTTATATCTGATCTATGACATGTTTCAACTACAGTAACACTAGTAACACTGTCAGAGCTCCCTATGACCAGACAGATTTAACCATGGCTGCAGCTCTTTCTGCAATAACATACGTCGGGACCTGGGTGTGCGCACTTGTAATAAAAGGCTGTGAGTCCTTTCTTCATCAGAACCAGTCATCTATTGAGAAGAGAATATGAATATACTAACAAAAACAGAAGCATCAACAATTCTTAGCCCAACAACTCCTTTCACTCTTAAGTCTGGATCAACAACTCCATAATCTGCTCCCTTAGCACTCATCGCAGCGGTGCCCACAGGATGAGCAGTTGAAGATGAAAATTCCCGGATGTATGTATTCAGTGTGTTGTCATCAGAGAGCGAAGTGATATTGGCAAGTGTACCGAAAGCAGATAGAATATAACCATCCCAAATTGGTGCTGACAGGTATTGGAACATGATTTCGAGTGCTTGGCGCATGGCGGCTAGGTCGAATGGTGAGGTGAGATAGCCCGGGTCAATGAGAGGAGGTGCAAAGGGATTGGTGCTATTGATTGTGACGGAGCCGCCTGTAAATGTAGGGATGTGTTAGACATTGAAAGGAGCTAAAGGTCGGAATATATATGGCTCACGGGAAGCTGGACTAACAACCACAATGCTCATTGAGAGATAGTGGCCAGTAGCCGGAGGTGTGAGGAAAAATCCGTTCTTCGAATGAAAGAATCATGTTGGAGGTGATAAACAACCAGACTAAGGTGATACTGACCCCAGGTACCATCTCTAGATGTGGTGAGTTTTTCCCAGATGAGGGATCACCATAAATATCTGTCAAACTCTCATTTACTCTGAAGAAGGAAATTTGATTTCCTCCAGTATCCACCAGCGGACCCATCCCACTTTTGTTGAATTCTGTGTATACCTCATTCAATAGAGTTGCATTCCTTTTGAGATCATCAAATGTTTGCGTGGTATTGACGAGGAATTCATTTGATATGCTTGGTTGGTCAGTAAGATTTTGTCCGACACTGGGGAGATTTACAAGGGGAGTTATACCGAGGTCGAACAGCGTCGTGGAGTTGCCGATTCCGGAATTGAGAAGGATTTGGGGAGAACCTATAACTCCAGCAGAAAGAATGACTTCTTTTGCGGCACTCACTCGCTGACGAGGGCCTGTATGCATGTAGGCTATAGTGCTTGAATTTTTGTGTAGATAAATGAACGACATACCGTCTAGATCATGTGCAAATTCAACGGTGCGAAATGCCAAGCCAGATGTAGAGCGTTCAGTTAATGAGGCATTTGGAAGTATCCGGGCGACTCGAGCATTAAGGAGAACATCCAAATTTGGTCGTGAAATAAACTCAGGTGCTAGGTACGATGTAGCAGAGCTACTTCGTCGACCTTGTGAGGTTACAGTCTTCTGAAGCCAACCTGAACAACAACAAAGGTGAGTGATAGGGCTCAGAACCAGTGAATGGCGGGACGTGATGTATGAACTGATATTAGACTCAGAAATATGGTAGAGTACTGACTCACCGAAACCTAGAGGCATTCCTGAGTTCACATCCTCGTTGTAATGAAAAATCCCTCCGAGTTCATCGACAGCATCAAAAACCATTGAGTCGATATTCGTGGGGAATCCGGGGAGAGAGACCGCATTCACTCCGCTGAAACTGTGTACGAGAGGATTGAATTGACCAGAGGTGTTGTGTCGGTCAGCAGGAGGTTCAAATCGTTCATTCTGGAAGTAGACACTTTGAACCTCAGATAGAACTCGGTAGGATACTAGACGCACCCGCGCAAGAAAAGGCTGTATATTGTCCCAAGACCATCCCTCGTCCTCAGTAACTGCCGCAAAACGATTATAATCATCCGCAGACCCACGAGTGTAGAACATTCCATCTTATTGAATATTAGTTGAAGGGCAAGATGGCGAGTGTGAGGATATTTGATTCAACCATTGCTGCAGTGTACTCACTGACAGAACTACATCCTCCAAGAATAAAGCCTCTCAGTATAGGGATGGTACGGTTGTTCAAGCCGCTCTGTATGGTAGATGTGTAGTTCCAATCATACTGGGGCTTGATATTGAGCGAAAAGAAAGGTACGTCGATTTCGAATGCATCAATGTTCCTGTGAGTGGGTGTGTGAGCATTTCTTTCTTCTAGAGCCAATTGGTGGAACTTTAATAAGCCCGAGGTTCGAAAACCTGGGGAAGGAAGCAGAGAGAAAGGAACGAAAGGACAGGTGATGAAGCCAGATATAAGAATAAATGTATCATTTAGTTCAAGCATTGATAAAAAATTCTATATGGAGTTGATTGGAAACTGAAGAACTTGAGAAAGTCCACAAATGAGAACAGAGAGAAGGCTTTTGGCCTTAGGTAAAAGGACATACGTTCCACCGGCTTCAAGGACAAGCACAGACCAGTCCTCATTTTCCGTGAGCCTGTTTGCAAGAACGTTTCCAGCAGTCCCTCCTACATTTGTTGTTCCTCAAGTTCAACGTGAGTAATGTGTATACAAAAAATACACACCTCCAATAATGATAAAATCATAAGTCTTCGATGGAAGATCACTGAAACTGTTGTACAGAACTGCGGAGCAGAATGCATTGAAGTTTGAGAAGAGCCATATGAGTAACACCCATACGGATGGTGTTACGAGTCGGAAGAGCATTCCTTTGAGTTTGGTTTGCCGCTAGAGGAAAGTCTTTGCCTGAGGATCCTGAAAGTGCGTGGGCACTGTTCGAAAGAAAGCTGCAGATTTCAGGTCTTTTATTCTTCCTTAGACCCGGTTCTTCTGATCTTTTCCAGCAGCCGATTCCAGTATTTAGCAACTTTGAATAAAATCCAATTCAGAGTCGATGGGGTTCACGGACACGGATGTACCTAGTGAATATTAGCATGAGCAGTCACGATATGGTGTATGAGGATTCTTGTTCCTGATCTCGGTATCGGATGCAGTCAGCTCAACTTGTATGCAAAATATACAGTGGTTATACATAACAGGGATATCCAGTGAGATCTAGGAGAAACTCGGCAAAAGTGCACCAGACCTCTCGTCTTGCATTTTGTCGGAGCTGATTCAATCTATGGGGAGCTATTCTATTTGTAGATTCCTTGACCCAATGATAAATCGAGTGCCAAGAGGAGACTAATCATAGTCAGGAACTTGGTTTTCTTCGAGTGAATGTTTTGAATGAGTTCGAATTCAACAAGTTGAGATTGTTGGGCTCCGCTCATGAGGTTCATTGGCTGAGCCGCATTGGTGGGCAGGAGTCCGGACAGACATATTTTATATTCATTATATCACTGGTGTAAAGTGGCTGGTGTCTGTGAGAGGTCGGAGCTGGGTCGGAGAGACGAGTCTCAGTCAGAGAGCTTAGTGTTTGTTAGCGCCCCAATAGCAAATGAGCGCCTACGAACCTTCTTTTCGCTCTTCAATGTTCAACGTCGACCATCGCTTGGGGTGAAAACTACAAAGGTGTCAAATAAAGTCTTTCGGGAGGTGTATCATTGGTAAAAGATTCAAGTCAACCGTATATTTCTTAATAACGAATCATACAAAGTTAGGATCCCCCATACAATCACGATTGGGGTTGCATTGCTTGTGCTGTGCTGCGGCATGTATAGGAGGAACATAAGGCGTAGGAATTGTATGGGAAAATCTCTTGGTGAGTCATACGAGAGTCGTCACTCGAGCTCTTCCTCAAACCCATTTTACATAGGCGTGCATTATGGCACAAGGGAAAATTCGACAAGCAAAATCTACCTTATCCTCGTCATTCATCAATATTGATTAATATTCATTCCCAATCTGGAGAAACCAACGAGGAACTTACGGAACAACTCATGACTTTGTCCCTTTCGCCGTCTAATCTCGATTTCGCAATACATAAACCAACGATGGAATGATTACCCATGCCCTGCGCCAGAATCTCTTCTTCCTTGGGTGTCTGTCGAGAATTTCGCATCGCATCGAATGCATCATGCATTATAATTCACTGATTGGGTTCAAAAATTCGCGCTTTCTTCACATAGCCCACTGAAGTCATCGAAATCGGGTATGACGTCGTCGAGTATGCTGCTATTGCACAGATATGCGCCCATAGGAACAGAACTTAGAGAGTCTCGGAGAGGTATTTCTGGCCTGAATTCATTAACTCCTGAAGGTCAGGCAAGTCGTTCCGGATATTGCGACGTATTTTTTTGAATCGCCTCAACTTCAGATGTCCCGAAAAAGGCTCGTCATATCGCTCTGCTACAATAGGAATGTATAATCAATAATGTTTCTCTATAGCTTCCAACACAAGCCACTTTCCTACTCATGAAGTTGCCTCCTCAACGAACTCTTCCTTCACCAATCTCAGTGACATCAGCGCCGGTTGTGCCTTCCTCGGACCGAGTGCGATCACCAGGACCAGAACCTCTCTTTTTTGGACAGCCCCAACTCATATATTTGCTTCGCATCTATATCACGGCTCTATTCACATTCCCGACGTAGGGTAAACCCTCCAAAGCTCACTACGCCCATGAGATACTTCATGAAAAAAGTATTGAGAGCGCGCCCAGCTTGATTACGAGCCGGAGCAAACGAAATAGAATGTTCAGGATAGCCGTATGCTAACTTATCCCAGGGAATCTTCTGTACCCATCACCCCCAGGTTATCATCCATATGCATCATTGGGAACAGTTTCAGATGGAGTTTTGAGATGCACATGAGACAGTGTTATCGCGTATTTTGGAAGGTAAAGATGACAACACAATGTATTCGAGTACTGAAGTATCGATTTATCTGGAGCCAGCACACTCAACTCATTCGAGGACTTACGAAGAACGGCCAAGCCTTCGGTTCGGCATCCAGGACGTGCAACTTCACTCTCATCTTCTTCCTTCGATGAAACCAGTACCCAATTCTTCTCTTCGCATCTATCGACTCTATGGTGGACTTCCTCTTCCTCTGTTACATTCGCAAATCTTTTCGAAAGTTCAAATGGATACTCCCGGCAAAAAAAAATCATCGGGCCGAGCAAAACTCACCACCCCTTTCACAGTTCAATATTCAATGCTCAGTCTCAACGCCAATACTTTGAAAACCTTCGCAGATTATAGCGAGACGGTGAACCTTCTAGACGGCATGAAATTTCGTTTTACACCTGCGGAATACTACATCGACGTCTAGTTCAAGATGGGAGGACCAGGGAGGGAAGGAAATGGCTAGGTAATGTGAGGTCCTCGTGTGCGTTGGATAGGTAATTTGATCCTCATAGAATATGATAACAGGAAATGAAACGATGAAGGATACAAAATGAAACATGAATATTTTCTTTTGACCGCGAGAACCCGTTGCGGAATCCGGGTAGAATGTAGATACATGGGGCCGAACGGACAAAGAGCAATATCATACGTTCGGGATTCAGTCCTGGCCCACTGGATGGGCTGGGTTTCAGTTGAACTGAGTTGTTGTTTATGCTTTGAGCATGACAGCGTGTTCGGTAGATCTACCGGCGTTGCAAAGCCTCAATGCTTCAAGGCGTATCCTTTACGTGTCGACGAACGACGAAACTTTCCGCTGAACAGGGTATGGGCAATAGCTGGGTATGATAAAGAGGATTGATACATATAAACGGTATTGGACTATGTATCTCGTTCAAAGGAATGTTGTTCCCTTTTGAATCATTTACTCCTGCTCAAAGACCTCGATATCAATCCCCGATCTTCAATGATAAGTAACTTCTAACTAAGCACACGAGATCACTACATTCAACATTCCTGAATCCCCATATGAGATTTGTTAAAGGATTCTCCCAGCACACCGAGACATACGAGGTCAAAAGACACAGAAGAAGACCGAGCACGCTGATACGTCCTAGTTATAGAATTCGTCGTGGTCCGTGAAAGTTTTATGAATTTCACTGACGATACCATTCCAGGAATTGGTCGTCGGTGAAGATATGTCGGAAGCCACCCTACGCTGACGAAATATTCCATCACTACGGCTTGGATCATAGTATCGTTCCCTCAGTGACACGATTTTCAAGGCACACTCTATCCCAATATCCTTGCACTCATCCGCTGTGAGTGGTTCGGATCGTCCAATCAACTGCACTAAGCAGGGAATGAAATATCTAGGGACATGATATTCTCGAGCGAGCCTAATTTTTTGTGCAGGAATGCCATCGAATCCTGCAATATTTTCGATAGAACACGCTCTAGAAGCGCTCATGTCCCATTTTGTGGCCAATTTCAAGATTGAGATCCATTCATCCAAGGTGAAATCGGGTGGTCCGGCAATGGAGTTACTGAGACATGATTGTTGGTGAGGAAATTGCAGATACTTAAGATATTGGATGAAATTTTACCGAAACAGTAGCCTCAAGAGACATTCCCACTCTTTCCTTTTGATCTGCGGCAGAGTTATCGGATGATCATCGTCTTCTCCCTCACACGAGTTTCCAGGACCAGGTGGAAGTGCGAACATAGTCTCGAACAGCAAAGACTCTTCAACTAATCTAGCACGAGGAATTTTGTACAGTACGTTCTCTACCTGTGTGTGGGTTGAAACAATTATTAAAATGAGCAGAAGAGATTAGAGGGGTGATGACTCGTACTTCGAAGATAACACAATCAAAGTAGAATGTCGTGCTTCTTGTTGGAGTAGGCGAGTGCAATGGAAAGTTGCTGGTGTGATCTGTATTGATGGAAATTGTACTTAGGTCGGCCATATTATTTTGCTTGTGGTAAGGTGACTACTAGAAAGTTCTTGGTATAAGTACTACTCTCAGATCTATTGAAGGGCCGAGTAGCTTTCCGTTAGCTTTGCTGCGGACATGCGGAAAAGTATAAAGAAACCAAAAGAAAAGGAAGATCCCATTCCATAGTGTACCATATTATGACCTTCAAGCCCTCCAAATTCCTCATTCTACCATCATGTGGCCTAATTGATACCGAAAGTCTCACCGTTGGCCAAAACTCACATATGCATGTATGCTGCGATCATCCAAACGATATGTCGATGGGTAAATGTACAGTGGTTCGGAGCGCATTCCGATATCTAGAGTGTGTATCGTGATGAAGAGGGATTCCATCTCGAATATCCTCCCAACACGATACGTTGGCGCAGTTGTGCGTAATGACGTTCAACTTTATCATGTCTATTAACTCGTGTTCTATTCACAATCTCGACTATAAGAAACACCTTCTGAAGCCCACTTTGAGACAAATGGAAGATACCTAGGGAGTCTCCTGTATATATAATATGCGTCTATGTCTCATGTACAGCTATGCAACACACATCCCTACTAAGGGGATCGCAATGTATGCTTGATTTCTCTGAGCTTCCCCTAGCCTCGACAGTACACCCTTTCCCAATTCAGATATGCATGCTGACTGAAAATAGCTCCTGACAGGCACTGTGTGCAAGCAGCATACACAACAACAAACGAGCATGACAGTGATTGGTAGATCTAACGGCGTTGTAAAGCCTCAATGCCTCGAGGCGTATCCTTTACGTCACCGTGTCGACGAACGACGAAACTTTCCGCTGAACAGGGTATGGACAATAGCTGGGTATAATAAAGAGGATTGATATATATAAACGGTATTGGACTATGTATCTCGTTCAAAGGAATGTTGTTCCCTTTTGGATCATTTACTCCTGCTCAAAGACCTCGATATCAATCCCCGATCTTCAATGATAAGTAACTTCTAACTAAGCACACGAGATCACTACATTCAACATTCCTGAATCCCCATATGAGATTTGTTAAAGGATTCTCCCAGCACACCGAGACATACGAGGTCAAAAGACACAGAAGAAGACCGAGCACGCTGATACGTCCTAGTTATAGAATTCGTCGTGGTCCGTGAAAGTTTTATGAATCTCACTGACGATACCATTCCAGGCAGGGGTCATCGGAGAAGATACGTCAGAGGCTACTCTCTGCTGACGGAACATTCCCTCGTTACGGTTTGGATCGTAGTATCGTTCCCTCAGCGACACAACCTTAAGCGCACACTCGACCCCAATATCCTTGTAATCATCCGCTGTGAGAGGATTGGAGCGCCCAATCAACTGCACTAAGGAGGGAATGAAATATCTAGGGACACGATAGTCTCGAGCCAGTCTGATCTTCTTCGCGGGAATACCATCGTATTCTGCAATCTTCTCGATAGCACATGCTCTGGCAGTGCTCATGTCCCATTTCGTGGCCAATTTCAAAATTGAGACCCATTCGTCCAAGGTGAATTCAGGTGGTCCGGAGATGGGATTGCTAGCAAACGATTTGTAGTTGAATATCAAATAGCAGAGATGGAGCGTCGCGGGAGTAGGACTTGCCGGAATAGTAGTTTCAAAAGACATTCCCAATCTTTTCTCTCGGTCTGGGGGAGGTGAATTGGATGGTCGTCGTCTTCTCCTTCGGATGTATTTCCGGCGCCGGGTGGAAGTGTGAACATAGTCTCGAATAGTGAGGATTCTTCGGCCAATCTTGCACGAGGGATCTTGTACAGGACATTTTCTACCTAGCGGAGGAAGGCTTTGAGAATGAAAAGTTGAACAAATTGCCAGAAGGGTGACTCCTCGTACCTCAAAGATAGCACAGTCGAAGTAGAATGCCGGGCTTCTGGTTGGGGACAATGCAGGATTGCTAGTCGTATTGTTGATCTTCGTACTCAGTGGGCCTGGGTCTGTCATTATCAAAAATGTAATGATTGGCCGTGGTGGTAAAAAGACACCGGGTGGTACGAAAGAAGTTGCGCGAGAAACATCTCGTGACGGGAGAACCTCAAAGGCATGTTCAAATTGAGATTCAGAAGAAAAACCACTACGATTCACGAAGCCCGTAGGATTTGATCCTCCTCAAAGAGGAACAGATCATGAGACAATATGTAGAATGATAAGAACTCTTTGATTCTAATCTTTCGCCCGTAACCACTTGGCTATAGCGCTGACAAAATACTCACTTGTCCACGTATATTCTTCCGCTCTTTTATTCCGCGTATGTAAGTAAGAAGGCACGGGGGCCATTCCGTAGCTATATGTAGGTAGGTGAACTTTGAAATGTCATAAACCGTGATCATCTGGTTGAGGTTAAGATGAGATGACTGTGGCGAGGGTAGTGGAATAGCATTTGCACGGGTGTCTTACTTGAGCAAGTGGAAAGTATTGGGTGAGATTGGGTGTAGACATGCCAGGCCTGGTTGTACTTGGCATTCATATATTACATGTGATGTTGAGGTTATGTTGGTAATGTCCGAGATGAACTTGTCGAAACGATCGAAAATATTCATCACCATCTTTTGCTGCCAGCAGTCTTCTGAACTTTCACAATTTCTGCAACAGCGTCCCATAGAGAAACATTTACATCATGAAATTTGGAATTAAAAATGAGTATATAGCCACATAACTCGTTCAAGGATAACGAGTGCCAGCAAAAGGACCTGAACCTGAATTATCTCCACTCAAACAACCTCCACTCTAACGACCTCCACCCAAACGGCTTCCACCCAAACGGCCTCCAACCGAATGACCTCCACCTAAACGACTTCCACTTGAATGACTTCCACCTGAACGTCCACCCGAATGACCAGTGATAGGAAAGCCACCCTGCGTAAGTGGGAAGAAACGTACACTCCTTCCATTGTTCCTTTGTCTCTGTCGTTCCCTCTCCCGCTCAGCATTAACAGGGATTGTGATTTCCCCAACTGCCTCCTCATTCTTACAAATAGCCACCTTCTGACCTTCCTTGAAATACCATTTTTCATTTGTGATAACAGGCGGCAAGTTTAAATTGAGACACCCTTTGAACCTTTGTTCCCAACTCTCAACCGGAGGCCCTCCTAGTGCAAGTCGAACTTTGAAGCCTTCAGGAACACGAGGAACTCCATCATCTCCTACCGGCTGCAAGAAGTATCCAAAAATTGACATGTTTGTCCTTCCGCTGGGGAAAATCCGAATTTTCCACTCGGTTCCATCAGGAAGGGGCATTTGAACATGGAATACATCTTCATCGGTGTCGGGATATTCGCCGAACCATTCAAATTTCAACGCTCCTACAGGGGTTCTAAAAAAATCAGATGGCTAGAGATATCATTATGCAATGTAGTTAGGTTAGTTGGTTTTTTTCTTAAGAAGTTGTCCAAAACTTACAAGACTGAAGCCCGGGGTCCGATCTTCAATGAATTCGTTCTCCACATCGTCCCCATTTGTAGAAAACTTGCAAAATGGATGAGTAGAAGTGGAAAAATAGGATCTTTGTTATTTACATTGTAAGACGCTCGGGACTGGCACAAAAAATAAATTGTCGTGAATTGGCCATAATTCCCTGAACTCACCTGATGAGAATATGACCGAGTGCGCTATAAGTCATGAAAGTTATATCAAGGTGAACGAATCAGTATAATGTGGCATACCCCCGAAGTGTTTCGATTGCCTCGAGAAGGTCTAAGATTATACTGTACAATATATTAAGCTAGTCAAATTGCAAGAAAAGATAGGGAAGACTAACATACCCCAGATGTGCTCTGTGGGCCATACGAACTTGGCATACCTTGATGGTCCATGGTCAAGAACGAAGCGGGTTGAAAGAAGGCCAAATCAGGGCCAAATACGACACGCCGCAACATTCCCACAGCAATGCCCCGTTGACACGGCGCTAATTGAATTTCCTGCGATGTTCTTCGTCTTTCTCCACGCCAACCTCGTTCTTGAAGGGGAAATTTGCGTTGTCAAGCCCCTCCACAGGCCAGTCACGCAAACAGAACTTTCGTGGCCTGTTTAACGCGTCAATTTTTAGGTTCAATATCACGCGATTTTGCTTGAACGCGCTTTTACTTTCTTATTTCAACCACTCGCGATCGGTACCTCAAACTCGACCTCTTCAATCTCGAACGCGTGCTAGAGAGGACACTAAGGGCAAGATGAAGGCAGAAGAATTGGGTTCACCTTAGAGGACCAAAACATTGAGCACGGGAAGGAAGAAGATCCCAGCAAGGAGGAAAATTGGGGAGACTGCACCATTCACACATCTGTCGCTTCTTTCTCCAGCGCCGCTCTGAACCCGGACTCTCCCTCCTGATTCTCCTACATTCGGCTCTCTCTCAATCCCAGTCCCAACTTCTCTGCCTGGATCGTCGAAACTGGCGGAGCAGACCACTCGAAGACGAGCAACTGCTACAACGCGAGAGATGCCAACTCAGACATCATGGATCCGGACGCCCTCGCGTCATCTTTCCCGCCCAGCACATTCGTCCTTCTTCCTTTTGTGAAAGATATCAACAGCTGTCACCCACCTGTACTATTCCTCTTCCCCAGTCCTAAGCGCGCGCTTGCCTTCTGTTGTGCAAACTATAGTTTCTTCTAAGACAGACAGCATATGTCTTCAAGAAGTAACGGAAGAACTCAATGCCGTTCTTCCGCACTTATCTTTTCCCACTTTCCGTTCTCCAGTCGGCTGGAAATGAACAAAACATCCTCATACCCTCCCGCTTCCCCTTCCCTTGGTCGGAGCTTGATATCGGCAAGAAACACAAACCCGCTTTCCTCGCCTCTTTTCAAATTATGGCGCATCAGATACTCGAAGACTCATACTTGCCGCCCCGCATCTTATCGCAGGCCAGGCAGGTTCCTCCCTTGAGCAGAAGGCTGCAGGGCCACTTGTAAACCTTCTGTACAACCTAAGATTGGATTATCGCAGGTGACATGAACTGGCCGGAAAACGTTCGCGTCGCTCCCGATGATGACCTTTTCGAAGACGCTGGGCACATAGCGTCTTATGGATCTATGTTGTCAGGTTGTAAATACTCAGTTGGATGTAGAAACAACTGTATTAGGTACCTGTCAGGTTGTAAATACTATATGTGTTGTGAGTATACTGTATGTAAGTAGGTAGGATGGGGCTCACCTCAGTTGGATGTAGAAACAACTGAGGGAGCCTTTGTCCGCCGTTCGCAGGTGGCTGATAAACTGTATAGTAGTGTGTATGTAATCGAGCGGAAGCAGAATGTGGGCTGTGCGTACGCCGGGCGGAGGGAGTCTAACACCCCCCCTGCTCCGCACGATACAGTCCTAATAACCCAACCATCTTTGCATGGGTTGTCCCGTTCAGGGCTTTAGTGAATACGTCCGCGACGTTCATGCCCGTCCTAATTTCAGAGACTTTCACAGTCCCGCTCGCGACTTTCTCCCTTATGTAGTGTTCCCGGAGGTCGATATGTTTGACCAGAGCATGTCGCTTGGAGTTTTCCGTCAGACTAATAGATCCGAAGTTATCCCCCAGTAGAGTGACAGGTCCCTCCTGGGTTAGGTCAACCTCTGCAAGGAAGGATTGTAGCCAGACTGCCTGCTGGCAAGTCCGAGACAGCGCGATATATTCCGCCTCCGTAGATGATAGCGCAGCTGAAGGTTGGCGTTTGGAACTCCAGGAGACGGGAGAGCCGGCCATGAAAAAGACGTAGCCAGAGGTAGACCTGCGGGTATCCATGCACCCCGCATGGTCCGAGTCAGAGTAGCCCTTCGGTCTCAGACCCAAGCCTGGAGTATGTTCTTGTCCGGCTCCGGGTGCCTCGTAGGTGATAGCGTAGTCGCAGGACCACAGGAGGTAACCCGCGAGCCATTCGACACACTCCCAGTGGGACCTGCCAGGATGGAGCTGATATCTTGCAAGGAGTCCAGCTGCGAAGGAGATGTCGGCGCGAGTGCACGTCTGGCACCAGAGTATGGAGCCCACGAATTCGCGGTATGGTTTGCCTGTCATGAACTGTAAATCGTCGTCGGGGAGCGGGGTGGGCGCTTCACAGAGTTTGACGTTAGGAGGGAGGGGCGTATGGCGGCGCCGGACCTGCAGGAGCTGGAAATGCTCGAGCATTCGGAGGATATAGGCTTTCTGGGAAATGGTGATAGACTTCGTAGTTGGGTCTTGCTGTACGTTCATACCTAGTAGGACATGGGATGTAACTTCGCTAGACTCCCACCGCTTCGCTAGGTCGTTCACTGCTCGCAACCTCCCAGCCTCCGTGGAAGCTCCTCCGCACACGTCGTCCCCATACGTGCTAGTCAGGGTGTATTCGGCGCCGTCTCGACGGTAGCGAATGCAGGGGTCGGCTCTGGACGTGGTATATCCGTCCTCACGATATCCGGCAGCGAGGGTCTCCTGCCAATCATGGCTGCCTTGCATGGTGCCATAGATTGACTTCCTAAGCCTGCAGACTTTGTCTTCGTCGCCTGGGCGGATGAACCCGTCTGGTTGCCGCATATACACGTCGTGTGAGATGGGGGAATTGAGGAAAGCGGCCGTGAAATCTACTTGGAAGAGGGAGAGCCGGAGGGTAGCGATAATAGCCAGTACGATGCGCACCGACTCCATACGGGCAACAGCTCCGTATGTCTTGTCGTAGTCCTGGCCCTGGATTTGTGTGTAGCCCTGCGCTACCCATCGCGCTTTGCGTTTAAGCACCTCCCCGCCCGGTCCCCATTTTATGGCATACGTCCACCTTCCACCCGTGAGGTTTGCATCCGGTGGTAGATGCACCAGTTCCCAGCAGCCTTTTGCAACGAGGGTGTCGTACTCTGCCTTCATGGGTGGAAGCCAGATTTCCGGAGCTTTCATCGCCTGTTTGAAGGTGGATGGGACCCAGGTGTTGCTAGTAGCCGACGCGAAAGCCCAGGGGTTTGCAGCAATCAGGGCGAGTGTTTGGCCGGCTGGCGGCGAGTCTGTTGCCCACTCCTCTCTGTTGGCCTGTGCATCCTGTTCCCGCTCCTCTAGAGCTTGGTTTTCGATGGCGACTCGTGAAGGGGTGCGTATGCGGTTACTCCGTCGCAGTGGTGTTGGCGGGGAATCGGGAGTATGAGAAGGTAGTGGTGGAGAAGAGTCGGAAGTGGGCCCGGGTAACCGTGGTTCGCTGCCTTCTTGATCCGCAAGCTGTTGATCAGTGGGTCCATTGGTGGGTCCAGCTGGTTCTGGGTCGCCTGCAGGTTGGCTTCCTCCCAGTTCGTTATCGTCGGTCTCAGGTGAGAATTCCCTGGAGCGATGTGCTTCGCCTTCTTCGAATCTAACATTCCTTGATTCCATGAAGGTGCGGCTGGGTTGGTGCCACAGCCGGTATCCTCTGCGTCCCATATACCCTATTAGCTGGCACTCGACGGCTTGGCGCGCCAGTTTCCCCTCGGTTCTGACTTCAGGGAGTGTGGCCCATGCTCGGCAACCAAACGGTCGTAAATGCGATACATCCTGGCGTTTATTCGACCAGTACTCGATAGGAACGCGGTCGGGAAACCGTGCTGTTGGCACGAAATTATCCACATACGTGAAGGTGGCGGCAGCCTCTGCCCAGAACAATCGGGGGAGGCCTGATTCTTCGAGGAAGGTACGTACTCCCTCGATAACGGTCCTGTTCCCTCTTTCAGCCATCCCATTAGCGGAGGATGAGTATGGGGTTATCTTCTCGATGATGATCCCCCGGTCGGCACAATAGGCTTCCATCAGGTCATTATCGAATTCGCCTCCACCGTCGACCCGTATTATCCTAATCCTCTTCCCGGTTTGGTTCTCGGCCATCGTTCGGTACTTATGAAATTCCTTCACTGACGTCTCCTTCCGTTTGTCCTTGAGAAATGCAGGGACTCGCACCGATGACGCCCCGTCGGAGAAAAGCATCATGTACCTTGCACCCCCGATGCTCTGGGTGGTGGCTGGTCCCCAGAGGTCGATGTGGACTCTCTCGAGAACCTCCGTTTCGTGGGTGAGCTTTTCGTCGAATGGTCTACGCGTTGCCTTCCCGTACAGGCAGTCAACGCACATTCCGGCTGACTTTTTCGACTTGATTTGTAGACTGTCCACTAAGCCCTGACTCTCCATTCGCAGGATCCTTGGTATGGCTACGTGTCCCAGGCGTCGGTGCCAGGTGTGTATGTCGGCCGGTTTCTCGTGGGACCTTGCTGAATTAGCTAGCGTCTTGCCTAGGATCTCCACTTCGTACATTTTGGTCTCCCCTCTCCCCATCATCACTACCAGTCCCTCAGGATTCTTGACACTCAGTACTCCATTGCCCCACTCCCCTTTGAAGGCTCGTTGGTCAAGGGATGACAAGGAAATTAGGTTATGTCCAAACTCAGGTGTGTGCTTTACATTCAGGAGTCGGATTCGCCGTGCTACCTCTCCAACTCTGGTCAGGAATTCGACGGTTCCTACGCCGTATATCTTGAATCTTCCGGCGTCACCGGCTAGCGCGCTGTTCCCGCTTTGCCCTTGTACTTGGCTGTATTCCACAAAGTCGGACCTGTTCACCCAGCAGTGTTCGGTCGCTCCGGAATCAATGAATGTTCGGGTGTATGAGGTCTTTACAGGTGCATAGAGGAGTGTATTGCTTCGGCGTGTTGCACATACTTGTGGGCCTGGTACTACGTAGTGTTTATGTACGTCCTCACTCCCGTTCCCTTTCTTTGTCCCCTGATGCTCCCATCCTCTCAAAAAGGTATGATCATTGCTACCGAGGGGTCTGTCAGTTGGGGTCGATCTTTGGCGGGGAGTACTGGATGACAACGTACTTGCGCTGTCTCTGGTAGTGTCAGCTGACAGGACATATGTCTCCAGAGGCGTCGCCGTTGTGCTTGTTGTGCTAGCTGTGGCTGCTACCGCGTTTCCGGGGTTCTGGTACCTATTCGGTTCGTTGTTCTTATTGAACCTCCAGCCGTTAGGTCCTTTACCCTCTGCGCCCCCTCCCTTTGCCCAGCACTTTTGGGTGGTGTGGCCAACCTTCCTGCAGTTGGGGTTTGCGCAGGTCGGCCTGCTCTTGTCTGGGGCCTGTGCGCTTGCTACGTGCGTCGCCAGTAATGCTTTCACCTTCTTCTCCTCTCGCTCCTCTTCCGTTCGCCTCTTCTCTTTCTGTAGCCAGATACCTTGGAGATGGATAAAGGCCTCGCTGCTTGTTTTTCCAGGGAGGTGCCTAATGTCGGCATCCCAGTCCTTAGGTAGTGATGCGAGGACGATTACGCGGAATTTTCCATCTGTTGTCACTGCGCCAGCGTTTGTGGCCTTCCTGAGTAGGTTTCGCATGGTCCTTTTGTGCTCCTCCATTGTCTCTTCAGGGTATGCATATCGGTGAGCTCGGAGGTTGCTGTCGTGGAATAGTAGGAGTTCTTCCGATTTTTGTTCAAATTGTTTGACCAGCTCCTCCCAGATTACGGATGCGGTTTCGGTGTAGTCTACGCCTAGCCCGGTTGGGTCTGTGATATTCGAGACTATGGTGCTTGCTACGTATCGATCGCGGGCGTACCATTCCTCGGGCGAGGGGGTTTGGCTGTACGGCGGGGTGGTTGGTGTAGTTGTGGTAGTTGTTCCCTCTGGGGAGGTTACGGTTACTGCGGGCTTCGTGTCGCTGGGCTTGGGTATGGTCCCATGTAGGTACCCTTGTAGCCCTTTTGATTCAACTGCAAGACTAACTTCTCTCTTATACGGCCACCAGTTATCCTCCCCCTCGAGTGCTAAACCCGTGGGGAATCGTTGGACATTCGGCATGTTCGATGACGATGACATCGTGGTTCAGGGGCTCTGTATGGATGTAAGTTTATTTTTTTTTGTTGCTCTTCTAGATAGCGAGTCTCATAATCTGTCAGGTTGTAAATACTCAGTTGGATGTAGAAACAACTGTATTAGGTACCTGTCAGGTTGTAAATACTATATGTGTTGTGAGTATACTGTATGTAAGTAGGTAGGATGGGGCTCACCTCAGTTGGATGTAGAAACAACTGAGGGAGCCTTTGTCCGCCGTTCGCAGGTGGCTGATAAACTGTATAGTAGTGTGTATGTAATCGAGCGGAAGCAGAATGTGGGCTGTGCGTACGCCGGGCGGAGGGAGTTTAACATATGTTTGACCCCTCGACCAATTCACTTGCAGCTGCTACTATGCGAGAGAAGGGTGGTCCGCAGCGGTACGTCAGAGTCTACGTGAAGAGGAATGGGAAATGAGATGTCAAGAGTTCGGAGTTGTTTGGAAATGGTGATGGCCCACCAAGTGATCATCATGGTTTGGCGGTGGTTCTGCGACGTCGGATTGCTCCTGCAGAAATTATCGAACAACAATCAGTTTCTGATTAGGAAGTCGTCCGTACACCGATACTCCCCTCAACTGGCAACTTATCAATAGCGGAGCTGCTCGTGCTCGCTAATTTCCTTCCGCAGAACAAGAACGTAGGCTGGGCTGTGTGCTTGAGACCCTCCGGTCCGTCATTTGTCCTTCAGAGCATGATCAGCTTCCCAATGATCCAACCCACATTGAATACGTTGGCAGCTATGCACTAGGCATACATCCCTCTGCCTCCGGCGTCGATTGTCGGGAATGTCTCCTCTTCGGCCTTTTGGGAACTTGCTTGGAGTCGAATTCGCCATAACGAGAGAAGGAGCGGCGGTGCGGATGTTGCTGTGCAAAGGATGGATCTCGAGTTTGAAGGGGTGAAGGTTGATATGCATGCATTGTCCCGCACAACATCAGTGTACGTTCTTTTTCTTCTCGATGTCGGAAAATCGACTAATACAAACTAGATGGAAGAACAACGCGTCGTTCCTGCTTCCTACTTCAATTCTGGTCACACCCAACGCGTAAAGAGACGTTCTAGCTTTGCTCAACACGATCCAACCTCTATCACTCCTCTCAGCGTTTTGTACCGTTCATTGCAGTCTCAAGCTTTTTTTAAGTGCTTGAGGGCTGTACGGGGCACGCTTCGGCTTCTTAGGATGATTCCATCTCACCATGTTGCTTATGCGCGTCATATTTACTCTAGTTCCGCTTGATACTGAACTACCAGAATTGGAGCCGCACCATCTCGTGCGCCAAATTTTCGCTACGTGTCCCAATTGGGATTGGGATCCGCGGGTTCCTTAGTTGGTGTACGCCGATGTTCCTTCAGGCCAGTGACAGATTCTGGGTTGGGTAGCATAATGGTTGTTCTATCTACCGAGCGTCCTTTGTCGAATTTGATCTTCCATGCAAGTCGGAATTCGGTGGAAGTGATGCGAAGGGCATTGCAGAGGGCGGATACTATGTTGGATGAAGGACAGAGCTGGACGGAGGAGTGTAGCCTAGATTCAGAGAGAAGGAGTGTCGCATCAGGAGTTTTTGAAGCAACATAAGGCTTTTATCAAGCTTGACATGCATTACTGGGCCGGAAGTCTTGAAAGATATCGGGTGGCTGGAGAGTCGGATTGTCAGTGTAAGAATACTTTAGCTTCTAGAAGCGTTCATGATCTCACGTTCTTGCTTTAGTTCTGGGTGCAGTCATGCACTACAGTACCAAGTAATCAATGCTCGCTTTTGGCCTATCCGCTTCATCGACCCTGGAATTGTCGATGTAGATAAGAGCGCTTGTGAATTCTAATGGATGCTATCTCTTTGGTCTTTCGCGATTCTTTACATAACACCTCAGCTCCCGCAAAGTCATTCGCTGCACTTACTCGTTTTGAAACCAAGTTGCAAAACAACGGTAACTCTGACGATTCACAAAGCACCTTTATATCGCTGGCTCTTGTGAAGCGAGCAAATCTCGATCAGGACGTGGGTTTAACGAATATCATCCCGGATCCGTTTATCTGGTCGGACGATGGCTATGATTCTGCAGACGACGACGACGATATCCAAGATTCCATTTCCCGTGAGGTTCAATCAGAGATATCGACTACATGAAGTCGCGACTCTGAGGTTGTGTCCGCCTTGCAGCGCAAGAAAGCCACTGCCGCTTCCAAAGCAAACGAGACTACGCACATACCAGCACCAACGAAATTGCGAACCAGCGCCGACGTGCTGAATCGGCTGCTATAGGGTCTGGTTATAGGAAAGCATGAGGGAGATGAAAACGCTGTTGGATATGAGGATCGGTTCTTGGGCATCAAAGATTGGAGGTTGAACATGAATCCTTTGTATGTACCGCGGTCGCCTTGCTTTGATTGAGTTACTGATCTTGCTATCACACATTCCTCAGCGCCGAATTGCTTATACTTCAAGCGCGCTTCAGACGGAGAAATAATGTGGGATAAGAGGAAGAAAATCGATGTGGTATTTGGAAGTGGGGTCGGGGCAGGATAGCTCTACAGCTGGTTCTCAAAGTTTAAGCTAAATGTCATTTCCATATCTTTCGCGGGGTTCGCTCGATTTATCAGGAGAGAGACCGTTCCAGCCAACCACTGTTGGTAACTTTGTTGACGGTCGTATTTTTGGGTATATTCACACCGTAGTTGAGGCAAGAGCAAAGTTCTCCAACTTTACAAACAAATACAAGTGGCGGCCGTTCTGCTTGAATATGCAAGGTCGCAATTTGTAGGGACACTCCTACAAGGTAGCTGTCTGGTTATATAGTTGTTATAGAAAGTACTTCTTGTCAACGCCGCTCAGAACAGAGGATACAGCCAGTGCTGGTTTTCATTTACTGTCGAGCTGAGTCTAACGTGAATCGTAGCGATGAGTGAAACCAATAGTGACGGTGCCTGCAGCACATAATTCAAAAGGCAGAGAAAGGAAATATGAAGTGCAGGTATGTATGAACGGCTTCGAGTTTATTGGTACAAGGGATATACGATTTACGTTAGTCAATGAGTGAGTGAACAATGAACGAAGAGAAGATGGAACGAAGACAAGGTAAAAGGGAAGAAGGGGAAGGAGATAAAGTGCGAGTAGCAAAGAGAAAGAAAACCGAAACAAGAAAACGAAGGAAACACATCTTTTTGAACCACAAGACTCCGAAATCATCCTTCGAGGTTTGGGTCCCCTCCGGTCCTGGATTGGGAGAGTAGCACGCGCAGTGATAGAAGAAATGATCTGGTCTTCCTCTTCGTCAATGTTGATATCCCCACTTCCCTCTCTCTCTCCTTCCCCAGGCTCTGCAGGTGCTCTCTGATCGTGGTACCAGACGAAGGAAGCCCTGGCTCGAGTCCGGAGATCCATTTGTTCACTTTTGGGGCCACGTCTCGTTCCTTGAAAGTCTCAAACAATAGCTCATTGATACCCTGATCATCGATCGAGTTACTGCCCTCTGAGCTTGAACTTCGGAAGAGACTGTCTTCGTCATTAATCGAGCTCGGAATTTGGGAGCAACCACGGTTCAAATTGGGGTCCTGGACCCAGACGTTATCGTCTCCCTGTCCATCGTGTCCCCCACCTGGCCCATCTTCCTGTCCAGAGTCTCCCCCGACGCTGTCGTCTCCCTGCAGGGGCTCCCCCCTACTTTCTTGATTGGGCAAGGTGTCGTCAGTTTTACCACCACCATCACCCTTCTTGAACCATTTGAATGGTTTGGGCATTAAAGCATAGATGTCAGCTGCGAGCTGCATGTTCTCTAGAATGAGGTTTTCATCGTCCTTGTTGTACTTGAACTTCTCCAAAATGTCGCGTTTCGACAGCTGAGAGGTGGTCCAGTTCTCGGTAGTGCCCAACGTGTACTGAACCTTGGCGCCCGTCTCATTGAGCAGCATGCACAATCTCACTAAAATAGTGAGAGGATGCACGTATGAGTTTAATGTTAGGCTGACAAGACTATTATGGGGACACCACTTGGAAGAAATATCCTTGCGAACGCAGATGGCATACTCGAAAGACGTGCCGTCACACTACAAGAAGGGTAAGATTCACTAACAGGGGGAAAGGGAGATAATGCATACCAAATCTGGATGATGCGTGCGAAGAAGCGATAGCCAATCGACTGCGGGGTCGTCCGGTTTCAGCTGTCTCACGAACGAGAGATAATCATTTCGTATTTTGTCGATGACGAGTCGGTGCTTGATATATAGCAGCATAGTCATTTGATCCAGTCGAAAATGCACATCGTTTCGTACTGCAAAACATGAGCTGAGATAATATCTTCAGGGAAATGGAAGGATGCACAGTAGAGGTAATTGATTCTAGAGTTCGGACTAATCCATCCTCGCAGCGCGAAGTATGTAGCCAATCTGGCTTCCATGGAGTAGCGTTTCTCTATGGCATGCGCGGCTTGACAAGGGTACTCGAGCTGAGTTACGTCGCACTTTGCCACACCTCGCTCTGAATTTGCACTAAATTCCGATCTCCCAGACGCAATGCATGGGCTGATGAGATATAACGGCTGGGCCAATGTCGATTGTTCGTTGACTGAGAAATCGTCGTCATCATTGTCGATCACGACCTTGCCATGTGTGTGAAATCGTCTGGCCTTGTCGTTCACGCCGTTCATGGCCCAATCAGGCTTGGAAACACCTGGTATGTCTGGTGCTGCAACGGTGAATTGGGGAACAATCGCCCAGAGACGAGCCTTCCGTGATGTTCTCGGGGTGTCTGAGATGACTTTCCAGGTACTGGGCGGTGCTTTTGTTGAAAAAAACGGATTATTCACTTTTGAGAATTGAGTCGGTGTTGACGGAGATGGGGGTGTTCTAGACGTTGTTCTGGACGGTGTTGGGGATGGTGAACGTTTGCGAACTTTGGTAAGGAATTTTTTGAAATATTTTTTGGCGTTTTTCGTGGTATTCTTGAGAGGGGAACCGCTCGATGTTGCAGATGAAACCATATCGACAAACAAATTCAAAGGCAAGGTCGATTCAAAGCAAACTACATAACAAATCACTCTCCCACGGGCAGGCAACGGTCTATTGAACCAGCGCCCAAAATTTAGGATAAGATTTCATTATCCTGATCCATCATCCCAACTTGCCACCACTTGTTCAATGCCAGTTCCTCCGAAGCCACGGAAAATGAGCGCACGACAGAATTCACTTGAGAGGGGCGCCAGCTGAATGAAAGGTCTCTGCAATGAAGAGGGCTGCGAGTGGAACGCTCAGTGCAGTATTCAATCTTGAGCTGGTTTCACTGGGTGGTGATTCGGGGTTTATCCCCAACGATCATAATAAAATAAGATGGACAGGGAACACGAGTCGCTGAATTACTTCTGCTTCGGCTACCTCCCTGCTACAAAATACCTCAATGTTCATCAATACTAGTCCTCGCTCTTCTGATCTTCTACGTCGACAGATAGCTCGCTCTCAATGTGAACGTAAACCCTGTCCCCGTCCTCGTTCAAATCCGTATGGCCCATCACTGGGAATCTTCTTTCCTCCTCCCTGTCCTCTCTGCCCTCCCGAAAAATCGAAGCACAACTATCCCAATTATTCTAGACTGACATTCTGCAACATCGGGTCGGATTTTTCGAATTATCTCATTCGGGGGAGATTTTGATGTTCATAGGGGTGTTTACTCGGGTTTCGCGATCACAACGAGAGAAGATGTAAGGCGATCGCCGCTCTCAGAAGTTGCTATGTTTCTAGTATACCTGGGCTCTCCGGCTCGTACAGTCGACCTCCTGTACAGACAGGTATGTACCGTACGTACTATCATCTTTTCCTCTTCCCTAATTCAATCTTTCCGGTGGTCTAGCTGGAAGATGTCAATTACGATGATTATGACAACGACAAGATCTATGATTGTACAATTGGAGTTGTAGGAGGGATAACATAACGATGATGAACACCCTGGATGTGTGCTCGTTGTCCGTCCTAGTGAGAACCTGGAGAGCAAGGCGTTGCTGCTAGAACGTGGAGAGGCTCGGCTCGACTTATCTGACTGTTCACTTCTAGTAATTGATGTATCTTGCCCGGACAATTCTACTGATACTGGCCATATCCGACCGTCCGACGCCTCCACGATCCACATAGCTCAGTCGTATCGACGGGATTCCATTTTTGAATCGCTTCTGTCCGTCTCAAAGAGGAATACCCGATTGCAAACCCCGCAGTACTAGTGCGCTCACTAGTCTCTAGAGTCCTTTCATTCAAAGTCGGACTAATGCCGCTAATTTCTGGCGTCTAAAAATCTTTCAGGTCGACCATTTCGAAACCTTGAATTTCTGATCAACGACAGAGATTTGGTTCGATGCAAGGGTATCACGCTAACAAACCGAACGGGCAATCTTCTAAGAAACCTCGACAGGATGTGAAGGTAGGAGGCCAGAGTCTTCTTGGACATTGATCTGCCTTGTCACCACTCGCGCAGATACTAGCTGAGATAGATAGTCAAACACAAGGGTATCTCACTAAGCATGCTAACCAATGAAAGTAGCCCTGTTTGGATTATTCAGATTTTCAAGTTTGATTGTTCGTAAATTCCCATGAGCTGAGCTCATGGGTTACTAATACTCATTGCAACTTGCTTTCTACCAGATTAGTACTACCATGGCCGCAAATACTATCGTGTTCTATGATATACCCTTTGCGGAGTCTAATATCTGCTGGTCTCCTAATACGTGGAAAACACGGTACGTGTATAATAGAATTCTTCTCGACGGCCAGATATAATGACATCATTTTACCAGCTATTCTCTCAACTACAAAGGCCTGTCTTATCGAACAGAATGGATTGAATACCCCGACATTGAAGCTCTCTGTATTAAAATCGGCGCAGCCCCCACCGATGTTAAAGCTGACGGTATCACCCCAGACTACACCCTCCCGGTAATCTACGACCCGTCCACCAATAAAACCATCTCTGATTCATTTGCCATCGCCCTATACCTGGACACTGCATACCCTGATACCCCGAAACTGTTCCCCCCGGGAACGCAGGCATTACAAGAAGCTTTTGTGCAGTATGTAAATTTAAGGTGCATTCCCCGTCTGGCTCAATTCCTAAGGCCGGCTGTGTTTTGGAAACTTCCGGAAGGGAGGAGTCAGGAGTATTTTCGGAGGACGAGAGAGACATCGTATAATGTGACGATAGAGGAGTGGACTCCAAGGGGGGATGAGAGGGTGAAGGAGTGGAAAAGGGTCGAGAGGACGCTGGGAGTGTTAGCTGGGCATTATCGGGTGGCGAAAGAAGAGTTTGGATTTCTGGATGCATTTCTATCCGGAGTTAAACCGACATTTGGGGATTTTGCATTGGCGGGGATTCTGAAGTGGTGTAAGGAAGGGTTCGGGGAGGAAAGTGATGAATGGAGCGATATCTCAAGTTGGCAGGATGGGAAGTGGGCGAGATTCATAAATAGCTTAGAAAAATATGCAGCAGTTGCTTGAACTGGTAAAATATCCGAGTCACTGTTATGTACGACACGCGACACGCGAAAGAGGAAATCTGTAGAATAAACAAATAAGACGTGGTAATTATTCTTGTCCGAGAGGCTAGCTTGCTCTGATCACTATCTCAATCTTGGACAAGGAAACAACCTACAGAAACCGATCTTTCCGTCCGTCTTTCACACCTTTTTGGCCTAGTTTCGAGGCAACGTTCATCGTCGCAGCACTATACGAAGGAAATATGACATGCTGGGGATCGCTCTGGGTTGAAGTTGATATTGTGCTCAAACCGGGGGGACCCCAAGTACGTCCAATAAATCCGTTAGATAGTCGAACATGATGGAACGGAAAAAGCAGAACCGATGAATACATATGATGATATGATCACGAAAATGATAAAAAACGATCCTGCTTTGATTATGCATGTATTCCAACTGATCATCGATAATTTATTCTGAGTCATAATAACTTGCTCTCTTTTCTTCCACCATGACAGAGAACATTATCGTGTTTTATGACATACCCTTAGCGGAGCCCAACATTTGTTGGTCGCCAAATACGTGGAAGACACGGTGCGTGCAAGATTTTTCTTCACAAGGACCATGTGATAATATGACATGATGCCAGATACTCCCTTAACTTCAAAGGTCTTGCTTATAGAACAGAATGGATTGAATACCCCGACATCGAAGCCCTCTGTATCAAGATCGGCGCAGCCCCGACGGACGTTAAACCTGACGGTACTAGTCCACATCAGGAAAACCGTCCTCTGTTAATATACTGTTTATTATTGAAAATTATTGAAAATTATTGCTAATTATCAGGATCATTAATTAGTGATAATTAGCAAATATTGCCCGGTCCCCTTTGCGCATTAATGAATATTTACAACAACTTAATGACTTTTAACAGTAGCCTAATGTTAGTTTAACAATATCTTATGGGTAATTTGTGACTATTTTCCACTCATGAATCACCTCATCCTCCGACATTGCTCAGTACAGAGTTACACACACAACGCTTGCAAGGAGAGGACATTTATTGCATGAACAGTACAAACAGCATTACAACATACTGTATACACTAACTATTAAACATATACTCCAGTCTGCTCTCCTCGTTACCTTGCCATGATGTACACAATACAATTACTCAACCTCCACTGCAGCCCTGAAGAACAGGGATATTTAAGTAAAAATTAAGTAGTGGAGAAACTATGCCCGGTACCGATAGAATGGCTTTTGAGTCACAACTTGCATGTAGGATAATTATAGTAATTGTTTCAGAGAGGTCTGGAAAAAAGAAAAACAATCATAAGAGAAAGAAACTGTGGAAGGCAAATAAGCACTCACCAATGCCAAAGACTTCGCCTGGAAATGGTTTGCATGCTCATCAAACCAGATTGCAGCAGACATGGCAACGAGCGACGGAATGGTCAAACTTAAAGAAAAAGAGTCTGGCAGGGGCCACACACAGGTGGAAAAGGAAAGAACAAAAAGAGGGGACAGAGAAGGGAATTGAAAGAGAGGCAATGGCGGACGACAAATGGCGCCACGTCGCAAAATATTGGGGGAAGTTTGAACTCCGCTTCAATAGTTTGTCAGCGTGCTCGGATAGCACACTCAGTGTTCCGGCAAAAGCTCGGCTATGGACTTGTCAAATTTTTTCGACAATTGAACTCCCTTGAAGTGCATGTACAGTGCAATGAACATTGACTATTGGGCCTCATTAACTGGGTGCAGTGTATACATGCACTCAAACACCTCAAATCTAACCTTGTATCAATCAGAAGCACTGGCTCTGTGATAGCTCAAAGTGAGCTCGATAACCTTTCACCGATATTTTTAAGGCTGAAGAAAATTCTCGGTAATATGTGATCATTCTTCTCCTGTCCTTGCTAAAAAGTGCTAATAACTGATAATTATCAGAATTAACAGATATTTTTGAGATATCAACGGGAAACTTCAAATTAGTGACAAAATTTCAATAATATTCATTTATTAACCGAGAGCCGTTTTCCTGATGCAGAATATACCCTCCCCGTAATCTACGACCCATCCACAAACAAAGCCATATCGGATTCATTCAACATCGCTCAATATCTCGACACCACATACCCTGATACCCCACAACTTATTCCCCCAGGAACCCGAGCATTACAGTCCGGTTTTACTCAATACGTGAACTTGAGGGTTAAATCTATTCTAGGACAGTTCGTTCGTCCGGTTGTATTTCAGAGACTTCCGTTTGGAAAAAGTCAGGAATATTTCCGGCGCACTAGGGAGGCTTTGTATAATGTAAAAATTGAAGAGTGGGCTCCTCAGGGAGAGGATCGTGCGCGAGAGTGGAAGAGACTTCGGAGGGCGTTGATATCGTTAGACGGACATTACAGGGAAGCGAAAGAAGAAACTGGTGGTGATTTCTTATGCGGGGTCGATCCATCTTTCGTGGATTTTGCTTTAGCAGGTATTCTTCAGTGGAGCAAACACATCCTTGGAGCAGAGAGTGAAGAGTGGAATGATATCTTGAGCTGGCAGGAAGGGAATTGGGCGAATTTTATGAGTAGATTGGAAGGATATGCCGTGGTTGCTTGAACCGCTGTAACAGTATAATCCAGACTCGAATATACTGATTTAGTCACTTCAGGGTTTTCTCCAGAACCACTGGATTGTGTATGCATCATCCATTGACCAAACAGCTCTGGCCAATCCGATGGGGAGAAAATAGCAGCAGTACTAACGATATTGAGCGATTTGTAATATAGCAGACTCGATGCACATGCGAGCGCAAAGATGAATGGGTTCAAAAGGCGCATGAGTCCTTTGACGGCAATATTACTTTGACAGTATCGCTGATAATTTTGCAAGGCTAGATGGGAAGCGTCACCGATAAATATTCATGGAATAGTAGGAAGGAGCTGAGATAGAATAAAGGAAGTCCGAGAATAAGACGAGGACGGACGAGGTGGGAAGATAGCCTTTGGACGGTGAGCCCACTCGATGCCTCTAGGTGATAGGAGCTTCAGAGCCCTCATAACCGGTGTTCCTGATACATATGTCCTTCTCCTGCTCAACGATCTGCAGCTCCACATGGGGATCTGTAAGGACAAGAAAGTTTAGTTCCTGGAAACGCTGTTGGCAGCATAATACCGCGGAAAACCGTAGTTGAATCGATACAGGATTCCCGGTGCTGGTTTGGGAGATTGTGAGATACGAGATGGTGACCGGTGTAACAAAGATACTGATTCGAATATTCTGGGATTCCAGAGGTTACGCCCAGGGTGAAAACGAAAAGAAGAGGGTGAGCGGAAGTCCGAAAGGGGGCGTCGGCACAAGTTGGGGATTCATGGTGCGAAAAGGGCGAGAAAAAGTTCATGTCGGGGTCAGATGGCCAGTCAACGGGAAAGCAGTAAGAAAATATCGCTTCGGATTACAGTATAAACTGCACTCGGCAGCATATCGCTGGACGAAGGGGAACAACCAGCTAGAATTCGCAAGTGAATACATCAACACAACCAAGTAGATTAAACAGTCGAACGTTTGAAGCAAGTAAAAGTCTAGAAAGTGATAGTATCGTTGTGGGTATCTGTAAGACGGTAAGGTAAATACAAGAAAGATTGCTTTTAAGAAATCATCATGCGTGCAAAATAAAGAAAAACTAAGGGAAGAAATAAACGAGGAAAGAGAGGGAAAGATGAATGATACCTGCTATGCATTGTGAGAAAACTGTGGTGGAAATCGAGTTTGAGAGTGGGAAGTAGGTTGAGAGATATAAAAGTAGGAGAGAAAAGACAAAGAGAGGAATAGAAGAAGATCGCACCGAACGACACATTATCTTCTTCCTGAAAGTAGTAGTGATTTCCATATATGAGTAAATAGTAGCATATGTAATAATCCAAACGAAAAGAGAAATTTAAAAGCAGTTTGTTTCGACTAAAGGGCAGAGTAAAGTTGTTAAACTGTTGTGGATCGAGTCGAAAATAAAAGTGAACTTACGACTAAGATTCCACAGAACACAGCCAACTGGAGCGAAAACGAACACAATACAACGGGAGAAAGGAGATAGGTCACGAACGTGTATATATGTACCTATCTCATTCTCATCGTCTCCTTTGCAACTCTTACACTTTACACCGAGCTTGGACCCCCAACCTTGACTTCAATCAATGATTTACTCTTCATCTTCCTCCTCCTCTTCTTCTAACACATTATGCAATGGCGCCCCATGAATATATCTCCCCGGACTTGCTCTCCCAGCATCCACGGCATCATCTCCAATCCCCAATCCTACCTTGGACGGAGGTACCAGTTCATCCATCCCGTTCACGTCGCCGTCATCCGAATCGTCGTCTTTGTCATGGAGTTGACTGTTTATTCCTACTATGGACGTAGACGTTGAAGGTTTGGTTAGAGGCTTGGCAGCGGGTACTGGGGCAGCAGGGGAAGTGGGTAGAGAGGGTAGGGAGGAAGTCAGTGCCGGTACAAATGATGCTGAGGGCATTGTCAATGAAGCTATTATAGATCAAATATCATTAAGTCAATGCAAGTCTCAATGACGGACGAACAAACCTGATTTATGAACAGTCGGTAACCCAGCAGCAGCTTTGACAGGAATCTTTGATGGAGTCGTTGCTGCTCCTGAAGGCAAAGCCGGTAACGACGAAGAAGTGGTTAAACTCTTCTTCTCCTTCTCTCTGTACATTTCAATTAACGCGGCCGTCTTTCCGGGCGTGCCTGACGTAGAGCCAAATGTGGATGTGAGGACAGATGGTTTCGCTGGGGGAGTTGGGGAGAGGGCCACAATAGGAGCGATTGATGTGAGAGCGGAGAGGTTGGAAACGGGCACTGGCGAAGGATTAGATGAAGCGCTGGAAGGGGCAGGCGAGTGAGGGAGAGAAGACGATCGAGGTGGTGAAGTTGCTGGCAAAGAAGAAAATGTAGCGGAAGTAGAGAATGATCCGCTCTTTTGATCGGGCGGTAAGCTCGGTAACGGTCGTGCCTTCTCAGTTTTCGCAGCGTAAAGTTTATCCAAGTCCCTCGGAGCGTCGTCGTGTTCGTCGTCAGATCCATGGGCATATCTAGCACGTGGATCATCCTCATCATCTTCATCATCCTCATCGACCTCATCGACCTCAACTGCCTCAATATCATCAGCATCAACATCATCATCGATGTCGCTATGCCCATTCAAACTACCAGAAGCAAACATATCCGCATCCCGAGACGACATCGCTTCTGGCTGACGCACATTGAGCAGGTCATCATCTGTGGTGATTTGTCTGAGCATCTCTTGTGACGCCCGCTTCCTTTCAGGATGGAGATCGAAGTATCCCAATCGGCGGTTAGGGACAGACGATGTGAGGGGTTTGAATTCAGGATCTTCCTCTGCGTCTGCGTCAGGGAAATTGTAGGATTCAGAGGTGTATGAGGCGTCGAGGTCGCCGCCGGAGGTGAAGGATTGTTTGGAAGACTGGGTATATGATTGATCATCGTGATGACCTTGACCTCCATGACCATGACCAATCCTAAGACCATTCGCATGACCAGTTTCTTTATCCTTCCCAAACCTCGGGACCATCTGTACCTCGACATCATCTGAGTCTGAGTTCACTTTGACAGCAGATGTTGCGGAGTTATCTACTCCCTCGAAGATACTCTCGTCGTCGTCTATACCAGGATACGGCTGTCCATCTCTAACGGCACTTAACACCCTAGCTACTTCTTGCGAAGCTTCCTCCGGGCCTCCATTTCGTTTACTTGCTTCGACTGACACTCGATGAGCGCCATAGCCTGGAACGACGATATCTACCCATGCTTCGTCGTCGTCAAAATCTCCTCCCTTAGGACCACCACCTAATCCAAGACTGAATCTCTTCCCTCTACGTTCAGAGCGTAGCCTGTCTCGTTCAGCAAGCCTTGCAGCGCGTCGACGCCGAGCAGCTTCTTCGACAAAACCGTCTCCCCTAGTTCCATCCAGCTCGAGTACAACCCCTTCTCCATGAGTATCACCTCTTCCATCTAACTCTCCGTCTAATCCTCCTCTTCGACCGCCTTCTCCGAATCTATCCCCGTCAACATCGATATCGACATCGCTCTCCCCACCCGACCCAAGCCCAGTCAACCTTGTCTCAAACTCAACTGTATGGTATTCTGCAGGGACAAGATTCTGCCTCGACTGCCTCCGGCTGGTTTTTGGTTTGGGACCTTTGGGTTTCAAAGCCGGTTTCGACGTACCAGAAGAGGGTTTCGGAGATAATGCAGCGGACGGAGGGCCTAGACGGAAGATATTTTTGATAGGCGTTGAGGTTATAGGAGAGGGTTCCTCATTTTGTGGTCGAGGTGCAGATAACGTGGGCATCGACGGCTCCAGCTGCGAGGGAAGAGACTGCGGAAGAGGTTGCGAAATTGGGGGCGGCGGCAGTGGTGGTAAAGGATGTCCAGACCCCGTAGCTGAAGAGAACCCTGCCTCATGTGTTGTTGTATTATGTCGACGAAGCTCATCTCCGAGATCCTCAACATCGGTATATCCCTCCCCTCCCTCTTCACTCCCGAGCCCACCCTCGGGCGAAAGCGTATGCAAAGCCCCGTTTAATGTGATGACCTTGGTCCCACGATTCCCATCTGCCAACATTGCATCGAATTCTTCAAATTTATCTTTTGGTGGGCGGGGAATGGCTGGGCCTGTGGGGGTGGAGGGGGAACCATCTGGAGTTTGAACTTGTTTGCCTGAACGAGAAGGATGAGAAAGGCTTGTAGAGTGAAGATAAGGTGTAGGCGTAGGCGTCGAATCGTTTCGTGAATCTTGAGGTGTTGGAGTAGATGAAGTAAGAGTACGTGTACTTCCACTGAAGAACGATACAGGACCTGCTTTCTCCTTCTCCGTCTTGACCTTGTCCTTCTTATCCTTCTTATCTTTTTTATCCTTCTTAGTCTTTGCCTCCTTACCCTTCTTCTCTTTTTTTCCTCTTCCGGAATCGCTCATCAACCCCAAGCCCAGGGTCGAAGTCGACGCACCGGGCGAGAAGAGTGATCCCAATCTGGTCCTAGCTATCGAGCCTTGGGAATACGGCCCCGGAGATAAGGAAGATGAAGTCGAAAGGGAAGTCGAGCTCGAAAGGTTGAGCACATTGAATGGATAGTAAGCATAGACAGGATTAAGGATGAATGAGGGATGTATTCCTACGAGCTGATGGCCGAGCTGGGCACGGTATTCGCGTGGGACATATTCTTCAAAAAGGAAGAGAGAAGTAGATGTTCGAGGGTCTTTATCGTTTGATGAAGGAGACGAATGTGAATGGGAGGAGGGTAAGGATTTGAATTCGACCTATATCGTTTGAGAGGAAGAGTATCGGTAAGAATGTGACAATTATCGGTCGTGATGAACATGAAAGGAAATGAAAAGTTTCGTAAAAGGAATGACAGGTGGATACGGGAGAGATATGCTCGCAAGCCTTGCAAACACCCGGAGAAAAACTTACCATAGCCCAATTACACTCTTTGAACAGTTCGTTCCTCCACTTGGCCTTATCCGCACGATCTCCGCCATCCTTTGCCTCGTCGTCTCGGCTAACAGATCTACTGAGAGACATAGTTGTTGTAGCTTTGGTGTTTGAGTCAGGATTGGCACTGGGAAAGGAGTGAGTAAGGGAAAAAACCCAGAGAGAGAGGAACACGGAAAAAGGGATGCGCGGAGTGCGAAAGGAGACAACGTCGGGGAACAAAGGGAAAGAAACGAGGGGAAGTAGGGCAAAGGGAAGAAAAGACTTACTGCGCCATCGAAGACGAATTCCACAGCCCTGTAACCAGATCACCCAACAAGCCTAAGCCTTGTTGAGAAATAGACCCCAGACCTAACTCGCCAAACCCCCAACTAACCAGATCCGTCCAAACATCCACGAACGCAGCTTCGATGAGCGTCTCAGATCCTGGGAGGAGGAGAGGGGTGGAGTCATAGGTGAATGGTGGGAGGGGCTTTTTTGTGATCGTGCGTTTCATTGTGAAAGAGGTGAAAAAATGAGGTGAAATAGGGAGTGATGCAGGAAGAGAGCACAAAGAAAAGATGACAAAGGGTCACAGGGAAGAGGGAGGAGAAAGGGCAAAGGGTGAGAGAAGAGGCAGAAAAGAGCAAGCCGTCAACTTTGAGAAGGTAAAAAAAAGAAAATGTAAGCATACCTTTTCCTTCTTTTTCAACCTCTTCCCCAAACTGACACCAGTAATGGTTCTCTCTCTTTCCCCTCTCACTTCCTTCCCTTCCTTCCCGTCTTTATCTCTATCTTTACCTGACCCGATAATCCCGAATTCACTCAGGTTGAATTGCAAGGCAGCATCAAGGCCCGTATCCAATGCGAATTCACCTACATCGGTTAATCTTCCATCTGCCCCAACGTAGCTCTTATCTGGATCATCTCCTGCACCGTAACCATACCCATTGTTATTCAAATGCGAGGAGTTAGTCGACGACGAAAGTGCCACCGGACTCACACCCCCACTCCTCCTTTGTTCACTCAAATCAAACCCACCATTCACGAAATCCCCCCAATCGACAGAATCTCGGATTCCTCTTTTAGCTGTCCGGGCTTTTCGTGCACTTTCAGTGAGATCAAATTTGAGTGCACTCTCGATATCTCTGCTGCCTCGCGCGGATGAACTAGGAGGCGAAAGGAAACCGGATGTCTCGAATTGACCCCAATGAGCATCTGATAGGGTTTTGAATCGGGATGACTGGGAAGAATGATGGGAGGTAGAAGGCGATGTAGGAGACGATGATGTAGGAGGACTGGAGCCCTGGAAGGAATACGTAGAAGTTGATGAGGTAGACCTCGTCAAAGGACTTGATGTCGAAGCATAGGAATACGAGGAATAGGAAGAGTAGGATGAAGAGGATGACGAGAGAGACGATAACGGAGGAGCATACGGGGAAGACCCAGGCTCGACTCCCGGAGGGATATTCATCTTCTTTCGATAATTGTCAGAATACCTCACAGGCATTTTCCCTCCTTTTCCTTTGTCCCTACCACCACCATTACTAATAATGTTACCCTGTGGTACCTGTACAGGCGGGGACACCCTCCCCCATTCCTTATTCCCCGGCAAACTATTGCTAGATAACCCGCCTCCTCCTACTGCAGCATAGGTCGGCAAACCCCATCTCGCAGAGGATCGAACAAGATCTCTGTCGTATACAGGGACCGTACGTCGAACAGCAAGTAAACGTATAGTCTGTGCTCCCTTTCTCGGTCCAAGACTATGCTGTTCTCGATCTCTGAATCCACCGCTTCCCAACAGGTCGGCGATCGCGAGCACTCGGGCATGGCCGGAGAGTGTTCGCGGGTAATCCTTAATCCACTCCTTCAACCTTCCTGGGATACCTCCAGCACCTGATCCACCTCCACCTAAGGAGGTAGGAGTATCTTGCCATCGGATGAAGGAAAGGAGACAGTGCTCGGTGGCGTGGACGGAGCGGAGGTAAGCGGTGTAGGTTGACTCAAAAGACGTTGGGTCAGGAGTGGTCGAAGTGGAAGAAGAGGGGATAGCTGAAGGCGGGGGGACAGTAGGAGATGCGGAAGAGGGAGACAGTGAGATGAGGTCGCCAGGCAGCGCCCCCAACCCAAACAACAACGGTCCAAAAAGCGGACTTAACCCTGGAGGCGTAGCTCCTGATTTTGCTGAGTGTGCTACCAGCTTCGCTAATAACGCAAACAACGTTATTAACGTCTCCTTCAACGCCGTTGGTATCACCTCCTTATACTCATCTCTCCAAAGAGTCTCTTCTGCGCCAAACTCATCTACTACTTTGACAGGGACGGAAATCCGCGTCCGGGTATCAAGTAGGCCGGAGAAATGTGTTAGTGGATAAGAGAGGAGGTGTTCTTGCTTTGCCCAGTTGAGGTATGCAAGATAGGGAATCAGGCCACGGGTAAAAGTCCGATTATGAGGAGTCGCGGGATTCTGAGGCGTAGTAGTTGAGTGTGGTAGTGAAGAAGATTCTATCCGAACGACTCGAGCTAGTCCCCAGCGTAAGAGCATCCCGAGCTCGTGAGGACCAGCGAATCGTGCTTCGTCGTCGAAACCCGCTATATGGTCTCCGCTCTTCCTTAGATTCGTGTTTCTGCCGCTGTTGGAGGTTAAATACTCCACATACTTGTCTATCAACCTCTTCACTCGCCCCGCATCTAGATCGATGGCAACTGGTACTCCTCCGCCGCCTTGCGAAACGGTACTACCGCCATTGCTAAACACGAACGGCGTTTCGACGTCAAGGTGCTCTGATATCAGCTGCACCAGCTCACGGAGGTCGGGTAGACCGAGTACAAGGGTTGGGTAAGAGGAGAGATAGCCATAGGCATTGCCGGTTGCTCCGTGTGAGCTTGGTGAGTCAGAGGATTGAGAAGGCAGCACGGTACCAACGAATGAACCACTTTCATCTGTTGGCAACGAATTCAAGAGCGTCAAAAGGGTATGTGTAGTGTAAGGAGGGTACGGGGAAAAGTCGGTGTCGGAAGGAGAGGAATGCGAGTTGGATCGGGAGAAAAGGAATGACATCGGAGATTGACGATTGGCCAACGTATTGAGGGTATCAAATAAGGTGTAAGTGGAGGAATTATGCAGGGTGTTGAGAATATTTCGGCCACCGACAGTACTGAGGGTCTTGAAAGTATCTGAGGGTTTGGGAGAAAGACTGATATTTGGCATCACAACGATTCGTAGGAGAAAAGGCGGTGTCGGTGAAATTTTATGAGTACACGAACATAAATTGATTAGACAGGATGAACGTACCTTGTCAGGCCGAAGCCAATATCCGTTTTATCCACGTATGTGAGATCTTATGAATGAACCTCTTCTTGCCTGGTGCCTCCTTTCTCGTTCTGTCGTAATTCTTCGTGGGGACTCTGTTTTCTGTGACCGCCGCGCGCGCACGTGTACCAAGAAACGCCAAACGCCACTGGTACTTGTCCTTGTCCGAATAGTGGGGCGTCGGATAGTGTGATAGTTCTGTCGAGGGCATAAGTAACCTCCTTTCCTTCAAACAGCTTGATGATGGAAACGTACGAGGAAGGTGACTCCGAATCCTGAGCGTTTATGAGAGGTATGAGATATGGCAAAGTAAGGCAGGATGATTTGAATGTTGTGAGTACGTCGTGTATGCCGATTTCGAAGGTGGGGTTGCGAAAATGAGCGTGCGGCGTTTAGTTTAAACCTATGGTGTGAACAAACTTACTTGATGGATCAATTAGTAACCATGTATTGAAAACGAAGCAGAGAATGGAAGGTGGCTGTAAGAAACCGCCAGCGTAAAATGAAAACAATGGAAGGACCGAGGGAAGGGAAGAAAGTGAACGCTGAAAGATGGAACGGACAAGACAAAACCAGTGGGGATTGGACCAAAGCCGAATCTGGGAAATTTAGAAATCACCAATGTTTATGTGATATGAATTCTTCCTAGCATTACAATACTGAGGACACTTCAAACTCACGTCCCAAAATTCGCCGTCCCCGAATATATCGTAGAAAGTAGTTCTTCAGGTCCAAACGCCTCAGGAGGTCGTCAATGGTTTCGATTGGAAGACTCTTATGTATCGAGGTCACGAGTGATGCCGATGAGTAGCGACAGAGAGAAGAAAACAAGGACACGAGAATTCACAGTGCTATTATGCAGAGCGTATCCGCAACCGTTTTTCCCTCAAAGTCATCACGTGGAAAAGATTTCGGCAACGACCGAGCCCGAAAAAACAAGGTCACAAACTACGACGACGACAAGTCAACGCCTGGATAAAAGCAAAAGCAAAACTTGCCTTGCGTCTCTCCATAATCCACGCTCGGACCTTTTATTCACGTCAAATTAGGAAACAATGCCTTTAGGACCTCCATCTTCCGCAATCAATATCCAACCGCCTGCTCCTAAGTTCTTCACTTTCGCAAAATGTTCCGTACGTTGGGTTTTCTATCAGGAAAGATCACAGATTTATTTGCCATTATTCATCCATCCATCTATCGCCATTCATCGCGCTTCCTCGTATCTTCCACACCTCCAACTATCAATCGGGTAGTCGAATGCCAACAAGCATGAGCATCTACCCCGTTCTTTTCTCCATCCTCGACCACTACCTCCGACGCAAAGATGACCAAGACCGGGTTATCGGGACTCTCTTCGGCACGCGCACGGAAACGCACGTCGCGATCCGGACTTCGTTCGCTGTATTCCACAGCGAGACGAGCAAGCAGGTTGTGGTGAATATGAATTATCATCGATTAATGTATGAATTTGCATAAGAAGGTTGATTCGCAGGAAGTTATTGTTGGATGGTGTGTATCTTTTTCGTTAAATATCTGGACGCTTCTGAATACATGTTCCAATCATTCGACAGGGTCTCATCTCACCAAATATCCTGCGTTGATACAAAATTTTTACTCGCAAGAGACCGCGCTGTATCAAGCTGTACATATTTCGTTGGATTCTGGTGTTGAGCTAGGACAGCCTGCTGATGTTACAGGCTATATCAGGTGTGTATTCACTACTACATTCTCTGCGATTCCGTCACTTCCCTCATTCCGCATCGTTTTCTGACGACAGCTCAATCTTCACCAAAGTCAAGAACCCAAGAACTTACCCTTATTATACAGTTCCCCAGTGGGCATCTTTACAAAACCCGAAAATTGCGTGTTTGTTCCCATCCCCGCCGAACTTAGATTCGACTTGGACCGAAGCGGAGGTATGTTCGCTCTACGTGAACTCTATTTCCCTACCAGATCTGACCTCCTCGCAGTCGACCTCCTAACATTAATCACTCTCTCTTCCCTCCCTTCCACCTCACCCTCCTCCACCTTATCCTCCCCAACAACCTCCCTTGAAACCCTCTCCTCCTCCATTGAGAATATTATCTCTATGATCGACCGCGTGCTTACCTACGTCCGCGCCGTGCTCGCCGGCGAAGCTCGAGGTAATGCAGCAATTGGGAGGTATCTCATGGATACCTTAGGTGCGAGTACAGAGGGCGATACAGGCGTCGGTGGGAGTGCTGTGGAGATGGGTGGGTTCAGTGGAAGGTTACAGGATACATTGATGGTATCGTATTTTGGTTAGGGCTCAGGCAGAGGTGTCGTTGAGGTTGGCGTTGGTCAGTGGCGCGTAGCGGTAGAGTTGCGTATATTCATCTCACCACATATATTCTTGTATTCAATACGGCATAGTATAGGCTTCATTCATTGGATATCTCTTTTTTTTTTTTTTTTTGAGCGTTGTTGCTTTCTGGCGAACTTTACAATGTCGTTCCCATCCGGCCGCTGGTTCTGCAGGGTATACACCGAGCTTGTAACTGTCTCCCCGAGGAAATGCTTTCCGCACTGGCGTCTGTAGTGCATTGTGTGAGACTCCGTGTGACGGCTTCTTTCTCCTCTTCTGGGTTAAAACTAAAACTGAGATTCAAAATCGACAAAGAGAACCAGAAGCGACGAGAGAAAAGTCTCGAATACCAGCTAGGAAATGCCGCAGAGGATACCTCAGATATAGCATCTTTTGTGACTATCGACACAAAGTCCCTCAAGAATGTCAGAAAGGACCAGACCATCTTCGAGAGACTGAAGGACTTTCTAACCACCGACACATTGGACTTCTTCAGGCACAGGAACGAAGAGGAAGGAGATGGACGAAGCAGAACAAGAGGCAGAGAAGAAGAGGCAGAAGAAGGTGCGAGAAAGAAACGGACTTCACCAAAGCGGTATCGGACAATGAAGCTTTGCTTGCGAAAGTTAATTCGGCGGGTCACGGTTCTGTCTCTGTTTTCAATCCAAACTTCCTACCTTGCGCGTGTAAACATATGGTTTACTATGGGCATGCATATAGTCACATTCGTGACACATCACACTATATATATAGCATTACCTTCTTAGATAGCTCTCTCTCGACTTCCATCTATAGAGTACTCTCCTGTATCCATTATAGCTCTCATCTCTCCTCGCTCTCTCAATCATAGCCGATTCCTAGTATTTGGTTCTCTGTGAGTCCCGTCTAGTGTTACCTGCGAACGCAGGTTTCCACTTTTTTTTTACTACGTTTCAAGCTTGGTTGTTGGGTCGGGAGGTCCATAGACCACCACGCCCAGATATAATTTTCATCTAAACACGTAATTGTGGTTCTCCAAACAGAAAAGAAATCCACCGGAATTCTTACGTCTCGTCATTTCGTCTTCGTCCTTCGTATCTCGTCCCTCGTATCTCGTCCCTCGTATCTCGCATATCGTTCTCGTTTGGCTTGCCATCGTTTTGGTCCTTACCTTTGGTCATTACCTTCATCTCGCCTATCGTTTTTTATCATTCGTTTATCGTATTTCATCTTGAATTTCACCCATAGTCCGCTGGGAAATCAATAATCAAATTCATCTTTTCATCTTCCCACCTTTCGTTGCCTTTGAACATCTCACCCAAGTTCACTGACATGTTACCTAACAGCTTCGTTACACTGGCTGAATTGCGACCTCGCCGTGAAGGTTTACGTAGCGCGGCCAAGACTTCGACTCCGGATCCTTCCCCTGATCCCCCTGCAAATTCAGAACATCCTCGTTCTCCTTGCATTTCAACAAATAATTCTTCCAATCCTCCCATCATCATTCCGCGTACTGTGTCCCCATCTTCATCTGAGGAAGACATCATGACCTCTCGTTTAAATGAATCCGGAAATATCGAGTTGTCCAACAGAAAATATGGACCCCGCGTAAAGCCTACCACTGTACTGTCTCCTGAGGATCTCGATGATCTTTATGAAGATGCTCGCCGTTTCGCTAAAGCTCGTTCCGCGGATACAATCGATAATGTCCGAGAAGTAATTGCGGATGCTTTCTCTGCCTGTGTTCATCGAGATTGGTTCCGTGCCGAAAAATCTGTCCACCTAGCACTTGCCTTGGAGGTAAAGGACGTTAATAACGATTCAGGCCCACCTACCTTTCCCTTCCTCGATGTTCTTCGACGCAAATTTTGTGGTCATGATTGCGCTCAAGTCCATGCTGCTCGACGTGATGATATCCGAATGTCTGTTGGGGGTGTGGGATGTTTCGATGATTATCTCTCTCAGGTAGAAGGCTGTAACAATCGTCTCAAAGGGGTTGGGAACTACCTCACCCCTGCTCAACTGCTTACTATCCTTGCGCGGGGAATTTCTCCTACTCTCACGGCAATTCTTTCCGAACAAGGAATCGTTATTGACGAAACAACTGTATATAAAGAATGGATCTCTGCTTGCCGCGATTTGGAGGTTCGGTTCAAAAGTAGACTGTTGGCTGCAGATCGTACTGGCCGTCGTGGCAACTTCCCTTTCCCGGGCGGCTCTAACAACGCTCCTCCTCATAAACGCACTGCAACCAGCGAGCCTATGGGTCATCCAAACAAACGACCTACTTCTGACGGTCCTGCATCTACTGCATCGGGCCCTTTCTATATGCGTGCATTCAGTAAAATGCCTGAAGCCATGCAAAAGGAACAACGTGAATTGTTATCGCGTATCAATGCCTGTGTTAAGTGTCGTACCGCTTGGGGAACCTGTTAGAATGGGAGCTGGCCAATGCTCCATTGGCCACCCTAAAACTACCTCAAATCTGTTTCGCCAGAATCCTTCAATCCGCTCCTCCGATTCACTCCATGATGGCAGATAATATCTTCCTTACCTTCTCCTCTATAGGATTCCACCCTAACATGCATCATTAGTCATCATCCTTGGCTCTCTATGGCACGGCGAGTCTCGCTGGTCATTTCCCACACTTCCCCAACACTTGCAGCCCAGAATCCTCACATCCGCTGCATATCATATCAAGTGTCAGTGGTCAATATGCACCCCAGAGCACACAGGATCATGCAGGTATCAACCATTTGTCTGTCGCTCCATTGGCAGTCTCACAATCGCCTGGGTTTTCCCACACGTTCAGTGATTCCACTTCACCAACTTGCTGGTCCAGAATCCTCAGGCCCGTTGTTGCCATGAACATCTCTCATAGTCTACATGATGTCCATATACCTAGAGCACATATATGTTCCCTTGGATTTGCCAGAATCCATCCATGTCCCATGCCATTGACTGACCTTTCCTCCATGTACCTGAAATGAGTAATCCTTCTATTCTACTCAGAATCTTTCCAAATAATGCTATTAAAGACTAATGTAATCAGCGAGAATGCTGCTATATAGCCTATATTCAATGCTAGATATTCGTTAATTCAATCAATGCGCGCGCGCTGTTCAATTCAACGGTCCGCGAACATTCAGTCGAAATTATGTGCCGGACCTTTGGGCGCTTATTTGACTGTTTCGCTCGAACCACCGCCAAGTCGACGCGCCACAGTCCCGCAAGGTAAGTCTCTCATATCTCAGTCATTTCTTTGCCTGATAATTAAACTTGAAGGACAATTTGAACTTAAGGTTTCGTAGGAACTTCGCCACCAGTAATATGCCTAAGATGTAAGCAATATAATATGTAAGTTTCATTCCTCAGCAGCTTATTTCCATCTAGCTTTTGCGCTAGACCGGGCTGCCGTTATCCCTTTGTTGGATCCAATGCAGAGAGCCATCGGAAGGAATACCACTCAACGGCGCATAACTTTCGGTATAACGGTGCGTTATAGTGGCTGGTATTTTACCTTCAGCTGTCTAATATTGAATCTGCCAGGTATCAAAGTCAAGGTACTTCGTCGACTAGATGGCAAACTGCCGTGTCCATGTAGCTCGGAGCTACATGCTCGCTACAGCTTCAAGAAGCTGACGGCCCTTACTCGGCTCCCTCAACATCCACCGCCTGAAGAATCGCCCCACGCGGACCACGACATTGCGGGGAGGGATCCTTTAGCAGACTCATCCCTCTCCAATTCGCCACTCTCAGTCGATGGACCCCCTGCGTCTAGGTCTACCTTGGACCCCTCAACACTCAGTAACACTCCAACCTCGCCGCCCTTCACTGCAGACAAAATCGCGATGGAAGAGTTCAACGCGCCTGAAGTAACGATGGAAGAGGTTGTCGAAAAAGGGGCAGATGGTGAATATGAGGTGGGATCCGAAGGGATTAGCGACGGATTCACCTGCCCAAGTGGCACTTATGAGGGTACGTCCTGTATGATATTCAGCCCCGGAAGGTTTTGTTCAACCAAAAACTCCGTAGATGATCAGCGCAGTAACGACGCCTCCGAATCTGAAGATGACCCTCCGGAAATAGTGGATGAAGAGGACGAGACAGAGGCCATGGACGTCGACCTCCCCTTGACCGTTGTCACACCCCCGCAAGCCCACTCTCTCCTTGCGAAATTCAACATCGCCGTCGAGCCCGTATACCATCTCTCGATCTGTACTGAGTGTAACAAACCAGTACCATTCGACCACATACGCCAACACCAATGGATGCGCCATTACAAAGGACTCAACTTGCCCTTTGAACTTCGACTTCCAAAGAAAATCGACATCCTCTCAATGCTAGTGCTCCTCGGAGCTGATCGTCCTGAGGCCGTCCCACACGAAGCAGTACCTCGCATCCAAGGCATCGAAACCATCCAGGGGTATAGGTGTTTGAACGAGGGATGTAGTGGAGCCGTTTTCGGGAAGAGCAGGTCACTGCGGAGACACCATACAGACGTACACCCAGACGTAGAAGTGGGTAACCGTCAGTCAATCCGAGTCTGTTGTCAACCCCTCTCCGTATTTAGAAAGAACCTGCGTTACGTCGAGATTATTCCAGACCCCGAAATCAAATCTTTAGCACTCCTCGCGATTGAGCACTCTGCCTCCACCTGCAACCTACTCGAAACCTCCCAAGTCTTCAACGTAACTTCCAATGAACGCGAAAAAAACGCCGTGTTCGCACAATCCCGCTGGGATGAACTTCTCGAAGGTGTTAACATAACAGACCTTAGGAAAACTATCTCTACCCCTGCTTCACATGCACTCACAACCTTCGAACGTCTCCGTTCAGTGGCTAGAGAATATTATGAGGAGGTTAGTAAAAGTATCAGTCAGATCCCAGTACTCGTTCGCAGGTACATCGCGTCGAGTAACCCAAAGTGTGTTATGAACTTTTCTTATACAAGCTCAGCTACTTATGGCTTCTTAGTGACCTCAAACACAAACCTTTCCGACGCCCTCAGGAGGTCAAAACTGTGATTGAAGATGCATATCGCACAGCACAATTCGTCGCGTTCCTCATTACGACGAATCAATTCCCCGTCGACTCCTTTCCCGTTCCACTTCACCCTTCTTTGGAAGCCCAACTCAAAACTCTCGCAACGGAACTAGCTGACGAAACTTGCTCAATCTCACACCTCAAGAACACCTTCCATGAAACCGTTTGGTACATCCTGTCACGCCCAAGTGATGAATACATCCGACACGAGCTTATGTGCCCATTCACGCGTTTCCTTATTGCTGTTAACCTCAAGCAGTCTGGGAGCTTTGTCCGGGCCTCGGTCATCCCGCCCATCATAGCTCAGCCTCAGTGGTGCTTCAGAGCTACCGCGTTAAAAGAGATCTTGAATCGTTTATCGGATTTTAATGGCGATCCGTTATTGTAAGAGTTCTAACTGACTTCTGAGCTCCTGAGAACTCATGTACGCTTATTTATCAGGACCTACCAGGCCGTCGTTCAAAGATTTATCACAGATGGCCACTCCGTTCTCTTCACCACTCTTCGACAGAATATGAATCTGTTTCGAGCACTGGCCACTCGTCAACAAGGATTAGCAAGATTCAATTGGAACCTAGGGCGAACTGTCATTTCCATCGACGGTTTTCCTATCTCCGTCTCTTCCTTTGTTGAGGGCGTACAACGTACGCTTGTAGAAGTTGAGGCAAATATACAAGTTCTCTTTTGTGGCTGCAAATTCGACGACATACTGCAACACATCGACGAAGCTTCAGTACCTCATAAGACAGGACAGCCCCGGTGGTTCAGAGACCGTCCGACCAAGAATGACTTTCGCTACTCATTCTTCGAGGAAGCAGAGAATGGGTTTGAGATTTTCCGTCCACGCCTACTCACCCACATATCCAAAGACCCCAGGTTTTTTACCACAATAGACAATCAAACCGTGCCCAAGAATGGTAGGTTTACCTGTTAGCTTTACTGTCTTAGGTCCTGATTTCGATTTAGGTTCAATCCTTAAGTGGTTCTCTCAGTTGGACGAAATTGTTCGCCAACTCTACTACCTTATATCTACGACCTGGGGTGGGGGTTCCCGTGGTACCGAAATCGAGAGACTATTATATGCCAACAACGCCCGCAACACTCGAAACGTATTCGTCATAAATGGGCTCCTCACAATTGTCACCGAATATCAGAAAACGCAATCCCTTACTGGGGCCGGGAAACTCATTGCTCGAACCCCTGCCTTTCAAGTGAACCGACTTCTCATTCTTGTTCTCGGAGTTGCCTTTTGGGCTGCTGGCTTTATTGGCTGCTACATTGGGATGGAGAAGTCTCAATGCCAACGATACTTCTACGAAGTTTTCGTTGTTACAGGAAAGCCTATGGATAGCAAGGACTTCTCGAAGGTTCTTGGTTCTTTAAACGGCATCCACCTCGGTATAGATCTCAAACTCCAAGACTTTCGGCAGCTTATGTCTTGTTTACTTATATCCTCCACCTCGACAAGCTTCTTTGACCCGAGCGATGAAGATCCGAACGTTGTAGCTGCCCATGAGTCCTTCGGACATTCGCTGGACATGGGTCGATCTGGCTACGGATTAGATACAACTAGTGCTACTGGACTTGCCGCCGACGCGGTTGCGCACATGCAGCAGGTTTGCTTGAAGTGGCAGGCGTTCATCGGTATGCTACATCCTTTGCTAGACCACAAGACAGATCGGGAACTTTACAAGGTGCGGTGCTCATTTCTCGTACTCATCACACTACTAATTCGCTGTTCTCGCTTGCTAGGGCGTTATGACCAACTCCTACTCCACCAACACCCTCATAACCTCCCAATTCCAAGATCTCCTTACCTCTATCTCAGAACGCTTTGACGGCTTTGAAAATAGGACACGGCATCTCATCCGCAGCGAGATTGAGTATCTGGGTACGCATATCCTTGAACAAATTCGAACAACTCGCGTTACCCCTTCCTACCGAAATCCTCGTCGAGCCGCTGTTCATCCATCAGCTAGGGAAGCTCTCAAAGCTGTTCTTCGACGCAGGTACAACCCTTCCAAGGGATTTACCAGCGCCGAGCAAGCCGAGCTTGTCAATAGCGTTGGGAGTTCATTACATGTATTTGGAATTATTGAGACTGGCGGAGGGAAGAGTCTCGCGTTCCTCGGCGCTCCATTCTTATTTCCTCACCACCTATTCGTTGTTGTCAGCCCTCTTATCGCTCTGACTCAAGATTTGAGACGCAGACTCCTCGAAACAGGTATTAACGGGGGAGTTTGGCAGGAAGATTCTTACGATGAGCACACAGCTCAGCTTGTCCTGGTTTCTGCTCACAAGGCAGGAACCGATGAATTCCATCACTGGCTTACTTGTGATGCAACTCGTGAGCGGCTCAAACGTATTTTCATCGATGAAGCTCACAAGATTGTGACTGATTCTGACTTCCGGGCCTGTTTCAAACGTTTTCCCAATCTCGTTCGTGCCTCTATCCCCATAACTTTCCTATCCGGGTCTTTAATGCCTCGATCTATGCCTGCTATTCTTGAAGCAATGGAGATCTCCGACGTCGCGCTTGTGGACGAAATTCGCCGTTACAGTGGACGGCCGAATCTCAAATACTCCGTGGAGAAGATTGAACAGGAGGGGTACCTGGAGAAGATTAGGGAGCTCCTGAGCAATGAAACGAGAAAGATGACGGAAGGCGACAGGGGTATTCTCTTTCTTTCTACTTTGAAGGAGGCGAGGGATGTCCGAGATTCTTAGGGGTTATTAGAGACTTCTAGGGGACAGACTAGGGGGCAAATTATAGGGGACAGCTAGGGGACAGCTAGGGTACAGCTAGGGTACAGCTGGGGGACAGCTAGGGTACAGCTGGGGGACAGCTAGGGTACAGCTAGGGAGAACTGGGGTATAGCTAGAGAGAACTGGAGGGCAGCTGTGGACTACTATATACACTAATTCCGGTGGATACTTGGTCCGTGAATTGAGCGCCTATTTACTTCTTTTGGAAATTAGGCGCCCATTGCAACTCAGATAAAGTAATTCCCATCAGTGAACGAGGTGAGAATCATACCTTCCACGAAGGTGCCCATTGGTGGCAGTTCCCATGGGCACACATTGCAGCTCAAATCAAGTAATTCCCATCAGTGAACAAGGTGAGAACCATACCTTCCACGAAGGTGCCCATTGGTGGCAATTCCCATGAGCAAACAAGGATGTTCATGAAGGTGATTATCAATACTTGCCTTGAGTGTACTTTGTGCTAATGAAGTCCCAGTGGCTCAGTGGTAGAGCATTTGATAAATATCATAAATTCTGTGCGGAATGTAAATATTGTCAAAAGCACAGGGTTCGAATCCCTGCTGGGACTATACTGATTTTCGTTGAGTACTTTTTAATTCCCATGACTGAACAGGAGTATCATACCGTCGATGAAGGTAATAATTCCCATGAACAGAATGAGTGTCATACCGTCGTCGACGGACGGGATTCATGTACAAATGGCGCATTAGCTCAGAGTCACTGCCTGCCTCCCTTGGCTCCACGATGCCCAACTGTTGTAGTTGTTCAGTTCACATAGAGTCTACATCGACAATTGTTTTCTGACTTCGAACCATACCTTCCACGAAGGTGCCCATTGGTGGCAATTCCCATGAGCAAACAAGGATGTTCATGAAGGTGATTATCAATACTTGCCTTGAGTGAACTTTGTGCTAATCAAGTCCCAGTGGCTCAGTGGTAGAGCATTTGATAAATGTGAACTGGATTCCGTACGGAATGTAGATATTGTCGAAAGGACAGGGTTCGAATCCCTGCTGGGACTATCTGGTTTTTGTTGAGTTCTTTTTGATTCCCATGACCAAACAGGAGTATCATGCTGTCGACGAAGGTAATAATTCCCATGACCAAACATGAGTATCATACCGTCGTCGACGGACGGGATTCATCTACAAATGGCGCATTAGCTCAGAGTCACTGCCTGCCTCCCTTGGCTCCACGATGCCCGGCTGTTGTAGTCACTCAGCTCACTCTGCATTGAATGTTGTTTTCTGACTGCCCGCATCTACTGCTTCCTTCGATGAAACTATCGGTGGTTGAACAGTGAATATGCAACAAATCTAAAACGTATCACACATGTTGTGACCTGGACGACTTAATAAACAAAACATATATGTAATGCAGAGAGGTTAAAAGGTCATCAACAGCTATGGTATCTTCTGGATGTTGCTCAGCTTTGTCCCCCGATGTTTCACCATCTTTGTCAGAAAATCCTTCACCACCTGTTGAATTGCTGTCAAGAACGACATTAGTCAAGAGTAATACAAACCAATTCGCTGGTAATGTACCTTCGTGAGGTGTTCCAAGTTCTTCCCGCCTCTCAACATCTTCATTGACCTCGCCTTCAACGGCATCGCCCGCCTCCTTTCCTCTACAATTTTTTTGCAAGCTCTTCAGACCCTTCCTCGGCCGTGGCTGACTTGTTTGGTTTGCCCAAGTCAAATGGGGGTAGATTCGGGGCTTGTAACTGGTCTTGCTCAATCAGACCGTCGTGGGTCAGGGATTTCGTACTGCGAGGAAGAGTCGAAATGAGGGGGAGGAAGAGGGTTGATGGAGTGGATGGCCAGTGTCAATATCGACCGGGTGGTCCGCCCATTCAGACATTTTGTGTCCAGGGTGTGGCATTTGTTTGTTGAGAGAGGTGAGCTTTTGAAGCCGTATCTTGTATGCAAATTAAGCCCGCAAGGACTGAGAATCTTTCCATTGCTTCCGGTGATGTATTCGGTCCAATGTAATTGAGAGAATTAATGTGGCCGAAAGAACCAATACCCATTGAAAGGACGAGACAAAAAGAGCCCTGTCTCACGTAGGCAGACCGTCCTCGAAGGATGCAGAGCAAAGAGAGAATTCTTTCCCACGAGCAAACGCGAGATCATACCGTCGACGAAGGACGGCGGTGATTCATCCAGCGCTAATAAATCACGCGGTGATTATTGCCAATGTACTTGACTTAAGTGAACATGAAGTTAATCACGTCCCAGTAGCTCAGTGGTAGAGCATCTGATCTGATATGGTGATTGTTTATTTCATCCTATATGCAAACAAAAAGCCAGGGTTCAAATCCCTGCTGGGACTTTTTGTTTCCAACTGACTTTCTTTTTTGCCATCAATAAGACTATGAGTATTATACCTTCTACGAAGGTGCTCATTGTTGCCTCGTATAGCATGAGATAAGGTAATGCATTCCCATGTAATAAATCCCAGCACTTTGTGGAAAACCGTGACTTAACGAAATTGTTGAAACTATCGAAAGTATCGAAAACATCTGTTCTTCACTTAGTGTAGTCAAGTACATTCACTTGTATGCCTCAATAGCTTAGTGGTAGAGCACTTGATACAAATGCTTCTTGTCAGCTGTCGACATCATATATTATCAATAGGCCAGGGTTCGAATCCCTGTTGAGGCTTTCTGCTTTCTTCATAAATTTTTTTTTTACCATCAATGGGACCTTGTCACCACCATCTTCCTGTATCTATCCAGCTGGTTCAACCATTGAGCTACAGTAGGAGCTTAATTTAACCTTGATTTAGCACTCACAGTCAAAGTCAGAGTGCCCAAAGTCGAGTTAGCGCTCAAAGTCGAAGTCGAAGCGCCCAATAGCGCCCAAAGTCGAAGTGAAACTTATAGAATAGCCTGCTAGCTATAGCGTCCCACCAATGCTACTTAGGGAATTCAAATGCCCAGAGAGAACTTATTTTCCACCGTTGAAAAGAACTAAACAAAATGATACAATTGTCCCATGATCGATATCGTAAAGTTCACATATGTCATAGAGGCAGCGACATTCAAGCATAACGAGTGCCAGCAAAAGGACCCAAGTTGGAACTATCTCCACCCGCACGACCACCACCCGAACGACTTCCACTTGAGCGCCCACTCACACGACTAATGATAGAAAAGCCAGCCCGCCCAAGTGGGAAGGGACGTACAGGCCTTCCATTGTTTCTTCGTCGATCTCGTTGCCTTTCCCGATCAGGATGGATAGGAATTTGGACTTCTCCGACTACCTCCTGATGGTGACAAACAACTACCTTCTGACCTTCTTGGAAAAACCACTTTTCGTTCTCATTAATGGGTGGCACAGTGATATTGCAACACTTGTTGAACCTTTGTTCCCAACTGTCAATTGGAGGCCCTCCAGATCCCAGTCGGACATTAAAACCATTAGGCACACGAGGAACTCCATCATCTCCGACTGGTTGCAAGAAGTATCCAAAGCTTGTCATGCTCGCCCTGCCACTGGGAAAAATTCGGATTTTCCACTCGATCCCATTAGGAAGGGGTAATTGAACGTAGGACACATCTTCCTCAGTGTTGGGAAATTCGCCGAACCATTCAAATTGCAACGATCCTACAGGCCTACTCATATACGGCCACCGGAAATACTAGCATACCCGACTTTTTCCCACGGTCTCTCAACCTCTTTACTGGCCCCCTGCTCATCACTTTGCTTGTGCACACCAATTTGACTGCTCTGCCCACTCCCTAGATGCTGTCTGCAGTGGGCATGCTAATTTTCCCCGCCCCCCTCGGCCGCCATCAAGCTGCACAAGCTGTTAATGTATTATCTACATGTTGTACGATTTTTTTCTATTCAATGCACTCATTTTGCCCACTGCTTGCAGTGGGCAAAATTAGTCCTCTCAATGCCCTCTAGTAGGCACACCATTTGCTTCAGTCCCTGCATCACTTCAACCTGGTCTTCCCTGCCAAATGTCCCAAACCCTATACTCACCTAAGTTTTCTGTCCAATTCATTTATCCTACCCATTGCAACCTGTACCAAATATCACTATCCTTGATATCCTTTGCTGGGGACATCACTGGTTGTTGAAGCTAATCAAGATTTTTTTCTCTTTTTTTTTTTTGCTTGAGGAAAGGTGGTCCTACATCTTTGTTCTCCCTGAAATCAGTGCAACCCGGGGCTGGGAGCAGTACTGAATCAACAGTAGTAGACAATACACTTATTCTGCCCCCATCATTCACCATGGAACAACCTTGTAGCAGACAGTACTAGTGTATACCAATGACTTTACTGTTCTCTCTTTATGTAGGTGCCATATCTTTTGCTTTCCTGCAACATTCTTACAGGCTTTCCAGTGCCAACCTGTGCTGATACCTGTGCTTAAGCAAGTACTTTCTGAATATTTATTTGGCCTTTATTTCCGCCTAAACAATCCCTCTGCTGGCAGCTGTATTTTGATTCCCACAAGTCACACGTACTGTTTGTGTTTATTTGGATTACTTTAAATTCCTCCCCTGGTTGAGAGAATGATATTGAAGACCACCCCCATCTAAGAGCATGTGACGTTCATTATAATGAAGCTCATGTGACGTTCATTATAATGAAGCTCATGTGATGTTCATTATAATGAAGCTCATGTGACGTTCATTATAATGAAGATCATGTGACATTCATTATAATGAAGATCACATGACTTTATGGGTAACAGTGAATGGGGTTTCAGAAGAGACTCACCATGTCCTAGGAATATTTTGTATCCTTAGGAACAGCTTAGTGAATAACCTCACATAACTTAGCTGTTGGTCATCTGAACACATCTTTATTTTATCTTTATCTACTGTTTGATAGATCTGTCACTGTACAAGTGGATAGTGGAACAGAATTAAGTAAACATACTACTCTTCACCCACAGGTTATCACCACAGTCAGAAATTGAGAGATTGATATTGAAGACCACCTCCATTCAAGAGCATGTCACCATCATTATAATACAAACCATGTAATCCTCATTATGAAGCTCACGTGACGTTCATTATAATGAAGATCACATGACTTTTGTGGGTAACAGTGGCTGGGGACTCTGAACTTTGAAGAAACTCACCATGTCCTAGGAGTATTCCATATCCTTATGGATAGTTATGGATAGTCTAGTAAATAACCTCACAGAACTTAGCCATCAGTCATTCCAACATATCTTTATCCACTGTATCATAGACCTGTCCGTGTAGCAGTGAATAATGTAACAGGGGTGTGAGCCTACAGCTCTTCACCTACAAGTTTATCACCATAGCCAGAAATTATTCCCACCAGGCGTTGAAGAAGGGTGTCCTCAGATCATGTGATCTTCATTATAATGAAGATCACATGCACATGATGAGCAATAACTGAAGCTCTCCAGGTTCCTTCCCTTGAATCCTGACATCTTCAAGGCAAGCTCTACCACCAACACAAGTCAAAATCCCCCACAAGTATAGTTATTCATTCAAGCTCATTCCCCCTGAAAGCATTGAAACCCTGCGCTGGGAGTAGTACAGAGTCAACAATAGTAGACAATACACTTCTTTTTTTCTCCCATCACTCACCTTGAAACATGCATAGAACCGCCTCGTAGCAAACAGTACTAGGAAAGGAAAGGAAAGGAAAACCGACACAGTCCCATTGAGGAACAGCTGGGGCCAATGCTATATACCAATGACTTTACTGTTCTCTCTTTACATAGGTGCCATATCTTTTGCTTTCCTGCAACATTCTTACAGGCTTTCCAGTGCCAACCTGTGCTGATACCTGTGCTTAAGCAAGTACTTTACGAATATTTATTTGGCCTTTATTTCCGCCCAAACAATCCCTCTGCCGGCAACTGTATATTGATTCCCACAAGTCACATGTACAGTTTGTGTTTATTTGCTGGTTCCTCCGAGTGTTCACTTTACCACCAACTGGTGGCTACCCCAGCCTGCTCCCCTTTTCCTACCTACCCCATGCTGTGTATAAATCATGAATTCCTTGAATTATCTACCTATCATTGAATCCCTCCACGAAATGGCAGGTAGGGCTTAAAATCCCTTAATTTCCTTGATGTGGTTAGTAGTAATACAAGCTATCTGAAATAAATACCTGCAGGGGGTAGCGTTCAGGCCTACTCCTGCAGCCCCCCTCTCTGTCCTTCTCTCTCTCTCTCTTTGTGGAAGCCTACTCTCAAGATTAATTGTTCCGAGAGTTCCAAAGTAGCCTGGTAAGTAGGTGAAGAAGCAGTACACTACTTTAAATATCCCACTCACCATCACTGAAATAACAGCAACAATTAGGTTAGGTTGAGTACACAGGCAAGTTGTAATCGAGACTTCATCTCTCCAACAGTTCCCGGAGCTCCCAGGTAAGTACTGCAGAAGAGTCATGGGTAACATCGGATAGGGACTCAGAAGAGACTCACCATGTCCTAGGAGTATTCCCTATCCTTACAGATAGTCTAGTGAATAACCGCACAGAACTCAGCTGTTGGTTGTTTGAACATATCTTTATCCACTGTTTGACAGACCTGTCACTGTAGCAGTGAATAGTGGAACAGGTAAGTGAACCTACTACTCTTCACCCACAAGTTGATCACTACAGCCAGAGATTACTTTCACCAGGCGTTGAAGAAGGGAGTCCTCAGATCATGTGATCTTCATTATAATGAAGATCACATGCTTATGATGAGCAATAAGTAAAGCTCTCCAGGTTTCTTCCTTTGAGTCCTGACATTTTTCAAGGCAAGCTTTACTTTCAACACATGTTAAAAACCTCCCCAGGTATGGGTGCTAATTCAAGTCCAACAAGTTCCATGAATCCACCACTTTGTGCAAATTGTCCAAAATTTAGGCCAAAAGTGTCGCCCTTGAAGGCCTCATCTCCCTCTTCCTCCTCATTGCCCGCTCAGTGTTCACTCTCCTATGTGCTTCCCCTGCTTCTGCCTGTCTCTTCAGGATTCCCTCTTAGTGATAAATATGCCAATGTGTCAAAGACCGAAGATCGATGGCATCGTTATGTAATGAATTTTTCTTCTCGCGAAGTTTTCAACTTAATCCTGAACCACCACCATTGTTTTCACTACCATGGACACTGTCACCCTTCTTGAGCTATGGAAAGGCACATCAGCTCTCTCTCTCTCATCAGGCATCCTCAGTCTCTTTGAGATGACCAAGGAACACTCTGAACTTCAGGTACTGCTCGTTCCACCCTTTATTATGATCTATACAATTTTATCCCTATCCAGTTCCTTGGAGAACACCTGAAGAAAAGCGCGGATGACTTTGATATGAAAACTACCCTTACTAATGCCCTCATCCACTCCACCCCTGTTGTCCACATATCTCCCGAACAATGGACAGTCATCGTTTCTTTCCTCTCCTACTATCGACTTCTGCATATAATGAAGGATGAAAACAGAACATTGGTGGCTTTATGCACCAACGCCTATCCCCTCGGTGCCCTACCAAGTACATTGAGCCAACGGGTAAGCATAGATATCTTTTTGACTGTCCATAAGACCATCTTACATACTTCAAATATACCCATAGTATGGTCCTCTGGGTACTGCTGATGGTTGGCCAGGAGTACTCAAAAGCGCCCAAAGGAGTCTCAAAAAGGCTCAGAAGCAGGATTTAGCAGGGACTCACGGTCCTGACGACCCACTGACCAGGTCCCTTATGGTCACCTTCCGCCTGATGAGGCTGCAAAAGGCGGATAAAATTCGCCTCAACACCAGCCTAGTGGTTTTGGGGATTATCTTAGCACAAAATGTGAGCTCCCCTTGTTCTCCAGTTATCTCCCTGCCGTGAAAATCCCTAACAACTCCTTCAGGGCATATACTCGCTCCCCAACTCCTTTAAAGAGTTTATCGACCTAGTTAAAAATTGTGTTCAAAGGTTCGTGAACAGTCCTTTTTTTTTTTATAACAACCCAACGTGGCCTTTGTATTCCCTTAGGTCATATCCCGAGCGTCGTTTCGACGATAGCCAGCTGCTAGAATATCAGGGAGAATACATTGGGAACAACGTGTTTTTCCCTCTCCATGTATTTTGCCTAATAACACCCCTCTTCATTTTGCGCCCCTGCAATCTCACTCATAACCTGCCGCGACGGGACCATGTACTTCATGTGAGTTGGCTGTTATTCTATCCTTCCCTGTTTCATCTACACTTATAGCTAGGTATTGAGGGCACTGGCACCAAAGCGTCCTGAGTCCCTGGTCAAAATCGAGACACAGTGGATCAACAAAATACTCACCGTTGTTAAGGGTGAGAAGACTGTCGAAGAGGTGCTCTTGGAATTTTCCGAGGAGAATCTTTCATTTGAGAATATAAGTACCAAGGATGCCTCCTTTTTCAAACTTTGTACGTCGGTCTCCAGTACTCTGACATTTGAATTTAATCTTCCTCTGGTTCTCCCTCTGTCGGCCCATCTTTGCTTACTAGATGACCAAGACCCATCACTATCTTCTCCACATGATGGTACGCTATATTTTCATTCTGACCTCATAGCTCCTACCTTCCTCTCTCTCTCTTTTTGCAGATAATTTTCACAATTCCCTCTCCTCTACCATCAACCTAAGCAATGAATCTACCAACGCCGGTGAGTTTCAATTCCGCCAAAGGACTTGACAAATAATTCATGTATATTCTCTCCGTATACTAACACAGGACAATCTGCTCTCCGTATGTACCCTTACCTTCTCCCTTCTCCATGCGTACCAACATGTTCACTCTAATTGTTACAAGATGGAGGGACAACCACGGGAGGTATTCAGCCCCCCCCTATACCTGTGATTGGTGATGAAGGCCAAATCGCTGGCCATAAACGGACCAGAGATGGACCAGAGTATGCAGATGAGAATAGCTCCATCATAGCTGACACTGAGCACCCCAATAAATCACCACGCACCGATAGCAACCAATGCTCCCCTGGTACAAGTTCAGCCCATACTCCCGAACATGGTCTCAACATGACCAGTACACCTGCTGAAAATCGGGAGGATGATCCGATGTCACCAGCGTCAGACAAAGAAGAAGAGGACGGGCCGGCTATTCAGGTAAGTCCCGCCCAGAGTTTCTCAATATGCTGTTACCACTCACAATTCACATCCAGGGTGGCGGTCCAGCGATTCAGGACCCAGAAAGACCCTCTCTTGACGATGTAGAGGATGATCCGATGTCACCAGCTTCAGACAAAGAAGAAGAGGACGGGCCGGCTATTCAGGTAAGTCCCGCTCAGAGTTTCTCAATACACTGTTACCACTCACGATTCACATTCAGGGTGGCGGTCCAGCGATTCAGGACCCAGAAAGAACCTCTCCTGATGATGTAGAGGATGAGCCGATGACACCAGGCTCTTCGAACGAGGACGAAGAGGACGGGCCAGCTATTCAGGTAAGTCCCGCCCAGAGTTTTTCAATATGCTGTTACCACTCACGATTCACATTCAGGGTGGCGGTCCAGCCATTCAGGACCCAGAAAAACCCTCTATAGACAATGTAGAGGATGAGCCGATGACACCAGGTTCTTCGGACGAGGAAGAAGAGGACGGGCAGGTTATTGAAGTAAGTCCCGCCCGGAGTTTTTTAATATGCTATTACCACTCACAATTTACATTCAGGACCGAAAAAAACCCTCTCCTGACGATGTAGAGGACGTGCCGATGACACCAGGTTCTTCGGAGGAAGAAGAAGAGGACGAGCTGGCTATTCAGGTATATCCCGCCCAGAGTTTTTCAATATGTTATTACCACTCATGATTTACATTCAGGGTGGCGGTCTAGCGAGTCAGGGCCCAGGAAGTTCCTCTCCCAACAATGTAGAGGATGAACCGACAATACCAGCATCAGAAAAAGAAGAAGAGGATGAGCAGGCTATTCAAGTAAGTCCCGCCCAGAGTTTCTCAATATCTTATCACTGCTGACTATTCACATTCAGCATGGGGGCTCAGGTACACAAAGCCATACAACTCCTTCACAAGGGTCCTCTTCTGAAGACGAAGTTGAGGACCTCATATCCCATCAAGGTAGCCGGTCCCTATCTCCCATATCAGCTAGTCTCCTTAAACTCGTCGGGGAAACGAATACTTGGTCCCCAGACCTCTCAAGCTTTGAGGAGAAACTCATTGATACCTGGATCAATAAGGACATGTTCACGGACGGAATACAAAGTCCCACGGGAAAGAAAGGTCTTCATGAAGACGAACCTGACTCAAAGGTCAAGGCATTTGAACCTTTTACTGATCTACCTGTAAGTAGATCCATCCACCTATTACTTCACACCGTACCTCTGATTCCTTTTTGCTATACAAAGCGCCAACACAGTAAAACTCTGGACATCCCAAGCCTAGATTCTTCTAGAAGACTTTCGATCCACTATGAATCTTATGCAAGTTCCCAGCCTTTCACTAAGCTTGTTACTCACACATGACCATCACAGGACCAAAGCACCCTGGAGGACATTGAAGCCGTAATTGTCAAAGTTCACCAGACGGCATCTGCTGATGGGCGTGAATTTGGACCGGGTGCCCGTTCCAAGCCCTTTCCTATCTTCGAAGTTGAGTACTCCGACTTCAATTCATCTCTCCTCTTCCCAGAGGCCCGCAAACAGAGGATTTTTCACAATCAACACATCCTTATCCGTAACGCTCCCTGCCCAGACTCCAGTGAGCCCAAATTTGACGAACTCACCTTCAGTGAGCACCTAGGATCTGTTTCTGAGCTCCGAACCCTCCACGGTCAGTCATACCTATTCAATGCTCCAAAAATACGCTAAAATTTATAAATTCCTGCTCAGATGCCACTTTATTGGGGGAGTCGGAGCTGAAAAAGGATGCCAACAAGGTTCATTCCTCGGGAACGTTGTCTGATGTCATCCTGGCCACCCAGAATCCTCGGGGTAAAATCCTCAACTGTCTTGACCTTCCTCTTTCACCTGATCACTTCCCTCCCCCCCGAGGATTATCTACTGACTCTGCAGTCAGGCAGAGGTTGAATGGATATTTTACGCACTGCAAGCGATGGGGTCTGGCTGCGACAGCTTATGCGACTCACAAGGGCCATGTTGATGTCTCTGGCTATGCTACCTATGTACGAGTTTTGGTTGGAAAAAAGTACTGGATTGTGGGGTGCCCAAGGACACCAGGCGACTTTGGTTCCATAGATTCCTTTGGGCAAGGGTATGAGGCCGACCTCAGTAACAGTCAACAATGGGCCATTCACGGTGTAATCCTAGAGCCAGGTGATATTTTGTGAGTAGTCATCCATCCTCCTTTCAGAGTCTCATCTAGTACCTCACAGTATCATGTCTCCATGCACCCCGCACTTTGTGCTTACGTTAGAACCAACTATTTGCCAAGGTGGTCACTTCTACTGCTGTCAAACTATGGAGGCCACAGGATTTTGCCTCTTTCAAACATTTATCGCTGCTAACTGGCTCACAAACAAGCCTGATGGTCCCTCTCGGCAAGATTTGCACATTATCATAGAAAGTTGGGCACAGTCTATCCTCACAACACCGAAAAACTACCTAGAACTTGTCGAAAAAGCGAATCAAAGTGGCAAGTGTTCCCTCTCCTTCCATTAACTGTATGAGATACTGACCAGTGGCCTAGAATCTCGAGTTATTCCCCACCTCCCCAACTTTACACTCTTTGATGACATCCGTGGATTTTTTATGCTACGGAGCATAGCTCTGCTCGGTCCTGTGCTTGATTACAGACTATATGTGGACAAAGAGGCTCACATACAGGAGTCTATATCTCGTGAGGAACAGGAAAGCTACTCTAAAGCTTTCCATCAGGCAGAACTTATTGCAAGCTGGGTTTTTGACAACTATGACTTAGTATCCACATCACCTGCCTCTACTGTCTCACTCCAGGACTTGATGAACAGCTGGTTCATCCAGCAGTGCAAGGCTCTTCTTGTTCACAAGGTCCAGGCATTGAAGGGAAGCATCTCTGGAGAACTGGGGTCCATCACTGCTGAAAAAATCAGAAACGCTATAACCTATCAGTCAAAAGGAGTAGATTGGTTCTACAGCGCCTGGTCAGCTCTGGGGAGGTCAAGGAGTCTTGAGGAGTTTATGGAAGGGTGGGACCAGGATCCAAGGAACCTGACCTACGCATTGAAGCCCCATGCAGATGGTCTCGAGTACATCATACAAAGGAAGCTATAAAGTAATACATATGTTGGATTTGGCCTCAAATAAGGTCAAAAATTGTAGCCCAAGTACACCATTTATAGTCAGAAGCACCCTACAAGCAAGTCGACTAAATTGTCCAAGCTGCCTCAGTTGTCTACATTGCCTCAGTTGTCGGACTAAGTTGACTAATTTGCGTAAGTTGCCTATGTTGACTAAGTTGTCTACGTTGACTAAGTGACTAAGTTGCCTAAGTTGCCTAAGTTGACTACGTTCACCAGGGGGATAAGGTTGCCTATGCTTCTCATTGAAGTCGTACCTTCACTGTATAACTGGGATTGGGTCAGGTGGGAAGTGCCATGTCAATATCACTAAGGAGGATAGATTCGGAGAATTAGATGGCGAGTTGGATGGAAGCAGCAGTATTCATCATTGTTAATGGCATCAATGTCATTGATACTGCTACTGACTTCTTTCCTATACAATATCCTTACCCATATCTTCTGCTGCAAAGCCTCTAACTCAATAGACTTCTATCCGACATCTGATTGAAGAAACTGGAGATGATGCAGTGGACACTGAAAGCATAAGTACAGGGAGATATTCACAAGGGCCCCTTTGCATAGTGCAAAATATTTACAAGACATTTCATTATAATGAGATACATTCACAGATAAACTACCAAATGTGATTTGACCTCCAAGAAGCACAAGAAATAGGGACAAGCACCTGACAGCTTCTATCCCCTAGCCCAAGACATGTAGAATCTCCCGATGTGAGTCAGGCAAAACCAACTGGACAACAATTGAAATAGGAGGATATGCAACATTCCCGGGACGATGTCGAAGTCCATATTTAATTGCAGACCTATGCCAGTCTGCATCTTCCAGAGATGGGGTACACGTAATGTGCACACAAAGATGTTCCAACAGTGGAAACCATGCTAGGACAGTCTTGTAAAAAGTCCGGGCATGAGCCAATGTAAAGACCTGTGGAGAAAATTCCCAGGTCAGAATAAAAGCCATGACAAGGAGTAAAGAGAGGATACACACAGATGGAGGAGACACTGCCAGTGATAGATAAAAACGTCGGATTGATGTGACCATGGAAAGGAAGGATAAAGAACCAATCTCACTTGCTGCAAATTCTGAGTCTGCACCAAGGGTAAGTATTTCAACTGATCTGATATTCTTCAGACCCTGGCAGAGGATGTGGAAAAGGGGCAATTCCCCTTTCACCTTGGTCAGATTCAAGACACTGAGGGGCAAGTTGAATTTGGTGAAGACGTCATAGCAGCCCACAACAGAGGCATAAAGCTCCTGTAGATTGGGAAGGAGTGTATGCTCTTTAATGGCAGTCAGGTCCTCCGCCGTGAGGAGACCTAGGTCGTAGGACAATGATTTGATAGACGGGTGACGGTGAAGAAAACGAAGGATATTCCCAGGTAGTAAGGGAATAGTAGGATCTATCCCAGCCTGTAAGAGCATATTCTGGTTACTCAGTGGCAGTGAGTAACTACCAAACCCAAAGTGCACAAGATTTGGGAATTCGAGATCTTCAATCTCTGAGAAATCCTCAATGCCATCTGGGTAAGATAAATAAGATGGAAAATCAAACACCAGGACCGAGATGGAAGCCAATCTTGTGATTGAATGCAAGAAATGAGTGCCAACCAAAACACCTACTGACTCCAGGTTATGAGATTAAAGCGCAGGATAAATGATAGCTTTGCCTACTGTTCCGTAGACCTGTGGATGTCCATTCTGCTACAAATGAGCGAGTTTCATGAGAAGAAAGCCACTGCTGTAAACAGTCTTTGGATCAGAACAAAGAATAACACACAGCAAGGGATACCAACAAGTTGCAGCTTATCTATATTTCTGGTGGGACACTTGAGGACAACATGCTCTATACTCAAGGAATTGGGTATCCAGAACCCAAGTACATCAGACAGAGCCAAGGTGTGTGAAGTATAGGAGAAAAGCTTCATCGAGTCACGGTGGGTATTGATGTTGAAGAGTGATGGTGTAAAATAGTCACGAACAACATTCCGGCGGGGACCAGAAGTCGAGACCCGCAGTTGCTCCACATAATAAGATGGGTGTTGGATTCCCAGTATTTTCTGAGTATCTGTCTCGGATTTGGACAGGGTCCGCAGTGCCATGGTAGGCACAGATGCATACAATTTTGGGAACACCATTTGGCCAAGAGATTTGTTTCCAATACCAAGGGAGCATAATGCTAGAGAATCATCATGAAGGTAGCTGATGATATGAGCCTGGACTTCAAGAGCAACCTTGCAGAGAGAGGGAGCTTGTGGTGTGCACATGGAAAGAAAATTTCGTGAGAATATCTTATCGATGGGACCAAATGGAAATGAAGCGCCCATCTTTTTTTGGCTCAGATTCTGGCCAATTTAATTTTGCAGTCGCATATGTAATCAATTCTCGAGTTCTTCTTCATCCACCATGAGACAAGGCAGCACTCCCCATCTAGTCGGAATTCCTCCAGAAGTCCTTCAGATCATTCTCTCTTATCTTCAGTATAATTCGAAAAACCTGTTTAGGTTAGCTATGTTGTCCAGACGGCTGGCAGACGCATCTCTTCCCCTTCTTTATCACTCAGTCTCAACCTTTGGCCTCATCACACTTGCATCCACCACAAGTATTACACAGACAATACTCAGAAAACATCCAGCTAGCTTCGTAAAGGAACTCACAGTCTCTACTGAAAAATCCTCCCGAATTGTGCAGCACTACCTTCAGCCTGCTCTATGTCATATTCAAAACCACATCAAAATCCTTCATACTCTCTCCTACTCGTCTCCAGATATTGCTTTGGAAAGCATCTTGAACCCAATAGAGCTTTCCTTCCTTACAACCAAACATTTGTCCATCTGTTGTCCATGGTTATCAAAGGCAAGTACCCATCCGTACCTCTCCCTATATTGTAGTAATTACAGCTGTTGCCAGTTTTTACTCTGCTCAGGTGCCACAACCCATATGGAAATCAATTTGACAGACACCATTAAATTAAGTGAGTCAAATGGAACCTACCTAATGGTATTACTCATAAGACAACCAACCAGTTAGCAACGAGGGCCTCGCACAACTACTTCATAGTTTGCACACCACTTGTCCCTCCCTATCTTTTCTCCGAATTTCTGCACCCAAGCCACTCGATTCATATGACCACCTTCAGCAATTGTTAAATACCCCCGAAATCTGTTTTCACTCCCTCACCAACTTTGGGTGCAATGGGATCTTTGTGAAACTCTCGATGTTTCAATTTCTCCAACGCCACCCAGAAATACGTGTCCTAGCCTACCCACTCATACACCTTGAAGAAGAGCATCATCAGGCCATGGAGGATCGCATATTCCTCCCCAAGCTTGATGAGTTCCACGGTGACGCCTGCAATTCAGATTTTGTCATTGGTGTCTATGGACATGCTGTCAAGACATTGTGTGTCCAGACTTCGAAAAGAGGCAGTAGTGGATACTTCCTCAGAAGCCTTGCCTATGCTATGGAGGAGCACCAGTCTGTCAAGGCCTTGACACTTGGGGATGAGGAACGTGCCATTCCCATTGATGCAGCTCATGATTTTTCTCGTGGCGCACCAAATCTGACGAACCTCACTCTGTGGTTACAAGGTAGAGAGACACCAGTACAGGTATCTGTTCCTCTGTACAAACCCTCGATATATTGTCTCACATCCAAACCCACCCTATAGCTCAACACAGTCACCTGGGAAGCTGATTTCTATAGCATCCTGTTTCAAAGCTATCAGGAACTTACCACCCTCACCCTGCTCATCCCTTGTGAGCCAAACCACCATGTTGCCCACAATCACAGTACTGCAATCAAATCTGCCATTTTGAAGGAGCGCTCTAATCACTCAGCCTCCCTTACAATTACACTACTTTCCCAAAACCGTAAAAAGCCTATTCTTTTTTTTGCATTTGATGGACTTGTTTTTTCATGTGATTACCTATCTGCTGAGCCTCTCCTGTTAACCAAATGACGTTGAACTTGCACACATTTGCACCACAGTCACTTTGCTTGCTATTGCTACCTTTCTGTTTGCACCCGCCATGACCACAGTCATTGCCACTGTTATTTCCAACCAATTATATATTTCTACATGCTGTCTACTACTGCCCCCTTTCTGTTACCACCTACTACGACCACAATCATTATCACTCCGGCCTGCAGTAGCAATTGCGTACAAAATTTGGACATAGACCCTCTAGAGCCTTCTCGGAATCTGCTCGACTTCCTCACGCATGTCCACATTCTCCTTGAGGCATCCTACATCTCGCCCATTGCGCTGAATGACGATAGTTCTGAATACACTGTCTCCGCATCTCCCTTACCATTGTCGCGTCTAAATCCAAACATACCAAGCTCTCCGCCACCGCAAATGTCTAGTATCCTACTCATTTAAATCTCAGTGGGTTGTTGTCCCCGAATTCGGATTTTGGGTCTGCATTGCACCATCCATCAATTTCACCTCCATTGACACCAAATCCTGTGGCAGCGTCTGTTGCTGTGGACCAGAGATATTTGTAGGCGGAGGGGTGGAAGTGGAACGGGGTTGTTGGACCGGAAAGATCAGAAGGACAAAGACCCTGAGGGTACTGAACAAGAACGAGAGGGATTTGATTTAAGTTGGTCAAAGAGAGACCGGCCTTGGATCGCAGTCTTTAGGACTGTTCTGGACATTGGTGAGTCTGTACAAGTATATACATAATCTCCGTTCTGGCGGGTGTCTTTGGGGCTTTCCTCCGCCTCGGTTTTGGCTCCCTGCTCCCCTGTCTGACATTTTCAGCAACACTGCGCGATAAACCATTAGTGATTACTTCCTCCAAAAACCTGCTGGCAGTCTATCATCTACTCCTGCGGGACCGATGTTTGCTCCTGGGTAGACATCCTCCATCGATGAACAACAGCACTCCCACAGGAACTCCTACAAGATCAAAACCGGCCCGTCCTTGACACTCCCTTCCCTCAACACGTCTTGGACCAATCTCTCGCACCAAATTATTTCCTCTCCCTCCAATCAAACCAGAGACCTCCACATTGCTCTTCCCGGTCAAAGTGCGCTTCCTAGTGCACCTTTAAGCACTACAGGGGGACGAGGAAAACCGGGCTTGAGAAGGAGTTTTAGGAACGAGTGGGTTCAAGGTTAGGATGAGGAAAGTGTTCATGCCTGCGGTGTTATCGGACGAAGGAGGGGAGGAGAACGAGGAGGATCCCAAGGATGTTGAACTTGGTAATGAACGAGATAGCAGCGATGAGGGTAACAGGAACCAAGACGATGAAGAAGAAAACTAGGAAAACCATGGCAAAGATGAAGACCCAGACCGCTGAACCTCCGGCGCCTCAGAATGCACGCTCGTACTCCGCATTGAAAGTGAAACAGAAGGAGACCCGTTCTACCGACCTGCAGATGCACTAGATTTCATCGTCGAAAAAGTTGACATCTTGATCACTGGGAACACAGCAGGTGGTAGGAAGGAGGAAGGAGCTACTGCGAGGTTGATTGGATGGGATACTGCGAACGCCGCGCCGCCTCCACTGTGATTCAAGGATCGAGGCAGAGGAGGAGGAGGTTTATCAGTAACAATACCATCCTCTATAGACCAAGCCATGGGTTTGTCACCGCCTGATGTAGCAATGAATGCATCTCCAATGACACCTGCGTATCCTGTGTTTCCAAATAACATCCACGGAGCACACGGTGCTTTACAACCCCACCACAATACCGCCGCCACTGTTCTGCATAGCTTGCTCTCCCAAGGACCACTGATCCCGCACGGCAGAAACCTTCCACCGAATAGCGGGAATGCGTCGGGAGTGGGGTACGTCGGCCCTAGTTTGGAGGTGAAGTGTGAGAGAGGGATGGGTGTGGGTATGGGACTTGGTGGAGGATATGGTGGGCATGGAGGATACGGAGGAATGGAAAGCGCGTTGGGGAGTGCTATTACTGAGTGTGATCCCGCAGACTCCAACCTCCACAATCGGATTTGGTACTCCAGCGCCTACAGGCAGGAGAGGGGGGCCAGGGATGGGGAAGGCGTTCATTGGTAGTGTACAGGGAGGGGGTGGGCATGATGAATATGGTGGGGAACGGAAGCCAGTCAATTATCATCTCTGTTGTATACTACCTCAACAAAATATCCATCCTCCAAAAACATCTTGCGAATCATCAGCTGGAAGAGGCAAGAGGTTGAAACTCCAACTGCGGCTAGTCGAGGGCCTGGAAAATGACGATCTTGTCTGCGAGAACTCCTCATCCAGGCGTTCTCCCACTCGAAAACCGAGTTTGTATTTTACCTTCTGCATGTCAATCCTGCCATGTCACCTGGTGTGCATTAGGTGAGTTTTTTTGGTTTTATTTTGCTCGGTGTATGTAGCCAGTGACTGACCATCATTGTGGGTGAACATGAGCCTGCTTAGGAATGTTTATACACAAACAGTTGATCTTACGAACACTATAACTATGAATGCACTTGTATGGTATGTAATCATGAAGTGGATGCCAAAAGGGTCATCTTGTGTGTGTTCCATCTAGTCTACAAACAGAGGCTGTTTGTCCTCATCACAGAATAATTACAATTGGTCAGATATTCTGCGCACTTTATGGAAACCATTGTCACTCTCTCATTTCTCACCGCAGTATGGCCGGACTTTTCAAGCATGACATGTGACCTGTGGCTGTGCAAAAAGCGCTAAAGCTCAGAATTCTGAGCTTTAGCGCCGGATTTGACCAGTGGCTGTGCTTTAAAGCGGAAATTGAAAAAACAGCTGACCCGTGGCTGTTGGATGTAGGTTGATTTTGTCACTCAACGTTCTCTTTATGAAGTTCGCAAACGTCCCTCGAAGTCCTACTCTTGGGTAGCATTCATGCTTGCAAATATCTGCGCCGAGCTTCCCTGGAACACTCTCATGTCTGTCTTCATCTTCTTCGGCTGGTACTACCCTATCGGGCTATATCATAACGCAGAGCCCACCGGAGCGGTTACTGAGCGCGGAGCCCTCCTATTCCTCCTTATCTGGTCCTTCGTAATGTTCACATCTACGTTTACACATATGATCATTGCTTCCGTCGACGTAGCAGAAAATGGTGGTAACATAGCAACGTTGCAGTTCTCTCTAACCATCCTATTCTGCGGGTAAGTCATCTTTCTGGAATCTGCATATTGTGTTTCACATTGGTAATTTGACGATGCTCTGCAGTGTCCTTGTCTCGCCTTCAAAATTACCTGGCTTCTGGATATTCATGTACCGTGTATCACCATTCACATATCTGGTCGATGCGATGCTTTCTGTCAGTCTCGCCAATGCTCTGGCGTTCTGTTCCTCTGTCGAAGTCTCCGTGTTTGATCCCCCGAGTGGACAAACCTGTGGACAGTATCTCTCCGCATGCACGTCTATTGCTGGGGGGTCCCTCTCCGACGTGAATGCCACGTCGCAGTGCGAATTCTGCGCCATCATGGACACCAATGCCTTCTTGTCACAGGTCAACAGTTACTACGACCATCGTTGGCGCAATTTCGGCTTAATGTGGGCTTATGTGGCGTTCAACGTGTGCGCTGCCCTGTTTCCATATTGGTTCGGTCGTGTTCCCAAGAGCGCAAAGAAGAACTAATTTGGTGTATGTCAGCAAAAGTTGTTCTTATCCAGGTCGTTCTTATCCGGGTCAATGGGAATGATCGGCACCACGGAGGCTACGAGCCGTTTGAACCCGGCACGGTTTCTCTTCCACCACCACCACCATCCTCCCATCGCACCTGTTCTCCCTCAACTATTAACTGCCAGCTCTTCGTGCACCGCCTACATGAAGTTCCCTATTTCAACCAAGCCAACCCACCTGCTACCGAGGCAGGCTGATTATTCTTCGTGTTCTTGTTGATGGTCCTCGTCGCCGTCGTCTCCGATGACGACGCAGCAGATATATCCTATAGAACATATGCTTTACCGCTGCACTGAACATCGTTCATCAACGTCAAGTAGTGGCCCTAAGGCAAGTGGACGATGATTTGGAACACAAGAATGTACATATCACGACGCATAGGGTATATCAGTAACAGCAACACCGGACGACCCTCGCAACGAAACAGCACGACGACGAAAACCCTCTGACCCGCACGCCTCCGAGCACTTCCAATCCCACATCTATTGCCTAGCGGTCTCTCTGTGTCCCCGCCCTCCACTCAAAGTACAATGAATTTGGGACCAGGGAAAAGGTTTGTGGGTGTTATAGGACGTATTGGTTTGGCGAGGCGGCATTGCAGGAGGCTGAGGTGAAGCCAGAGAGGGAGGAAGGAAAGGGAAGCCTGCGATTAGTGTGGAGGAAAAAGCAAAGAAGGAGGAGAGGAACCGGAAGTGCAGAGGTTCGTGTTCTCTCATTCATTTCATATCATACAGTAATCTTTCTTCGTTTGTCTTGTGAACAGAAAGCCGCAGCACGTACCGAACGAGTAACTCAACTCTCCGCCAACCTCAAACGCAAACTCGGGACATTTACCGAAAGCGCAACTCGGAGAATGTAGACGTTACAAGGAGTAGGAGAATTACATGTGTACTCGAAGCGTAGTGAGTCCTCCGTGTCAGCCTATCCCTGCTAGAGATCTCTCCCGGAATTCTATTGTCCTGAACTATTACAAGCCATTGCCTCTCCAAAGTGAACCCATTCCTCGCAATCGACTAATCCTCCCTCGGTCTCGGTGGCTGGCTACATAATGTACAAGGCAAATATCAGGTTTTAATGAGATGTACGTTCTCTTTTTCCTTGCTTCCTCCCTTATCCCTCTCGTATCTTATATATAATCGTCGATTGACATTTCCACAGCGTGCATATCAACCCTCCGTGCCACCTTTAACCTCAAATCCATATTAAGGCTGCCGGAAAAGCGGAAGCCTCTCACCTGCCGAGCATCAGAAACTCACTCGAAGAACAGCCTGCGGGGAAAGGGCTACAGGCATTGTTCAAGGGTGGGGAGTTAGCGGTTGAGTCGGTGTTGAGGGAGGTGTGTGATAGGGTTTTGGAGGAAGAGGAATTGATTGTTGGGAGAAAGGTGTCTTCCACTGCGACGTTACAGATCTTGGGTGAGGCATATGTGCGTGTTGGGACGAGGAAAGGAGGTGGTGGTATTGCGACACCAGGTGATTCAGGCATAATCCATAATCTGCGAGGCTCTCGGATGAATTTGCCTACTCCAAGAACCTCTGGTACCCCAGATCCAAATTCATCTCATCACAGTACCACCAACAGTAGCAGTGGTCTTGGAGGAATCGGTACTGGGTTGGGTAATAGAGATATAGATTAAAATATTAATAGCTAACCCTTGTTGGAATGTGCTGTGGGTGGATATACAGCCCAAAATCTTGCACAATTTGCAATGCACAGGGAAAGAATAATGAGTTGTGCCTTTAAACTTGTGCAAAAACTCACTGCACAATGTGGCCGAACTTTTCAAGCATGACATGTGATCTGTGGCTGTGCAAAAAGCGCTAAAGCTCAGAATTCTGAGCTTTAGCGCCGGATTTGACCAGTGGCTGTGCTTTAAAGCGGAAATTGAAAAAACAGCTGACTCGTGGCTGTGCAAAAAGCGCTAAAGCTCAGAATTCTGAGCTTTAGCGCCGAATTTATGCACCTGACTAGTGGCTGTGCCATTAGAGCGGAAATCCACAGATGTTACATAACCCACAACAGCTTTCTTTCCCTCTCCCTCATGTCACTCACAGTCCCCTCAGGGCTTAGTGATGAAGACAAGGCATTCTCTCTATTCTTCTCAAAAGTAGTTACAAATGCAAAGGAGGATGATCAAAGCTTACAAGTGTGCCAGGACTTCTGTGTCCCATTTGAATTCATTCTCACCCAGAGATTCAGCCTTTTGCAACAGCTATATATACTGAACTCCAATCAAGACATGATAGTAAAATCTGGACAAGATTCCTGAAAGACCCATGGTCTGCAAGTACCTTCACGGAACAGCAATGGCTGTTCATATGCCACCCACTGTTTCATATCAATCTCTTGCACCTCCTGAGAGATGAGCAGCATAAGCTTCTCAGCTTGGGAACAGAAGGGCATAAATTAGCCCAAGTACCTCCCAGTGGAGTTGATAGATCTGTAAGTGGCACAGAATACTTTATGACCTACTCCATAATGCTTTATTCCCCAAGTTTCGTCCTCTTACTCAAGGGGCTGGATGGAGAAGCATGCTTCAAAAAGCTAATTCTGCCCTTCAAAAAAACCAAGAACGCCAGCCGGATTCATCACACCAATCTTCGGATCCTTTCCTCCAAACACTAGATGATCTGTCTATGCTGTTTGAACAACGATCATATTCCAATGTTGCCATTAACATTAGTTTGGTCGTTATATATATAGGACTTTGCAGACATGTGCAGTATTATTCATGCCTTGGGAAATCCAGCTACTAACGCAGTTCTTCCATGTAGGGAATTCTCAGTTTCCCCAATGACTTCAAAGATTTTTCAGAGAAACTCACCCAAGTGTTTGCAGGGTTTGCATTTTTTGACCTAATATTCTCAAAGGTTTACTTCAACACACTTCTAGGTCTGCTCAAGGGATTCTGAATACACTTCAACGCTTGGAGCCTCACTATAATGCCCAGAGATGGCTCCATCCTGCCCATGCCTGCTTTTCCATTTCACCTCTTTATTGTTTCAAAACTTCAGCACTTTTCAAAGACAGTCCAAAGCGGATTCACTTCTGGGAGGTAAATTGGAGAGTTTATTCTTCCTTCCCCCATTAATTGCTAAGTATTTTAGGTTGCCAAAGCACTAGGCCCCTGCAGACCAGACACACTTGTTGATCTGGAGAGAAAGTGGATGAAATTATTGATTGAAGCAGCTGATAGCAAGAAAACTGCCTTGAATATATTTAAAGAGTTTATGGGCAGTCATGCTCAATCATTTGAGCAGATAAGTAACAAAGATCTCAAGTTTTTCTTCATTTGTGATTATCTTCCCAATCTGAAACCAAAAATTGCCTCTAACTAGTCATCATCAGACCCATCCCTATCAACATCTGAAGGTTTGACCCAAGCAATAAATATTGGGATAGGTGAGCCTTCTACACATTGAAAGATTATTATGCTTATCCCTATATCAAGAATCAACTGCACCATACATGGCTCAAGGTATGAGCAGTTTCCCATTGGGACCTCCTCAGAACCCTTACTGATCCACCTCAGCTGCCCACAATCTCCGAGAAACCCACAGAAAGCAGCAACCGAGTGAGCTGTGCACTTTTTCTTTGCTACCTAAATGCTAACTGAACCCGGATCAACCAGAAGCTGATACTAGAAGTAAAATCTATTGTCTCAATGCAATTCCGCTAGATGCTAATGCCCAACCCCACGTAGCTCTCAACAAAAACGTGGAACATGAAGGTACTTACTGCTTGTCCAATTATTGCATATCATCCAATTTGAAATTCTTAGTTGATGAGTCCACTGGAACTCAGGGGAACAGCTCACAGATAGAAGAAGTTGATGAAGACCAGGAAGGTATGTATCATTTTTCAGTACCCCAGAACCGTGTTTAGTCGAGTTATTATATTAGACCCAGCAAACGGAGATGACATGGTTGCGGAGGACTCGCAGATGGATGAAGGAGAAGATGAGCAGGACGGTATGTATTATTTTTCAGTACCTCAGAACCGTGTTTAGTCGAGTTAATATAGTAGACCCAGCAAACGGAGATGACAAGGTTGCGGAGGACTCGCAGATGGATGAAGGAGAAGATGAGCAGGACGGTATGTATTATTTTTCAGTACCCCAGAACCGTGTTTAGTCAAGTTAATATACTAGACCCAGCAAACGGAGATGACAAGGTTGCGGAGGACTCGCAGATGGATGAAGGAGAAGATGAGCAGGATGGTGTGTATTATCTTTCAGTACTCCAGAACCATGTTGATCTAATATGATAGACACAGCTATGGAAGTTGACGAGGAAGCCGAGGAGTCACAGACCGGAGACTCTGCTAGTGGTATACATCAAGGTAATTATGACCTATGTGAATAGAGCCTAATTTATTCATTTCAGAAATAGATGACATGTCTATAGATGATCGGTACCCAGCACAACAAGGTAATAGTAATATTTCATCTCATGGAAACCTACTGATAGACAAAATTGGTTCAGAAACCGAGCCAACGTCTGCCAAAGGCATGTAACGTATCTAATCTTGACAACATCAACCTAATTTTTAAACCAGGCAAGGGAAAGAGAAAGAATCCTGAACCCGAAGAAGACATTGTAGATCCCCGGAGGTCAACTAGGCTTTCAAACCTACCTCCCCCCAATTATCCCCCAGAAAAGGAGAGCAGGAAACGTCCCAAACCAGTACACCAAAAGCATAAACAACCACCACCAGTCAAAGGCAGCTCAGGTGTCCAGACCGCTTCCGAACCCCATAAGTCACAGGTTGGGGATAAGGAAGTACATCTTCTAGGGCAAATACAGCAACCCACACTGGGCAATTTGGATGAAAAGTTTTCTCCTTTCACGGACCGTAAGGTAACTGTCAAGCTCCTCATTTTTTGACTTCTGCACTCAATCTATTCAGCTTCTGCATAGTGAAGAGCTCGTTTTCCCTGACCATCTTTTCAAAAATACACTCAAAATGAAATACAAGGCATATGTGAATTTTTTCCTTGCTTTTTATGTCATCCCCATAATTCAACCAATTGTTGTAAGGATACCCTCCCTTTCCAGGACATCATGAACGTCTTGAAGATGATCAAGAGGACTGCAGATTCAGATGGTCGCGCTGTCCAACAGGGACCCACCCGGAGGTTTCCCATACATGAGGTTCAGGCTAAAGAATGGAACTCTTCACACCTGTATCCGGAATCAAGGAAACAATATCTCCTTCACCAGAACCATATCCTCATCAGGAACTGCGAGCCTCCTGATCAAAGTGAATTAGGATTCAATGACTCTACATTTGCAGAGCACATTGGTGACCTTAATGAAATGCGCACTCTTCATGGTATGTTTTGAAACACCAAACGTAGTTGAATTCAAATGACATAATCATTAGATTCCTCTGTCGTCCCAGACCGCACACAGGCTGGCAAAATTGAACCTAGTCTTGCTCATATGCCTGGAACCTTTGTTGACATTATACAAGCTGCTGCAACACCGAATGGAAAAATTCTCAACTGTCTAGACATCCCTCTATCCCCAGATGTATTTCCCCCTCCACGCGGAATAGCAACTGACAGCGTCGCAGGTCAGTTTCTCAAAAAGTCGTTCTACTACTGTAAGCGCTGGGCTCTTGCAGCAACCTCATTCGCTGTTCATACTTCCCACGTCGATGTGTCTGGATTTCTCACCTATGTCCGGGTACTTGTTGGGGCCAAATACTGGATTATTGGTGTACCAAAAAGAGTTGAGGATCTAGGCAACACAAGTGCATTTGGTAAGGGGTACCAACTGGATATGAGCAACGATCAGGACTGGGATATATATGGAATTATCCTCCGTCCTGGTGATACTTTGTGAGCCCTTCTGTACTGTCTCTTCTTGCATTCATACAACTATCTAGCATTATGAAACCCTGCACCCCCCATTATGTTCTCACATTGGAGAATACCTTGTGCCAGGGTGGACATTTCTACTCATCCCAGACCTTCCTTGAAACTGGGTTTACAATCTTCCACACCATTGTTGCTGCTGACTATCTGACAAACAAGCCGGATGCCGAGTCACGGACCGATATTCATATCATATTAGAATATGTTCGGAAAAAGATCATTCTATTTGAACCAGAATACCTAGCCCTCCTACAAAAAGCTGGATCCCAGAAAACTGATTCAGGTGTGTTCTCCACTGACCATTAGCTGCTACTCTATCAAACTCTCTTCCTCTAGGCTCTCATGTCATCCCTCATCTTCCCAATTTCAGCATACTGGAGGATATTGTTGGTTTCTTTATGCTTCACAACATTGCCCTTCTTGGTCCTGTCCTGGATTATCGCCTATACTCTGAATATGAAGCAGGAACCCAAGACATTACAGAATCCATCTCCCCTTACCAGCGTGATGGTTATATACAGGCTAAAGCAGACGCGTTGGTCATTGCAGAATGGGTTTATTCCCACTTTGACATCAGTTTGACTGGAAAGACTACAGGAGGCGCAGGACTTCGGAGTTTGATGGAGGATTGGGTGGTCACTCAATGCAAGGCCCTGATACTGCACAAGCTCAATGCTGACAGCCAAATGGTGAAAGGAGAGACCGAGGCAATCACCCCGAATCGGTTGAGGAAGGCGATTGAGAAGCAGATGGCGGGCCTGCCATGGTTTGTTGAAAAATGGCCAAAGTGGAATAATTCAAAAGACATTAAGAGCTGGACAAAGGATTGGAGCTCAGACCACATGAGCTATGCATGGCCCTCTGCTCCCCAGGACTCACATTTTGTAGTGAAAAAGTTGTATTAGTTAACATCTAACTATAGATTGCTTGTATAAACCAATCTGTTTGAATGGTATTTTGTTGTCCCTGGCTGCATGCACGTATTCTTGGTCTGCCAACTTGTATCTAACAATGACTTTGCCAATTCCAGTCCTAACCAGCCAGAAAGAAGGCTTGCTTCTCGTTTTTGTTGGTGAAGACGGCTCAAGATTCACCAAGGTTGAGAAATGCAATCGGAAAAATTGAAGAACTTGTATGCGTACATGTTCATTATTCATTTATATCATAGGCAACATACTAGGATTTCGTATCACAAGCTTTTTATTTTTATTCTAAACTTCTTCGCCGGTACCTCCAACCGTGTGTAAAACTCGAGATTTTGAGAACTCGAGTGCGACATTTTGCTTACTAAAAACTATGTATCAAGCCTAGGTATTGTTTGAGCGTCATGTATGCTTTATACTACATACATCAGGCTCTATAAGAAGCATTTCAGATCGGCTTCTTTACCTCCAATCCGTTGATTCAGCTTCGCTTCAACTGAACGTCGCCAACCATGGCATCTGCTAGCGTAAACAAACCAAAAGTTCTCATTCTCAATGCTCCTGACAAGGCTCCGAGTGATTATGTAGCAAGGCTAAAGGAGGAGGTCGAATTCTATGTGAGTGCAATGCATGTTTTGTTCAAAAAGCAGTTGATTGAGGAACAGAATTGTAGTTGATAGAATGGTAGCTGGAAGGATAGCTGAAGCAGTCAAGCAGAACGGTCCTTTTGTCGGTGGGATACAGTAGGTTCGATCCTTGAATCCTGAGTTGAGGTTCTTCGCAGCGTTCACCGTCTTCATCAATTGGTGGTCGCGTCCTTTCCCCTGGCCCATGGACAAAGCTCTGATTGGTCCACTTGTCGAGACAGGAGGGTGCAGGATATGATTCTGTCAGTTCCAATCATCCGAACCTCCAGGTTTCCGTTCTCATTTTTTTGATCTGCTCCAGGTCGACATCAAGTACATGACAGCTCAAGGCGTATACTATGCCAACACGCCAAAGATGCCTGCACTTCGGACCGCAGATAGCACTGCGATGATGATTTTACAAGCTCTCCGTGGATCATCCGAATGCAAAGCCGATGCTCGTGCAGGGAAATGGTTCGATCCGTCGAAACCGCCGGCAAAAGACGCTAGGTGCTCGACGTTAGGGATCGTTGGGATGGGTAATATCGGGAAACTTGTTTCCGGGCATATGCAGCATTTCGGTATGAAAGTCGTATATTACAATCGGAATCGCCTACCGTTGAATGAGGAGAACGGAGTGGAGTTCGTTTCGTTCGAGGAGTTACTGGTGCACTCAGACGTCATATCGCTACATTGTCCATTGAACGAGGGTACACGGCATCTATTCAATAAGCAAGGTGCAATTCTATCTATGTAGGCTGAACAGGGCTGAACCTGCGAAAGTCATTCTTAGCTTCGAGCGCTGACTTCCCTTTCCTTTCTGTCCGACAGTATTCAACAGAATGAAAGACGACATGATCATTGTGAACATGTCCAGAGGAGCTGTCATAGACGAAGGCGCACTCGTTTGGAAAAGGTATTCAAAGCTACTGTACCGTTAAGAACTTCGCATGTGGCTAAACCATCTTCCAATTGAGTCAGTTCTTCGCGCTGCTCTGGACGTATACGAGGTATAACAGCCATATCGTCATCGTTATCCCATTGATACCATAGTTTTCAAACAGTTTGAACCGAAAATCCACCCCGGACTCATTGCGTCGCCGCGTACAGTGAGTCTTTGTTCTCAGCTACCTTCACAGTCTGAATGATGCCCCCCTGGGCTGCTGTCTGCAGACGCTCCTTCCTCATGCAGCAGTGGCCCACGAGACGTTCGAAAAAGATCAGCAAATGGAGATTTTGCTCAATTTGGAGACATTCATCAGGACTGGCCAGCCTCTGAACGCTGTCAATGAAACATAATCATGGCGAGAGAAGCAAGCCAGATGCGCCTGTTGTATTTCTGCAGGCGATGTTTCCATAGGCTTGTGTTTACGTTTCTTGCGCGTAGAGGGTAAGGTGCTAGGCGGAATAACTTCGAAAAGGTAATCGATGGAAAACTGATCCAATTATGTGTTGGAGTGCAAGGTCCTTCTGAATGATACACTGTATATTCCAAGTCGTTTCCATTCGGAGCATAACCTTGTCTACTGGTTGTTTACCTATGTAATCTTGTCCACTGGTTGTCTTTCCAAATTTGCGGCAACATAAGTGTGCAGTGCATATGGGAGTACCCGCGTATGTTGATCTCCTTCCTTTCCGTTCCATTTAATGGCTTGAAAAAAAGCTGGAAACATGGGATTCGGGAGTGATTTTACTGGTTTCAAGGTTTTCGGGATGTGTTACGTAACGCATTACATATTTAGACGAACAATAAGGCGTCTAAATTATGTCTCTCTCACCACCCCCATCGTACGACGCTCACTCAAACCCCTACGTCTCTACGACCTCCCTGAAGCCTTACCTCGAACTTCCCCATCTACTCTCCCTTACGTGGCTCGCGTATCCAATTCTTTCCCTCCTCTTCATCGCCTTCCGTTTGCAGCTATCTTTGACGTCCGCTCAGGACGATGTCGCCAATGCGAAGGCTGATCTACTTGCTAGCTGTCAGGCCGCCCAGGAGGCTGCCACTGCTGCTGCAAGCATGCCACGGTACATGGCCATCGCTACCAATGACCAGTCTGTTACTGCAGTCAATGATTCCATGAACACTGCTCGGGCTACTCTTGTTCTGGCGCTGACCGTGATGGAGGCTATAATCAATTTCATCGTGGATATCTATTGTTCGACACTGCTATGTTTCGTGGAATTGATAGTCCGTGGCGCACTTTCGCTCGTGATAGGCGCTGTATCAGCAGTGAGTGGAGAGCGATATCGTCTCCGGACCTGAGTGCTCTCAATAATGTTTCCCTTCCTTCAAGCTTTCAGGACTCGCTAAACCAGCTCAATAGCTCTTTGCCTACGTTCTCGCAGTTGAAAGATGATATAAACGCAATGTGTGTCTACTTGCGACACCATTGCATGACACTCTCTGACTACCATGTTTTTCTCTCAGTCTTGATACTCCATTCGAACTACTGAAGAAGGATATCAACGACACTTTTGCAGGCCTCTTGTTCAACTCCTCGTTGCTTACTGTTCCAGAGCAGAACGATGTATCATTTTGCGATCAGCTCGATACTTCGGTCGTCGATGATTTGGGACAGGATCTGATTAAGATTACCAAAATCCGCGTAATAATCATCGTTATTCTCGCCCTTCTCCTTGTAGGTCTCAACTGCTTGCTTGAGTGGTACAAGTGGCGCTGCCAGCAAGCGCATTTGCAGTACACTCGAGAAGCCTGGTCAACGGATCCCTCAGTCACCCAAAGCAAAGGCTTTGCAGTCAGGAATCAGCCAGGACGAGCGGGTCCGGGGCAGGATGATCGGTTTGGAAAGACTTTCGGACCCTCAATCGGTATCTCTGACCCCACCATTGGCACCCAGCGATCGGACGCGTCCTGATCTCCGAATATCTATCGATTGGGCTTCTAGTACGTGCACCTTAGCTCAGGACCCCGACGGAGCCAAAGAGGGAGAACCGCACTCGCGCTGGTCCACTTCTCCCAAAGTAATCAAAATTGCTCCTGGGATGGGTATGCTCTCTCCTACTCGTCGTAGCCATGATCATGGTGCTCCGCCGAATCGAACCATGCGCCAGGACTCCCGCAGCATCCCCGCTGATGTGAACTTGGTGTACGAAAGCTCTGCCGTCCATGTTGACCACTCCCCGCTTGCGCCGCCCCTGCATCACGGTATCCCAAGGTCGAATATCCAGGCTCCTTCAACCCTAGCTCCCCCTCAAAATCGCCATCGACGTTCATCATCTGTCCCTCCCTGGAAAATGCCACCTCCAGTAGCTTCATCGGTCACTCCAGTAACTCGATTTTTGACTTCCAACTCTGCTCAACGGCCCTCCAACGTTCCGTTTGCGACCCCTTTTGACGACGAACATCAAGTAATTGTAGAACGAGCGCCCCCTCGCCAGAGCTACCAAACGAATCCCTTCACCGTGGTCGCTACGTAATGCTGCCACTCCAAGACTTTTGAGTAAACACGACAACTACATTGCATTGCTCTGGACGCTATATCGCTATATTACAGCATTCCCAATCATCGGGATAATTATGGTTCTTCTGAGAAGTCATCTACAACCATTCTTCCCCTACCTAATTTGCAAGTTTCCGTCTGTATTTTTATACCTGATGTCGGCCCCCTTCCCTCATGCAGGACATCCGAGTGTTGCTTTGTATAATACTAATGAATTATCACGGTCTATTGTGCTGTAACCTTGCTGTAAATCAACGAATAGATCACTTTGTAGATTCCCATTGCTTATGCTAGCAAAGCGGATTCCCATTGCTTATGCTAGCAATGGGAATCTGCATTGCTTACGTGAGGTATTGACAGAAAAATTTCCTTTCAATCTTAGCCGCCATGTCTGAGAATACCCCTGTGACATTGCTCTATTGCTTCCGCAGCACTGCCATAACAAATATCAAAAATCTCAACGGCTATCACAACAACCCCTTACTCAAGGTATGATGCAATGTTAATACCCATCAATGATAAACTATTAAGCTCTCGATTCTGTAGCCGCTTGCAGACAAATTCCAACTGTTTCTGCAAACCAAATCTAACTACCCATCCTGGAAAAGTATATGCTCTGAAGCTGTTGCCACAAGGGAACCAACCCCTATTGAATGGTCATTGGTTACCGCCAACCTGTTAACCCTTAGGCTGTTGCCTATCTTGGACTCCCTTACAGTCTCCCCCCTCACCACTGAACAAGTGTTTCCTAAAGGAATACCTACCCCTCTCAAGAAACTGGTCAGTTTCCCCAGCATTAAATGTAACACCCATTTACAACACTTTTTTTTTCTTTTATCAGTACCCAACATCCATCCATACCCTTATTCACCTAGCCAAAGTGGCATCCAGAAAGCACTCTAATGAGGAGTCTGTTCCACCTTTGGAACCCAGTGAACACCATAACATTCAAAAACTATTCCGTTCTGCCCATAATACTGCAAATGCGAAGCGGGGTCTCAATCTTATTTTCAATGTTGAGATTGCGGCACTTCATTTAGCTATGATTCATACTGTAAGAGGCAGAATTGCAAAATCTACATGCTAGCATTAATGAACACTTGCAGGGTATGTTCGAAATAGCTGGGCAGTATGATACATTTATGCAAACATGTTGTGACAAGTTTGGCCAGTGAGTGTGGTATATCATGCAAATGCTCCCTTGATCTCATTGTTATCTAGACTGCCTCCACTGGTGGTGAATTCCACCAGCACCTTCCAACTTCCACTCCACCTTTCCTTATCTATTTCCATCCTAATGCTACTCAAAGTAGCCAACCTCCCCAACATAAACTTGTCTAGGGACCATCTTCTTCACGTAGCTATGCTGTTTTACCCTCAGTGGAATGACATAGAGCTTATATATATCTCTCATTCAGGTTGCAGCACAACTAGGTCCCAATCGGCCACTCTCTCTTCAAGAAATTGAAAAATTTATGTGGGGAAAGCTGTTCAAAGTTGCTGAAGGGACACTTAGTGCATCAGAAATGATATCTGAATCTCTTCAAAAAATACAAGACATAGGAGGTATCTCAGCCGAAGTTGAGACATTTTTCCAATTGAGTAAATTTATGTCTCTGTGCTCTCCCCCACTTCTCATCAACTTATCAGCTGCAACACATGAACGTGCCATGGATAAATCCCCCTCCATAAATGACCCTGCTCCCCTCAGTACTTGCTCTCTCCTCATAAGCATTCTGACTCTGAACACTTGTATCTTCAGCTCCCCCTTTCACCCCTCAAATGAAAGAGGTTATGGATAATCCTTCTACTAGGTCTTTCTCAAGTTGTAAACCAATCTCTACTGCATTTGGAGTACCCACTAATGTGTATTCAAACAGCAACTGGAAAAGATTTATCACTCAACTCCATTTCTGGTCCCCCAAATTCTAACATTGGGAGTGGTAAGTAAACTCCACAAGACATTTTCAAATTGAAGCTCCTGACATGGCGTTACAGCATCGCCTGGTACCCTTACCACAATACCAAGTCCCACATCTGACGAGATGGATGTAGATACTGATATTGGTAAATTTCTGTAGATGCTCCCTTGACAGCCACCAACAACCCCCTGCCCACATAGATAAAATACCACTGTTCATGCCAACCTCACCAGAAGAAGACTCAGCAGAACCAACCACTACCCCAGGTGAAGACAGGTCGGCAACCAACGATGGTAAAGCAGAATACTATCCCAACCTAAATTTACAAACTGATACCTTTCTCCAAGCTAGGGTCATGGGTGATGCTCGTGTCATTGGGAAGCGTAGTGAAGCACAAATCACGCCTGGCAAGTGATTTAATCTGTCCAATAACAACTGAAAGTCCAATCCATGTATAGAATTCTTTCAAGCTGCTGTGGTGAAGGCAATCGGCATCGTAGAAACCCAAGGACTGCAGGATAGTAAGCAGGGACATTCATGGAAACTATTTTTTTTTTCAATTGTGAAATCCATCGTCAGAATCTCAACTTGAAGAAGAGGAAGCGGAGTCCTCTCAGAAACCCAAGAAACGAAGGGGCACGGCATTACCCAAGACAAAGAAAAAGAAGTCCAAGCGCAAGCATAACAGTGACTCGGATATAGAAGATGATGATGATGAAGAGTATCAGTCCTCCAAGAAGAACTCCATAATCGAAGACAATCAAGAGAAGGAGACTACGGTTTCAAAGCCCTTACCCTTTACAGATGAAGTGGGAATTGTGAGATTCACTGCAATCTTCTGTACTGTTTTCACACTCTCATAATATTCCTTAGCTCCACACTAGTACCAAACTAGTGAAAGATGCACCTGCTGACCTTGCTAGCTTACCATATCAGTTCCAATCAACTGTGAGGATTCATGTTATCACAAGATATTCCCCCATTGACCAAGTTAAAACAGAAAAAAGGGCATGTGAAGTTATATGAAGAATTGGTCGAAGCTGCCAGCATGCAGAAGTCTTCAGAATCTGTAAAAGAGTTGCCAGTTCATCAGTTCAACAACATCTCAAAATTCAATGATGGTCAGAAACAAGCCCTGCTATCCTCTCACCACATGGTTGTTCGGGATTGGGATCCAACAAAAGGCCTCAAGTTTGATCTACCATGCCTTGAACACTGTTTTGGAGCCCGCCAGTCGACTTCTACAGGTAAATTCCACTTTTCATTCACATTTGTTTCCAGTATTTGAAGAGTCATTGCACACCATCACAACAGGTCATTCCTTTGCCGCCATTCTTCATATGGCTACAGAAAGCCCTCAGAGGACCATCAAATCCATCAAGCTTGCTCTTCCCATCAGCCTTTTCCCCATTCCTCCTGGAATCTCCTGCAACACAGTAGGCGAGAGTTTCTCTCCCGGTGTAATGAGAACCAACAGCTGCGTGGCAACTGCAGGAACTACTCACACCTTGAGCTATTTCCTGATCAATCATGGAAATCACGTCTACCTCTGTCCAAGAATTGGTTCGGTCATTGTGTTTCTCTCAGAGCCTATAAATGAAGACACTCGAGCTGACATCGGCCTATTCGCACATTATTCCCGCTTCAAATTCCATCTCGGCAAAAACTGTCTCACTTATTCAGTCATACTAAAAACGGGGGATCTCTTGCAAGCATTCTGCATTATCCTATTAATCTGTTCCATACTCACATTGTATATTCTAGGGTACTCAAACCGGGTACACAATATTATACCTTGATGTTGGAGCCCTCCGTACTTCTTGAAGGTGTATTCTTCTCCAGCCCAAGTCTATACCACACAGGGCTCTCCTTGTATCAAAGTTATGCAGTGTTTCCCTCAGATATCGATTGTGACGATGCTCTGCTTGAATTCGGACAAATTATCACGTACACAGCTGCACATATTTTGGATTCAACATACAACTTTGAGCTCAAGTTGTTGAAAGCCTCTAAGAATCACCAAGAAGATGGCAAGTTAAACCACTTTTTGTTGTAAAGCAATGTTTAACCATTCCCCAGGCTCCCATGTCATCCCATACTTGTTCAATTTCCATACACTCGACGATATAATCAACTTTCTCATGCTGTACAACATCATACAGCTCTCATCAGTCCTAGATCCATGCCGGTACTTGGAGAACCAAAGCATCAAAGGCAAATATAAACATTACCAGACAGCTGCAAATCTTGTGCGAGACTGGCTATTCAGCAGATTCCAGCTTCTGGCAGATGGACTTTATTACCCTCTTTATCATGATCATGATGCAACACCCTACAATCGTTTACAGGTCATGTCGGCAAAATGGCTGGTTGCCCATGCGAAAACTTTTGTGGTTCAAGTTGTGCAGGCAGAGAATTTCCCCCATTACATGCAAGTGGAATATAGCCCTCAGCAGGTATTCCATGCAATTTGTGATGACTTCGAAGACAATGCGGACTTTCAGAGATTTTGGGGAGCTTCTGAGGAAGAAGGCGACGTTTACTTTTGGGAGGCCCAGTGGAAAAAGGATTTTAATACTTACAAATTTCCCTCGCGTGCATTTTCTGTGACCCTAATAGATGATGATGAGCAATAGGAACCATCTAGTTCCTCGCCCCAAGTACTTTGAATAAGCTGTGTAACCAAATACGTCTATTTATAAGCACTAATAATAATTGAGTGTTCCCATCATTTGCACCTTTACCTGTATTTATCATGTCTTGCTATGATATTGATGAATAGTATGTGAGCAACTATTATACACTCTGCCACCTCACTGACTACCTGTGTAGCTATCACTGCATTGTGTGCCATGGTGTGGTATCCAGTAACGAGTTCAATGAACACATGATTGTTCATGGTTTGGACAGACACGTTACGTTCAGCATAGGCTGCAAGCTTTACCCTCTTCCTCTGCCTAATCGTTTATTGAACTATCATTCCAGGCTTCAAAATTGTCATTCCAAAGATTGACAATGGTCTATTCCTCTGTCCTGGCAACCCTTGGCTTGACTGTGATTTTCAGGGGAATCCTATGGAAGTATATTCCCATATGACTTCTGTTCATGCTCAAGAAATAAAGGTGAGTTTTCTGTATACTGAGAGCCCTGTTCTTACCTTTGATGCTTCCTTTTCCTCCTTTTACAGGGCACTCAAGCATTTTCTGGAGCACGTCCTGAGCGAGACTGCATGTCTTTTGCATATTGCGTACAAGTTCCTTTTCCTCTTTTCATGTCCAACATTAACATTATATTTCTCATCTTGTTTTCACAGCCAGTAAGTCTATCTTGCACCGCTTTTGCATTTGATTCACATATCTTCAAAGCCATATCCAACATACAGTCAAGCAAAAACTGACTCTGTTCATATTCTGGAACCACACATTCACCTTGCTTCTCCTGCTCCCACATACTGCTCTACCTCAGTGACTCCGGCACGTCCTCTATGCACATTCCCCACTATCAAGATTCCTGCCTGCCCCTCGATTACACCCCCCCCATTTTATGACCCCGATCTCATGTATGCTACTGGCATTTGTGCAAACTACAACTCCACTGCTCTGCACAAGCTCCGTCCTGACCCCCTGATTGCCTTCTCTGCCATCCCCTCACGTGTGCTTGAAGAACACGGAGGCACACGAGGAATCCTCAAGAAGCTTTGTTTTCTATTACTTGAAGCATCTCAAGGTTGCATCTACCATAAAGCCCTCAATCTCCCAGACCAATGCTGCGGTGATGGGCAGCTGTACTCTTGCTCTGGTCCCATGGGTCGTGGCAACAATCACTTCTTTCTTATTTTCCGCCGTGCTTTGCAGGCACCTGATGATCTTTGTCCTGACTGTTGGACCTCTGGGTCCCCAGAGTGGACCTTACACAATTCAAGTCACTGTCGATCCTCCTGGGAAGATGTAATGCAAGGTCTCCCTTATATTATCTGGCGAATTGATAGTTACAGAAAGGCTGTATTCTCATCTCTGGAAGCTTGGCAGTTGACCCAACGTTTTACCAGCACAGTCGACTATTGTTACTGGCTGAAACTCCCTGCTACCAACCCTCCCACACTCCTATTGAATCTACATGTCCTCGTATATGCATTCTTGCAGCTGAGGAGGCAAGATAGCTTGCCTGAAGAAGGACTTGTATTCAATGGTCAGTAAATAATAGCTATATTATACTACACAAGCTGAACGTCTGAGTTATAGACAATGACCCAATCCTCTTTTCCATGCCCCAGGAGTCACTTTAAATTACCTCAATGCTGCATCATGCTTCCCCTGGAATACTTATTATCAATGCTGTGCAATCAGCACTTATACTTCAGAATGGACTTATATGTACCTACCTGGCATCATCCTCATTTCCATGCCTCGGAACTCACTCTAAATTACCTCAATCCTGCATCATGCTTTCTCTGGAATACTTATTATTAACGCTCTGCAATGGGCACTTATACTTTAGAATGGACCTGTATGTACCTACCTGGCATCATCCACTGCTTCCTGGATTAACTTAATATCAATGCCTCTCCAGTATTAGTCCATCATAGTAGTTGCACTTACTCTTGTATGCATATAAATAATGCCAAACAGAAATTAGCAAAGTAGAATGGCCTCTATTGAGGCTCTATCATCAACCACAATCACTATGAGCTCTCGCCAGAAGATAAACAAGATTCGTAAAAACCTGATCACCACCTTTCGGGACCTCCGTAACATTCCACGCCCCTCACCAAATGCCTCTCCAAATACCCGTCAGTCCTTTGTTGAAATGGTCACTATCACACATCAGGCTGCCAGTCGCATGTCCGAGCTTGCCTCAAACATGGCAGAATGGGTTCCAACAGAAGATGGTGACCCGATTGATCTAGATCATGCTGGTGAATGCAACATTTTAAAGATACACCAGATCAACCCATTAACCCTACAAATCCCAGATGATATTCTTCAACGTGAAGTGCTGCAAGGCAAAGACCGGGCCGAAGATGAAGACGACGGAAACGAAAACAACGGGGACGAAACTGAAGACGAAAACACCAACCTTAAGGATGGCTCCGCAACAGAACATGAACCAGGTTCCAAGCCAACAAGACAACCAACGGCTAAGCAACAGTACAAAGAGATTATGAACACCATTGAAGATGAAGAAACTGTCTACACCATTGAAGACTTCCGTACCATGATTATTCGAGGTGGGTATGAGGGATCTGTGTCTGCCCAAGAAGTTACTAGTTTGTGCCGTTCCCTTGTCGGCTACAAAAGGGTGTCTGCCGATGAACTGGTACCCAGCTTGTTTTCTCCTCTCTAGAAATCATCTTACTTAACCTATCATATTGATGACAGAAGGAGATATTTCGTGCAAGATCACTGTTTCCCTCTACTTCAATCTCTCATGTAACCAACAACGCCATTCAAATCCAAGATATTGCAGACGACACTCAACGCATTATGAGACGTGAAAAACTTCTCTTCATGGGTCCTGCTAATGATCAGCTCGGTTCCTGGGTTCGCATTGTCATTCGAAATGTAGAGGCTATCAAAAGCATAGAAGACTGGGAAACCCAAACTCCTGCCTCTAGAAAGCGCTTCCATCTAGCGTTGGCAAAAGAAGTCAATGCGGAGGCCTTTGAACGACTCGAACGTATTCCTTATCCAAGTAAAGTCAAGAAAAAGGAGACGACTAAACTAGTAACCAAATTCCGCAAATGTCATGACAAAGTTATCGTCCAACGCCGATGTTTCAAACGGCTATTTGATATTGCAAGTTTTGAGAGCTTCATTTACCCTTATCCCACTAATTAGGTTGCACATAGGTTGGCCCTGCTGTTCTCTTGGACCCTTTCCTACTTCAGACAACACCCAAAGGTTATCCTATGGTCAGGAACACATTTGGCGAGCTGGTTTCAAAAATTCTGGACCAATACGATCAACTTCCTGAAGAACCATGTGCACATTACTGGAATGACCGCAAGTTTCTGCTCCGAGCCGTTGGCTTCTTGGGTGGGGATGTGGTGGAAGATTATATTTACGATTTTCTGGAGGAGACTTTCCCTGAAGAGGCATGTTCAGGAGATGAGAATGAAAGCGATTATGAGCATGAATTTGGTGAAGAAGAAGAGTAATAACAACCGTGGGAAGAAGTCACAACCCTTATATAAATATGATTATTCATTGTTATTCTTTAACTCCAATGAACCACCAGTATGTCATATTCACAACCTATAATTACTGGCTGAACCATCGACCTAGCCACCAATGTCTTGTCTGCATGGAGCCTGTAACAATGCTCAACATCGCTGCACACCTTGAAGATCATGACACTGATGAAAGTATCACTTTTCTCATTGGAGGTTGTTTTCAAGTCTCCTACTATCTGCACACCTTATCTCTAAACTATCTCATGTAGACTTCCATATTCATATCCACAGATTAAATTCAGGACTGTTCTTGTGTCCTGGTAATCCACACTTTGATTGTTCATTCAAAGGGAGCCTCTTCAGTGTGTACAAGCACCTTTCCACAGATCATCTCAAACAGCTAGAAGTAGTATATCCCATTCTCTCATGAATTCTTCTCAATATGTTCTAGATTTTTTTCGCATTCTCCGGCCAGAGATACTTACCAACACTCATGCCAAAAGTGAGTGCCCCAATCTTTCAAATATGCACTGCATCCCCATAACTCACAATACATGAACCGAAGGTCATCAATGAAGATGCCCGTAGCCGTCGTTCTCACAGATATTTACCACCAGTTCCAAAGCTGACATCGAATCGCCCGTATACCCGCAGTGCTTCGCCTTCGCCTGTGCCTTACACCCCATTGAATATTAGGAAAGCATCTGATAAACCTTTGCTGCCAGAATCATCTGCTGAACCGCCCTCAAATATCACATATTCTTTGGAACTTCCAACTTCCTCCTCAAAAAATCCTTTGCAGTTTCCCAAGCAAATTCACACTTTCCCAACCACCTCTACACCTACAAGCATGGACCATCAAGACTTTCCTGCAATAGTGCTTTCCCCCATGGCCAACATTCCTTCTCTGTACCCTCATTCCAATTCAAAGACCATTGAGTGTAGCCCTGCTGCCCTGCTAGACCATCCTGTTCTGCTGAGTCCACTGCAAATCCCCTCAGCTTCTCAACCTCAACCTTCTCCTCTGGAAGTACCAAATTCTCCCATGGTACAAGACTTCAATTTTTCTTACCCACTGCCCCAAAATACTACCACAACATCTACCCCAATCTGCCCAGCTACCAGTGTCCCCCAATTCTATGACCATAATCTCCTTGAAAGTCACAAAAATTGTTCGACCTACAAGTCCATTGCACTATATCATCTTCAGGCATCACCCTTTGTAGAAACCTCCAGATTACCCTCTGCAACACTTGCAGCACATGGTGGATGGCAGCAAGTCTTTAATGAACTTGCCCACCTCTCTCGGGAATTCTTAGGGGGATGTATCTATTGTGTTGCCTCCAACTCCTCAAATGAAGATGACATCCACAGTAGTCTCTACCTCTGCAATGGTCCAATGGGTAGACCACACAATCACTACTACCAGTGCTTCCGGCGAGCGCTCCATGCACCTGATGGGGTGTGCTTCTCCTGTTGGACACCTGTCTCTGCATCTGCCTTTTTACATGCTCCTGTACCACCTGGAGCCAAAGTTCGCTCATTTTGCACCGGAAGACAAGGTTATGAAGACATCTTCCGTGCTCTTCCTTACATTATTTGGCGAATTGATGAATATCGACATGCCACCTTTGCCTACCTAGGGGCACCACACCTTGCTGATGTCTTCAAGAGCACTGTGGACTATACTCGCTGGCTCACTCAACTTTCCACTCCTTCCAACACCTGCTTAATCAACCTCCACTACTTGGTCTTTGCATGGCTGAAACTTCGTAAACTTGGACAACTGCCAACCCATCGCCTGGAATTCAATAGTAAGTCTTCAAACATCCCATTAACAGCTCCTTGTTAAACTCTTGGTAGGCCTTGAAAAAGATCCCATTTTGTTTTCTGTCCCCCAGTAATTAGTAGTGAACAGACGCCCCTTAGAAATGCATAAATAAATAGTTTTACTGGCAAAATTTGAAAAAAAAGGAGTGAGTGACCCTGAAGGTCACAGTGACATAAGAACAAGTTACAATCAACCACCATGGGCCGCTTTTGTAGCCGGGAAGGTTGTCGGTACTCTAATCTTGGAGGAAACAGGGTCAAGCACAGAAGAGAGTTTCATTCTAATGAAACCTTCACAGTAGCAGATGATGAACTAGTTGGTGAATGATACTTCTGCTTGCCAGCCTCTAACCTCAACCACCCTGCTGACTTTTCTCAAAAGCCATAAAATGCAACAATGAGAGACAAGTCAACCTCAAACGTCACACTGAACAAGATATACTACAATGTGTATGCGGTGATCCTCACCACCAGCGTTATTCCCGTTCTGCTATGCGAAAAATTTTACTCATGTGCCCACACCAAGTAGGTCCCTTGGACGAAAGCTTGAATGATCCACTCTGCACCATCAATCCCTACACTCAGATTGAGACTACTGCTGAATTTGTTGGAGGTTCATCTCAAGCTTTTCCACTTACAGGTGACCATGACAAAGGTCCCTCTCCTCTACAGCATACATCCACTGCCTATATGACTCCTTTCCTTCCCTCCACCCTATATCCCCCTGATGATATCATGCTGGACCTCCAACCACTGGAAAACTTGCCTAACACACCCATTCCTAATCTTGAATCCCAACTGGATGCTCTTACAGATGATCTGGCAGGTCTCAAAACTTCGAATCGTAATGAGACTTTGATCCCACTGGAGCTTGAGGAAAATGAAGGTTGCATTTCAGAGGAAGAAGAGCAAGAGGCTGCTGATATCCAAGTTCTAGATGATAACCATGGTTCCACCGAAGTCACTATTCCAGAGGAAGAACAGCTAAGCTTGGCTGAGATAGATGACCTTGTGTTCCATTATCACCCAATATCAGAAACTCCCGAGTTGGAAGCCCAGTCTTTCCTCCGAAATTGGCACATTATCGTTGACTCTACCTTCCATCAGACTATTTGCCTGCAGTGTGAAAAACCAGTCATCTGGGCTCATGTTCTGGCACATGTATCCCATCACCGAAATCAAAACTACTCTGCACTTCGTGCTATAGGTGATGTTGCACCTGTGCCTTCCAAGGATGACTTTCTCAGCAGACTCATCTCACTTGGGGCAGACAAACCCAAGCCTTGGCCTACTCAGCCAATTGCTCCCATAGATGGGTTGAATCACACGCCTGCCGCCCGCTGCAATTTCCCCTTGTGTAGCTTTATCACCCATGGTAAAACCGAAAAGCTCACCAGAGAAAATATACGCAGACATACCAAGGACAAGCACCCAATGACTCTCCCCTCCTTTACCAACATCCTCACTCACCATCTCAAAGGATTTCGTGGATCATCAGCGGTACAATATGTAGAAATCATTCCACCTAAAACATTGTATGATTCCAACCATTCACTCCAAGCTCTAATTCGACACTGTGCCACTCGAGGGTTAGGTGCTACCCCTGACAGTTTCAAATCCGATAGTCAACTCAAGGCAAATGCCATGAATGTTATCTATTCCCAACTCAACTGGTACAAAATTATCGAGGATGTGTCATTTCCCCTAGTATTCCAATCAGCTTCCACTCCAAACATGACATCCCCAGTATATGAAAGTGTCATTTGGAGTGTTGGACCCCAGTACTATGCTGCTGTTGTAGAGGAACTTGATACTCTGAGTGTTCTTACCCGGAGATGGCTTCGCTCACCAAATAAAAAGTTTGTGGCACAAATTTCACCTATTCCACTCCACGCATTGATAAAATCGTTTATTACAGTTCAGAGCTCAAGCAAATTCCCTTTCGGCGTCCCCAGGAAAATGGTACCTTGAACAAGGATGCCAACTTTCTTACCAAATTCGTGCTCTTTCTCATACGCAACATTGATCAGCCCATCCCCAATTTCCCCATCATTGTCCATCCACACACCCTTGACCTATTGGCAAAGCTTAAAGAAGCCTCCAGTGTCAATCTTGTCTCCATTCCCACCCTGATACCTCTGTTTCATGAAGCAGTGTGGTCCTTTGTCTCCCATCCTTCTCAAGCATTTTTAGAAAATGATTTGATGTGCCCATTCATTCGTTATATGGTTGCCTCTAGCCTACTCAATGAAACCGGCACTTTCATTCCCATTCGACTTGTCCCTCCTCATTTATCCGAGATTCAATGGTGCTGGCGTGGATCTGGTGCATATGAGATTATACAGAAAAAAGCACTATATGATAATGATACCCTCAGGTACGTAAACACCCACCCATTACAAAGGTGATTGTGTTGAACATTTTGCAGAACTTATGAAGCCCTCATAGCACCATTCTTGCTTGATGACAGACAAACTCCATTCACAGTCATGCGACAACATATGAAGCTGATTTCCTCCATTGTGTTTTCTCAAGACACCATCCCTCGTTTCACCTGGGATGCACATTTTTCAGTGGTCTCGATGGATGGATACCCACTCAAGTGGGTCGATATTATCAATGGTTTCAAGTCTTCTCTTTCAGATCTCGAAGCCCACATTGATATAGTGTTCCGCGGGTGTCAGTATGAGCACATTTTGGAGTACATTGATTCAAGATTGGAGGCAGACTCTTCCTCGAGCGAGAACTGGTTCCGTGACTCACGAGACCAAACACAACATGGATATTCACTTGTCAAAGAGAAACTCAATCACCTTGAACAGTACCGACCCATTCTTCTAGCCCACATGATTGAGGATTCACGATTGTTTGTCACCGTTGATGGAAAGCCCCATGCCAAGCAAGGGGCACTATTAGAATGGTTCGCTCATTTACAAAACGTTATAGACACACTCTATGTTCTTGTTGCCTTCACCAGTCCAGGATCTGCCCGCGGCACTGAAATGGAAGCCTTGCAGTATTGCAATGATCATCGCCACCCCAAAAACCTTCACTTCCTAAATGGTATACTTTGCATCGAAATGCTCTACACCAAGACACAAAGTTTGCAGGGCACTGCAAAGACACTTTTACGCATGCCTGCTCATCAAGTATCTCGATATCTCATTCTAATCCTCACCACTGTCCATTATGCTGCAGCCCACGTTTCCGAGTTTGTGAATATACCAGTTGAAAATGCCAACAATTATTTGACTCATATTTTTGTCAAGTATGGAAAACCCATGACATCCGATGATTTTTCAAAGGCTATCGCCAACATGACCGCCAAGAAACTTGGCCTTCCCCTTCACCTGCGTGCCTTTAGACAGCTTGACAAGGCCATGTTCACTACCAAGTGCAACCTCTCTATGAATGAGCCGGATGAACAATCTAAAGAGATCAAAGCTATGCATAGCTTTCATGGGCACAGTGCTGATACTGCAGAGCACCACTATGGTCAACTCACCAATAATTCTACAAACAAGATCTCATCTGATCGTGTGGCCTTTTATCAACGGGTGGGGATGGCTTGGCAGACAGAGATCCAATTCCCTCACCCTCATTTCAAAAAATATGTTCTGCAAACACTGGTTAGTGCACCCAGTAAATACTAGTGCCTTAAATTGACCTGAATTAATTAGACCGAACCTCCGTCCTCTTATCCTTTTACTCGTCGTGCATTTGATGATTTTTGCCAACAACAATCTAATGCCCACGACAAAGTTCTCAAGGTACTGGATGACCAAACAGCTGAGCTCAAGGAGTCTTTCACTAGCATTGTCTCCTCTGGCTTTTACCAGATTGCTAGTCTAATCAAGGGACCAGGACAGATTGTATCATCCAAATCCCCCATCTTCGTCCATCCCAACCTTCGGAGCACCGTAATGAGCAGCCTCTATGCTGATGGCGATATATTATGGAACTCTGTTGCTCAAGCTGAATCAGTGGCATCTGTGCTATCCAATGACCACATCTTTAGCATTTTGCCTACCGGTGGAGGAAAAAGCCTGCAGTTCTTTGCTGCCCCGGTTCTAATGCCCAGCCGGTTATTTGTGGTTATCCTTCCTCTCGTTTCACTTATGGATGATATGGAGCGCCGGTTACAGACAATGCCCTACAAGGGTGGGGTGTGGTCACCTGGAACCTTGATCAATCCAATGGATATTCAACTTCTTCTGGTACCAGCTCACCGTGCAGGTACCCATGAGTTTTATCATTATTTAAAGCTACCTGCCATCCATGAGCGACTGGAAAGGATATTTATAGATGAGGTGCATCACATCCGTACCGATGCCACGTTCCGAGAATGCTTTGCACGTCTTCGATATCTCACTGCTCTAGGCAAAAAGTTTTCATTCCTCTCTGCCACTGTTCCTCCAACCGACCTACCATTCATCCTCAATGCCCTGGATATCACTGACACCTCGTTGGTGCGTGAAATAAGGAGCTACACTGGCCGCCCGAACCATGCATATAGCCATCAAAAAGTAGAGGCTGATAATTTAATCGACGTGGTCATCAAATATGTTCAATCCCTCCCTCCCTTAGCTGAGGATGAACGTGGCCTTATATATGTTACCAGCATCTATGGAGCCTGTGTACCTCTTGGAGAAGCCCTTGGCTTTAAATCTTACTTTGCAGCACTCTCAGATCCAATCAAGAAAGATATTCAAAACAAATGGCACCGGGGGAAGGCCTTGGAAGATCGCTGGCTGGTCTGTACCAATGCATATTCTGAAGGGATAGATTTTGGGGGGGTTCGACATGTGGTCAATGTAGAACCCTTTGGCATGACAGACCTTAAACAGCAAGGTGGTCGGGCGGGGCGGGATGGAAAACGATCCCAAGTTCATACCATCTGGACAAGGCTTCCTTGGTTTGATCCTACATCCGATGATATACAGCGCAAGCAGGAGCTCAGTCAATATTATCAAGAGCCACTCTGTCTTCGTTTTGCTGAGGCAAGTATGGATGGCAAGGCACACTGCTGTGCAGCTTTGAATGGTGAACTTTGCATGAATTGTGAAAAGGCAGGTTGCATTCTTTCCAAGCCTTGTGGAGCTTAATGCCACTATTTACAGTTCAAAACACAGCATCCAAAATGGTTCAGTGGACCACCAATTGCACGCAGTAACGTTTCCATGAACTTTTCATCCTTGCCAATAGATGAATTTGCAATGGATGTAGAGGCAGTTCCCCTGACTACAACCATAGCTGCAAAACCTTTGCAAGATTCCATGGAAAGGGCCGAGAAGGAGATGGATCAACTAAAGGATGTTTTGGACCGTATAGTGGCTCGGAAATGTGTACGATGCTTTGTTGAAGGGGTTGCCCATCCACCGCATGCAGAGACCCATCAGGACTCACCTACCTTTGAGATGGCCTACACCAAGTTTCGAACTTGTAAAATCCCCCCCTCCAAGCACTGGGCAAGCTGCTTTTGGTGCTGGATACCCTTTGGCCCTTATTTTGGGCACCCAACACCAGTAGTTGCTTCTGAGCTGGACAAGTCACTATGTCCATTTGAAGGACTATGCAATCGGATTCTCCCTAGATTCATTGCATATATATGGATGCATGAGGAAAAATGTCTTAAAGTTTCACAGGAACTTGGAGTGGAATGGCATGACTCACAAGCCCTAGCTGAGTGGCTTCAGGAAAAGCCTCAGCTACCTACTATGTGGGAAGAACTCCCTCATCCTATCCAGTTTGTAAACGCATTTTATAGATCTTGTATAGCTCATTGATTATGTCAGAATATACTTCTTGACCTTCAACCGTCACCATGTTCCAAGAAAGTCACTCTGATAGTTTGGATGCTGCTGCAAATATACTCTACGATGCGTATAGTCTCATTTCCTCGGTTGAACCTCCACAGTCTTCCATAGAATCCGAGGTTTATGTCAAAAATCTACGTATGATTCACAAAAATGCCGAAAGAATCCTTACCTGGACCCTTGGAATGGGTCAAATTGTTACCAATCAACTAGGACAATGTGTTGACCTTGCTCTAGGGGAGTTCAACGAAGGTGAGTGCCTACTCAGTCCTTACTTAGAATACACCTAGCTCATTTGTTACAAGACATGTCAATGCCACTCAGCAGTCCATCCAGTACTCCGATACCATCTTCTGATGACTACGGCCAATTGAATTTGGTATACGATGACATCACTATATTCACTCTCGACATCATTGAGAATATATCCAACGAGGCTGTCAAGTATAATCTCCACGATTTGGAAAACTGGATTTACCACCACCCAAGTATTATTACACCCAAATTCGAAAAAACTGGCCTTCGCACCATAATTCTGGGGTACCAGAAAGCCAGGCCCCATCATGCCGTGTGTAAACATTTTGAAACCATTGCCCATACCAGCTGATTCTCCCAAACAGTGGCTCAACGCTATCCATGCGGAAAATCCCTTTCCTTCTATCAGCCGTCTCCTTTATAGTGTTTCTTCACTTGGCAGTGGGGGCACGTTGCAAAAGAAAATACGAGAACGTGAAGCTTTTCTGGGCCAGGGGTTCGGGAACGATAAGGCCTTGTTGTGGACTCATCAAATCCTCCACAACATTGTGGCAATCCAATCTGCTATTGATTGGGAACAACTTGACGACCAAGCCCGCCTCAACCTCAGTGCTGACCTCTCTCTCACCATGTTCTCTGGCGAATACGAGGACATTGAATCCCACAAGGAACTGAGCTCATCAAATAGAGACAATGAAGAAGCAACATTGGTGCTCAAGTGCCATACCACCCTGTCCAATGTAATGGCAAGACGGATGCTCTTGAAGCAGTTGTATGAAAAAGTAAGCATTGGAAACTCTATATTTTACAAGTATGGTACCCAAGATTTGTAGTTTGGGTGCACAGCTCTCATGGATGTCACTATACTCCATCCATCCATTTACGGCAAATTTCCTCCATCCCGTTTCTTAACCAATGCTGTGGACAGTGTTGTAAGGAGCCTTGCGTTTAATCCTATAGAAAGAACAGAGCACTGGAGGCGCCGCAAATTCTTCAGCCATGTAGTGCAGAGTTACGTTCCCACCAAAGCCTGGGCTGTAATTGAAGATTTTCTGACCACCACAGCTCCGTCCGAGGTTGATATAGAGATGGACTCGGAAACGGAAACCCAGGAAGCAGTATCGGGAAGCTCAGAGAACTTGAACAGATCAGAATTGGGGGGGTCAGAGAACTCGGAAGGTACAGAATCGGAGGGGTCCGAGAAGCCTGCTTCAGGAGACTCGGAGGACTCAGAAGAGGGGGAGAGTACGTAGCAATAACAAGTCCAACAGTTTAGCCCCCTTTTAATACTTGAACCTCAACTACCACCATGTTTAATCAGTCAGTTACTAGTATTCTTCCATAAATCCCAATCTTAGTTGTCCAGACCTGCTTCTAGGCCCCCAACTTGGAGAACAAGATACTGTGTAGCTCCTGTAGAGTGTAAGATCTCTTTGGCAGGTTGGATGACTCTCTTTTCTCAATGCATCCCAGATCACTGGTCTGCTCCAATGAGACATGTCCCACATCCACTGGTCCACCTACTGTCACCCCACCACCCACCATTTGCCATTGATTTTCGCTTTCCACTTGATTTAAACTCCAGAAAACCCTTGTTCCTCAACTTAAACTGGCATCCTACTTCTCAAGACCTCAATGAACATGCCTCCTTCCCCAGCCTCTATCATATACGACTTTTCCATCCCCGTCTTCCTTGGTTCATCGACTTGGCCTCTCAACTTCCCCTTACTGTACAAGACATAATAACTGGTGTTTGGAATTATCTGCAACAGCCCATTCATGCAACCGATTTCTACAACCTTGAAATGAGTTCCCGTACCTTCTCTTCTCAAACCGGCCAGCAAATGGTTGCCCAAGCCTTTCATGCAAGATGCCAAGCGATAGCCAGCTACTTTGGTGACTCAACTGGACAGTGCCGGGCTTATCACACCTCTCAAGGAGTCAAGAGGGTAGACTATTTAGGGATGGACAAAAATTGGACATGGATAGGTGTAGTTCCCATGGGGGATGTATGGGAGATCAAGACTGGAATGACTCCAAATTAGGCCACTTTCTAACAAATTCACTTCCATGTATACATGTCACAAATTGCCTACTCTACCAAACTGTAGCTGTAACGTCCCCTTGTATTGAATTCTTCAAGGTTTCTGACTGAAAGGAGATTCTTGATTGCCTTTGCCAAGGCTATGGTTTCCAAATAATCCCCCACAAACACTGCCTGGATTCCCAATTTTGAAAGGCAGGGTGCAATACTTGGTATTTCAGTGGCTGGCTCAATTCTGGACAGGGTTTCGAGGAGCTCCAAGAGAGAGCGGATATATCCATCTTCTGCCTCCCCTATACAGTTTGCATTCATGGAGACCATCAAGCTTGTAATGGTGGGCTGCATTCTAAGCAAAGCCTCAATATCAATCCCTGGAATATTGTCGACCACTAAAAACTGTAGTTTGGCTCCAGATAAAACCAACATCTCGCATATTTCTGTACAGAAAATCGAATGGAGGGGAGTCCATTGGATTCGATGTTCAGGTGGGATTCGGGACAGTGACAACTTGGTCAGACTTGGAAGGTGGATATTAAACCACCCTCCTGTGCTCTCTGTGGTGAAAATAGAGAGCTCCACCAGGTTATGGGCTGTGCAGGATGATGGGCCAAAAATCCTCCAATGATTAACCACAGGTGCGTCCAGACACAGAGTCTCAAGTTTAGGCATTCTAGCCAGCCAAATGTGCAAGGCACGTACGAAGGAAAAAGAGCCCCGGAAGTGGCGGATGTTCGAAAGATCAGACATATGCAAGCTGTCCGAGGTGTAACTGAAGGTGGGATGAAAAGTCATGAGGCTAGGGCAGCTGGTGAATACCTTCCACAGGTGTTCAAACACAGGAGTGGAACGACCGCGTTGAAGAAACACCCCTAGTGTTTTGAGAATTGGGAAGCGTACAGGATAGTCCTCCAATTGACGCTCTATCAAACTGGTGATAACAGCCTCCTCAAAGCTCTCCAGGCGGTTGTGGTAGTTGATGAAATACAGCGTTTGGACTCGAGGCAAATTATTCACAACCAGATTGAAAACCTGATCAGAGTACTTTCCAGCATTGAAGCGGGGCTCAAAAAAGATAGTGAGAGGTGCCTGTTGTGATAACCGAAGGTACATATCAACCAGATGGACCATTCCTCCATGAAGATCAATTTCCTCAGCCTCGGGCAGGAACATGGAGGACCAAGGTTGGGATGAAGTTTGGAGAATGCTCCGCCAGAAGCGACACACCCAAGACAGTTTGACAGTGATACAAGGCTCTGGAGTATTCACTGCAAAGGTCAATCCATGTGGATACAGAAGAATAACCTCTATAAATATCTGCAACCAAACCTCCGCAGGGGTTTCAAGTACAGGAGACATTGATCTAGGACACAATTTAATAAACCCTTGTACAGAATTAGAATAACCTCACCGTTAGTGGAAAAGTTGTAGCTTCGCCTTCTTTGATACTCAAAGTCAATCTTATCTACAATCTTATCTTATCATTGAATACAAAAGAATTTTTCGAGTGACTCATTGTAATCTTCGTCCTTTCTTCCTACTTTCACCTCACTCACTGGCCGAAACTCTACTAGAATCCCTCTACGAAATGGAGGTAGGGGCCATAAACCCCTTCATTTCTATGTTGTAGTGCAAGGCCTTGGGTCTATCTCTAGTTAAGGAGGTAGGGGTGATAAACCTCTTCATTTCCGTCCTGTGGGACCAACGTGGCTTTCCTTCGTGAACTTCTTTATTATTCTGAGATGGGGTGTGTTCTCTGGGTGGCAAGGTGTTTGGCTAGGTGAGTTATTCCAGAATTTCTTTTCTTTCAATCCTAATCAACTATTGGACACAGATAATACTAGGCTTCTCGTTGCATAATTAATACCTCAGCCCTTCTCCAGACCTCCTCGGGGTCCTCTATCCCTGAAACTTGAAACTTATAATGCAAAAACTCAGGAGCTGGTAAATCACTGATGATAGCCACCGCCGTTTCCCATACCACATTCTGGATCACCTCCAAGGACACTGGCAGGGTATGGGTAGCCAAGGACTGTAAGATTAAGACCCTGAGCTTCGGAGGTGGCTGGAACTTGTTGACCAAAAACGGATCCAAAAGTTGAGGGTGACCGACTCTTGGATGGAAAATGAGCCAAAGGTGGGTAAGATGCACCAGGGATCCCAGGGATAAGTTGCGGACTCTGGTAGACCAGTCTTCTATCGTAAAGTCTAGCTGCAGCTTCTGAAGGTTGGGAAAAGATTCCTCCGGTTTCCGTAGAAAAATCCCACTGTTTCCATAAAAGCTCTGAACGCTGTCATGGATATCCTGGCTTAAGCCAACAACCCCAGCTCCCCATTCCATATCAACGGTCAACGTCTCTGGGCAACACGCAGCTAAAATCTGTGGAATAGCATTCGATGCCCTTTTTTGAGCTGCAGTGTGGGACAGGGAAGTGGTAATGTGAAAGTGAACACCGTGTACTAGAGATTTGAGGCTGGTATTCTGCTCCAGAGCTGCAGCGAACTTGTTTACTTTCTGTGCTGTAGTGAGCGCTACGCGGTCATATACCAATGGTTCGATCCTGAGGGGGGTAAACCGTTAGAATATAAAGTTACTACGATGAGGCTATTCACCAATCCCAAAAAGCAGAACAAACTAGTCCCAATTTCAGGAGCTTTTTGTGCTCATACTGCAGTATATCCATGAAAGTCCCGCCATGGACCTCCTCTTGAGCCAGCTCATGCACTATTCCCACTGCCTCCACTACAACCAGATTCTTTAATTCTACGGGCAGCTTGGAAAAAGATGGGAAACCCTCTGCATTATGCAAGGACTTGTTTAATAATCCCTCATTTGATACTGATACAACTGCGTACCAGATGTTTCCTTCCTCCCTTTAAGTTTTTTTGGCATGGTAGTACCAGTTTGGGTTATTACTGGTCATGTGGTCTGATATCAATTCTTAATGCAACCTCCATCATTTCCATCCACCCTTCAGGAATTTGTCTCGATTTGGGCCCAGAAATACCCCATACATGGAGACTTGGAAAGCAAGACATTTTGGATGGATGAGTGTCTTTTGGATATCTGGGAAAGTGATGATCTGGTGTGTTTCATATGAAGCAAACTCAACTTTTCTTCGTTTCAATAATTGAACAGATTGATGAAATAAAATTCTGGATCTGCTCCAGTCTAGATATCGACTCCAATTTGGACCATATTGTTGATCTAGGCCTAACTACACAAGTCTTTTTCGCAGTTCTTATTGCCTACAAGGTTCAAAACAACTGGCCCTTGGCGGAGGAGCATTTACAATCCTACCAAAAAGTCTTACTAGCACAGGTAGAAATTCACTGTTCACTGGTTTGTTTTGGCAGTCAGCCTTTGAACTGTATCATAGGTTCCCCCACAAAAGAGTTTATTTCATACTAGAAATGCCTACAGTGACAGCAACTCTTCCGATGATTCTGACCCAGAGGTCTTCATTCTTCAAAAGGCTACCAAGCGGCCCAGAACAGTCAATACTTCCAACCATTTGCAGCTACCGCCTGTCCTAACTCCAACATACTTGCTCACATTAACCTCTAGCTGGAGTGTGTTGCTCCAAAGCTTGATTACCCCCCAAGTCAGTCCAAAGGATGTCCAGACCTATATTACTTAGTATTGTTCATCCAGGAGGTGCCCAAGCCCACCAAAAAGGAGCTCATCCTGGCTGTAAAATTCATGCGCGAAGTCCCCTTGGAATTGGCACAAAGTCCCATTTTTCAGAAAGCAGTTTTGGTAGTCACAAATTCACTAGTCAATGAAAGCTACACCAAACTAACCAGATGATCCAAGTTATCTAAACTGATCACCACAGTCCACATAATCACACATCCAGCATACTCAGTTTTATATGGCCACCTGTGGAATAATGAAGATCTGGAATCCACCTATCGCATAAGTGAACAGCTTGCTTACATCACCTCTGCCTGGATTCCCTTAAAGACCAGAAATAAATGGACCACTCCTCTGTACTCCCCAATACCTGTAAGCTAATCTCACAGGTCTTCCCTGGCTATGAAATCTCATTTCCGATACATCAGACTTCTGGTGCACTGTTCTATTCACTGAAACACTTCTTCAAATTTTTCAAAGATCACCCCAATCTGGTCCCTGGTACTGTCCACCACGATTACATCTTTTTCTTGACCTCCTTTGAGTCATTTGACTATAACTTCAATCGCTGGCTAGCCCCTGCCCTTTTGGCCCTGAACTATCAGGTAATTATATTACCAAACAGAGTACCACCAGGCAGCTACACTCATTCATACTTTATTGCCCAGGTATCCAACCTTTCCTCCCAAAATAAGCTTTTCAACCTCTACAGTCAGATTATACAGCAGATCCACCGTCTCTGTACTGTAAAGCACCAAGGCTCCTTTGAGCTTGAACGTTGTGAGATGGATAACCACCTCAAGGTCATAGTTAAATGCACCTTTGACTTTCGCGAGGCATTGAAATCCGCGGGGCAACAAGCATCCAAGCTACGTGGATGCACAAAATGTCAAGAATTGCCTTTCGACCAACACTGTGTTCAATATCGTTACTTTCCTCGCTTTGGTCCTGGCCTTTCGGAAGCAGAGAGGACCCGACGAGCAGACATTTTGGCAGAAGAGATGAAGCACACTAGCGTCACCCTCGTTCCACCCCATGAGCAAATGATTCCCAAACCTATTAAGGTACCAATGTTTACCCTAGGTGGAATTTGTTTTGACCATTTTCTAATAGGCTGGAATTCCCATAAAACCTATATATTCTCCAAATTCTTATGGAGAGCAGTACAAATACTCACTCACTCCATTGACTGCTGATGAAGATATACTTCATCGTTGTGGTCACCAACTGTATCTCATCCTGGATGAAGAAGAAGACCAGATGGATCCTAACCGTTTCCATGTTCAGTGGGGAGATGGAAAGGTCCCAGTGAAATTTTCCACTACCCAACCCCCATTGCTTATTTACTCCTAGGTTCCCTTCAATTTTGCATGGTATGGAGCCTTCTCACAAAGTGCCCTCAAGTTTCTTCAGAAAGTTGCTGTATCCACCACAGGCGTCAAGCCATTGAAAAGAGGGGGTCAGTTTCAGGGGTATCACACTGGGAATATGACTCCCATAGGAAGCCGTTTAGCCTCAGGGGGGCGGGAACTTGATTCATATGGCCCATATTCCGGCCTGGATAGTTCTTCCATTCAGGGAATAAACATGCTCTTTGATCAAGCCATTGCAAGTTGATTTTTTCTTCGTAAATTGAGTGTTTTACTCAGCCAGTTTACAGGTTTCACAGCTTATGCTAGAGACCACCAGAAAAGCTCATCCCGCTCTGGTGAAAAAGATAATAGAGCTCTCTAAGGAGTGTGACCGTCTAGGTCTCACCGGGGCCAACGTTTACAACTGCACTGGATACGTTGCACCTGGACACCGTGACAAGGACGCTGCACCCAGTTTATCAGTTCAGGCATTTCTTGCTGCCAATTCTCAATACCATGAATTCAGCTTCTGTCACTATGAACACCTTTATTATGTGGTATCAAGAACAAACCTTCTCTGGTAGACTTTTCAACGAATTCTATATTTGGGATTACCTGATTAATATATCTCTTAGGAGCTTTGATGCCAATTTTGTTCATGGTACTATGCTCCCAAGCCAGAGGACACTTCGAAACTTGAACAGCCTTGCCTCCAGCTCCATGTTGCACCAAAAAAGGGGTGTGACTGCCTCCAATGGTCATCACCTTACTGTCACTCGTAAAAATTTGAAGAGGGCACAAGAAAATGCAGCAATCCGCAAGCAGTACCAATTACGTGAGCAGTATTGGGTTAAATTACAAGAACAGTTACTTTAGACTTGAGTGATTATCACCAGGAACTCCATTCTAAAATAAAATCTCTGTGAGGTTTTACCTGACACTCTGTACAACCTCGAAGTCTCTGGCACCTAGTCTCAAATATCATCTGCCACTCTTTTTTCTGCATCTCATTATCTCTTGCACCATCGTGAATCAACAAAGTTAAGAATACTCTTTCTAACCCAGGATGGTAATCACAAAAGTCCAAGACATGCATCATGGCTTCAAACCCTGCCTCCACCTTAACAATCTTCAGTGAAGGGCAGTGCAAACCCAGGTTTTGGAACAATATATGAGAGGTCGTGTCCCCAGCCAGGAGATCATCGTCTTGATAGACCAACTCTTGTAAACAAGCCAGCTGCCCCAGTAACGTCTGGGTCATTTCGGAAGGAAAGCACAAATTTTGAATATGCAGCTGCATCAAGGAGTGACGAGTGACTAGTGGGACCAATTGAAGCAGTCTACCCTTGGAAGAAAGCTTCCAGCCAATTTCAAACATTTGTAGGATGGGAGTATCTAGATGTTCCATCAAAACGTCCATATTTCCAATCTCATTCACCTCCCTGATACAGAGTGAGTGACAATGAGAAAGTAGCACCGGTCTAAGGCCTAAAGAGGTTCCTAAAATCTTTTCCAAGACCAGAGACCTGATGTTTCGACAGGCTTTCAGAAGGTTCCAAACATGGGACAAGTCCATATATGCAAGAGTGAGGGTAGCCAAGTGTTGGAGGGAATACAGGGGCTCCAGTGGAAAATAAACCAGTTTGAGAGCAACCAGCTGAGGACAGTCCCAGGTCCAACCCACAGCCTCAGAGGAACCATTGGGTGGCATTCCCCAGTCACAGATGTGTGAGATTTCAAGAGAACGTAGGTTTTTGAATGACAAATGGTCACCAAAAACTTCATCCAGCTTGTGGGGCGTATACATCGAAAGGGACAGTCTCTTCCACCGGGGAATGGAGCTGGTTAAAAGTGCGGATGGGTCTCGAGGATAGGTAGGGAGTGACAGTGTGCAATCAAGTAGGACTGAAGAAGACCTTTCCAATAAATGGTCTAGAACCCTGTTATCACCGACATCTTCCATTTCGAAAGTAGACCACAGCAGGGGATCTTCATTGACTAAACTGTGCCAAAACTTGCAGACCTATAGAAACTATCAAGATCAATGACATTAAAAATACCTGGAATGCGCACCAGACCCAAGGTTATCATTGGAAGACTGTGCAAGGGCCGAAATCCAGTACCCCAGGATGAATGGATTATTTTAGTGTTTCTGCAGCACAACCAAAATATCCTTGCCAGAAGTTCTTTTGGCAACAGCCAGATAGGGGCCGATGCCTCCAATAGCTTGGTCAAATCCATATTGGCATACAGCATGTCTGTTTCCAGCCTCTTAATAGCCATCTCCAGGTCCTTTATACATTCCTTTTTCTGCATAATTTTGAGCTTTATAGCTGCCCGAGCTTCACCAGAAAGGTCCCATGGAGGCATTCAAAAGGTAGTGATGCTGCTACTGAAGACTTGTCAGTAGCAGTTTTGACAATGCGTAACATCTACCTTGTGATGAAGAAAGTCTGGTCCAAGTTTCTTAATTTACATAATTATGTGTATACAATTACATACTGTACTGGAATCCAACTTGCTTCTCTTGTTCACCTCAAACTATATGGTACATTATTGAAATTAGTGCTTGACAGTGTCACCACCATGTACTAGCACCTGCTCAATGAACAAGACATATCAAATACAAGTATTGCTGCTTTTGATCATCTCAGAAACAACCTTTATAATACCCCAATCTTACAAGATTTCTCCTATAAAAGAGTGTTATGGCCATGAATAGCAACAGCACATTATCTAGGTTCACTAAATCACCTTGTAATGTAGATATAATTGATAACCAACTGACAATACCAGTTTGTTAGGTTTTTTTGATTTCACTGGCTATTAATGATTTGTTGCAAAATTAAATCTTAGTGGCAATGACAGTGAGACCATAGTAACTAACACTCTGCAATGTAAAGGCGCACTACATTGCCAGACCATCCGCACACTTTGTTAGTAGTGGGTGAGGTTCGCCGCAGGCACTTGCAGATATCCAAAGCAGCAAATGAAGCTTTAGGGTGCCTGCCAGCGACTCCCTGGCTCAAGGGACCCCCCTGAGCGCAGCAAGGGAGCGGAGAGCAGGCCTGATATTTGGTCTACAGAGTAGAATCATTACTAATAATGATCTAGATTTTTGATGTCTGTATGGTGTGAGTAGTGCCAATGCCAAGTATTCTTCTGTCTAGCGGAAACTCTTGGGTTAAATCCCTGCCGGGGTTGTTCATTGTTTACATTTATCTGGTAATCTTAGGGGTTACATGTAATACTGTGCCAAATATGGACGAATCTTGTGTCCAATGACCCTGTCGGTGATTATTTTCAACATATGCATCATGTAAAGAGTAACACTTGAGTTGGTGAGCTGACTGGCAGCAATGCATCTGTGAGAATCACTACCCACTCTTTCAATCCAACTCAGCATTGGTCATTGTATTTCTGCCGGGAGGTTTTTACCCTGCCATTTTCTCCCCTATCTGCCTATGGTCACACCAAAATCTAGTATACCTAATGCACCCAGAATAGTCAACCTCTCAAGTGCACCAATAAGGATCCAGGATTCCTACCTTTCAGAAGCTTACTGATAGAGTCTTCCAACCAAACATTAGCTGTATTTGTACCCATGGGTGAAGAACACTCGAAAGAACAAAGACCTGCAACCGTGCAATCAGCTGTTGAATTTTTTTTGCCCTATGTTGAAAATAATGTTCACAAGCACGTGCCTTCTGCACATGTGTAAAAAATACCTACATCATCAATGGACGTCAGATACCCCAAAGTAGCAGGTGATTACTAGAACCTCATTAACTTTGTGTTATTTACAGAGCCCATTCTTTTAGGATTTGATCTGGTCCAGCAGATAGGTGATGGTGGCTCCTCCAAGTCAGTACTAAACCAAGCATACCTCATGTAATTTTTTTGATCCTCTCACCTAGAGTCTTTGAAGCTATCAATGCCTTAGACAACCGTGTTGCGGCCTGCAAAGTGATCCCCATCACAAATCAGACTACCGACAATGACCGTAAACTACTTAGCAAAGAAGCACGCATACACGCAGTAATGAAGCACGAGCATGTCCTGGAGCTCCTTGCAACAGTAATCGTGGAACTCAAATACCAGAAATTTTATGTCCCAGGTGTATATATGCTGATTGAGCTGGCTGCTGGAGGAGAGTTGTTTGACAAGATTAGTGCGCCCCCTCTGCTTTTGTCTTCTGAAAATTTCTCATTTTCAATAGCCCCAGATGTAGGTATGGGTGAACAAATTACACAATTCTACTTTAAGCAGTTGCTTGCTGGAGTGGTCAGCCCCATCTCCAAATTATCAAGCCAACAAGCTTACCAACAACTGAATAGGAGTACATTCATAGCAAGGGCATATGTCACCGCGATTTGAAACCTGAAAACCTGTTATTAGATGTCAATGGAAACCTCAAAGTTGGGGACTTTGGGCTATCTGCAGTCTTCCGCCTAGGCAATGGTAAAACTAGAAGGCTATCTGAAAAATGCGGAAGTTTGCCCTACGTCGCCCCCGAGGTGATCAGCGACGACACTTATGCTGCAGAGCCCATTGACATATGGGGAACTGGTGTAATTTTATTCATGCTCCTTGTTGGCAGTAAGTGAGCCGCCCTGAATATACCCCTGAATTCATTATTATCCTTTCCCCCCTGCAGAGATACCATGGACCGAACCCACAATACAAAGTGCAGAATATCAGAAATACATATCAGGACTTATTTTTGAGAAAGTACCCTGGACTAAGTTGAGTGATGATGCGCTTTGTAAGTACTTGCATGCTTCACCAGGAGAAACTTATCCTACTCACATCTACCATAGCCCTCATATGTGGCTTAGTAACTATTGACCCATCCCAACGATTGACCCTCTCTGAAGCAATGCAACATCCATGGTACACCCGGTATATTGTACAGTTATTTTCTCTCAACTACTTCTCATCATAAATCAATGCAGAGAAAATGTACTTGCACACCAAAGTAGTGAAGTACTTGCCAGCAAGCTAGTGCAGTCAGCTTCTATAGATACCTTATCCCAGCCCACCAATCAGTATGTCACTACGGCTTTCATATAATATGTTGTATAACTGACGCAGTTATATTGGGCTCAGGGCTGGAGTATTGTCCACCTTTGCAGGACCTTTGAACAACTCAGAATTTACAAAGCCACCAATGTTTCCTGTATGCACATAGTAGCTCACTGTTTATCTTCAGTCCTGACTCCACACAGTCACAGACTCAGTTAGGCACATGTTACACCCCATGCCTCACCTGGTTCCATGCATCCCTTGGCCCAGTGTTGCTGGTACCGATCATGAAAGAGGCCCTGGTTGATTTGGGAATTAGTTACAAAGAAAGTTTTCAAGGGGGTGATTATGAAACAGGCATCAATGGAGAATGGAAACTGGAAATCAAGGGCCGAGATGCACAGAAGATGTCCTTCTCAGGATGGATTGAGATGGAAAACTTTATGCATGAGGAGATAAAGGGGTCCTTTTGCATAATGTCACGGGCCAAGGTATTTTATGCAACAAGCTTCATGCAATTTACCAAAGAACTGACATGAGCTGGCTAGGGTGAACCCCTTTCATGGCAACAAACTTTCCAGTCTCTGCTTGAATCAAATGCAGTGAGCCCCCATATCATCAGGACCAAGATTTGATACCTCCAGCTTATTTCCTTTCCTGTTGTGAATGAGAAGTCTTTGTTGTAAACCACATTGTAAACTAAATTACACAACTCCATTGGAGTATTTCACACCTGAATTTTGGCCTACATTGAGGCCATGCATCAAACACTAGTAAAAATGGTAGGTGTTTGTTACAAGCCTACCCAAGCCCGGGAGTTTAAACCAAAGATGTTATACCTGTTCATCACCTTGGCCCTCAGTCAATTCAGGCAACGTCAGTAAGCTAGGCAATATAGGTACCTTAGTCAACTTAGGCAACTTAGGCAACTTAGTCAATATAGCGTAGCTTAACCAATAAGAGTGCAAGAATTTCGATATGGTAGCACCTTCAAGTCCCTTTCCGTGACGGCGGCGGAGGATGTCAGTAATAACAAGCCATGTACGTAAGGCACCAAAGTTGATATTGTGGCTGATTGTGGTAGGCGATGGATCAGGGTTAATACGTGCGGTACCATCTTTGATTCTAAAGTATTTATTTCTCTGATTCCCCATAGTGGTGCAGCATCACAAATCCAAGAATTTTGGCTGAATTCTGTGAAATCCACTCTTATTTAACGGATGAAGAATCATCATTGGGAAAAAGATTTTCGGCCGAGCTTAGTTCAAGAAGAATTGGACAATTCGGTCTTGTGGATGGGCAGATTGCTTGTATCTGCAGCGAAGATGAATCTGGTTCATTTGCCGGTCCCACTCTCATCCTTCTTTTGAAGGAATAATTCCATGGATCACTCTCTGCCTTACACGTTTGAAATACAGACCCTTGTATTGCGCAGACTATTCAACCAAGCACTATTCCTCATCCATCTTCTCTCATAATTGAGCCCACTACTAGAATCAACCTCGACTTATCCGTTCTCATGGCTCTCGTTTCTGATCTGACCCACGCTCCACTCCCAACTACCATCAATGAGGCAAATAGTCAGTTCATTCCTCCCGAGCGATATCTCGAATGGAAGAGGAAAGTCGATGCGACCAAGGCCAAGGCAAAGAAAGCGCTTGACCCTGACTTTCATGATGAAAGTTTTCGAGTCATCGCTCCCTGCGTAGGAGGATTTGGCCAAGACCTCCCGTGCTTCAACGAATCAGGTTCTATAAGAGATGGGGGAGGGTTTGTTGCAAGAGATTGCCAACAGGCTTGATGTGCCCCCAGCCCAATGTTCCATCCGATGAAAAGGAACCGATTGAATTCTGGATGATGCCAGAAGCCCGCGACCAATGTTTCTGTATCGTGTCCAAAGTGGGAGGTCTGAAGGAGATGCGTCATGTACAAGGGCTTTTATTTGATTCCCCTGCATTCTCTGGCTAACAATCATCTCAAGCTGTTGGTTCGGATTTGAATTCAGATTATGCACTTCCTTTTCCAGGTACATGCGTATTGGACAGATTCTTGATATCCACAAAAATTCCTTCCTCTGATACCACTATGATTCTACCCTGTATCTTCCATGCTAACTTTGTCTTCACATCCGACCTCACTCTCGGATGCGCCACTTTCTGCAGTGGATGATTGTCCTCCGTTCTTCCAATCGCTACACCCTACCTGCTCTGATATCGGGATACCAAAAACACAATCGGTCCAACGGCGGTCCACAGTGGCTATAAATCCGGGAAATCCTATAGGTGCACTGCTCTCTGAACACCCTATTGGTATGCAGTATTATATTTTATACACCGTAGTCTCTGTGATAGGTCTTCTTGTTCTACGTACAGTTTACTCGTACACAAAATCTACCTATTCAATAAAATCAGGTCTCTTCACACGTTTACAAGCTCTGTAAAGGTCCCTAATCCACTCAATCATCTCCTTCTTGTTAGTTGAATCTTGCTCTAATTGAGCAATCCTCTTCCAGCTATTCCCATCTTTTTCAAGAATTACATCCCTCCATATTTTGAACTCTGCTACTGATTGACTGTTCCACTTCTCATGGTAAGCCATGGCATCCTTGAGCTGCCTCCTGGACGCCTCACCCTCAAGACCCTCCCCGATCTCCCCCTCCAGCCTCCTCCATTCACGTTGTTGACCTTTCCAATGATCCATCAGGCCACCCCACTTCTCAGAAAATAGATGATTAACTAATCTTGCTGTGTCAAACCCGTCCGAGCGGCAAAAATATTGACCAACGTGTGAGCTCTGAGTGAGTGAGAGACATGCATGAATGGTGCATGGGGGTAGGTCAACAGTGATATTCCCATCGAATAGTACGAGCTCGGGATTCTCTAGTCTCTGAAGAAACCATCCCAACTCACCCCCCTTGTATACTCCTGGTTCAAACCATTGCGAGAAGTTAATCGCCAAGTTCTTCTCTGTAGGAGGCCACAGAATCCAGAGTTTGGCACCTGAAAGGTGGCCGATTCTCATTGAAGATCCCATACCATCCGTATGAGGAAGCGTGAATGCACCGTTTTGAGTGAAAGTGATTACCGGTGGAATACGGGGGTCAAAAATGATCCCTGATGAAGAGTGGTCCGCCCATTCGAACTCCAAGTCTCTAAAGCCACCAGATAGGGCCTTTGGCTCAAGTTCCACTATTGAGTAGTAAGCGTCATCTTTGGTTAGCTTGTCCTTTCCAGCAAAGTTAGCTAAAACGTGACCTAAGAGCCATGAACATAATATAAGACCACAATCTGAAAAATGTTAAAGAAACTCACTGATTGAGACTTTGTCAGCCTTGCCTAGATTTGCCACTGATATTTCAGCCGCTGCCAAAGCTATGATATCTTGGAAAAGATAGCTTTCATGGAATTCCCCCAACTCATAGCTAGGTGCAATTTTTACTATCCTGGATTCATTCGGCCGTACTAAAGGAAGCTCTTTTACAAGATCTAAAATCTCTATGGCGACTTCTTCCACCACAGGATGTCTGCAGTGCTGACTTGACCAGTATCTATGAACCTCAAACCATAGATCTAAGATAAATATCTCAGCATAAAACTATAAACAGTGACGAAGAAGACTTTACCATTCTGGTTGATACCAGGAGCAGTCTCTGGGTGTTGCATTGGTTCGATTTGTCGCCCCTTGCCCTTGTCTAGCCTCTGAAGGAAATTGTGAGATTAAAGGAAAACTGAGCAAAATAATGACTCACAGTTATAGCATTATCCTCTTTACCCGACTCATCCCCAGATACCCTTTTCCTTTTCGAAACCCTTTTCTGTTTGAAATTCGTCAAAAAGAAATTACAATAATGAACGAAATACCTTTTTCTCTCCTGTATTCTCAGATTTAGCTACTGTCCTTGACTGAATATACATTAGTATCGCTTAATGGTGGGAGATCATGAGCACACACCACAATTCCTTCAGGATGTTCAGATATCCTGCCTGAATTCTGATAGTGATCCCGCCACCGTTTGTTGTTCCGATCCCAGGTCAGCTTACGGCGGCCACTTCCTGGGTGGACAAAGGCAACATTGGGAGTTTGCACCCTCCAACCAGCCTCAGACCTCACCCAGTACCTACTATTACTGGTGTTATAGTGTACATCGCCAAACTCATTGTCCAATCCGCCGGTCATATCTGGGTCTGCGGCAGATGCTGTGAACTTGGCGGTAAATTGAACACCGTCAATCTTAAAACCAATCCGGGTCCCATTTTCAACACATGCCACTTATTATAGACAGACAGGTTAGTGAATTTAATTCATTTGACCGAAGCACTTGATACCTAGATGACCACTACTGGATTCACCCGACATAAGATCTTAGTAATTAGGCAATTTAGGCAACTTAGGCCAGAAGTCGGTAAGATTTAGCCATATAGAAAGAGAGGAAAATATGACTTACTATTAAGAAAACAGCTCGACAATCCAAGTGCAGTGCTTGAGTTGAAGGATGAAAACAAAAGAACACCATGAAAACAGGACCAAACAACTGGCCTGAATTACTCCATCATTCCAATATATTTCGTCCGTCCCCAAGAACCATTTTGAACCTTTCCTGTTGGTATGTTTTATGCCATAAATCCATTCAACCCCTCTCTAAAACCATTTCACAGATAATCTCAACCGATTCTCCACAAGACACCCGGCTGAATCAAACAAGATCGCGTCGGTCCTTGGGGCATATCAGGAAACGTAGATCTGTACTGAGGGCAAGAGCAAGCTTCGCTGTGGCTATAGACAAATACTGCAATGCAAACCTCACTCGCCATCCCCCAACTCCATGTTCCAAGAATTCGTGGCCTAGAATACACTCCGACGAGGTTTCGGCCATAATCGGATGGTGGATTGTCCCAGCCCATAGCAGTATTCTTCATCTTGTACCTGGTTTGGACTCTTGAGATAGTGGTATTGTGGAATGGAATTGAATCGCTCTCGGAATTTGGGACGACAGCTTCGGCTTCTGCAATCCTTGCGGCGGACTTGTACGTTGGGACCAATAGACTAGTATGTGCCTTGCAGTTACTTCGAGGTCCTTTTTTGATGAATTTGTCTTGGCAGGATGGTTATATTTGGGTCGACTATCCTATCTCCATGATAGGGTAGATCACGGTGTATTTGCCGTTCAGCTCGAATTCTACCAAGGTTGAAACCTAGCACCCAGTCCTCTTAACCCGCGACAATCTGATTCTTCAAACACTGCTACCGCTATACCAATTCTGTATTCTAGCCTTCCTTCAGGGATACCTCCACCATCATTGCACGTCCTTCCTCTTACCCATCCGTCCACACATTTCACCCCGGAATTGAAGCCGGATGATATGCAACAACCGAGCCCTTGAGCTCTTTCCAAACGTTCATGGGTAGCTTCTATAATGCTCAGAATGCTTCCAATTTTGAACAACTTGCAGAAGAAGCTTCGAGACTTTCCATGACTGCTGTGGGATGAGTGCAAGCTCTACCATTTCATCGTCTTCGGGTTCGACTGCAGCAGCGCTGTCTACGTTAACAGGCTTGACTGCCCCTTCGACTGTTCCAGGATCATCGACTATTAATCCTATTCATTCCTCTTCGTCGACATCTTCCTCATCATCATCAACGGCAACCTCGAACACTGCGTCCAGTTTCACTAGTACTTCTATATTATTTGGATCATCCCCTGCATCTGCATCCACCTCATCCATCTCCGCATCAAATTCATCAATCTACTCGCATGCTTTCGTTTCACCATCTACATTCGGTCCACCGTCCCCAGGGTCTTCTCCATCTTCCTCACTTACTCTTCCCACTCGTTCATTTTCCACCTCATCGGAATACAATGCGTTCAATGCCCAATTTCCGAGCATTGATGAGCTAGACGAATCCGATGGGCGATTAGACGGTTCAACACCGTTCACACTTCCTAGTGTCCCTACTGGAAGGAGCACTAATTCCAACCGATCTGTTGGTTCTGCCAGGTCAGGCAGGTTGTTGAGGCGTATGGGCTCAACATTGAGTCTGAGATCGAATTGGTCGATCAAGGACTTGAAAGAGCTCAACACCAATGGAACTGGTGAGGCTTCTCCTCCATCCTCCCCGGCTTCAGGAATTCATCATTGTCATCCAGTGTAACATCGTATTCAATTGAAGACTCCCTCTCCCTCGCCCCCACATCCGAGGCATCTGCCTTCAACAATCGTCATAAGTTCGACCTTGTTGTACTATATGACAAGAGATCGACCTCTTTCAGTTCTACCCCGCCGTCTAAACCTTCGTCATCGCTTGTATCAACTCCAAGCGCCTTTCCAGTTCCAGGCAGCCATGTAACGAGTGAAGCAAGCAACCCTGACATGTCGACGCTGCTTCGTGCTATCTGGGAACGCGAGTTCCGTAAAACATTGAGAAGGATGCCGATGATGCTTGTCGGATGGTACGAGGCCTGGGTGAAGGAGTTTGGCATATCAGAGTCGGGTATGTCGTCTAATGGTCCTGCTGCCAGAACAACTACGGTAGTTAACGGCACACCCAATGGCGTTGCAACGAACGGAGCTCACTCATCCTCCGTGCCACCACCACCGATGCCGCCTTCTATATCACCTCAAGGGTCACAAGGGAGAAATCCCTTTGCACCTGGAGGTCCTTTGGCTTCCCCTGCAATTTCTACACCTTCTGCTACTTTCTCTTTGCAACATCCTGGATCCAATGGATCGAGAAGTCGCGCTTCTACTAGTCCGTCTCGTCCTGGTGCTGCAGGGATGGGTCATAAGGTGAATCACTCTGTTGATAAAAGTGCTACTTTGGGTAGCAGCCACTCGAGGGCTCCAGCAGAGTCGGCACCAAACATCTCATTGTCTAGATCGGGGAGGGCAACACCCACTTTTGGACCATCCACACCACTGTCACCAAATTTATCGGGGAATGGTATGAAAAGGCCTCCTACTACAGGCAGAACGTCCTTTTTGTCGTCCTCCTCCATGGTGACCGGGGCAACACCATTAGGCGCATCTGGACCGATGTCTACTTTACCTGAAGGCGCCCTGGCGCCGAAGATTTTGAATGGTGCTACGCCCATCACTTACCCGTCGATCTCCACGTACTCTCTTCCTTCGGCATCCTTATCTTCTGTTACGACAAGAAGTCCAGCTCCGTTTGATGGTATGAATGGTATGAATGGAATTGCCTCACCACCACTTCCACCACAAGCGTCTATCAACCCGTCTGTGTCGAGGAGAAGGACGAGCGATTACATTCATCAAAGTCAGGAAGCATTGGCGTTGAGTGGGATGAACAGCCCGGGGTATTCGACTCCTGGATTAGGATCGCCAGGGTATGCGAATGGCATAGGAGGAACAAGTGGAATGAATGCATACAATGGTCCCAGCAGTTCCGGGATAAATGGGATGAATACATACGGTGGCTACAATGGATACAATGCTAATGGAGCAGTGAATGGCATATCTACAATCCCTTGGACAACGATTGACTATCCTGAACTATCTTCTACTCATCCCATTCTACGACCGCCACCAGCCGTTGCTGCTGGCACGCTGGAAAGGCAAGATAGCATCAAGAGATTTCCGACTCCCCCTTCATCATCTACGACCGGTGCTGGTTCCACAACCCCCTCCTACCCTGTCCCTTCCTCGCTCTCATCCCCATCCTCGACAAGTATCGCTCCTTCAGGCATTTCCTCCACTGCGTTAAAGAAGTTGGGATTAAGCCCCCTGCATCCTGTCCCTCGTCTGCAGAGCGCAGAATGGCCCCCAAGGTATTGGGCAGACTCGCCTATTGGAACATCTGGGTTAAAGAATATGGGGAATACATGTTATATGAATGCGCCGATACAGTGTCTGAGTGCAACAGTACCATTTGCGAGGTTTTTTACTGGTGAGTGCCGTTGCTTGTCATTTTCTTTCTCTAAAACTAACTGGCTCATTTCACCTTGGCAGAGGTTGATCTCAAAACTGCGATTAACTACATGAACAAGATGAACTCGCAAGGGCAGCTGACGAGGGCGTTTTCGAGGCTCGTACATGACATCTGGCATGGGGATATGCCGTATATCACTGCGAACGATTTCCGGGTAAGTAATGCTACTTACGACCTAATCTGTCCTTTATTTATCGACATCTCATAGCGCACACTTTGTTCCCTCAATGCACAATACATTGGCACTTCTCAACATGACTCCCGGGAATTCCTCTCCTTCCTCCTCGACGGTATCCATGAAGACACCAACAGAATCATGGCGCGCAAACCCATTACCCGGACGCCCGAGGAAGAGGAACGATTAGAAAACCTACCCCAGCAGATTGCAGGAGAGTACGAATGGCAGGTTTGGCGGCAGAGCAATGATAGTATCATTGTAGATTTCTTTCAAGGAATGTTCAGGAATCAGCTGAGGTGTATGAAATGCGAGAAGGTGAGTTGTACGTGACTCGTGTGTTAGACCGTTGCATTTATTGTGTTCGATAGACATCCACGACCTATAATGCATTCTCGATACTATCTTTACCGGTGCCCGCCCGTAGTGGTAAAATCCCTCTACAGAATTGTTTAAAGGCGTTCTTCAACGTCGAAGTCATGGAAGGGGATGATGCGTGGTAAGCTGACAATATCTTTCGGTCCATCTACTACGTCGCTCACCAGTCAATCAAATCCAGGGACTGCCCGCGCTGCAAGACCAAGCGCCCAGCAACCAAGACCCTGTCCCTTGCTTGTCTCCCCCCTGTCCTTGTCATCCATCTCAAGCGATTCGAAGTCAATGGCCGGTTCAGTGATAAAATCGATAACTTCGTCGATTTTCCTGTCAAGGGATTGGATTTGACTGAACTCATGCCTCCGCCGTTGCCAGTGGGCGCAGATCAATCGTTATTGAACGGAGGGATGGTGAATGGTGTCATGTCGAGGGATGACCGACCCAAGGATACAGGTGGGACCGTACAAGTATGAACTCTATGGGGTTACGAACCATTATGGCAACCTGAGTAGTGGGGACATTGTGGGCATATTCTTCTCTATATCAATCAATCCGCTGATGACCACCTGTTCTAGATACTGCATTTGTTGCATCGCGGGGTGGATGGCTTTACTGCAATGACATTTCGGTAAAGAACGTCGATGCGAAGCAGGTCGTGGTCAGTATCCGAACCTCACCCGTCCAAATAACCCTTTTCTAATGTTCTCTCCTTTGCAGAACCAAAAGGCTTATGTTTTGTTTTATAAGCGAGTCAAAGCTTAGAGAGATCGAAGTTACAGAGCGAAACCCCACATTTTGACATCCGTTGTCATCTTTTCATTTTTTACATTCATGATTGCTTTCCTCTTCCTCGTGCATTGGACATGAGTTGGTCATAGCCCTACAGCCAGGTGATAGGATTGCAATTTTGGCATTAGCAGAGGTAAGAGTAAGACGATCTCTGGCGAATGTTGCCGGAACTTACACATCTTGAGTAGCAATGGGGATGGGAGAATCACGTCTATAACGCCTCTATCGATATTTATCATTCTGTATAGAACGCTCAGGTATTGTGTATGAATGGTCTTTACATTACTTACGAATGCATTCGGAATTGATTCGGAATCTCACAGTAACTCTTATACTTAAGATCTGCAGTGTCATCTACTCATAGCTACTCATATACCCCACACAGCTATCTGTTCCCCCTACTCACCCTCACCACACATTCAAATGCCTCGGTCTGTTCACCACACACCCAGCGAAGGAGATGTCCGACTCGTCTGGAATCTCCTCTGAACTTTTCTTCCGCTAGAGCTCGTAGATGTCATTATTGCAGATGCTGAATACTAGCTTTGTATTCACGTTGAAGGATCTAAACAGATACGGGTGGACGCAAGGATAGCTCTTGGTCAGGGATTCAAATTGGCTTGGTGTTATCTTGTTTTGCCACCGATACCGAGAACTTTGAGTTTTGTAGGACAGGGCTTGGGACAAAGGAGAGTGCGGAAAGTGCAGTTGAATATGCAAGGTCACGATCTAGTCTGGGGCAAGTCCTTCTAGTACTCATATATTCCTTTGTTCACTTTCTTATGCGTAGCAACTAATCTAAGCCCATCGCCCTGGTACGAAGCCACCATCATCAAGGCATCCCGCCAACCCGGCCTGATTTGGCTTCCCGCTGCGTTGCAGGGACCTGTCGACCCAGCGAGTCACGCCAGACCACACTTTGATCAAGTCTTCGCAGGCTTCATTCGTTGGCACATTGCCTCAAACAAACTTGGTAATCAAACAAAGCAGTATCATTCAGTCATTTGGACTGAAGGGGAGGTACAAGGGCCTCGAGACACTGGAAGTATCAAAGGACGTGAGGGCTTTGGCCATGAGCTGGTCAGAGCGTTGCAACCTGGTGATAGGATTGCTATTTTGGCCTTAGCGCAGGAGCGCAGGTAGACAATCTTTTCTTAATGTTGAAAGGGACACTCAAACATGTTGTGGACAGCAATGGGGATGGGAGAATCATGTATATAGCTATTCTGTATAAAATTCTGGAATATATAGTGCTACTGAGACATCCAACAAATTTCTGACGGACGAAAATTTTTTGACCATTTATCTTTGTTGAGTAGGTTTTCTCCCAGTTTGTATACCCCGAAATTAGGAGACAGGCGAGTTCTGAGAGGAATGTTGAGGCAGGAGCAAAGGAGGGGGATAGATAATCTTTCGCATCTGGTAAATCTTCGTAGTTTTGCAAAGAAGGAAAATGCTGGGTACTAACATCCAAACGTCCATCATGCGTTGGCTATACATCGGGTCTGGCGAACAGTTGTTCTCATTGTCATTGAAGAAACATAAACAATAATCCACTCCACAGACTCCAGATCATGCAGAGGATTGTAGGCGAAAGGAAAGGTGGGCTTAACAACTACAACAGAGGTTGTGATAACGTTCTGATTTCTGATAAAATTAAAATCAAGTTCTTCGAACAGCTCCAAATCGCTTGCGGTGGTCCTGAAGAGGTACGCGTTACTGATAATCTCCGCGGCAATTGGCGTTCCCTGGCCAAGCAATACTGAGTTGTGAAGACTGGAAGGAACATAGAGTATATACTGTGCGGACATTATGCGTGTGCAATCCGTACGCCGAGTGGCATACTCAACCTATGAGTCCTATATTTCCTTCGCTATACCAATTAAACATTTCCACCGCTGATATCACGATGCACCCATCCAGCCTAATAAAGGACATACAGAGCTAGGACAGACATGGTTAGATCCCTGTAGAAGATAATGTTTGTCAAAACGTTCTGCGGACCTTTGATAACATCGACTACTGCACGGAAGCCTGGGGTGTTATCCAAACTTCGTTCGTCGTAGATCGTTGTCGCGCAATTCTTGAACGCAATGCGGTAGTGGTAGCGGTGATGAATTGCCTGGTGATTCTTGCTTGAACCTATGTTGAGGATCGTTCGACGTGGACGAGGGTGTTCAGCTGCAGGGTGCGGATCCGGACCAACAGCGGAGCCTGATTGTGAAGCAGAATGTTGATCATGCGTCCTCTAGGCTCTACAGAAAACAGCTGTTGGAAGGTAACGGGTTCGACCATGATTATGGTGTTATCCAAATCGTAGCCACCTCCCATGACAGTATTAGTGGAATCTTCTTCGTTGCCTATTCGAACTCTGCAATACGCCATGGGTCGGAGCACACGCTGGCTGAGTTGGTCGTCAAAATCGTCATTCTCCTCTACGTTGAGGGCCTTCGTATCTGCTAAAATGGCTTGGTGAATTCTGTGCCCCTCCTGGCCATTCAATTTCAGCCAAACATCCTTCAGGATACGTGTTCTTCCGCTCGAGTCCTTCACCTTCCATACTCTAGTACCACAACCTAGAGGGCTATCTGCTGCAGAGTCGGATAAGACGTCGATTGTGGTGTAAACCTCCCGATCGACTTCAATCTTGTATTGTCTTTGGCGGGAGTTGTCTAGGTGCGAAAAAGTAAGGGTCGGATCGCGGACCACGGCGATCGAGGATGGGAATGCCAAGGAAAAATATTCTGACGACTTGGTGCCATTCCTATAATAATACAAACGAACTGAGAGATGTTTATTCGCAAGAAGGAGCCCCTAGCATACCATTATAAAATAAAACAACTCTGTCCCTAGTAACGTCGCGCAACTGAGAAACTAGGGTCGAGCAGTTCGATTCTCAATAGTCGTCCCAAAGGTAAAGCGCCTACAAGGATCTAAAGCAAGAATATGCTTCATGTTGTTTATGAGCCTGCGGCAGTGATCTCAATTGGTCGGAGAAGAAGAGGTATCAGAGTGACACGCACATCATTGACATCGTTCTGGTTGTCGTTCAAGTTAAACTGGTAAGGATGTGCAAGATCGTATACGAAGCGTTGGATCGTTTTCCGGAGAATGATTATGCGACTTTCCTATAACATTCTGCTTTGAAAGCCCTAGTTTTTCCTCCATTGACTGTTTGTGGTCCACCCGAATTCTCGTGAAAATATTGCTGAACGCGTCTAATCGTGGACTACAACCTTGGACTGAGTACATGGCGACACTGCTGTTGACTAGGAAGCCGAACATTTGTACTGAAACGGATATCTGTTTTGCAGGAGCGACTACAGCATCGAAGAGAATGGTTAAGCTTTGTAAGACCACATCCTCTGGTTTATATTTGACCTCGCAGGATCCAATGTAAAGGCGGCCCAGCGATCTGTTTGTAACGTCAATAGTTCCGTTGTCGTCCAAGTTTTTCAAGTTATTGTCGACCCAATTTTCAGGCGTATACGATAGCGAGGGCAATATGTTGCCCGGAAACATTGCAGAGGAATTTTGGGGACTATTTTGGGAATGTTACGACTGACGATGAACTTTCTTTGCAGCAGCTTAATTTTGGAAGGGGCATGCAGGAAGCCGAAGAGCGCCTAAGCAGATCACATGATTCTCTATCTCCGGAAGCAATGTTTACTGAATGCCGCCTTCCATATCTAGGCAACATCTTTTTATCTATCACTACGACAGAGACTCGTGCATTAAGCAACTCAGGCCGTCCCTTGGTTGCACACATTATCTCATAAGGATGATCTCTGCTATTTCTACGATTCCTCAAACCACAATCCCTCTCCTCTTCGCCCAACTCCCGCCGTCAAAATGTTTTGTCCTGTTCCGTACCCACCCCGCGTCAAAGATGTTACAACCATTTGTGATCTCCCACAAACCTTTCTCTCGTCGGGGTGCGTCAAGGTCCCCGGCTAAGAGGCTGAACACTAGTCTCGTGTCCATAGTAAACAATATGAACGAATCATAATACAAACCCAAGGCCAAAGTTCGTTTGGTCATTCCTCATTTCGCCACTTGTCCCCGAAGCGTTGGATCACTTAGGTCAAGGACTGTGACAGAGCAGAGCCCGATGATCCGCATTGCAGATGCAAGGTCATGTTGAACAGTCTGGATCCTTGTCGAGTGAGTTTTTCATTTCAAATCCCGAGGTGCTTTTTGTCCAACTTCAAGCTCTGCGCGCAGCGACCCGTATCGATACGATACACTGTTGATTCAAAAGTTTCATTATCCAACCACCTCGCGAATCTCACCCAAAACTGGCTCGATGCACTGGGCCGTGGATACAACGACTCATGACGGAGAACCAAGTTTATGAGATATTTTTTGGCTACATACGTTGGTATATCGTCTCAAATGTGGAATCGGATCACAAAGAGCAGAACCATTTGGTTGTTTGGAGTAATTGTGAGGTTAAAGGTTGCCAATTTTCCGGAGGAGGGGAAAGTTCTCGAAAGAAAGGATTGCAATTTTGGCATGGACCTTTGAAAGGTAAGTCATCTATTTCTCTATTGATGTGGCGTGGTCTAACTCGATATATAGGACTCGATATGGTGAAATGTGGTCTACGGCACTTACATCTACATCTACTATCCTGTTTGAACACTTTTCGTCAGAGCAGTTATAGACCATCAAAAACAAGCCTAGGATATACTCCGTGTCACCTCTCTAACGTGGTAACCATTTTAGCTTCTTCAGGCCCCAAAAGAAGAGCTTATCGGTGTTATTGGTTACCTACACTATTTCCGTTCAAGTTGATGCGGATCCGAACGTGATTGGGCTAATACAGGCTGATACCGTGTGTGGCAAATGAGGAAACCGTCAGCGCTCTATCGATGCGATAGCAGTGCTGTTCAACCTATCCACGCTATAACGGCGCTGTTCGTCATCATTTGTATCATTCAATTTTATTTGTCTTATCATTTGGGTGATTGTACGAAACAATACTCAGCAAAACGAGAAAGCATCCGGATTCCATGACTCTCCCGTCTTTTTTCACCATGTCAGCGCTGATTGTATCTCTAGATACAGTGACGCTATGGTCATGTCGGGGCGGGTTTCGGTCTTCGCCCATTTCACTTACTTCTCTTTCTTCTTTCTCCTAACCGTGGATTATTTAATATCATGAAAACGGGTATAGTATATTTGAGCTCGACGACTTTCCCCACTCGAATTCTCCAACTGCGTGCTGGTCACCGTTCAATACCTCTTACTAATCATCAACATCAACCCCGAATCATCTCAACCTATGTGCCCATCAAACATGCGCACTATTGCCTTAGGTGCCTTTCTAGCTTCGGTCACTATCATGGCTTCTGCCTTGTCCACCGATGGGCAGATACCTCAGGCTCAAGCAGCGGTTGTCAAGATGCTTCAGGAGCCTGCTCCTAATTCAACAGAGACGACTACAACGGCTTCAACTACACCTACGTCTGCGAGTGATAGTGCTTCATGTGGTGTCAGTGATATCTTTGGTTAGTGTCCTCTCCTCTGTTGATAACCCACCTCTATAAATTTCAATTTTGATCGAATATAGATTGTGTCAAAGGATTGGAGAAAACAGTTAATTCATAGTTTAGCGTTTATTACTGAAGCTCAACTTCGGGTTGTACTTATAGTCACATCATGCGCGACTGCAGCCTCTGATTGGGGAGCAGGTGAGTGATTTGATCTATATCTATGTGGCAATGAAGCTCCCTATAACTGCCTCACTTCTAGATATTTCCAAGGATAAGCAATGTCTCGAGGATGCAGAAAGTCTTTGGTAAGTTTATTACATATACATTCAAACCATTACATGAATTATCGACTGTTATCTTTCAGCCTTCGCAATGCCTCGGATGCGTGAAGAAATACCTGTAGTCCGGTACATTTCTTTGAAATTTGTTGTCCTCGAGTTCTTTGCAGCTTTAAGCACTTGTTGATCAAGCTGGGGCACCAATCTAAATCTGTCAGACTGTCCCTGATTTGTTCAGAGTCGTCTGATACCCTACAACTTGACATCTTCCATTCTTTTCCCTCCTCATAAGACGTTACATCCAATTCAACAAATTAACGTTTGTAGGTTTCATACGCAGGTATCTGTCTTTCTGTCGTTGGTCCAAGGCTGAAGTAAGTTCATTCATGTTCATGATACAGTTCTCAGGAGACATCGCTTCCGAAAGGCTCCGTTCTGTCTGTCTAGCAAGTATTCCCGGCTAGGGTGGACAAATCAATGATTGGTTTCCAAAATTCACCTTGGAATATCTGGCATTCACCCGTTTTTCTAGGTAAGTTGAGTCTGGACAATTCAATTTCTGCACTAGATTTCAATGATAGATAGTTCACAACAGTACGAGGATTTCTTTAAGTGAAAATTTCAATTGACAAAATTACAACTTGCAAGGTCTATCGAATGGGCGCTGGTATATGCTCCAATGGCCACCTCAAAACCAATTTTGACAATGAACACTATTCGAGATGGCAAGGAGAAACTTCTGGGCTTACCTTGCTCAATCTTCTGATTGAACGCAAAGCCCCAGAGTCAGCCACAGTGACCGGTATGCCCTCTGGAGCATCCCCTACAGCCGTTACCCATAGCCTTTGGAGAATGGACGTCGATCCACGAACCCTCTGGAGAACGATCACCTCCGTCCCCCCCAGATCTCATGGACAGGTACGATTATTCTTTCTTGAATTCTCCAAACTCACTTTCTTCATGATCAGTCTTGCTCAACGTTACACTTCTACATCGTATTACATTTCGCCGGTCCTTCACGTCCCTAGTTTTCTCTCGGTGCATCTGAACCTGGTTCATGTTGGTGTTTCACCGTCAACCCTCTAACTCTATCCATTCCGACCTATGGACAATCCCCGAGTTCGCGCCAATCCTACAGACAGTTTCAATTACTCGCGCACCTTCCCATGCTGCAAATTCCACCCTACAAGATTGCAGCCGACCTTGTTGCTGCTGTTTACGCCGTTGGCCTTGGGCAACTGTCTAGAAGTGCTGCACTCCTTCCGGAAGCTGTCGCTGTGTGTATTGATGCTGGCCCACACAGGTCCGCAGATATGTATGATCTTTTTGACCCCATCAAGGACTAGATCTGAAAGCACACGTCCTGGTGAATCTATATCTGGGACGGGCAGCTCAGTGTCCATTTCAGTCACCCACCTATCATTTGAGGGATTGCAATGTGGCAGAGCGGGTGGTCAACGATGGGCCCCACTGGAGGAGGCGCTGTTGGAGGAAATGGACAGAGGAGTGGTTTGATTTGCGGACAGAGAAGTGCATATGGCAGTAGATATGGGAATGGGGCAGCGAGTGGGCAGGGTCAGTGAACTGCATATGGGAATGAACGCACAGAACTGGCAACGGAGAACGATCTAAGTAAAGACTTCATTGTGAACGGTGATGCCTTTGTGATAAAAGCCAATTGCTTTGACAATGCACTTCGGAGGCTTGGAGGAGCAGCTGTCGCGTTGAGATTAGTTGAGGTTGCGAAGGTGTGTTCATGGGATTGGCTTTTGGGTAATTCCATATTTTCCATGATTTCACCGATACATCTCATTTATTCCTGATAGACTCCCCATGAACTTTCTACAGCACTTGGTGTGGTGACGGATGGGATGAAGAACAGTTGGCAGAATTTGGAAGATATAGAATGGTTACGTGCGTTTTGTGGTTCCATGTAGTTCATTCGTCGCGTTTCATTTAACTGACGATCCCTATTTTCTCTACCAGGTGGCTATGACATCCTTGCGGATACGCTTTGTTCCAAGGCAGATAGGATCAACATGACCAGCTTTGACACGATTTTTGAGTTTTTAGGTCCGAATTTCCGGTCTCCAGAGTATGTTCTTCCCATATTCCATCCTTCCTCAATCCTTGGCTTATCCTGCCACAGCCAATCAACCCATCGTTAACACTGTGACTACTTGATTTTGAACTATGATCACATACCCAAAAAGACCTTTAACGAGTTCACTTGGAACATTTTCTTACTCTCCTCGAATCAAGTTGATATAGAAGTTTCAACGCCAAACAGCAGTTCGCCAAAATTGGACTAGTACGGAGAATGCTTTTTGTGTTACAGACGGATTGGTACAGTGATGTCCATGGCCCGGATTTTGAGAATTCGGATTCTCATTTGCCCTTCTTGATGGACGTGCCGAAAGCTGGTGCAAAAGCGCTGTGGACGAAGGATGATGCAATCAAGCCTTTGGTGTCGTATTTATCTGCTAATCTGCTGGAAGATGAGTTGGATGTTGTATGCTCCATTGTTTATTTTGCTCAACTTTTGCTTCAGATGTCGTAGACGGCTCACCTCGTTTCATCATTTCACGGCTCGATTTCAAAGACGGATGTGAAAAAACTGAACACTTGCTTGTCATCCTGACCTCTCCACTATCCAATCCCGTGTGTTACACCAAACTTGTTTCTGCCCCTCCTATCACCCGTATCTGCCTCCTTCTATTTGGAGATGAACCTTCAGCACTGGTAGGAGCTCAGATCCTCACCGTTATTGGAATTAGCATGAGCACCTCCATTTCTTTTGTACGCCAGTTTGAGTAGATTTCCGGTTGGAATGTGCTAAAGACAGTTCTACGGACCTGCTGGGGGCCCAAAGTTAATGCAGTGGCGCTCGATTCTCTTAGGGGGGTTATCAGCTAATGGCCAAAGGAGTGCTGAGCCTGCGGAATATGTTGTCACCTGTGCGCAAATGGTGCCTCCTATACTCTCCGCGTCACGGTTGAAGGCGGGTCTGAGTATTGTTGCTAGAAACTGTGAAATGGCAGAGGATGTGGATAGTATGGTTCATGCTATTAGGCAGTGGTTCAATTCTAACTATAATAAAATATTCTAGAGCGAAGCCAATACAGCTGGACTACAGAGTCTACACTGGAGGAGCTCACCAAAAGTCTTCTGAGCCTTCACGCCTCAAATGGGACGTTCCATCTTGTTTTTCAGTCTCAACAAAGCACCCAATTGTTCGTAGCTGCTTAAAGAGGGTTTGTGGACAAAGAACATCCTCAATACCAAGTAGTTGAAGTATCCTTCTTTTAGTCGGGAGAATCGTCGACAAGTGTCTCGTCTGTATGAATGGACGCTCATGCTGACTGCTCAGTGTGGGTTATGGCTTGTCAAGAGCCTAATTTGTGGTGGTTAGATGAAATTGAGGGTCCTCATAGGGTCAGGTAATGTATAATCAAGTAACGAAAACCGCCATCTGACCCTCTGGCATTAGAAAAAAGCTGGAGCCTGAAAGCAACAAATCTTCTGAATGTTCCCGTTGAAGAATATCATCGCATCCAAGACGTTGTGGTTCCTGAAACCAATAATAGCTCTGTCGTTACTGTCGAAGTACCACCATGGGCGAAAAGTTACAAGATTTCTTTAACAGATATGGAAGGTGAATATTTTCTCACTTGAACTATCTCCCTTGGCTCAGATCTCGCTCAGATCGCCAATTGGCGGAAGAAATTTCAGAAGACAAGCATCACTGAACTAGAACCAGAAGATGTCATTGAATCTGTGGGTACTGTGGCAAGGGTTGCTGGAGTAGATCCCCATGTGAGTATATTTCCCCAAGCTGAGGCAGGCTTACGGTATTCTGCGCAGTCTCTAATAACTTCCTCTACAGCCGGGCTGCTTATTATAGGCCGGACGCATGTATACACGCTAGACGGGCTAGCAATAACAGGGTCAAATAGTGACATAGCCCAGGCATACGAGTCTGTGGCTCGCGACGTTCGAGGTGACGTTCAAGAACTCATTCTCGAATTCTTCAACTGCCTCAAGTAAGGACATTCTATCTCGTCTTCCGGTTACTGTTGAACCTAATCTTAGGTTTCTGGAGAATTCCTCCAACCTTGATTTCGGAGTCCAGCAGAGTCCAGCAGAATACTGGCGAGCGGATACATGACGTGAAATTGCCACCTTGGGCAAAGCAAGATCCCTGGCTGTTCATCATCATCATGAATCATAAAGTACGTACGAACAAATTACTTGTTCACTCTTATTGTGACCATTTCCTACGCAGGCTTCAGAAAGCCTCTACATCAGCAAGAATCTACCTGCATGGATTGACCTGATCTGGGGACACAACCTGCGAGACCCAGCTGCTTTGAACGTTTTCCACCCTCTTTCATATGAAGGGTCTATTGGTACGCGCGAGTCTACTCTTCTTGTCACGCTTTTGACTTTTGTAACAGACCTTGGCTCAATCATGGATGAATTGGAACGTGAAGCCACTGTTGGCATTATCCATAATTGTAAGGGCTGAAATAACTGATTCCTACTATTCACAACACCCTACTAATGCTGCGCCGCACGTAGTTGGACAAACGCCCCGGAAGCTCTTCACGACTCCACATCCTAATCATTACAATTATGATGTTCCCATCTTGCCTATTGGGACTCTTCATGGTATCGAAGACGATGCGCATCCTCTCGTGCAGGTCAGCAGATGTTTCAAAGGTTAGTTCATTGACTAAACGGAGTATGCGTCCTCACACATGATTGCTACCAGACTCGGGTCCCAACGTTCCAGTCACCAGCCTGGTCTTGGACATGATAGGGGAAAAGATCCTACCTTGTCCAGCAGGAGTTTTATTTGTCCCATGGCATCCGCACGAACTTGAAGTTGAGTGGGCCACGTCTTGTACCGGTGCTAAAGAAGTCCGGGTAGTAGTAGACCATAAAGTTGTACAAGTCATCGAAGGCTCTTTCTGCTATTCAAATAATCTGGTTACAGGATCAAGTGACCACACGGTCAGGCTTTGGACAATGTCATGCGCGGGCGGCCACCTCCCTTTGAATGTCTCCCAGGAACATATCATGCGGGCTCATACAGATGAGGTTGTCAGTGTCGCAGCGTGTCGGGCATGGTCTGTGATTGTGAGTGGGTCGAGGGATGGAAGTATGGCGTTGTGGAATCTTAATCGGGCGGTCTACGTTCAGTCCATTTGGCATGGAGAAGGTGGATAAAAATCTACGGTCTCTTGGATTGATATCAATGAAAGCACGGTATGTCTTTGTGCGGAATGTTTCCCCTCAATCTTCTCTTACTTTCATGAAGGGTTATATTGCAACTTGTTCGCGATTAAAATTATGCCTGCATACCATAAATGCTCGTCCATCGCGGTGTTGGATTTGACAATACTGCCCAACTACAATGTTCTACAATCAACTATAACCGCGCTTGCTTTCCGTGAATAGGAATATTTACACCTAGGTGTCTTAGCTACAGGTGGCTCAGACGGTACCATTACGCTAAGAACACGGAGAGGGTTAAAAGGCTTGTTGGGAGATTGTGACGTTACATAGGCAGAGGTATTTCACTTTTCCCTGCAGTGACTGCATTGAAGTTCCTAGCGCAGACTTTTCCTACCAGTATAATGGCAACACCAAACCACCTCGCCACTTCCTCGTCGAAATGAGACGCAAAGCTTGCATTTTCAGCTATTCCCTGGATGAATTCGTTGGAAAGCGCAACACCAAATGACTTTGAGTCTTGAAGTATAGCGCATGGGCTTTATTCAAAGTTGTGGGACACACAGTGAGCGGTAATGGTCATGTAACAATTGGTAGTCCGAAAATGGATTTTCATTATTTCCCGCCGCACGACTGAGGCTGGTTTTCTAATGCGTAGGATAAAGAGATGAAAAAAATGAATCAAATGGTCGCAGACACCACCGGAGGAGGATCAAGCTTCGAAGACAGACCCTCAGTACCGCTTAAGATGATAGTAGAGGGATATATCTACTAAGCGTGAGTGCACCACCTCGCTTCTCAATGAAAGTAATACTCTCCATAACCGCAAACTTACGTCATACAAATGTCTCTTGGAACGTGCATGACACAGTAGTGTAGCCCAGCTACAAGCTGAAGTGCGGATGCTTAGGGAGCAGCTACAGAACCGAGGTGGGGGCAGTAGGACTGGGAATCGAGGACTGCTCATTGGAAATGGTCAAGATGAACTTGACGGCCTACTTGACGGGGGCAGATACTTGTGTAGTAATTGTAGAAGTCCAGGTGCTAAAGGCGAATGAAGACATTGGGCTAGATGGAGGGGGTATGAATCCGACAATGAGGAGGATGACTTCGATGACGGGGATGGGGGTGAACTAGTTGCGGTACTCCGTGGACTAGGCCGCGACAATTCCAGAAAGAGTACATATTTGACAAGCAGCAGGTAAGGAAGGTTGTTAGAAGAATGGGGAGGGAAGCTCGAGGAAGATTAATTGGTATCGTACTCGATGGTGAGTCATACTGTAACTCCTTTTACAGAAACAAATACTCACTGGGTCCCGCAAGCTTTTCATCCCGGCAATGCCTCTCTCCAAATGCTCCTACTCCAAAAGTACCTCAAATCCACATATGATGTGCTTGGTAAACTCTCACCTCCTTTCGCTCCTTGCGTCCTTTTATGCTTTCCTATAACTGACATTGTCCTCCGGCTGTGCCTCGTCTCAAGGAAATGGAACAAGATGATTCATCATTTCATGCTCTGGCGGTACCATTGTTATGACCTTACCCGCACAGATCCCATGCCCATTCAAGCGCCTTTGCCTTGTTCTGAAAGCCTGGACCTTTTTTGAGTAGCAATAAGCTTCGCCACTCCATCGACAGAGGGTTTGCGGTCATAGTCAGTCATTGACAGACTATTCCCTAGTTCCCGGCAGACTGAGCTTGAGCTTACCACTGACGGAGCAATTGAGGAATGACCTCCGAGTACGAACAGACTGTCCCTAACATCAATGGTTTCAGAAGTACTCTAAAAAGAGTGCCAAGACTATTCACTGATATATTGTGCTAAGACAGGCAGACGTCAATATCAAACAAAAAAACATACTTAGGACTATACTTACAGATAGCCTTGGATAGCAGGGGATACATGGCCTATAGCCAAACTCATATTGAGCTCAGAAATCCGAAGAGGTCAACAATGCACAGTCTATCCTTCCACTAAAATGCTTGAAAGATGTATCTTTGCAATGTACCAAGAAGAAACACCCTTCTTCCATTTGCATGTTTCATATTCTGTCACTTGCATGCAAAGCAAATTTTGGTTGGCACAATATAGCAATCAAATTGATGCTGCAGAAAGAACTAAAGGTGGGATTGGAAAAAAAAAAACAGTTACAAAAGACAGGTTGAGAGTATTGGTCTACATATACTGCTTGCTACTCATAAACTTGTTGAACTTGATCCAAATCACAGCAACATATAATGAGTTACAAGTTGACTGTTTTTATTGACAATGCTGACATCATTGCATTAAATAGAGTGGTAATAGCTACAAGTTGATTTACGGTTAGTAGCAAAGTTGTACAATAATTTTACGCGGTAATTGCTAGGTTTGTATAAGCACTTGGAAGAGGATTGAGCATTTCTGATTGTGCAGAATGCTCTCATTACAAAGTAAGGGGAAGCATGTGTGTGTTACTAAATAATGATGTGTCTGAAAGATATTACAAAGTTGAGCAAGTCATATTATTGTAGACTAATTCCACTAAGTTGGATATGTATGATGATGATGGAGGAAAATTGGCTGCAGGTGTCTATTTGAAAGCAAGAAAGTGAGGAGAAATGATGTTGTCCAGAGCAGGAGGCTCCAACTGATAGAAACATATTTCAAAGATACAAACAATGATGGCAAGTGGGATGAAGCGCGCAGCGCACAACAGACTTCTCAAGGGCGAAGCCGTTAGGGATTGGGTTTCGGTTAGGGGTTCAGGGACGTTAGTCTGGCCGCAGGCCACCATAAACAGAACATGTAGCATACATTCAATGTGACAACATAACATATAGCAGACAGTTTAATTGAAAATACAAGGGCAATGGATACTGTGGCATGCATCACGATACTACTTGGATATAACAATGGAAATAAGATTGACGGTTTGTAACTGTCTTGACAGAGAGCAAATCTGTTGTATATCTGCACTTGTGAGTTTGGAATATGTTGAGTTCATGTATATCAAGAATCCCGTACTTCAGCAATGATAATTAGGACAGTAGTGAAGTTATTAATGACACCGCTGCCACTATGTTACAAGTCCCCCCGGACAGAGAATGACGAGAGGTAGCCACCCCAACATTGGTGATACTGGGATGACAAGGAACAAACAAGATGATCTGGGTATTATAAATAGAGCAAGAGTCTAAGGTGATGTGCTGAGCGAAACTCAAGTTGATCTGAGATGATTAGGGTTGACAATCAAACCAGAGAACTATTGCGATAGTAAAAGGGGATTTATACTGACTACCAGGCACAGAACATAAACCACAGGCTGTACACGGGGGAGTTATTCTATCTAGATTTGAAATGTAAAACTTGAATAGCTTAAATTGAGGCCATTTATTGATCAGCAAACATAACGGAAATATGCTTCAGGCTATATATATTACAAGAGCATCAATAGTGAATAACATTGGAAGTACTGCTGGCTTGATAATATGGAAAACGACATAGAAACGGACTCGAGTAGCAAAACAACAAAGGATGAATTGAGAGTATTTAGCTGCATATACTGATTCGAAACAAGCAAAAGTCAGTTGATGCTTGGAGTGATATCCGACAATGCATTAAGATTATATATACCACGAATTCTATATATCAGTGACAAAGGACCAAACAGTATTTGAGGCCAGTTTGTAGCAACACTGCTGCCATGTTGCAAGTCCCCAGGACACTCAGTGAAATGAAGAAATTAATGAGTAACAGTCACGTCAACGTATGTTGATGGACCATAATAAGCAAATAAACATGGATATTTTAACAACAAAGGAGGATAAACTACAGTGTCGAGGGTCAGAAGCTTTTGTTGCCCAATTTGAGGCCATTATATTGACTTACTAAAATTTATTGACATAACCATTTTGCAGAGATATTACAAGGATTATTGTTTGTTTTGTTGTCAATAAGAAGTATAATGAAGTACTTAACATTTGAATAGCAAAGTGTGCCTTGGCGCCTTGCTCTGGTGCTTGGTACTCCGAGATCCACTGTTCATTGTAATCTCTCCTTACTTGTTCTTTCTCGCTACACATTCCCTTTCTACCTAGTCTCCTTTTGATTGTCTTATTCTCTATCCTGAAGGCACTATACGTACAACCTGTAGTAGCTAATCTGGCGCTCTGCTCCGATATGCCGAGTAGTAGGTATAAATACTTCTGTACCTGTACTATAGTTCCTCAGTTTAATTATCAACTTTGATCAACCTTATTTGTCCCTCTCTGTCCTTTAAGGCTTCAGGCTTGTTGCCTTGAAGCGCTCTCTACTCTGACCTCAGGACTTAGAGTTCTTTGGTCCGCTCTTTATTGTCGCCATT